GAATCGGTATCGAAGTGCGCTTCCGACGAGGGGGATATATCGTCGCTTTCTTCGGTATTCGAGTCATATGCTAGACCCGGGGTATAGTCCTCGAAGTAATCCGGTTGGTCTTGTCGGAGCCTTCTGACATAGGCCTTTTCTTGTGCACGGTAGGATGCCCTTGGGTCTCTGTGAGGTCGCGGAGTCGAATTTGAGCGGTTGCGACCACCTAATCCCGATGGTTGTGGCGTCTTTCCTGGGCGGCGAGGAGGGTTGTAGGTGCCTGAAGGCGTCCTTGCAGGCCCGGTTGGTCGTTGAGGTCGAGCCGTCCCTCCCATTACTGGCGACTCTGGCACCCTTCCTCCAGCTGCGCCGGCATCACTCGAGGCCCTCGACCAAGAACCCGGGACGGAGCCACTAATCGAGCCATGATTTTCCAAGAGCGGGGGCGACAGGGCCCGGTTTGTGCTGCCGTAGAAGGCGTCGATACCGTCGTCTAGTTCAAGATCCTCATCGTCCGGGGAAAACGTGAACACTGGTGGTTCAGTAGGTTCGGCAGGTGGAAACGGCGATCGCTCCATTACCGCAACGTCTTCAGGGCAGTAAATGAAGCCAAAGTGTGTGTCCTGGGGTAAGTCGAGGTAATGTGAGTCTCGCACTTGTTCATCGCGAAGTCATGTAGCCTTGTGGTTGATTATCGTGGTTTATTTGCCACAATTAGAGTGTTGGCGTAACAGACTTGAATCGGGTTCAACAGTCTCGCTCGGGCTCCTTCGGAGAGCAACTTCAAGCGCTTGAATGGTATAGTGTTGATAGGGCACCAGTACGGGGGCTGGTAACAATTGAATTCTTTTCGATTGGATTGAGCAGGAACGTTGATTGCCTGTTTGCCCTTTCCTGTCGTACTTCAATCAAGCAAGCACTTGTATTCCAAGGCAGAGCTTGGGTTATTGGGTTAGTATGGTTAGTATGGCTAGTACGGTTAGTACGAGATTAGCTCCCCCATAGGGTCTTCCCGTGGGTTAATCGTGAGCAAAGACCACTGGGCCTTAGCCGGGTCGCTGCTTTTAAGATCTGTAGCAATTTAGCTCATCTGGACCCCAGCGAACCCAGCCCACCAAGCACCCACCAAGCACCCATCAAGCACCAACACACGCATCAACGGCCACTGTATGATCAGATGATCAGCACTGTGTGATTTGTTTGACTGTGAGACATCGCATGCCGCCCTAAGCGGCAACCATTTTGGCTCCCCTTTGGATTTTGGGCGTACAAGGGTACGAATATCGAAACCAAACACTCTAAGGTACGTACCAACTATATTGCAACGACCCTCGCCAAACGCGGTCAGAGAGAAGAGAAGAGTGACGGAAGTTCTATGTGGGAAGGTTGAACGTCATGCCCATATGAACATTCTCACTTACCGCTTTTATCCTTTGCATATTTTTACGTGCAATTCTCTTTCATCCATGACTCTATGACATTATTAGAAGGCCATGCTCGTTCATGACGGGTTCATGGCTCAAGACGCGTCCTTACAGTGCTCCGAAACGCGTCCAAAAAGTGGTGTTCTGACGCCTGCGTCCGATGCCTCCTCCCACTCCCACAATGGATCCCAGGTTATCTCCCGGAAACGAAAGAGGGACCCTGTTGAGAATGGGGGCGGCTTGGAAGAGTTACTCTCTGAGAGGTTTACGGTGAAGGTTTGCACGATCCTGTCCCTTGCTGGACAAATAACTTACCCCGTACCAGCCACACCCATCCTCAGTTCACGACCGACCCCGCTCTTTCAAACCCATTGCGCTTCTCTCTCGATCCGACTTCCCCCTCTCAAGCCTTGACCGGTCTAGGCCAGCAGCATCTGCATTGCCCGACTCACGGTTATATGAATCGCATGTTAAGATATTGGAACTGGAACAACGTATGGGCAGTACGCCAGTGGTTCTCATTGCCCAATTGGACGATAACAAGGCTCTCTACGCTGTGGAATATGAATCGAAGGGCCTATACGTCCTATTTAAATTAGGCTCATGGGTTGATCTGAGCAAGCTATGCAGTGTCGCCGTGGTATCCAGGCCCTACACAAAATCACACAAACATGATAACCCACAGGGTGTGGCTGGCCGTGGAGCCTCCGCCAATAACGCCTTATCTCCGGCCGAGAGTGATAAATATAGCAAGAAAAAGAGGCTGGCAATCGAAGCAATCCAGTCCATGGTCAAGAGGCCATCCACCAGCCAATCTCTGAACATCGAGCAGACAACATCTACGGAGTCCCCGAGCACGGCATTACCTCTGGAACCCATTCAAATTGCCCAACTCGACCCAGTCGCAGCCGTACAGCCGTCGCAAGATGCCCCTTTGGAAGAACCACGGGCAGAAGACATACTGGACGGCGTCCGGTCGCAGTATCTGGATACTCTGTACCTATCAAAAGTCTCAACAGCATACTTTGCGAAAGGCCCCCTTTCTCGTGCCAGGGCTGCTTTCCATTTGGACTTGGATTCCACACTTCAAATGAAAGATCTCACCCAGTTCCTCGATAGCCTTGTTCTCCCTACGAACATCCTGGACAAGAAATATAAAGATGGCCTACAGGAGTTTGTTTCCACACTGGATCCAGGAATGGAGAGCGATCTAGATGCGGATGCGAAGACTCGCCCCAAAAAACGAAAGATCAAGAAAGTTAAACTGGGCAAAAATGGGCTTTACAATACCGAGGATAGCTTCATCAAGTCCTGGTGGGGAAACCATGATGTCGATGCTGAGACCCCAGGAGCGGCTAGAGAAGGCACCGCCCGAAGCAGGATCTCTAAGTTGCGTGTTCGCGAGATCCTGCTCCAAATCATTCTTATTCTGGAGACGCTGGCACTCCAGAAGCTATGTCCTCCCCCCGACCCTACCGATGACCTCCCACTTCCAGCTGTGGCGGAAGGCACTCCAGGTGACAAAACGCCCCGAAGTAAGGCCAAAAAGCCTCGGGATTTATCTGCATTGGTTGCTGTTCACCTCGATAGACTTAGCATCTGGTCATTATCAGCCGGAGAAGGCACTTCAACATCCAAACAAGGACCAACGAGCAGCGCTCCAAATTTAACTACAACTAGCGGTAGTGATGCTACTGATATCTTACGAAATTTTTGCTTGGAGGTTGTGGTGCCTTTCTTCTCAGCACGATTACCGTCGCTTTGTGACACTATTTGCCGCAAGTTGGGCGGCCCTAGAGTTTCCTCGCCAGCTCGGCCTCCGCTGAGAAAGTCGTCAAGCATGTCAGCAACTGCACCTTCGCGCCCAAGCGCAGTAAGCAAAAAGAGCGCTGTCACCGAAAGCCGTCGAAGTTTGCAGCGGGCGTTAACAGATGAGAAACTTCAAGCCCGCTCAAAGTCTCGACGTCCGTCTGTAGCGGTATCTTTGTTACGGTCAGCAACTGCGCCGGTACTTCCTCCTACTCTTAAACGAGAAGGTAGTGAGGCTGCTTCTTTATCAAGTATCCCAACGATAAACTCCCAGTCTCAGCATGCCAGTCGCACAGCTGCACATAAGGCCAGGAAACCCTCCCAAACAGAGAATGGCATGGGCCTCGGCGCCCCTCCTGATCGCCAGTCAAAGAAGGCCAACATTGAGGCAGAACTGAAGTATGCCATATCTGTATTAAAGAAGCCCAACAGACAACTTGCTGGCCAAACGACGGTTGATTTAGCGGAGAAGAGAGCTCTAGCTAGTGCGTCGCAATCTAGAAAGGCTAAGAAGCCTACTCGAAACCCAGGTTTCGAAAATATGCGGCCTACTGGTGTACAAATTCTTGCAACGCCAAAGAAGCCGCGCAGTCAGAATATGGGACCTGGATCTCAGATGTTTTCCCAGTATCAGGCAGAGCCTGAACTGGAACCAAGCTTTGTGCCTCCGTCGAGCATTTCTAGAGTTTCAAGCTCGGGATACCGCCAGGCCGTACCCGACTCTAGCCCACCTCTCTATAGGTCTGCGCCTGTGTCAAGGGAACAATATCAGTCATCAGTGGTGAACGCCACGCCAACTCGAAGCTCTCGACAGACGAAGCTAGACTATGGCGTATCCGTGGTAGATACAACTCCTGTACGAGTCACTTCTGCATATTATGGGAACTTAGGAGCTACAAATCAAACCGGTGTAGTTGCGGATACACCAGTACGGACAAGTATGGCAGCATCCGACAACTTCAAAAACCTCTTTGCGGCGCCGAAGCCGCGGCGTGAGTTAGAGATCCCGCCCTCCCCTTCTCCACCACGGGCTCCACGGAGTTCGACAATTGATGGTTTCTTGCGTGTGCCACCGGAGCCATACCGCGAGAATATCTCCGAGACACCCAGAAAGAGTCCACCAATCCTATGCACTCCCGTCAAAACACGGACAGAACCACAAAACGAAGCAGTGAGGCCGCGTAGCCCACTGAAGCCGTTAAACTTTTCAGCCGCATCTTCTCGCTTCGAAGAAGGCAGTAGCAGCCTGTTAGAAAGCAAGGCTGTAAAGCCAGCGGCAGCAGCAGCTGATGATGGTGACATATACAAATCACTTGGCTGGGACGATGATGATTTATGAATTTTGCATGGGCGGATAGGTGGACGGCGCTTTGGGCATTTGCAAGGATGGGCTCCTTTGGAATCACAACATAGAAATGATACCTAAGCATTGAATGAATGCTGCATGAATGCTAGAAACAATTAAAACAGTATCACTACCATAACAAGATCACTGACCAATACTCCAACCTCCCCTTTCACACCCCCCATAAACACGTGACCCGACGCGGAACGCGTGAACCAGGTATTCCGCGCCCAAACCCACAATTTACACGTCCACCCAATGAGGAAATCCAAACCACACAGCTCTTCCGCCCCAGCTCCCCTCGCCTCACGTCAAAAACCGCGAAATATAAATAAAAAGTCACGACGAAACGAAATCGCTTGACCCGTCCAATGCGTCTATAATACCCCCCCATATCCCAGCATCTCTCTCATCGCAGTTTCTGCGCGAGGCACGCAACCATGCCGCCCCGCAAGAGCGACGTGGCGAAAGCTACCAGCGAGGAGGTAGCCGTTGGCGCGCCGAGCACCAGCACGCCTGCGAAAGAGGCAGCGCACAAGGAGAAGGATGGTATTAATATCGAGGTTCGTGCCCTTTCTCCGTCCTGTTCGCGAGCCCCAACGGCGCGCGGATCACAAACTTGTCGCGGAACGTGAATGAACTAACCTTTTCCCGCACCAGGACCTCAACCTCCCCAAGTCCATCGTAACGCGCCTCGCGAAATCCGTGCTCCCGCCCAGCACGCAGATCCAGGGAAACGCGATGCTCGCGATGACGAAATCGGCGACGGTGTTCGTCGGGTACCTGGCGGCGCACGCGAATGAGTATGCTCAGGCGGCGAATCGGAAGACGGTTGCGCCGGCGGATGTGTTGAGGGCGCTGGAGGATCTGGAGTTTGGGGAGTTTAGGCCGAGGTTGGAGAGGGAGTTGGAGGTGTTTAGTGAGAATGCTGCGAGGAAGAGGGCGGGGGCTGCGAAGAAGAAGAAGGGGGGGGAGAAGGAGGAGGGGGAGGGGAAGGAGGAGGAGAAGGAGGGAGGACCGAAGGCGAAGAAAGCGAGGTTGGAGGAGGGGGCGGAGGTGGGGGGGGTGGAGGAGGAGGAGACGCAGCTTGATGATCATGAGGAGGGGGAGGAGGAGCATGAACATGAGCATGAGGGTGATGAGGAGCCGGATGATGAGGTTGAGGATGATGGGGAGGAGGAGGAGCAGGAGGATGAACATCATGATGGCGATGGTGAGGATAGGGTGGACAATGGGAGGGATGAGGATGAGGCGCTTGATAATGGCGAGGATAGCGATTAAGTCTGAAATGTGGTCTAGATATGATCAATGGTAAGGCGTTTGGGCACGGCGCTGCAGGGGCATATAGGGTTGGAATACGAGATAGCCAGGCATTGAAGAGTGGGTGAAAGTCCGACGAAATTGCCAGTAATACACTCCATCACATCTATATTATCTCTTAATGACTTACCGCTTCCCTGTCAAAGTTTTATAAAACTTTCAAAACTCCTCCGGAAAACTACAATCACATGTCACACCAGCACAGAACAGACACAGCAGCAGAATTAAGTGTTTCCATTGTAATTAGGATAGGGCAAATCCATACCTCCCGTGTCGTCACATCTGGGTATATCTCATGCACACATGCTCGCATGCTATCCAATTCCAAGGATACCAAGCCAAACGACGAAGCCCATCGCAAATGCAACAAACGCGTCCCAATCCATAATGAAAACCTGAAAAAGGTAAAAAAAAAATCACATAGAGCCTCGAAAATATGTCCCTTTGCCAATAGAAATTGCCTCCCCTCTCTTTCTCTTGCACGGTGACAGCCCAGCCCTAGCGAAAACAAAACAACATGTTGGTTAAAGGAAATATGCATGGGGTTTGGCCGAAAGCGAAACATTATAGTCAGCCTGGCGAGAGAAAAGCGCAATGATGAGAACGAGCCGCATTAATCCCTAAACTCAGAAAACAAAGTGTGCCAAATGAAATGCATTCCTCCATGATGATAGCACTAAAAAAGAAAACCTCGTGGAGAGAAAAGTGTTGGAAAAGGAATTATAACTAAATAAAAACGAGGTATAATGCGAAACCACGCATGTTAAGAGCACGAAGCCCCCAAATAACAAGTCCACCCTAGAATAATTTACACCGAATTAAACAGTCGGCAGCCCCACAGCTCATGCTCCTTATGTATACCCCAGGGTGGAGAAAATTGACCAATTATCCCCAAGTCCACCTAAACTCCGTCTTCCATATCGTAATGGGCGATGCCGGGGAGACAAATACGACTCCCGTTTCCGCGTTCATGTCCTGAACGTGTGTATTAACATTATCGTTGATTGCATGATCCATACGTATCGCCGTCTCGATCGTGTTGTGCTCGAATGTTATGCGTCAAAGGCGTTTCGTTGTTCACTTGATGCGGAGATTATTATCCTTGAGTGCCCCATCCCCAAGAACCCTGGGTGCCAGGCTGCTGCTGTGATGCCCAATTTTGAGGCGTGGCTGGTGCTTGCGCAGTTTGTGGTTGCACATACTGCTGTTGTATTTGGTCTGGCTGGTATATTCCTCGGCTTTGGGAAGGATATCCCTGGCCCATGTTTTGATATTGCATGCCGGGTGGGAGTTGGGCGCTGCCTCCAGCGTGCCGCAATTGTGTGGGTGACTGGTGGGGGGACTGCTGTAGGTGAGGAGATTGTTGGCTAGCTTGGGGGCTATAGTGAGGATAAGCCTGGTGTGAAGATTGATGAGTCTGTGACGGTGGCCACATTTGAGTTTGCGAGGGATACCCGTACTGTGCTCCCTGTCCCATGCCAGTAGATGCCAAAGATAGACTTGGAGATCTTCCGTGCATTTGGTCGGACCGCATGGCGCCCTGTGGTACGCCCCTCATCGGGGTCTGTGCAAGAGGGTTAGGTTGGTGCGGCGGTTGTGTATAAGAAGTGCCTGAAATCATGCTTTGGCCCGGCTGGTTTAACAGCATCGGTTGTTGCACGTTACTCGTACCCTGATGGGGCGACTGCAGTGACTGTGTCACGGATGGCAGATTGTCGCTGAGGCTTGTAGTCGGTGGAAGGCTCGGAACCAGGGGCTCGTGTGGCTGTCTCCAAATCTCCTCGATGTATTTGCCACGAAAGTTCCTCTGCTGATTAACTTGCTTGTTATACTCAGCAGCGTGGTGAGACTGCGTGAGCAGTTCTCCTGGTGGGCTTGACTGGGTTCGGTCCTGGTACGCGGGGCCTGTGATCTCCTGCCTTGGACGGGAAACGTTGCGATATTCTCCCAGCCGTAGCTCATTCTGATCTGGAGTCAATGTGATCATTGGTAGAGGCGTTCCACCGCCAGCTGGTCCCAGCATGCCGGGCTGAACAGTCTGAGGTTGAGGATGGTTGAAATGCACCGGAGCACTGCTGTAAACAACATCTCCTTGGTGACCAAGCATCGCAGTTGCGTTTGCAGTCGCCTCAGCGGCCGCTGCGTCTCTGGCCTTCGCCCCACCTGGTCTCTTCTCGCCCGCCAAATCAGCTTCTGTGAAACCTTGTTTCCGTGCTTTCGTCTCCCAATAATCATCCCGCACTCTTCGCCCATTCACGACCACTCTGCTGCCAAACTGGCGAAACATGGACTTTGCCGTGACTATCGCAATTTGACGAGATCGGTAGGAGAACGGGAGGATTTCTTGATGGATAAGGTTCTCCTTCTCCTCCTGGGTCGCAATGATCTTGTATAGGGACCGGTTCTTGTTGAATAGAAGGTACGAGTCCCTATAACCGAGGACTCGTGCGCATTCGGTCGCCAGCATAAATAATTTATCACCTCTCCCGGGCACGAAGAACGTCCTGCATTTGTACTCCCGTCCATCGTTCAGGTGTCCAGTAGGACCTACCTTTTTCTCTCCAGCATCATCGTACTCCCTTGGGATGTACTCGTCTCCCTCTGGGCCCAGCTGATCTGTAGTGTGGTCGCGTACGGTAGGTAGTGCCTTCACCACAGGCTTGGAAGGTGTGGTCTTGGGTGGAGATGCCTGGGCTGGCACCACCGAATTCAGAGGTAGCGGCAGCGCAGTTGTTTGTTGCTGCGGGGTCTGTGGCAATATATTCTGGGCAGGTTGTGACACCGTTTGTTGTGTTGGGCTCTCGGATACTCCGCCAGATGTGCGGCTTGGTGGTTTCATCGGTCGTCCTCTCTTTCTCGGCTTGCCGTCACCTATCACGATGGCATTGTCAGCATCTCCTCGCATCTCCAAATGTGTAAATAATAACGATGAGGCGCGTAAAAAGACGCAGCCGTCGCGTTCGCGCAGCATTGGGGTCATACCATTCTCATCTGCATTGTGCAACTCGTTGAAAGTCTCCGTTGGCGAACGGCTTCGTTTCGTGCCCCGCGGGCTGACATCAGACGGTAAGGATGATGATGGATTGGCGATTGCTATCATGATATTAGCTGTGCATCAGTTACGAGCGCGTAGAGGCACGATGGATCGCGCAAGCACGCGGGAAGCCCGAGACTTCGGTTCCCGGCTTGATCGCAAGTCGCGCGCGCGCAAAGCGCAGTTATCGGAATCTCGACACATACCAGAGTTGAGGAGCGCAGGATTTAATGTGCCGGTGCCTGAGCCCGCGCTGTCCTGGACTCCGGAATACATGGCGGTAGGGTCGCCGGTCGCGACTTGAGTTCGTGTGTGTGATAGCAAGCTCGCCGAGTTGATGAATGTGGCGACAGGCAGGCTGATGCAAGTCTCCGCGTCGCGGCAACGGGCGGTCGCAGTCGCAATTCACGAGGGAAGCCGTGGCGACTCCAGACACAATTGGATATTGTCCCGAAACCAAGTGTTACAACGTATTCCCGATGATGCGCAGCGACGGGAAGCTGTGGGATGGTTGGGGATGGTCGGTGATGGTTGATGTTTCCCGGTTGGCGATAGCAGTCGCGGCTAGAGGAGTAGTGGGTGATAGCTGAGGGATGCGATCACGTCCCTTTCGGAGCCTGTGGCTTTCAACTAGCGAAGCCTGCCAGAGATTACGTCGCGAACCAGAACAGTTTAGTTCAAGTGATCCCAGCTAATACAGCGAGAACAATAATGCGAAAAGGTGTTCCTCGGTCCCCATCGGTTTCTTTCTCTGTGGAATATAATAAGCTGATGGCAAAGCCTATCATTAGGGTCGAGAGAGACGCGGCTTTTTGGTGTCTTTTCAGTCGGTCTGGTCTGATCTGATCTGGTCTGTCTGATCTGTCTGGTCTGTTCGGTCTGGTATGGTATGGTGCGTGCCGTCGCCGTTACCGTTACACTCCGCGCGGTACGGTACGTATACTTGGAGAGTAATCAGTACTCAGCATACAGTAATTCTCTCAAGATCCAAGGATTCAAGGATGATAGTTCGTCAACCAGCCGACACGCGATGAGAAGTCGACGGTAAGGTAGAGAATGGGTGTGTACAGGCGGCGGTTGCTGCTGTGCTATTCTCGATTTGAGCTTCTCGAATGCGATAACTCTTAACGTCGTCTCTTTCGATGATATTCACGAGGTACTCGAGTATGTATGTAGATGTAGAAGAATGTGAGGTACTTCCAGTCGGTCAATATATCCAACCACTAGAAGGCGTTGGTGGTTTGAAGCTTTGTGTTCTGAATGGCGACCTCAGCTGAGCAAATGAGTCTCGAGCGAGAGTACTTTCTTTCCAGCTACTGTATACACTCACTGTATACTAACTGTATATACTTTATATACTCTGCAGTAAAATGAAGCAGAGTAGAGTAATATAGAGTAGAGTACATGCGACTCTTTTCGTATCGTTATTGAAATGTATCCACCAGTGGCAAGAGAGGGATTTGCTTGTCTTGTCCCAGTCGATGCACAGCGGGCGCTCACTGTCCACACTTATCTAGAGTATCCGCCGTGAATACCACAGTATGGAACTTGCGTCGGGCGGGAGCGCGTCAAGCCACGAGTCAAACTCTTTCAAAGCTCAAAAAGCTCAGGTATCCCTTGTTCCGCCACAGTTTGTCCAGTTCGTCGGCGACTCCAGCGGACCTTCTTCGTTGCGGGACCCCACAAGATCGTCTCTCCAATCGGCGTTAATCAGGAAGGTGATACTGGCTGGCTGTACATACAGAACAGTACTTTGAGAACACTGTACGCAACGTAGTACAGTTATGAGGAGTTATGTACTGCACGAGGTTGTTTTGGCAGCACTATTGTCTTATAAAGCGCCAGGGCCACACACGAGTCGCGTCCGCGTCCGCGTCGGCTTCCTTCGTCTTTAGTCTTTATTGTAATGTACTGTTCTGTACTTTTGCGCTGCAGGCGTGGGGAAAGAAGGAAAGCTGGCGGCAAGATTCAATTTACAACATTCTAGGTCAAATACTAATTATCGGGTTGGTTCAAGATGGGGTGGATTGCAAGTGGCAAGCCCCCCCCGCGATACGAGCATGGGGCGTGACAGGGGTGAGGGCGACGGCGGCCTTGTCATATTCGCCGCCACAGGAAGGGAACGAGGCGCTGGGCGATTCGGGTGTGGAGGGGAAAGCGCTTCGAGTACTGGTCTGTCTCGAGTATACAAATACTTACTTTCTTTGCTTGAGTCTATTCCCATGGGGATACATTTCATGGCGATCCAAAGAGTATTGCATTGCCCTACTCGTAGGTTGTCCTTCTTCTTCCGTCCTGCCGTTTTGCCATAGCGATCGATATAATCCATATTTCTATAGATAGTTTCTCATTGTCACATTCCAGGTTCGGGTACTTCCCGCGCATCAAGTACGTACGTATAGTGCCTCTAACGAGCAAGGTACCAAAGACAGCCCAGGCACTATATGCCGCAGTCTATCACTCAGCGCCGCGCCGCCTCTGTTCCAGTACGAGCACGGCGACAACGACCGAGATGATGACTGCGCCTGGCGAGATCAGCCTAGCCTTGCTCAAGTACTCTGTATTTTTGGGCTTTCTCGCGATAACCGGAGGCGTCGCCAACCCTCGCTTTGCCTAGACGACGCAACAACCACGATCCCAGCTTCCGACGGTGTCAGCTAGTAGGGATGTGCAATATCGAGCGGCCTAATCGAGTAACATGCATCAGACGCGTATTTCGCCGTGACCAGGCATCTCACACCTAGATATGGGCCTCAGTCTTCCGCTTTGAGACATTATTCCTTCCCCCCACCCGCTCAGATTGACTTCGCCGGAGACCCGCGGAAGACTGGCTGGTGAGACGATTTCTCAGCCTAACGGCAGTTGTGCGCCTCTACCCTGCTCTTCTAATGGCCAATATTGATCACGGAGCGCATAGTACCCCGCTGCCGCCGCTTCAGCTTGATGTGGCTTTCTCTCTGCGGGTTTGGCCCTTGGATCATCAGTAGAAGGGAGCAGGCAGCAATGCTGAGGCAGATCCGGAGAGTTTGACAGGGTGTCAAGAACCAGGCGCATCTGAATACCACAGCCTCGAGGTACTTCCCAAAGGGAAGAGTCATATCCTTGAGGACAGGCTGAGCCTCTTCATCGCATGTGATTGGCCATTCAACGTAGCAAACATTCTCTCCCCATTATTACTGTCTCAAACTGCATGTGCGAAGTGAAACAAAGTACTGTAATAGCATGTAGGATGAGGTATCCTGCTCGCTCCGGTGGTCAGCAGTATTGCCCAATAATCCGTTCCACGATTAGATATCCAACGGCCGGCCATGTGAGTGAGGCCAACCAGGCTCGGAGAGGCTCGGAGATGTATAAATCAAGTTAAGTGCGATTTCAAGTTCGAAACACCAAGAGAAGAGCGTTTGGAGTTCGTAAGGATCGGCGATACTGTTGCATGTAGAGTACCAAGTATAGATCGCGTGAGGACGTGGAGAGAAGCACAGAAGAGTCCGGTAGCTCTGGCAGTGAATCATAAGGTATCCTCTTTTGGCGTCATGCCATGTAGATGGTGTACTTGGGAAGGTCGAGAAACGCGTCGATGGAGCATCCATCCTTGAATATCCCATCAGATATCATGCAGGCAATGCCACTGGTGGATGCAAGTGCAGCGTGTGACCACCATCTGCCTCGCGCTAATTGAAAGATGGGTGGGTGATTCTCTGGATGCGAATCCCTGGTCGGCATGGAACTGAGGGTGTGCTGCGTCGGCCCGCGAACTAAGGTTGCAGCTGAACTGGAATTTCCACCCTTCGCTCTTCTCCCACAGCCTTCATCGGCCCACCTGGGCGCGTAGTCCATCCTCGTCTGGCTCCTTGTTTTTATAACTTATGCACATCATCTTGCTGATGCATGCTTGGATTGGCCTTGACCGCCCTTGATCACCCTTGAAGCCCTTGGACGCCCTTGACTCGTAAACCGGTCACAAAACGCCCCGGGAGGATGCGTAAGTAGTACACCATGAAGATATTAACACACCATTTCGCTTTCAAAAAGCGTGCACGGTCTCGAAATATACTGCACGTTGACAGTACGTGCGCCGGGAGATCATCTGGTTGTTGGAGATATCGGGCAAAGATTCATAACTGAAGTGGTGCCACATCCCGAGGACGTAGAGAGCTAAGAACGGGCGGGAGTGTGAGTGTGCACGCCACATCTATTTCGATCATCGGTTCAAACATATCGTATAGGAATGCCTCCCACACTAAGATCCGTGAACTCCATCCTTGGCTCCCAGGCCGCGATACTTGGATTATTGTCCTGATTCGTAGCAACGACGTCACTGGAAGCCTGTAGCCTTAACAGCATATATCTATTGATTGTTCGAAATAATCACGGTGGGTGTTGGCTCGTAGGTATGACTTTGGGTGATAACATGCCTATAAGCCTGTCAGGGAGTGTCTGTTGGTCAGAGAGTGTAAGTACTGGAATAAATGGAACGGAGTCCATAGACTTCATACCTACAAACGCTTCCAGCACCAATATGAAGAGTATACGTGTTAAGTTGAGCTTTATGTCCCGCCGTTCCGCCGATGTCGTACAGTACAGTTGTGGTTGGATGTAGTGTAAGGGAGAGTGTATTTGTTTTTTGGGGTAAATAAATTATATTGATATTTATTGCCAAATTAAATATATTATTCCCAATATGGGCTTATTCTGAGATAAGAAACATTTCTCAAAAATGTAGAGAGAGTGGTATACATAATGATACCAATTCCCCAATAATCCATATAATAATAACCTTCCACAGAAATAATGATAATATCATAAAACCAAATGGCGTTTGTACGAGTGATGTTGACAGGAACTTAGTTCGAGATGTGGAGCGATGATGGACGGGCGGTTCGATAGAGTACCCCACATCCACGCTTATCTTATCGGGATGCGCTAGCATCACAGATCTAAATTTCAACCTCACATCGCTACTGACGGCGATTGTGTATACGCGACAATATTATCGCCAACATGACTAGTCTCAAGAGGTCGTTGGTGTCGGATCCATATGGCTCAAATATCTCAAGCAAGGTCTTTGTGAGATCAACAAAGAGCGGAAAGGTCCAGAAGATTGTCCGCGAATTATACTTGCGACAAGATATCCCCTGCTCGTCGAAATTATGTACGGGCTGCTTAGCAACTGCTCCCAGAGATGCCGGCGGCAATGGTATGTTGCGAAAATTTCTTTATGGTAAATGGATTCAATTAACATACCTGTGCAGCTGCGCCATTCGTTCTTTCCGAGAAGCCGGCAGGCACAAAAGCATTCCCCCAGGGGCATTACTTGGTCCCTGATACAAACGCCCTCCTCAACGCTACCGACTTGTTCGAGCAGACATCGGCATTTTACGACGTCATTATTCTCCAAACCGTCCTGGAGGAATTGAAGAACCGATCCCTACCACTCTACAACCGACTCATTGGTCTGACAAACAGCGAAGACAAGCGATTCTACGTCTTCTTCAACGATTTTAGACTGGAAACATACATCACCAGAGGAGTGGGCGAGACAATCAATGACCGAAATGACAGATCCGTACGGAAGGCGGTGCAATGGTACGGCGAACATCTGACCAAGGCTGTCAATGAGGCAGGAGGAAAGCCGAAGCAGGTGCCAGCTGTGGTTATGCTGAGCGACGACAAGGAAAATTTACGGTTGGCCAAGGCCGAGGGCTTACACGCTGTTTCGTTGAAGGAGTATGTTGGGTCTCTGGAGGACGCCGATAGGCTCTTGGACATGATCAGTGCCTCCCAAGAAAGCCGAGAGGCGAGGGATGCGAAGATTGCTGTGAACATTTATCCAGAGTATTACACAGTTTCGAAGATGATGACCGGGGTAAAGGACGGAACACTACACCAAGGTGTCTTCAACATATCGCCTTACAACTACCTTGAAGGCTCGATAAAGGTTCCTTCATTCGACAAACCATTGCTCGTTCTCGGGCGCGATAGCATCAACAGAGGTGTGCACGGTGACGTTGTGGTCGTGGAAGTTCTTCCCAAGGACCAGTGGAAAGAGCCATCATCCAAGATCATTGAAGAGGAAATACTGAACAAGAACGAAAACGCCGATGCCGACGATGGCGAGGCCCTGGTCACACCGCAAGAAAGGCGTGCCCTTCAAGAAGAGGTGAAGAAGACGCACAGCAAGAGCACAGAAGGCCGTCCACAACCGACCGCAAGAGTGGTAGGAGTGCTAAAGAGGAACTGGAGACAGTACGTTGGTCATGTCGACGAATCGTCGGTCAGTGATTCCGTGAAGCAAAGCCGGAAACAGCAGACCGTCTTTCTCATTCCTATGGACAAGAAGATTCCTAAAATTAGAGTTCGCACTCGCCAAGCGGGAGAACTTCTTGGGAAGCGCATCCTGGTAACGATAGACTCTTGGGACAGAGAGTCACGTTATCCAGTAGGCCATTTCGTGAGGTCTCTTGGCGAGCTGGAAACAAAGGGTGCAGAAACCGAGGCTCTTCTACTGGAATATGATATCCAATATCGACCTTTCCCAAAGACTGTTCTCGACTGCTTGCCAAAGGAAGGGAGTGACTGGATTGTACCCCCTAGCGCAGAAGACCCTGGCTGGAAGGGTAGAAAGGACCTGAGAGGTTTACTGATTTGCAGTATCGATCCGGTTGGATGTCAGGATATTGATGATGCTCTCCACGCCAGACCTTTGCCAAATGGAAATTTCGAAGTCGGTGTTCATATTGCGGATGTTTCAAACTTCGTAAAGCCAAACAATGCGATGGACAAGGAGGCTAGCATCAGAGGTACTACTGTCTACCTGGTGGATAAGCGCATTGATATGTTGCCAATGCTTTTGGGTACCAACCTCTGCTCTTTGATGCCATACGTTGAACGCTACGCATTTTCAGCGATATGGGAGATAACCCCAGATGCCGACATTGTCAAGTCAAGCTTTACTAAGTCGGTTATCAAATCTAGAGAGGCTTTCAGTTACGAGCAGGCACAGATCCGCATTGATGATGCGTCACAACAAGATGATCTAACAAAAGGTATGAGGACACTCCTCATGCTTTCGAAGAAGCTCAAGCAGAAGAGAATGGATGCCGGTGCTCTGAGTTTGTCGTCACCAGAAGTCAAGGTCCAGATGGAATCGGAGACCTCTGACCCTATCGATGTCCAGACAAAGCAACAATTAGACACAAACTCCCTGGTCGAAGAATTCATGTTACTCGCCAACATCAGTGTCGCCACCAAGATCCACGAGGCATACCCACAAACAGCGCTGCTACGTCGCCACGCTGCACCCCCAAAGTCAAATTTCGAGGAGCTTGCCAACCAGCTAAAGGTCAAGCGTGGCCTTGAGCTCAAGCATGAATCGTCTCGAGCTCTCGCAGACTCACTAGATCTCTGCGTGGATCCTAATGAGAAATTCTTCAACACCCTGGTCCGCATTATGGCTACTCGGTAAGTTACCCTACTTCACTCGATGAAGACAGTTTTCTAACCAAAACCAGATGCATGATGAGCGCCGAGTACTATGTAGCCGGTAACTTCGCATACCCCGAATTCCGCCATTACGGTCTCGCTTCGGAGATCTACACGCATTTCACCTCCCCTATCCGTCGTTACGCCGATCTAGTCGCCCACCGCATGCTCGCCGCAGCAATCGATTATGAGCAGCTAGACGCCAGCATGCGTAGCAAGGGCAAGCTAGACGGAATCTGCAAGAACATCAACGTGCGTCACCGCAACGCGCAGCAGGCTGGCCGAGCGTCGATTGAGTACTACGTCGGACAGGCTCTCAAGGGCCGCATCATCGAGGAGGAGGGTTTCGTGATGAAGGTCTTCTCCAACGGCTTCGTGGTGTTCGTACCACGCTTTGGGATTGAGAGTTTGATTCGTCTGCGGGACCTGGCGGATCCAGAGCCGGATGCGGCGTTTGATGCCGAGAACTACGTGTTGAAGACTAGTGGGAGTAGAGAGGTTCAGGTGGAGCTGTTTCAGAAGGTGGTTGTGAGGATTAGCGATGTTATGGAGGAGAGTACGAATAAGAGGAAGGTGAAGTTGGAGCTGGTTAGTGTTGGTGGAAAATAGATAGACCTTGTCATGTAGGTTGGGAATATTCATGCATATTATTGTATCACAACACAAAGTTGACAGTCTGGTTGCATACGTGATACCCCTTAAGCAAACTTGTTTGGCGGCGATAAAATGAATCACTGACATGCGTTCGAGAAATTTATAGATCCCATTCAAATAAATATACTATGGATCAACAAAAGCATGTGCTTGCCCAATATATATATACTTGAAAAGGCCATATTTTGCGTTGCTCCACCCACGATGCTTAACTGAAAGTAAACGTTGCTCTTAAACTGCCCCGAGAACCGACACCCAAACCCCTTTTCTCTTGATTAGTGCCTGAATGTCCCTCGATATAATATACTTGAAAACTCCATTATGACTAAATGAAAACGAAATGCGAACTGATAGTTGAGCGCGCCGCAGTTTGGAAAGATCGACCCCCATCCAGCGAGTTGCAATGCAATATAGCAGCCATCTAGCGAGAGAAGAATATCCCCACTATCTCAGGGAATCATGGTAAGCTTCCTTGGCCTTCATGCCACCCCAATTCGCCTTTGACACCGCAAACAGATCTATCACCACCCCAGTCTGTTCGATAGAAGTGTTCTCGAATTCCTCTGTGGTCAGACCCATCATACAACCAAAGTGAAACCTTCGCAGTCCATCTCCAGGTTGAGTTATCAGATACACCTTGTCAATCATCTGAAACTGGACGATACTGTTTCTGTGCCAATCATAGAGCTTGTCGATGACAGCATTGCACAAGCCAGGAAGCTCGTAGTTCACTGCTGCGACATAGAGGTCGAGGTAATAACACTCCAGATCGTAAGGTGCGAAATATGGTCTCGTCATCACCTTTCTCTTGTCGATCCAGTGCAACATAGCTTCGAATAGTTTCGGTTGCTCGACGATGTCGTACACAAGGCCATTGGCATTCTTGACGCGTCTGCCGGTGCCCTTAAACTGTTCATAGAACTCAGGTGCGTTTTCACCCAGCTTGTGTTCGCTGAAGTTGAAAGTTTCCATGTCTTCTGGCTTGCCATCACCGACGTAGAAGGTAAGCAATCGGTCACTGTTCGTGGTTAGCATGTCATTGTTAAATTAGAATGTGAACTTACAGTGGTTCGGTCGCCTTCCGCTTTAAAGGACCATTTGAGGCTGGCGTCGGCGGCGGGGTTCGAGACAAGGTTTCTTGATTAGTTACAGAAGCAGGCTGAGTAGTTGCATGAGAATGTAAATTAGATCTCTCAGTAGACCTGGTGGCATGGTTGTTTTTCATTCCGCTAGCCTCCGGTGAAATGGCCGGAGTTCGCTCTCGAGGCATGTGAGTCTCCGAATTCACAGGATGGTGAGCCGATGGTGGTGGTGTTTCCGGAATCTCCAACGAGCGCTGTCTCGGGTTGGACTGTTGACGAAACATTGATACGGAATGTTTTGGGGTTGTTTGCTCTATCGAACCTGTATCAATGCCCAATCCCACAGTAGATTTAGGTCCCGTCTTCATCAAAGCTGGATCTGGTGAAGCAGATTGCTTCTGAACTGAAGCTGGCGCCTGGCTCTGCATGATACTGGGTTTTGGAACCTCTGGGGAATTTATTTTAGATCCGATGCTAATGGAAGCAAAAGACTCTAAAGGAATCGGTTCTGAAGCAGCGCGCTTTGAGGCAACGAGTTCTAGAGCAGCGGGCTCAGGCTCTGAAGCTGTTGGCCTAGTAGTAACGGGTTCTGAAGCACTTCTTTCTACGGTAGTAGGCTCTGGAATAGTGAACTCCGGAGTAACAGGCTGTAGAGCACCGGACTCTGAAACTGTAGGCTTTGAAACAACGGGCTCGGAAGTCACCAGCTCTAGAGTTGCGGACTCGAAGGTAGTAGACTCCGAGGCAATGGGCTCAGAAGCGGCGGGATCTGAAGCTGCGGGTTCTGAAGAAACGAGCTTCGAAACAGAAAGACGTGAAGTGGCAGTCTCTGAAACAACGGGCTCTAAAGTTGCTGGTTCAGAAGCAGCAAGGTCTGATTCTGCAGGCTCTGAAGCCGCGGGGTCGGAAACTACGGGCTCGGAAACCGTGGGCTTGGAAACTGCGAGCTCTGAAGTAGCAGTCTGTGGAGTGACAGGCTTTAGAGTAATAAGTTGCGAAGTAACAGGCCCTGAAATGGTAGGCTCCGAAGGAGCAAGCTCTGCAATGGGAAGCTCCGAAGTCACGGATTCTGAAGCAGCGGGCTTGAAAGCAACGGGCTCTGAAGCATAAACTTCCGAACGGTTCGCTCCTGGAGAAGGCTCTGGAGTTGCAGAGTTTAATGTCGTGATCTCTGAATAGGTAGAAGGTAACGTGGCATACTCAGAAGGGGTTTCTTCCAAAGGAGTTTCTGGCGGCGTCACCGAATGAGAAGCAGTTCTGTTCTCTTGACTTTGATTCATGGAATCGTTAGTGTTGTCGGGCTGAACTTCATTTCTGAGACCATCGGTGTTGTTGAGTTGGGGGCTATCTTCCTTCTTCTCCCGAAGAGCGTCTGAATTCTTTTCCGGCTCACTTGGAGTTTGCTGCACATGCTTGGCCGGAATGGTCACTGTAGCGTTAATGGATGCCAAAGGAATGCCCGCACGCAGTGCATCAGCAGTCGTCCATTTGATCTTGGAAAGCCACTCGTTGTAGTTAGGGTGGTCACTCCTGGCCTGATAGTTCTCGATGGTCCATTCTCCAACAGGCAAGCTGAGATCTCCACCGTGTAGAAGGATCTTCGTAGTACGATGTGCGCCAGCGAGCACAGTCATAACAGTTCCATCCGGTGCCAGTGCCGGCGCGCCTCTTCCTTTGTGCCTGGATTTGAGATACCCACCCTTTAGGAATACATTTTCGTTGAATCTCCAGATATTGGCGCCGGTGATGGTCCTTTCGCTCTTGTTGACGAGAATCTTCATGATGGCGTCGTCTGTAAGATTACATTCCTTAAGATCGACTCGCTTGATGGCTTCGCGGGCAAGAAGGGTATTTGGAACTGTATCCCATAGTTCTCCCTTCAGTGACTGTGGCGGTGGTGGTGGCGATTCGGATGCTCCCTTCTGCGATTGTGGCGGTGGTGATTCGGATGCCATCTTCAAGGTTTGAGGCTCTGATGATGTGGTGAGCTGATATAAGTTGACAAAATAGATAGTATGTCAAGTGAAGATCGAGGTTTGTTAAAGGTGCAAGGCGGCGAGGAGCATGGGGAGGTTTGCTGAAAAGGTAGCCAGAAGTGATGTGAAAGTAAAAGATCGAGACAAGATCGAGGCCCGCCGAAAATGTAAATGTGAGGAGGATGAATCGAGAGTGTTATTGAAAAGGTAGCCTGAAGATCTTAGGAAGCAAGAAGTGAGAGGTAAGATCGAGGCGTGTCAAGAGTATGAAGGTGACAAGAGTGAGTTTAGCAGATTGTTGAAAAGGTAAGAAGGTAGTCTGAAGTGCCCAGGACGCAAAAGCACTGTCGAATTATATAGACTTCGGCTGCGGGGAAAGAAATATATAGAATAGCACGAATGCTATAGAACCTCGAGGGAATAAGAAGTGGTTTCAGCCGCTGAACCAACCTTAAATTAACCATACTACCCAAAGAGTATACCAATACCCAACTTCTATCAACCCCAACCGAAAACGCCATACCGATATCAATAACAAATGCCGCCCTTCAACCCCCCCAATTGCATGCAACCCCTTGGCCCCCCCCCACCACTTTAAAATCACCACCTCTCCCTCCCCCCCCTTTGCCTCCCCCCCGAAGCCTGATTCTGCACCTCCTCCCACCTCCCATACTCCCTCACCCAAATCCTCTGCACCTCCCCCACCCACCCGAGCACATCACTCGCCGTCCTCTCCACGCCCCTCTGATAAACCATCATCCCCCCCACGACAATCGCGCCATAAAACACCAACCCAAAGATAAGCCGCGCCCCAAACGCAACCATCCTTTGCATAAACCCCATCACCCGCATCGAGATGTACAGCGTCACCAGCAACACGCCCAGGGACACGATGGCGGGGGAGTCGTGCGCGGCGTTGGTGAGTTGGAGGAGGAGAGGGCGGAGGAGGGGGAGGAGGAGGGTGCGTGCCCAGTTTAGGAAGCGGAGGGTTGGGTAGAGGATAGGTGAGAGGAGGGAGTAGAGGGTTGTGAGGACGGCGTGGTAGTCTGGGGGTTCTGTTAGCTCGGGGTTTGCGAGGTGGGAGATGGGGCGGGAGGGGAGGGTAAGGACCTTCGAGGGCGTCCATTTCGACGCGGGTTGCGCGCACGCGCGTAAAACTGGCAAGAAGCTCCGGTGCGCCTGGCGCTGTAGGTACAAGTACAGCGCGAACCCGTGTAAATGGGCTTAGTAGAAGGGTTTCGATGAGCTTGCCGCGCGGTTCCTTCCGCCCTTCAAGTCTGTTTTTATGGTGTATTGTTTTGCTTTGTGGGTTTTGACCGGAGACTCAGTCTTAGAAATGGGTTCGTGTCGTCAAGTCGGACGCAGCCTTGGTCAAGAAACCCACAGCCTCGTGCCGTGGTGGAGAGGTTTAGCGCCAACCCACGTGATTTTTCAGCCGTGCAGGGTTGCGTTTATGGTTCATGGTAGACTTCATCAAGGTTTGTAAAATTGTGATCATTCATAAAATAAAGTCTTACGTTAAGGTAGAACATGCCTATATTTAGAGAGAGGGCTATAAATATATACTCTCTTTAATGAGTGGAAGATGGGTTTGCTCCCTAATTCCCGAAAAATCTATGTACAAAAGTAAGAAGGATGGTGAAGTGAGTCGGTTGGGTGTAGCCCTGTCTTTCTGGGTGACATTTCCGCTGCGCCTGTCGCGGGGAGATTTCCTTGAATCGTGTATTGCTGTAACCTACGCTAACACATGGCTCAAGGGAGGCTCTTCGCGGACAGGCGTAGCGAAGACGTCACTCAGAAGTACAGGGCTACACCAGTCGATGGAAACCGTGAAAATCGTGGCTCAATGGCCAAAAACGGGCCATGATATTGTGCTCCCCAAGTGGTATCAATCCCGTATATGTGCGCCAATAAAATCCCAATGCGAAATCCCAATAATAACGATTCTAACCTGCAGAATCCCGCATCAGATCGGGTTTTCCATTTGTCTGCTTGCGGCCCTTCCATATGCTGGCCTGGCCAAAGTAGGGAGCGGTTCATTGCTGCCAGGAGACCCGTTGAATATCGAACTCGGCGGGCTGACGCGGTCAGCTTGGAACGACTTCTTGGAGTCGTCTCGGTAATGCCGTGGGAAATCTGTGGACTGTCTTTCTGGAATTGATGCGGTAAAACTGCTCTTCCTGCTCTGGTTCCGCACGTGCTTTGCCAGTCTCGTGCTTTGTCGTCGTACAGGCGGGACGAATGGATCCGCGCCTAGTATTGCGCCGTCTGTAAGCCCGCTTCTCGAATTCGGTGCTCGAGCAACCATTGGCGGCGGCGACAAGGCCGTCTCGCCACTGTTCCTCGTGCCAAACGGACTTGGTTCAGCGCTCCATGTCCATCCTGGGGGATGTGATACGATCACAACAGAAGAGGATTGGCGTTTGTGAGATTTTATAGGGCTCCGGCCTGGGGCCTCGGTGTAGGTTTCTTTCCGTCCACGCCACCTCTCGATCTCTTCGTCGTCAACCGGCGAGATTCCCCTCCTTTGCCTGTGATATTTCGGATTACGTTTCCACTTAATAATGAAAACTGTGGCCGACACTACCATAAAAAGCGCGAGTGAGCCGAAGACGGCGGAAAGGACGATGACAAGATTGCGGCTATTTTCATTCGGTTCATTGAACAGCGTCGTGTTTCTTGGGAATTTGGAAACCATTGGTAGGGGGATTGAAGATCCGTTGGCTTCAATCCCTTATGTGGTATTTTATCTGGCCGGCAGAGGTGTTGGGAGAGTCCGTCGAAGGACAATGAGAACTTTTTCACGTCGAGTAAATAGTCGAAAGAGTTCCCTCAAGGTAACTGATCGAAAGTTCGGTGGTCGTTGCCAATTCGGATAATGTCAAAGACGCAAGTAGCAGCTATGAATCTCAATGATCTTTGGCCTGCAGCTCTGCATCGTTGTCGGTATTCGAAGAGTCGACTTAAACGGGTAACGGCAACCAAAAAGTATAGATGCCGAATCCAATTTCACAATCTACCACCTCAGTCCGTAATCTTGCTAGCTCTTAATAGTATCCTTATAGCTGTGGTCCGACAAGCATGGCGAGAGAGAAGGTCCTGCTCCTAAAAAAATCCTGTCTGGCAAAGATTCAAGTATCGGAGTATATAGAAAGGTAATAGCGAGCTGGTTCTGAAAACGATTGTAAACGGCGTAGAGCCAATGGTCCTCTACGTTCAGAACAAGTAACTCAGCGGCGACGTCGAGGCGTGCAGAAGCAGCGGTAAAGGAGGAACGGGAGGGACGGGAATATAAAGTTGCCCAAGCACCACACAGAGCTTCTCCTCTTTGCTTCCAATGCTGGTCGCCAGGGCGGGCCGTCGTTAATCGCTGCCGCATGGGGACCTTGGCCAATAACCAAAGTCGTGCGGGCGCAGGGGAGGGGTGATGAGGAAATACAGCCAAGGAATGGTTGAGACTTACTTTTAGCAGCACTCTAACTTGAGAGCTGGTAAAGATTGCAACGCTCTGGGAGAGGAGAGAGGGGAACACTACTCCGCAGGGAAGACAGGTTGAGGCACACACGGTGTGGAGAGAGAAGTCCTGGGAGTGGAGCGGCGGAAGTTGAGATGTGACAGCGTGACAGGTTCGTTTTCCACGTTGCGGAGCTAGCTGGCGGCTTTGCAATACTATGGTACGGCAGACAGGGTCGAAAATAATAACACCCCTGATCTCGTGCAGTAGTACGCACTTTGCATCTAACCTCGTGGGACCTCGTGCAGAGTGGAGTTTGTCATCGTGGGAGGCGTGTAAGGGTCGCGATTGGAGTGGACTGGACAGTTGGTGTGGTGGTGTTGTCGCACTGTCTCTCAATGTTCCAAGCTAAAGCAAGGTTTTTGAGCTCTCGGACCCGTTAACACACAGTAGTATGACTGGTAGTATACTCAGTTTCGCCATTTTGTGCAAAGAAAAAAGAACTTATCCAACCCGCCCCCATGCTACCAGCCCGTCCAACCCCAGTTATACCAGCTAGACCAGTCGCTCAGTCAGACAGTTATGAAGAGCGAGTGCGTTTTGTCGGTCAAGCTTCCCACGAATCAGTGGAGAACTCAAGTGCACGAATCAGGGGTTTGCCGTATATCGACCCCTCTTCGAATATCGAACTGGTCGAGTGCATGGTCTCAGGTACGGCTTTTCCATTCGGGCTCCCGCGAGACCTATCTATACCGCCCACGTTTGGCCGGATTCGATCATCGCTGCCTCCGTCGCTCCTGCCGTCCAGGCCCAACCTGAGTCGAGGTATGCGCTGGCACCTGTTCCTTCGCCGGGTCAGCAAACTGTCCGGGCAATAAGCAAACAAATGCAGCCTCAGCAGACGGAGCCACGCATCAGCGCCCCTTGTCGTGCAGGAATTGAAGGATTGTGGAAGGCTCCAAAAAAACGGTTTCACGAAACATTAGAGGTCAATCCATACCTGTAGAACACATCAAAACTGTACAACGGTGTCCTGTCCTCTGCAAGGGCCCCGACAAGACAAGGGAGGGGCAGGGAGTGGTTTGAGCATCCACCATCCACCATCCACAATCCACCATTCAATTCTCGTGGAGTTCGTGGAGTGGTCGACCGACGGGTTACCTTTCCGAATAGTACAGTAAGAGGGTCTGTGTACCCCACCAACCAGCCTCCTCCCATGCAAGCACTCGAAACAATACCAGGCTAGGGACCGCACCATCACCGTTACAGCAACAAGGTCCGTAATACCCTCTCCCCCACCCCCACCACCATCACCTAACCCAGACGTCTTCTCCGGCCGACCAGCCCATGCGGGTAAGGAAGGAAATAAATATCACGAACGAGGGTATGGATTATCACAAACAGGTGTGTGCGCGCGTGTGTGTGTGTGTGTGTGTGATGACCGAGGGTGATGATGGACAACACGGGAACACTGGCGCCCACGAACACGGTGTGGGATAAGCGGCGCGGGAACACTGGCGGGAACGGATAAGAGGTGTGATGAGCGGAGGCGGGGAGACAAGACTGGACGGCGCTCGCTCGCTGGTAACACCATAAATCCAGGCAGGCTGTGCGCAGGTTTGCCCGTCTCGATCTACACTCACTCACCAGTTGATCCAACGAGGTAAAATTCCATGTCGACCACTGTCTCTCAAATAAGGAGAGGCAGACAAGTCTCCCAAAACCCCCCCACAAGACCCCGCGCGAAACCTCAGGTACGAGGGACCGATGATCCCTCCTTGCTCCACCTCCTCTCCCTTCAGCAAATTATTACGGGACCCCCCTCTCGCAATTGCCGCGAGATTTCGATAGACCGGTACTCGAGATAAAGGGAAGGGAGAGAGACGATAATGAGTAAGTTGCCGTGTCTATGCGGAAGCAGACATACGTTTCTGAGTCAAATTCGTGGTGTTGAATAATTGTCATACATACATACATAACATACCCCGATTTCTGAGACATTGTGTGTTGGCGAAGTTGGTGAAAAGTTGGCAGCTAGACCATCATGGCCGCGTCGTATTCAGACATGGCGTTATCGTCGATGGGTTCAGTGTATGAGGGCATCCCTCCCCTGTTGATCGATAAAATGCCCTCACTACTTTATCCGCAACCCAATTTGAAGCTACCTAGTCTAGTCTTGATAGATACCATGAGTGAGACCTGTGATAAAAGTGATAATATTGATTCACAAGTATGTATTGCTATCTCCTCTTCCCAAAAACGCTGTAAATCACCTCGGTCGAAGCTGGTAACGCAACGCACTATCCAAAACCCCCCTCTCCATAGTCGGTCACACTCCTTGTTATACTAACATCCAACAATCAGGCAACCACCCTCGCCCCCGCGAGGATATCCCAGTTCCCGCCACAGTAACAACGTCTCTGCTGCATGATCAGGAACTGCACCGGCGGCGTCAGGCTGTGGATATCCTCCATAGCCGCTGCACACCTTACGCATCTCCTCCACCGCCTCCCCGGGCGAGATCCCCTTGCATCTATTCCCTGAGCCTCCTCTGGTTCCATCCCCAGCTGTATCGGCACGCGAGAGAAGATGTCTATCGTGTGGTTTACCCTGTACTGTGCGCTACTCGTCGTCGCACTACCCTCCGCAGCCCCTTTGCCCGCAGATGCATTCGACTCCGGCAATCCCAAGATACCAAAGTCATGAAAGAACAACCTCGAAGGATCAATCTCCGCCCGCAACTTCGGGAGCTCCTCACTGAAAATGCGAGATATAGCCGGAGCCATAACCTCTGGCAGCGGCGCCCCAAATAGTATCCCTTGCTCGACGTTGTTTCTCTTGGAGTCACCCGGGGCGCCCTGTGCCTGCTGCTGGGACGGGAATTTCGCCGCGGTGTAGGCTTCCTTGACGACATCGGCGATGCGGGCGACGAAGGCTTCGAAGCGGCTGATTGGCACGATTGATGAGGCGGTTAGTGTCGCGATGGCGGTATATGAGGAGCGGAGGGAGTTGGAGATTAGCGGCGCGGACTGGCCGGGAGGAGCGGAGACGCTCTGCGCTGCTGACATGGCTTTGCGTGCGGTATAATCCAGGTGGGCGAGCCGGCGGCAGATTCCTGTGAGGAACCCTCTAGTTGCTGATGAGAGGAGGACGTGTAAGGCGATGTTGTTAGTTGCGAGTAGATGGGCACTGAGAAGTGGTATTGACCCGTCTTCGCCCTTGGTTACTGACTCGAAGACCTCTGGGTCCTCGGGGTGCAGAAGGCAGTCTATAAGCCAGGACATGAGGTCTAGGCACCACCGTACTGAGCCCGCGAGTAGACGTATGACCTCTGGAACCGTAAATCAGTAACTGAACATCATCATTGATATAACGAACTTACCGGAATCCTCTAGCCCCAATACCTTCTTCTGTTGATCGGGGATAGGTACTCTTATATTCATAGCCATTGTAATCAGAACCACACAATTTCGGAGTTGAAGGCTAATCCAAGCAATCTTCGACTCAAATGTCCGCTTGTGAGCATCGCCGTTGTATCCTAGAGCATTCTGTATACTGAGAGAAATCTGGATGGAGGGGTTTCGAATCAGCGAATCATGGTGTGATTCTTCAGAGTAGTCGACGTTAAATTTGAGGGTTTTGGAAACCTCTGAAACCAAGTCGAATGCAAAGGCTGTAAACAAGTCTTAGCATTGTGAGCCTGACGTGAGTTTGGTACACTTACATGACAAATGCTTGAATTTGCTAGCTGCCGCCATCAGATCATCATGGTTGCTAGAGTTCATTATCGCTGTCGAGCAAGCCATACTGAACCCTGCGATGACTGCTGCATATTGTGCTTTCACAATGTTAGCTTATAAACCAGGAAGTGTAAGGGGGCTCTTACTATCTTCAAGGGAAGTGCCAATTTCACCCATGTTGTAAACCAGCGGATTCCATTTAATCTTTCCATCACAGCCTTTCTGGACCACCGACAGATGAGTGGGAGACAGTGCTCCAACCAAACCTCCAGATATTGTTAGCAAGTGAAAGATTTGAGAAAGGCTTTGAGGCTCACTGGGTTCATATCCATTATAGGTAAATCCTATTTGCGAAATATGAGAAAACTTGTCCAACCCTCCCAGTGTAAACAGTTCTGCCAAAGATGTTCGGTCACGATATTCAACCGACCCGTCGCTGTAACCAAAGCAAATGATTCGTTCAAAGTAAATTGCTTCAATCCAGATCACTACCTTATTGGATGTGAACCCTTCTTGCTTCTTTAGGCTTGGCGAAGGCTATAATATATGTCAACAGTGGGTCGACAATATAGATGGGGAATGCTCACCCCTGGCTTTGATCCAACACTATTCCGACGTGCACTTAGCTGTTCAAAGGCGGGATGAACGCTTGGAGAAGCCTCGGATAGCTCCCATCTGTTTATGAGGCTGTGGGTATCTTGATTATATTGAGACATCGAGTTTGGTAAATGAGATCTGATGGTAATAACTGTTGGTGATGTGGGGCGGCCACCAGGTCCATCAGGGGATGGCGATAAAATAGACAAATGGGACAAAGCCGCCATAGATGGAGAAAGATGGAATGGATCCGAGGCATCGGTAGCACTTCCGTCCATCCAGTTGGTGTCAGATAAGAGCCGAATAATAATAGTTGGCGTTACAGTGTTCAAAGCTGGATTGACAGGCCGATCGGGAGGGTTGGCGGTAGGACTGCCCCATTTTATAGCTATTCTGGCTATGCTCAGCTTCTTTGCCGTTGTTGCAAATGCCAGAAGCAGGGTATTATCTAGTAGCCGAGTTAGTTCTGTTGCAAGTCTCGCAATTTCGGAGATACCTACTTTTATCTGCGCATATTGAAGCATGCGTGATGAGGTCGTCCGAGGAAGAGATACTCTCAATATCTGAAGATAACTCATGCCATTTTCCGTCCGCTTGAGGCCACAGGAGCGACAAAGAGCCACCTGTACTCACGGTGATTAGGGCGGACTTGTGGGCGTTTGGAAAGCAAGGCCCAAAGGCTATGGCTTGAGATATCTCGTACCTATAGTCTGTCGACGTCTTGACAGCTACGCTTTGAATGCCGGGCTAAGACTAATTTAGAGAAGTTCCTCTATCACGTAATGCAAACTTACTTGTCGCACATTTGATGGCGATAGATTTAGCCAGTACGCACCAACGACGGCACGAAGGTCCTCAATAGGACCTACGTTGCTGTTCCGAGTGAACGTGGGCTTGTTCAAGGACTGAGCAAGATTCAATATCGCAATACGACCAGCAGAATCTATGGCCGCCAAGTCAGCTCCATTGGGACTCCAACATAGATGCTTCAACTGGCCGCCATCAGCGATTGGGGCGATCTGAGGGATAATGGTAGGGTCACTCAAGTCCCACGAGCCATCTTTGGGATGAATCCGCAGATTACGGAATTCTAAGCCCAGCCCGTTTGAAGTGATGGAAGCAATAGATCCCCAGCGCGACCACGCAATGCTCCTTTTCTCTATCGTCAGCTTGTGTTTTCTCAGTCTCCGTCCTGGGGGGGGAGGGGGTCAGGACGCACTGGCAACATCCGCTTCCGCGAAGCTCGTCGACCCGTTGGAAGAGCTCCTTCGGCGGTGGCCGGGAAGGTGGTAAGAGACCACCGGCCCCATCTCCAAAGAGGTCATCGATGTCGACCTCCATATCATCGTCCATCATGAGCGGCATCACTCTTCCACTTCCCACGTGCGAATAGCGTAGCCCACCACCATGCGGCTGCCAATTACGGCAAGCGAATAATTTTCCGGGCTGTGATTGGTTGTAGGGTAACTATATTATAAAATGGGTTCAAGAGTGGTGATTCATGCGACTATAATGGATTATAGAGCCTATTAGCTGTTAATGGGCTATAGTATATATGCGTTATATGCGTTTATATTGGAAGGAACGGACTCTGGAAGTTCCGTTCAGTAGTATGTCCATCCACTTCGGACAAAACTTGCTTGCCGTTGGCTGTTTGGCTGTTTGGTGGTGTGGTGCTTTCCCACAGGCTGCAGGGATGCCGCACAATGGGGTTAGTCCGGGTCTCTCCTAGTGGAACATCCACCCACCCATTGACACGGCAACCAGCGGATCCCTCGAATAAATGATCGTAAAATGACGCTGGGAGAGAGATCTATAAAAACCTAAAATAAAGAAGCCATAATATTGTAGGGCTAGCTGTGGTTTTATTTATTTTCCGGCGTATACAATATTATAAAGAGGCTGATAAAGCGTATAGGAGTACAAAATAGTAGTGATATCACATGTGCGATGTCACTTTTGCGCCGGGAATGTCGAGAGAGTAGTTTGGACCATTCTTACCAGAACCGCCATTTATGACTCTCGGTTAAGAAACTAGCCCATTCACTCTCCCCCCAGTACACCCAGCCAAGAAGCAATGGCCACCAAAACAAACAGCCCGCCCTAAGGCTAAGAAAGAGCCTCTCCAACGACCTAACAACGTACCTTCCTTCATACATCGTCATCCACCGCTCCTATTTCGACAACCACCACCGACACGACAACCAAACGCCAACAGGAGGAATCAACGACACAGACAGCTCGAAAATGAGACAGTAATTCCGCAGCAGGAGCACCCCATCTCGAATATCCTAAAGTTACAGCCGTTAAAATGGACGACATGCCGGGCATGTCGCCGCCTCCGTCTCCACTGGAGTCCCTGGTTTCGTCCCCTCTGTCTATGCGATCCAGGTCACCAACACCGCCATACGAATACCCGTCTCCCAGGTCTTCTCAGCCGTCAGGGAGTAGGTCATCTTCTACAGCGCGCGACATGCAAGATGAGGCGGAGGGCCCGCCGCCAGCCAAGAAGCGCAAGCTTGCTCAACCCAAGGAGCGGACGACGGAGTACTTAGATCTGCACACCCTCGACGAGAGCACCGATCCGGAGAAATTGGCCAATGACGATCTGCAGCTTCAGCGTCTCCTCAAAGTCCTACGGACGAAGCGGAAGATTGTTGTAATTGCAGGAGCTGGAATTTCCGTTTCGGCAGGCAGTAAGGAAATTGCCCATCCTTTTTATCTTGCCATAAAACTAACCATGCTCTAGTTCCCGACTTCCGCTCTTCAACTGGACTCTTCACCACACTTCGCAGCAAATATGATTTAAAGTCTTCTGGAAAAGACCTCTTTGACGCGGCCGTATACAAGAACGACTCCTCAACAGCCTCCTTTCATGACATGGTTCGCGAGATGTCGCACATGACTCGGCAAGCAAACCCAACAATGTTCCACCATATGATCGCGACAATTGCGGAAGAGGGCCGTCTAATGCGCCTCTACACGCAAAACGTAGATGGGATCGACACATCCCTAGAGCCGCTCCGGACAAACATCCCTCTCAATTCGAGGGGTCCCTGGCCAAAAACTATCCAGCTCCATGGCGGATTGGAGAAGATGGTCTGCACCAAGTGCCGCGCGCTATCTGACTTCGACGGCTCCCTTTTCGAAGGTTCCGAGCCTCCATCCTGTAAAGCATGTGAGGAGTTAGATGAGATCCGAACCACCCTAGCCGGAAAGCGAAGCCACGGCATTGGCCGCCTCCGCCCCAGAATAGTCCTCTACAACGAATACAACCCCGACGAAGAAGCCATCGGCGCCGTCACAACAGCCGATCTCAAGAGCCGCCCCGACGCCGTCATCGTCGTCGGCACGAGCCTGAAAGTCCCAGGCGTAAAACGCATCGCACGTGAGATGTGCCAAGTCGCGCGCGGTCGCAAAGACGGCTTCACAGCCTGGATCAACCACGGGCCTGAACCAGTCGGGCTGGAGTTCAAGGACTGCTGGGACTTGGTGATTCGCGGGGACTGCGACGAGGTTGCGCGCCATGCTGCGATTCCGAAATGGGATGATAAGGATGTTGGACCGTATACTGTTCTTCCTCCGCGAGAGACTCCGAAGTCCCCGATGAAGGTTGAGCTGGGTGGTGCGGCGAAACATAAGGCTGTTGAGAAGACGCAGGGTATGGTGACGCCCACTGCTAGCCCGCGAACTCGCAGCCCCGCGCCGGCGAAGGACTTGAAGAAGATGAAGCAGCCCAAGCTCTTCGCTTCTGGAACCGCTACTAAGCCCATCACCAAACCCACCTCCACAGCAGCAGGGGCTAAAAAGAAGGCTCCCGCGCCCAAGAAACCCGCTGCTGCGAAGAACGCTAAGATTACTAAGGCATTCACAACCACCAAGTCCTCCAAGGCCATCTCGGGAAAGGCCATCAAACACGAGCCTATCGCGCCTATGTTCCCTAACCTCAGCAAGGTCGCGCCGTCATCACCTATGCTCCCGCTGTCGTTAGTGGAGGTGCGGAATAATACCGAGACCACGCCGGTGAAGCGCGAGTTTGGCGGCAAGGCGGAGGCAGCGGATCCGGATTCGCCGAGCGCGCAGTTGAGGAGGGAGGGGGGGAGGGAGACGGTGTCGCCGGGGGTAGTGCCGAGGGGGATGGGGCATTTGATTGAGACTTAGCGCGGCGTCAGGCTGGGTTCACTGTCCTAGGGGGGTTATGTGTTTAAGCTGGTTCGATCCTGGGGTGCTGGGGAGTGTTATTGAGGTGAGGATGGGGGGGTTATACCACACCACCACCCATCCCCCATATGTGCGTTTTTGGCGTCAAAGGCAAGGCAGCACGCGGTGCCGTGCTAGAATAGGGTGTCATACCATCCATGTTCCGCCTTTTTTATTTGTTTTTCTGGAGGCGCGGTTATTCTCACACATCGGAAGCATGGCATGGCATTGCATTGCTTGCGTGGATGATGTTGGCTTGGTGTCATATATGGATAAGATAGTAGGGTTAGTAGTGTTAGGAGTGATAGGAGTGCTAGTGGGCTTTTTTTTAGAATAGGGTTATATCTCTGGCTGTCGCTCTAGCTGTGCGCTGGGGGATGAGTGGGTGGCTGGGTAATTATATTTGTTTTACTGGTATGATATGACTTGTATGTTGTGACTTCGTGGGGTGATGTTGAGCTGGATCCCTGGTGTTGTCGTCATGAATTTTCCCAGTCTTATCTCAACACTTGTACAAGTATTCATTTTCAAGCCGAATATACTTGTTCTACAAAAAATCCCAAACAGCTCTCAGATGGGCACCAATATAACGCCCCCGCTATGCGAACCCATCCCACTTTATACCCCCAAAACTCCAAACAAATGCATAATCCACCCAACCAGCACCCCCCTCCCCTAGACCTCCAACACCCTACTCCCCCACATCCCCATCCTCATACTCGATCTCCGCCAAATCGCCCGTCTCCCTCGGCTCCTGCGCCTCATGATACTGAATCGCATCATCGAGATAACTCAAGATAGCCCCCACACTATCCTCATCCTGCACATCAAGCCTCAAATACGACACCATGCTAAAACTCTCAATCAACCCCGCCACCGCGCGATTCAAGCGCCGGAAACTCTCCCCGCGCATCATACTCCCGTTCTCTAGCGGATCACCCACGCCCGGCTCCTCTCCACCGCCAAGGTCAGAGGGGTCGTCGTCTAGGAGTGATGCGTCGGGGTCGAGGAAGCGCTTGAGCTCCCGCTTGCCGACTTGTCCTTTTACTAGGTCCATTTTGGAGAGGATGTTAACGTGGGGGACTTCTAGCATAATCATCGCTGACATCGCCGACAGTGTCCCCGCAAAAAACTTCGCCCGATCAACTACAAATGTTGCCTCGAGCAAATATGCCGCCGCGAGATTAACACTCAACCCCCCCTGCATCGTGAGATGCTTCACCAGCGCCGGCAGCACAGGGACATGCGTGTATAGCTCGATCTGGCCCGGCATATCGATTACAATAAGGTACTCCTCGGACAGCGGATCGATAGCTTCGGTGATGAAATCGAGGTTCTCGAGGAGGAACTCGAAACAGTAGATTAGACCCCCGTTGGGCCCCAGCCCCATTTCCTCCATCACGTCGGAGAGGGAGATCAGGTCTTTGATGTCCAGGTCGGGCTCGTGGTCGAAGGTCTCCGCGGCGGGGTCCAGGTTGATGTAGAAGGAGGACCGGCGGTTGTGGTGGAGGTGCGTGATGAGAGAGCTGCAGAAGGTGGTCTATGGGCGCCGGGTTAGATGGGGGTTCAAGGGACGGTGAATGGGGATGGGGGACTGACCTTGCCGGCGCCCGCGGGGCCCATGACCAGCACACCGAATTTGGACATTGTGAAGAGGGAGAGTGGTGTTGGTGGGGAATGAGTTTTGTTAAAGTCGCCGCTGCTGCATGGCTTGGAGGGGGGAGGTCGGTGAGGCTGAGGAGGGGTTATTTGCTTGCTAGCTATGCGATCATAGAAATTTGCAGTGTTGCTTGGTCAGCCTCGCGCGAAAGGCTGACGAATGGGAAGGCTGCGTGGGTTTACTTCGGGGTACATGGGTTTCGGGGGGTTGGTGATGGGAGGGATGGTTGGAAAATAAGCAATCCTAAGTACCCCGCAGTAGACATTTTTTGCTTTTCGGGGTTTAACTGCCCCTCGACCACCCCGACGGGGTTTTGTTTCAAAGAAGTGAGGGTTCACGCCTTTTCATGTAGCACGTGTATTTATTATTGTTGTACGTATTACGGAGTAAGGTATAGAGTAGTAGTAGTAGTAGTATGAGCTGTTTAAGGGGGTTTCAAGGCCTGCATTTTACGAAGTATGGTTCCGTTGAAGTCGATCCACGATATCAGTAGAGTACCAAGAGTTTCTGCGGGGATGGCTGCCGTTGAAGACAATGGTAAAAATGGAAATCTGAGCTGAATCCCCGAGTTGGGTGTCTGATTGGGGGCACGTGCAATCACGCACTTCGTACGACTCGGGGATTTCAGGCGCTGGTTGATTGAAAGGTGGCAGAAATGGCCGGCTACGGAAGGGACAAGGAACAACAAAGAAAAAAGACAGGTAGGACGGGGAGTAACAGCCCATTCTCACCGCTCGACGAAAGTACTCGTGGCCCTCGATGGCAACATCCAACCCCTCTGATGGTACTTGGGACACTTGGGACTCAATTGGAATCTACTGTGTTTTCCGTATAATATAGAGTAGTTACCATAGTAATTATGAGGCTCTTTATATCAATTCAGAAGCTGTATAGAAATATTCATCTTCATCCCAATCACCACCACAATTTTCATCCTCTAAGCCGTCGTTTTCGTATTTTTTCGCCGATGGCCCTGTTGTACCTTGCGCGGTTTATCGTGCTGGGAGGTACATCGGTCCATTTTCGACAAATGGTGCCTTCTCGTCTCGCTAAAATAAATTAGACTCGATCGCCCTCCGAAGTTCTAATCCTGCCCCACTACTTCTTCTCAACCTTCCCCTCCCCTCTTCAACTTCTTCTTGTCTACTATTCCTCTCTCTATCTCTATACCCCTCTAGACACTTTCTTGTCTTCATCTTCTCTTCATCTTCTTTATACCTCAACCCTCTCTCTCCTCCCCCCCCAGAATCTATTCAAGATGACTGCCAACGGATCTACCCCCGGTGGCCACCACAACCAGGGCACCTTCCTGTTCACCGTAAGTTCTTGAAAAACCCCGCTCTGGCGAGAAATATCAAATCCTGACACATTGCCACAGTCCGAGTCCGTCGGTGAGGGTCACCCAGACAAGATCGCTGATCAGGTCTCCGATGCCATCCTCGATGCCTGCTTGACCGACGACCCTCTCTCCAAGGTCGCTTGCGAGACCGCTACCAAGACTGGTATGGTCATGGTCTTCGGTGAGATCACCACCAAGACCAAGCTTGACTACCAGAAGGTCATCCGTGGTGCCATCAAGGACATCGGTTACGATGACTCCGCAAAGGGCTTCGACTACAAGACCTGCAACGTCCTCGTTGCCATTGAGGAGCAGTCCCCCGATATCGCCCAGGGTCTTCACTACGAGCAGGCTCTTGAGCAGCTCGGTGCTGGTGACCAGGGTATCATGTTCGGTTATGCCACTGATGAGACCCCTGAGCTCTTCCCATTGACCCTTCAATTGGCACACAAGCTTAACGCTGAGATGAGCGCTTCCCGCCGTGATGGCTCCATCCCATGGTTGAGGCCCGACACCAAGACCCAGGTCACCATTGAGTACAAGCACGACAACGGTGCCGTTGTCCCTCTCAGAGTCCACACCGTTGTCGTCTCTGCCCAGCACGCCGAGACCATCACCACTGAGCAGCTCCGCAAGGAGATCCTCGAGAAGGTCATCAAGAAGGTCATCCCCGCCAAGTACCTTGACGACCAGACCATCTACCACGTAAGTTGACCTTGACACCCATAAAATAAAAACAGCTGTCTGACAAAACTAGATCCAACCCTCTGGACTCTTCATCATCGGTGGCCCACAGGGTGATGCCGGTCTGACTGGCCGCAAGATCATCGTTGACACATACGGTGGATGGGGAGCTCACGGAGGTGGTGCTTTCTCCGGAAAGGATTTCTCCAAGGTCGACCGCTCCGCCGCCTACGTCGCCCGCTGGATCGCCAAGTCCCTCGTCAACGCCAAGCTTGCCCGCCGCTGCCTCGTCCAGCTGTCGTACGCCATCGGTGTCGCTGAGCCCCTCTCCATCTTCGTCGACTCGTACGGAACCTCCGAGAAGACTTCCGACGAGCTTGAGAAGATCATCCGCGCCAACTTCGACCTCCGCCCGGGAGTGATCGTCAAGGAGCTCGACCTGGCCAAGCCAATCTACTTCCAGACCGCCAAGAACGGCCACTTCACCAACCAGAACTTCACCTGGGAGAAGCCGAAGACCCTCAAGTTCTAAGCGTCTTCGCTCAGACACAACCACACCACACCACATCACACACAAATAGTAATAATAGATCCGAAAGGGACTCAACGTCTCTCTCCTCCTTACCTCCTCTTTTGACGACAACGGCCATCTTCGATCCCATGATGATGACTGATGACATCTTGAACTTTTCCCTTAGATTTTTCACACGCGGCGAAACGGGTCTATATGCACAGGGCGGCGGGGCGGTCTCAACGACTGCGGGGTTATGTTAAGCGAAATCTGCATTTTATTGAGTGTTGGCCTATTTTAAATGGTCAACTGTTTTTTTTCATCAACGTTTTACTACAAAAAGCTTTCCGGGAAAATCATGATATTATGTATATTGTGATTAATTTTTTGGAAAAGTCTTTCAACATAGACCATTTAGAACTTCGAGACGGGGGACACAGACAGGACATTTTCTATGCTTTTGAGCAACAATTCGGCGTTCAACGGAGAATTTCAACATTTTCTCTGATTATGCATAGCGGGTAGGACGGAAAGGGAAGGGAAATGTCTGGCTGGTGCTCTGGGGATGCGGGGGGTGTATGTTGATGTGCTTTTTTCTCTTTGCCTTGTGCGAGGGGGAATGCACAGCGAGTTGGGGATGTTAAGGCTTTTATCTTTTCATATTCCGCCTTTTTCTTCTTCTGTTCCTACCTTCTGTATAGGGGTGGGATGGGGGGAAGGGGGTTGGGTAGCTGTGGTAGATAGCTTTAATATCAGCTTGTCTCGAACAACCTATCGTTTTCTGTGTTGGTGGTGTATTGTGATATTGTGACCTCGTCTACTGACTGTACTCGTGGGAGCTGTGCTGGTGCTGGTGCTAATGATCGTCCGAGCTGCAAGCACCCCTTTCTCGCAATAACAGCTGTGCTGCTGCTGCTTGTTATTGTGATCGGGGTGCTAGTTTTAAGCTATCTTTAAACTATTGGTGGTAACCCCATGATCGACCGAACCGCTGGTCTTTCATAATATGTAGCAGCTTGGGCTTGGAGCTTGCTTGAGCTTTGCCCCTCTGAAGAGGTTATTGCGATCTTTTACTCCATCTACTGCTAGCGTCTAGCTGAACGTACGATCGACCGAGCCGCTCGTCTCTCCTCATATAACAGCTCTCAACAGTGCACGAGTTGCGCAGCTTGGAGCTGGAGCTTTCCCCTTCTCTGTGTGTTGTTGACATACTAATTACTAGCGTCTAGCTGAACGTACGATCGACCGGGCTGGCAGTCTCTCCTAACCAGCTCCTCTTGCCATCAGTGTAGTGTGATGTAGCTTGGATTCTGGATCCTGGAGCCTTGCCTTCTGAAGGGGTTATTGGGATCCTAATTACTAGCGTCCAGCTGAACATACGATCGACTGAGCCGCCGACCTCTCCTGATATATGTAACCTCGTCTCTTCCCTCTCAGCACCGTAACTTGGAGCTAAGAGCAGCTTGGAGTTGGAGCTTTGCCCTTCTCTATATCTTGTAACTTAGCCTTCCATCCCAATTACTAGCGCCTAGGTGAACATACGATCGACCAAACCGCCGACCTCTCCTGCTATGCAACCTCTCCTCCCCCCTCTCAGCACTGTACATTACCTTGGAGGTTGAAGCTAGAGCTTTGCAACTTTTTCGTACTTTGTCCCAATACCACCTCCTAGCCCTCAAGTGAACACACGATCGACCTCCCTAGCCACCTGTACCAATTACCCCAATCAACAATCCCGCCTCCCTCTCCCTTCCACCACCGCCCAGTGACCATCCCAGTGGAGCCCCATCAACGCCAAAGGAGATGAATGAATGGGCTAGATCGCGATCTTAACCCATCTTGCTTGGACTCTAATTTTGCTCGAAGGTTAATCTCGGAGATGTGTGTATTTTTGGGCATGATGGTGGAGGAGTGGGTTAGAGTCGGTGATAGTACGGGGAGTAGGGGTCTCGTGGTGGTCGGTGCCGAACCGTTAGTAAGGGGTGAGTGAGTGATGTGATGGGGCGGCGGATGGACGGTGTCCCGTGCGAGGGTTAGTAAGGGATGGGGATCGGGATGGGGGTTGCCGTGGTGTGTGGATTTCTGGGCTTCGGTGTTCCGTGGGGGGCCGAGGGGGTGAAGTGGATGGTTGTTATGCCTGGTGCTGGATATGGATATGGGGAGATGGAGATGAGTTCATGCATGCACTGTATGGCAGAGGCAGGAAGACAGCGGGAAGACCAGGAGTATGGGTGCCTCGTATATCGTATGGCTGCCAGCACTCACACCGTCATCACCTATATACCATTACAACCACCAACACCGTCCCACCGTCCACAAACAGCAAGCGACAGTAGTGGCGGCCAGGCAAAAGGGAACGGACCCTGGCGTATGGCAGAAATGGAGTGAGTCTAGAGTACAAACTACCGGGCCACTTTACCCCAAGCGCCATAACCGCACCGAAATGGACTGGTGGCACTGAGTTGGTAATCTCGGTAAATTTTTGGCGGTGGCGGGCTGGACTGGGTGGTGGTTGCGTGGGGGATGGATGGATGGATTGGATGGATAGATTAGATGGATGGATGGATGGGGAGGAGGTTGGTAATTGATTGGGGTGTTTGGCGGCGTTTACTGTCGTCGAATAGTGCAGTTGTCTCCAAATAGTGTAGTTGTCTAAAGAGTGAGCGTGACGACGACCAGCGCGTGCTGTAATGAGGGATTCTTCGGCGGTAGAAGACTTTGAATGGCTATTGGTCGCCTTATCCTGCTGTTGTTCCTGTCAATATTCATCGGCGATACCGCGATAGATGGGATGGGAGCTATGGCTGGCTCACAATCGCTCTGGTCTTTCTTCTGGTGGCTGGCTGTTCTACCGCAGAGAACGTACACTTGCAGTAGTCCCACCCTCCTTCCGTCCCACACCCACGACGATTGGCGCCTGCACGTTCCTATCTGTCCCTGACGCTTTCCCCTATCCGTCACTAGCCGTTCCTGAGCACACCCCTTCCAGCCCCCTCTACCTCCACCGCCTGCTGCCATTCATCCAATCAGCGCGCTTGGCGGGAAAAGGGTCGAAGCGCTTTGGGTTTCCTAATGCGGACTCGGGCCGCACGCCAGAGACATGAGAGACTAGAGAGACAAATAATGGATAGAATGGATGGGATGCATAGGATGGATCACAGGGAAGGGAGATGCGCCAATGCCCGCCAGTGCACTGAATGGAAGGTGGCATTTGCGGGTGGAAGAGAGAGCTGGCCAATACGTGGACGGGACTGCTGTTTTTCTTCTTTTCAGTAGCTGCCCTTATTCCCGTTTTCCCCTGACTACTCTACCGTTCCTTCCCTCCCCACTTCCCCGTGCTGCCCATACACAGGCTGCCTGCATTGCATGTACATCCTGTACGGTGGTCCACTACATACGTTTGAGTTGTACTGGCTATGCATGTACTGATTGTTTTGTCTGGAACTGGTTCTTCCCACGATGCTACTCCATACTACCACTCTATACTACTCTAGATCGCTCCAATGTATCTCTGTTTATTCTCAAAATAGTAAAGATGTCCACTCCCATTCCCTCCATTCCCTCCATTCCCTTCACATGCCTGTCATTCTGCCCGTCTTTGTTCATCTTTGTTAACGGGGAAATTGCAATCCTCGTAGCTTCATCGCTTCAACGGCCTTATTCGACTACTCCCATGAACTAACGCCCTTGCCGAGACCCCTCTCTCGACTCCCACTCCCACTCCCACCCAAGCCCACCAGCCACTCTCCTCTCCTCCCCCAGACACATTGGTGTCCCATTCAATATCCCATATCACACCTAATCTACGCCAAGTCTGTCGGCGTTGGTCTATCTTGTACATCTCCATCTGTCTAAATGTCTGATTGACCTTGTTCCTAATCGAAACGGATCATGGCGCCCGAGATGACAGGGTTCAGCGTCCTAGATTCGACACAGACACCACCCTCGCCGCCATCGCGATTGCCGACACCTCCTCCTCCCTCACCACCACCACGCGCCATGGCCCGCCCGCTCCCCCATCCTGATACTCCTTCTGCCTCATCCCCATCTGATGTCTCCTCCTCCCTCCCCTCACCACAGTCCCAGTCCGTGCAGCAACCAGGCTCCGATCGACAATCTGCCGAGACAGTGAGGCCGCGAGCTTCGTCCCTTGTTTCAACCACATCGTCCATCAAGAGAAAACCGTTACCGTTGTCGGCGCTGCCTCTAGCTGCGAGATATTCGGTCGAATCGAGCGCCAGCACCTTTGACTCACCGTCCGCCAGATTCTCGAGACGCCCGTCGATAGACAGTCCCACGATCTACGACCCTTCGGCACACCGGTTTCCTATCTTCGTGGAGGAGGCTGGTCTGGACCAGAGACAAAGAATCTCAACGTACGTCTGTCTCGTATTCCTCTGCTCACCAAGAATACCACCCTACCTACCAGCCCTCCGAATTGTTTCCTCTTCGGGTTAAAGATACTGACCGGATAAACAGTCTCGACATCCCACAGGAGCCCGTCAGACCGCTGTCACCTGTAATCGAAGCTTCAGCTCATCAGACAGATTCGACTGCCACACCAAATCAACCCACCCCTGCCACACACACACACACACATACACACTCAATAGGTGGCACCCCTCCGACCTCGTCTGTCCGCCATGCAAGATTGAGGCGTGACTCGGCCCTCAGCACCACCTCGAGTTATTACACATACGAGGATTCGAGTCCAGCACACCGTTCCCGCTCAGGAACAGAAACAATGTCCCTTTTCGCGGCAAAGCCACAACCACCCAACCTCAGCCTGCCCGATAACGATGCCCGCGGCGCCTCCTTCGACGCAACCAGCATCAAGAGCCCCTCCGATAAACAACTCCCCAAGTCGCCTGGAGCGTCTAAACTTGGTTCCTTCTTCGGGTGGGGTGGAAACACCTCGCCGGCCTCATCGACGACTACCTTCTCGGAGGATAAGAACTTCTCGCCCATACCCTCGCCGACGTCCCCGGCGAAACACTTCTCAAAGTCGATTGCCAGCCGTGCAATTCCGATTGGCATCGACGTCCCTAAAGCCAATTCGGCGAATGAGAGCTTCTTCGACGAGGAATTCGCACCATCTAGCGTAGAAAGCGAGTCTCACGTCGGAGAGATGGAGGAGGAACTCAAAACTATCAGTGCCGAGCTGGCCACATCTATAAGGAGGGAGATGGAACTAGAGGATCTTGTTGAACGATTACAATCGGAAGTTGACAACCCTCGCGGACCTAATAAGAGAACAAGTGATTATTTCTCCGACTCTGGTACGAGCTCGGTCAAGTATGGCGGTGATACCGATTCAAGAACGGAGGAGATTGAGCGCATGCAGCGGAAAACGGACCGCGAAAAGGCCCAGATTCGACTGGATTGCCAAGAAAAGGTCCAAGAAGAGAGGACACGACGATCAGGTCTAGAGAAGAAGATTCGCCGGTTAGAAGAGAAGGTATCGCATGTTGATCTCGCGTCGATGAACTCCCTCGATAGCGGCGGCCGATTAAAAGACTTGGAAGCGACTTGCGAAGACCTACGGCGACGACTTAATGACGAACGAAAGGTCAAGGAGAACTTTGAAGATCTCCTGACAGCACTCAGAGGCGAACTACACACCTCGCATAATGAGCGTGACAACCTCAGAGACGAAGTTGTTCCGCAACTACGAGCTCGGGTTGAAGGGCTAGAGGCGCAGGCCGCTGAACATGAGAAGCTAGCATACGAGCACACGAAGGTGCAGCAGCAGATGCAGCTGACTAGAGGCGACAGTGTGCGCAAGCTGCAGACTGATATACAATCACATATGGACAGCATCGGTGAAGATGGTCCACAACCTAATTCCGGCTTGAAGAGGTCTACTTCGGTGAGGAACTCTACAGTTACTACACCTTTAATGAGGTCGCGGCCTACTTCAATGTCCCTGGCAAAAGGCGTCGAGTCGCGAGACATGCTCCTTGAACGCGTGAAGGACGTCGAAGCCCAACGAGACGCCCTCCACCGCGCATTGAAGAGTCTCCTAGAGAGACAAGAGCACCAAACTAAAGAAAACGACAAGCGCCTCCGCCAGCTCGAGATCGAGCGCGATAACGCCCTCAAGAGCGCACCCAAACGCGCTGGCTATGGTAAAGACGTCTCCAGCTTGAGGGATGAAATCAACACCCTCCGTCGCCGCGCCGATGAAGCCATAGAGCAAAAGTGGCAGTGCGAGAAGGGCCTCAGCGGCCTTAAGATGGACCTCGACCGCGCCGAGCAGGAGATTGGATCCCTTCGCAACCTCCTCCTCGATAACGGCGTTCCCGTCCCGGAAAACATCCCGGGGTCGCGTAGCAGCGCTAACTCCTCGTCGCTGGAGCAGGCATACTCTGAGCTCAAGAAGACGTACGCTGCGTCCCTTGATCGCGTGAAGGCGCTGGAGAGCCAGGTTCCCCGCGATGGCACGACGGATGAGGCACTCCGATCCCTCCAAACCTCCCTAACCACCGCCATCGCCGACCGCGACTCCGCGGTCTCCTCACTCAACACCACGGAGCTCTCGCACCTTTCCACCGAGACTGATCTCGCATCCCAGCTCCAGCATGCTGCGGAACACATCGAGGGACTAGCGGGCCAGGTGCGCGCCCAGCTGTCGGCGAACTCCACCCTCCGCGCCCGTCTTGCGGAGACGATCAAGCGCGGGGAGGTGGAGCAGAATGCCAATGTGGCACGGATTATGGGGATGCAAGGAAAGCTGCGCACCCTCGAGGAGGCCCTCATGGCTGCGCAACAGGCGTCTGAAGAGCGCACTGCTCGACACGAAGACGAGGTCCGCGAGCTCAAGGAGTCCCGCAACAGCCAACTCATCCGCGTCAAAGATTCCCTTCGCTCCCCGCGCCTCTTCGCGCCCAAGTCCCCCATGAGCCCCCTCTTCGCCGGCAACGCGAGGAGTCCCCGCATCGACGTCACGTCCGGCGGCAAGGCGATGAACGTCGGCGAGGAGTCGAGGGTGGGGATGCTGAAGAGCCGCGTCGAGGAGCTGGAGCGCGCGCTGGGAGAGGCGGATCGCGAGATGGAGGAGGTGGTGGGGAGGATGAATGTCGCGCAGATTGAGGTGATGGAGCTGCAGAATGAGAGGGAGGAGGCGGTGAGGGCGACGAGGATGCTGGAGAAGAGGGTGGAGGAGGAGAGGTTGAGGGGGTTTGAGGGGAGGTTTAGGTCGTTCCAGACTTAGGAAGGACCCTGACTACTCGCCCGCCCGGCCTGGTTGAGTTGTGTGATGTTCGTTTTGGTGGTTGATGTGTTTCGATATTGCGCTTTAGCGACTGCATTTTTTCTAACCTTGATGGTTGTGCATTGGTTTTTTGAGGATGGGCGTTGGGAGATGGCTGATATGGCTGTCGATTTTTTGTTTCGATTATATATGGGATCATGGCTCTCTTCGAGTCCTCCCGACCGACCCCGATTGGTGGGGGTTGGGGGGGTTGTTTAATTCTTAAACCTTATATATAGTATATATTGTGGCGGAGATGTATGGATGGTAGTGTTTGGATATTTACATATGGAGATGAGGGCGATGGGTAGATAGATGGGTGGGGGGAAGAATATATGAAGTGTATTTCTGAGATGGTATGTTTTTGTTGTTTTTGGATGTGATGTTCGATTTTGTTTTGCTGTTTGTCGTGCTCTGCCTACTTAAATCATTCTTTTGTCTGTAATTGGGATCATGGGGATATTTGCTATGTCATATTTGAACCCCCTTTGGAGTTCTACAGTAAGTAGTACAGCCTCATCATCATGCTTAGTTGGACGACGTTTAGCAACTCATAAGACGGGCTGTGAAACATTCCGTACACAGCCACCCTCGACCAGGACACGTGCCATGACCAACGGTTTGTGTAAAGCAATAGCATTGTCTCCCTTGTAGGCTTCTGGTGACTAAATGTCTAGAGGCTACTTCTCTAATCGAAGCAACAGAACAATTCCAATGCGCAGGCTCAGAAGTCTTCTAAGCTCTCCCAAGAGGCAGCCGGCCTGACCCCGCCTCCACGCCTCAACCGCCTGGACTCGAGCGCCTCCACGACGAACTCCAACAGCTCCGACAGCAACTATCTGAAGTGCAATCTCGCCCAAGAAGCAAACCCGATCCCTCACCAGCACTCCAGGTCTCAAATCCAGCACCACGGTATATCATCGAAGAAGTGCCAAACTACGCTTTTAGCCGGGCCACAGCTCAAGCACAGCAGCAGCATGTAAATGGATCTCAAAACCCCCCTGCCGCCTCGAAGAAGATAATGCCATCGCCCTGCTTCGAGAAAATGGCTGGAACGCCAAGGAGTGGAAGGTAAACTGTAACCTGGAGGAGCGGAATGGCGCGCTTTACTGGGCTGCTACTAATGGCCATGTGGCAATAGTGCGACGTCTCGTGAGGAACGGGACGTCTGGGATGCCCAAGGCAGCGGGTAAAGATTTGCGAGAAGAATGGCGCAACTCTGCCTTGGGAAGTTCGGCTGCTGCCAACCATGTGGCGATCATACAGATACTCCTAGAGCAGGCCACGGAGGAGAATCTGCGGAGTTAATTCAGCGTTAAGTGACGCGGTGAAAGAGGGACATATTGATGTTGTCAGGCTGCTACTGGGGAAATGGCCGCGTGAGGGGGGGAGTTATGATTATTCGAGGGCGGGAGCGCTTGCGTTTGCTGCGGAGAGGGGGGGGTGAGGAAATTGTGAGGTTGGTTCTGGAGAAGGGTGTTGAGCTGGCGGTTCCGTTGTAGATGGCTGATAGAGCGCCTTTGTGACGTGCGGCGAGGGCGGGGCAGGGGGGGGGTGGTGAAATTGTTGGTGGACGGGAGTAAGCCATCTGCTGAGACGACGTATACGTCGTCTCAGCGGGATAGAAGTTGAGCTGTCGGAGGCTGTGAGGAAAGGGCATGGCGGTATGGTGCGGATGTTGTTGGACCTTGGGGTTGTGACGGGGTTGGAGATGGCGATGTATGATGCTGTGGAAGGGGGGGATGTGTCTATTTTAGGACAAGTGCTTGTGGCGGGGGGACTCCCTACGCTGGTCTTGGGTAACGCTGTTAATACGGGGAATCAGTCGATGGTGCAGCTGCTCCTTGATTATGGGGCTGAGGCAGGCAAAGGATTGAAATCAGCGGCGCTTAGCGGAAATGCGCTAAAAGTTGGGCTCTTACTCGACCAGGGAGCTGCTGCTGATGTGTTGGATGGGAGGAAGAGAACACGTCTGCTGTTGGAAAAAGGAGTAGCAACTAGCTCGATTAGAGAGGATGACAAGATGAAGAAGGCACTGGTAGAAGCCATAATAAATGGCGCGGGAAATGGCGCCCTGAATGGGGCGGCGGAAGTCATGCAACTTCTCATAAACCACGGTTTTCATTTTAACTTCAACGCAGGGTAGGACTCCAAGCTCTTGGGAGTGGCAGCTGAGAAGAGCTTTCAGACGATGGTGCAGCAGTTGCTGGACAACAGAGCTAATCTCGAAGGCCATGACATCAGGGGGAGAACAGCACTCCATCTAGCAGCGATGAATGGCCATTACGAAATAGTGAAGCTGCTGCTGGAGAGAGGGGCGAATCCTGCGGTGGTGAATAAGTTTGGAAGAACGGCCGAATATTGGGCTGTGGCGAACGGACATACACGTGTAGCCCAGCTGCTGTCTCGTCCCAAACCCAAATAAATACCAAGGTGGATAATGTTGCTTTAATTTCTACATTAGGGAACATCGCTGACAACTAATGCGTAGCTTTTGGGTCAGGTCCTCCGATAAAACCAAAATAATTGTCTATAAATCTATAATCTAAGCACGAAAACTATCGAACACACAACAACCTTCCTTGCTCCCGCTCTACATATGCCACCTCTAATAGCGCCAGATGAGTATAAACAACTACGCCTTTGCCAGAGACCCCAAAAGATCAAACAAACGCTCTTCCCGAATTGCTAGACGCAATACGATGGTGCTGCTGATACCCCACGATCCTCTCCATCTTCCACCCCCTCTTCGCGGCCTTCCCTCCCTCCACCAACGCCACCACCTCGCTGGGATGCACGACATTGAAAATGACTATAGCGCAAAACATCAATAGCGCATCGAATATATACAGATAGACCTCATGCGACAGCAGATACCCCGAGAAGCCTTGCAGGTACTCCACGACGCGGAAAATCGACCGGATCATAATAAGCACGCTTGCTATATATAAAGCGATAAGGTGTTTGCGCCAGGGCACATCGCTGCTCTGAGCACGGGTTGTGGGAACTTTATGCATGGCAACGTCGAAGTGGACGGCTACGGCGATGAAGCAGCCGAAGAAGAAGAGTTGAACGAAGAGGCCGCCGACGACGAGGTTGGAGCCAATTGTAAGAGAAGATGGGGTGCCAGAAGCTTGGATGCCGCCGCCTGGAATGGAGTGTGAGAAATTGTTCATATTGTTGAGAGAGTCTGGATTAATTGGGAGAGAAACGTACCACCTCCTTGGATGAGGAATGAAGCGACATCACCGCAGACGAAGATCTTTGTGAGCCACTTCTTCTTTATTAGGGCGTGTGACTCGCCGTCGACGAGGAGGATGATTCGGCTCAGCTCCATGTAGATGCTTGCGGCGAAGAGGGCGGGTGCGACGAGGAGGAGGAGGGTTTGCATGATGTATGGGCCTAATGTCCAGTCTGGGGACTGTTGACTCGACATGGCACGGCCAATATAGCCGATCCATTCAACTGATAAGTTTGTTAGCAAGATCTCATTGGCGGCGCAGGAAGCTTATAGGGTGACGCACAGAATCCTCCTACTATCAGAGGAATCATAAACCATGCTCTGGTCCGTAAAAGCTGGTAGCAGTGAAGCAATGTCGTTGCAAAAAATACCGCTATGAATATAACGGCTGCCACCATTGAGGGGTCATAGTGGTAGAATTTAAACCCCGATGTCGATGCCATTGGTGTGGTTGAAACGGGTCACAGTTGTAATCCTTGAAGTTCACTTGCTAGAGCTACAAACGTAGGCTCGGAACAACAGTTAACAATGGGTGGCAATGAGAAAGAATCGGCAGGGCATTAACTCGATGGCTGTGCTTTGAATCTGCCATTTTTAAAGGTGTCGTAGCTGCCTTTATATCTATATATTTGTATAAAAATACCAGCCGGCGTATCCATACAAAAGACAGCCTCACGTACTTTATACCTATTCGAGCGAAATACTGTGCGTTTGAGAATACGTGCACGTATAAAAATACGTGCGCCTTCGCTCGAATAGGTATAGAGTACGTGATGCCAATACGGCCGTGAGCCTAAAGATTGGAAAGAATATCGTATACCTCGTACACTATACCTAATCTGACCAATTTTCCCCATATAAGCTTTCTCGGATTTAGCGTATACGCGCAACCATCAAGGCAGTGCAGCATTTGATACTACTAACCTCCGATCTCAAAATTAATAAATTCTTCCACACATTCATCACTGTGATAGGCATGACTACGAATACTACGCTATCATTGTACACGTAGATCTAGCTTTAACTGGCAGAAGAGCTGGTTAATATGATAGGAGGCTGAGAATATGTCATCGCGGCGCAAACATTCTAAGTCCCGTCATGGGTGTTCACAGTGCAAAGCGGCTCATGTCAAGGTATGGAAGCTATATTTAACCACCCTATTCCCGAACTAATTAAATACAGTGTGACGTTGTACAACCAATATGCGGCAAATGTATGAAGACTGGAAAGAATTGTGAATTCAAAAATCTAGTTAATGCAAGATTTTTGAACACCCACTCTACATCATATAGTCAGGGCCATCCAACAACCCCACCGCTGTTGGTAACGGGCCCCCAAGATAACACGACAATTGCTTCAGAGAATGTGTTATGGGATGAATTAGAGCTCATGCATCATTTTTCAACAGTCACCTACGCAACATTGGCCACACGAAACGATCTTCGTCAAATGTGGCAAATCCAGGTCCCAAGGTTGGCGTTGAAGCAAAAATATCTAATTCACGGCCTTTTCAGTGTCGCAGCATTACACATGGCTCACTCCCATCTAGACAACCAATCTTCATACATTGATAGAGCCATCCGCCACCACGACATCTCCATCCGGGGATTCAGCTTAGAACTGCAGGGGAATATCACGAAAGAAAACATCGCATCATTATTCTCTTGCGCAGCCATGACCGCTATGTTTGCTTTCAGTCTCGCCATATTAAGACCGCATGAGGAGCCGAGTCGACCCATTGAGGAACTCTTTGGCATCTTTACGCTCCTACGAGGCATGCCGGTGGTCATAGGTGAAATGTGGAACTTGGTTAAAGAAAGCGAGATTGCGCCCATGTTCATAGGCAGACAGGTGGACGACTCAATTGTATTATCAGACGATGTCACAAACGCCATGAAGCTGCTTGAAGACCGGAATCAGCTAACGTCGACGTTGGATTCGGATAGGCATACTTACGCCCTTGCCATTAAGGGGTTGAGGGATTGCTTTAAGCTGATATCGTCAAAGGATCGGAATAACGGGATGGCGTTTAGTTGGCCTATCACTGTTAGTCAGGAGTATATTGCGTTTCTGCGCTCCCGACGGCAGATGGCTTTGGTGATTCTGGCGCACTATGCTGTTATCCTTTATGGGGTCAGAGATACGTGGTGGGCGATGGGGTGGGGGAGTAAGCTGATCCAAGAGTTGGACCAGGTTGTGGAAGATGAGTGGAAGAGTCTGCTGGTATGGCCCATGGAGAATATTGTCAGGGGAAGGTGAATATAGTTAGTATTTGTATATCACAACAAGAGGGCCACGAGCATAGTCAAACCAGTTCTAAATAGATTGTTTATATTGCCAGCGCAGTTTCAACTTAACCACAGTACCGCTACGCTACCAAAAGCCGGGAACAAGCTGACGTGCGCCACAGTGAGGTTGCCGTTGCACGGTTCAGCCCATAATGCGTAGAAGCTCATCTTATACATCCTGCTTCTTAACCCAACGCACCAAACATGCTCCTGTTGGTATATCTATCATGCCAAATGGCCCCCCTGCCATCACCATACCTCTCGAGCACACCTACCACCACCACCACCACCACCACCATCCAGCCCCTCTGGCGGTATTACAGAGCTTGACCAAACCAGAAATCATCTTTTCTAGAAAAATAAAACGCCAGAATGCCAAATAATTTTCAAATGATGTAAAAACGACCCAAATGCAAACCCAACCCCATCCCAAACCAATCCATGATTCCTAGCTTGATAAAGTTAAGCATTCCGCGAACATGCGCGCCCAGGAAAGAGTGGTGTTGAAAGAGATATACGGGCCCAGAAAACTCCGCCGCCATGGTTATATAAACGCAGGATATGTGAATGACCGATCTGTCAGTCTCTAGGAATAGAGCACGTAAATATGAAGAGTAGCATCGTTAGGTAATGACCGGCTTGGACGAGACAGGTTCGACCTTGGTGCTGCTAGGGTTCGGTTTGCTACCAGATGTGTCGCTGCTAGCTGCCCTGGCCTTGGCTGCGGCCAAGATTTTGCGGTGCATATCTTCGAGTGCGCGGCCCTGAGGCTTAGGGTCTAGTGGCCACTGAGAAGCAACATAGGTCCTGTAGAACGTTAGTACTTGATTTAATATACCCGGTGAGTAGATCCCACTTACCAAAAACTTGGCCTCAGGGCAGACACGTCCTCGTCTGCCTCTAGGCTATCAATGAAGTTTCCAATGGTGACTAATTCGTTCTTCAAGAGATTCGCACGCTCCTTCTGAGACTTGATCTTCTCTTTAGTAGCACCCCCGACCCGTCGGAAAGCATCCTTCATTGGTCGGAAAATGACTCGCAACATTTGATCCTGCTCGTGGTTGCTGCTGCTCGAGCCGTTCTCAGACTTGCGGTGCTTGTGGCGATCAACACGGTCATCATCTGCAGCACTATGTTTGCGCTTGAGATCGGGCTTGTGCCTGTGATCCTCGTGGCTCGAGCGGCCCCTCTCGTGACGATGATCACTCATGCGGTCACGTCCTTCAGATTGACGATGGGCCTTGCGGATCTGTGGCGCCGGTGACGCAGATACTGACGCGCTATGTTCGGCTCGGCGAATACCATTCTTCTTGTTATTCCGATGGTGGTTTTCAACGGCTCGTCGGGCAGCTTGGTCATCCGAGTATCTTGCTTTCAAGACAGATAAGAGGTAATCAGCTCGTCGAACAAGATGCACGGCCCCAGGTGACTTGGCCGTTGTATCTTCACCTTGTATACGCAGCTCTTTTTTGTCTACGCGATGCTCTTCGAGGAATAGCTTTTCTTGTAGCCCTAGTTCAGAGTCATCCCGGATATCTGGCCAGGCTCCATAACCATGGCGGTGAATGCCAACAAGCAACATGCCGTCTTCTTTCGCACCCCACTCGCAGGAATAGTGCGCGGCCTTTGACGCCTCGGGAACCCTGAACTTTCCAAAGTCAGAAAATGCTTCAATGACCTCTTTCAGCATTCTCATCTCGCCCGGCCGTTCAATCACAGTCTCTGCATTTAAACGCTTCACCCCGAGGAAATCAAATAAGACAGCTTTCTTATCTTTCTTCGTAAGAGCCTTGTTAGACTCTCGTTCTTTAGCCTCCATTTCAGCACTAGCTGCCTTCAATCGTTTGTCACTCTCGTCAATGATAGATTGAAGCGTGGCCTTCAGCATGTCGCGGTCACGGCCGACAAGGCGAGCATCCTTGATCAATTCGTCCGGTCTGTCATCAATGGAACCGTAGCGTAGGAAAGCTTTGAAGAGCCATCTAGCTTCTTTCTCATTAAGTTCTCTCTTTGGGTCCACCTTGTCGGCCTCCTTGAGCTCAAGTTCCTCTTGTTTAGCCAGGTCTCGTTCGCGCTTCTTCGCCAAACGTTGTTCACGCTCCTGTTCGGCAGTGACCTTTAATGCAGCCTTTCGGGGTGCGTTTTCCTCGACGACCCTAGCCAAGTACTCTTCATGGGCCTTCTTTTCCTCCTCAGCTTTAATCCCCTCGAGCTGATCCTTCGGGATAATGTCATCCCACTCAAGGTCGAGCTTCACGTCGGTGTATTCGAAGCTTCTCAAAAAGTCCTCTCCTCCATCGGCGACCATGCCCTCGGGAACTTCCGTCCGGTGCTCTTCGGCATTTTCAAGAATAGAGTCGATATCCAATTCCTCCAATTTCTTCTGGTTGCCGGACTGTTCAAACATCTTCTGGCCTCGTTTCTTAAGAATGCGCGATATATCGTCTGAGGATTTTGGCTCTTCAATTTTCCCAGCTTTCTGTGCCTTCTCGCGGAGTTGGTTCATTTCCTTGTCTGTTACGCCGCGCTGAATAGTGATGAATTCTAGCATGAGCTTATTACGGGCGCGCTCAAGAATCTCTTCCTCAACAGTTTCTTTAGAAAGTAGTCGATAGACACTAACTGGCCGCTTTTGTCCAATCCGATGGGCACGAGCCATAGCTTGAAGATCCGCCTGCGGATTCCAGTCAGAGTCGAAAATGATAACAGTATCTGCAGTCATAAGATTAATGCCAAGACCGCCGGCACGCGTCGAAAGCAAGAAGCAAAAGTCCTGGCTGTCGTCTGCATTGAAATGATCAATGGCTAGCCTTCTTGGGCCAGAAGCCATGGTACCATCAAGTCTTTGAAAAGCGTGCCCGCGTAATTGTAAGTAGTCTCCGAGGATGTCGAGCATTTTTACCATTTGACTGAAAATTAGAACACGGTGATTGTCCTTTTTGAGCTTCGTCAACAATCGATCCAAAAGCATCATCTTGCCACTGCTAGCAATGAGTCCTTTCAGCATGTCCTCGCGCCTGTCCGCTCCCTTCAAAATTTTATCCTCGGCGTTGGGGAACATGTATGGATGATTACTGGCCTTCTTCAATTCCATCATGATGTTGAGAAGAGATTGCTTTTGGCCCTTTGAACCTTCGTTGAGTGCGGCGTAGTTCCGAGTTAAAATATTTTTATAGTACTCCAATTGCACATCGGATAGTTCAACTCGGATGATCTTCTCAGTCTTTGGAGGAAGATCATTCTCAACCTTCTGCTTTGTCCGGCGCAAAATGTATGGCTGAATCTTAGTCGTCAATGCTGCAATCTTTTCTCCCGCAGCTTCCGAGGTCAGATCCATATCATCCTCAATATCAACCTCGCCAGGCATCAAGAAATCCATGAGCGCAGAAAGTTCACCGAGTGTATTTTGCACTGGAGTACCAGTAATGAGCAGCCGGCTGGGAGTTTTGAAATCCAAAAGTCTCTGGTAGAGCTGAGATTCTCTATTCTTCAGGCGGTGCGCTTCGTCAACCGCCATGAACTGCCACTTGATCTGGCCTAAAAAGTTGGCATCAGCCAAGATGTATTCGTAGGATGTGAGCAAGACATTAAACTTTGGCTTGCGAACATCCCCGCCCGACAAAAGCTCGCAGTCTCTTATGATACTACGGGATGATTCTTTGCCATTGTAGACAACATAGTTGGTGTCTGGTGCCCAAAAATCGAAGGTATCACCCCATGCTGGCATTGTTGACAAAGGGACGATGACCAAGAATGGGCCATTCTGATTTCGGTCATGGCGCAACCAACTCATGAACGAAACTGTCTGCACAGTTTTCCCGAGACCCATCTCGTCGGCGAGAATGACATTTTTGTTCTTGCTCCAATTGTATGCAAGAAAATTGAGTCCTGTGATCTGGAAGTCTCGAAGCTGGCCACCCTTGATATATGATGGTTGTTCACGGATTGGGACATGTGAACGTCGCGTATTCGGATTGGATTCAGACTTATCTGAAGTTAGTATTTGGGAAGTACGGTTTAAATACCCGTCGATTTTGTCTTGAGCAATTTCGCCAATGAGAGTTTCCGATTCCCATGTACACGATTCGTAGTAGAGGCTTTTCCATTTGACGTAATATTCCGCTCCATCATCGCCATCTCTAACACCGATGACTCTCTCAACTTTAGTATAGTCAAGGAGGGCATCGGCATCTCGTTCTCTGTCTAGCATCCACTTCTCTTTTTCTTCCGGCTGAACATCAGGGTCGGTTGCGAAATAGACGTCTTGCAGGACAACCTTTCGATAGTAGTTCTCCAGCCGTCGGTGACCTCGGACAGTGCCTAAATAAACTGCATCCTCCCATGTGGCATGGTAGTATGACTTCCCTTGCCATTTAACGTAATACTCGAAGTCATCACGTGTTGAGCCCGACAGACTGATGTCGACACCGTCCTTCGGCCTGTGTTTGAGAACAACTTCGATATACGGAGAATTATCCTCGTATCCCTCAAGCGCTTGGATGGGCGTCATCATCTCTGAATCTTCCTCATCAGCTTCGCTTTCTTGGTATGCCCCAGCGGAGACCTGTGCCGCGCGACGGTTGCTCCATCTGGCAGCAGGCACTGGTAGTGCATCCATCTGTCGGCGCCGGTTCTTCTTTATTAGATTCCGGGCACGAGAGCCACCGTATGTGTCGGATTCGGAGTCATTGGATGCTGATCGAAATACTGGAGTCTCTCGTTTGGAAGCTATAACGACGAGTATCAGCAACGGCGGCAGCAGGAGTAGATGGACTGAACTTACTTGGTCGAGATTTTTCTGCTTTCCGCCTCTTTCGTGGGGCAACGTCTGAAGCAGTAGCATACTGATCTTCATCTTCATCGTCATCGCTATCAATCTGGAAACATTTAGGATACTCGCCCGGGTATTGCAGGTTGGATATGTCTTACTATGGTGCGATGTTGGACAGGCCGGCCCTGGTTATGTCGCGTTAAAAACTAGTCCCACAGACGGTTCGGCGTTGATACGTACACTTCTGCGCAATCCATATAGCTCTGGATTGGCTTTTATATGCTCATCGTCCTCTATCCCCAATTTTCTCTTTGTTGGACGTCGTGAATCGTGGGATGACGAACGGTCGATGCGCGGGTGGTGATGGGCCACTGCCCGCATGCCCTCTTCTGCATCGAACTCGTCATTATCAGACCCCTTGTCGTTGTCATCTTCTGATTCATCGGAAGGTTCGGTGTCCTCAGCGGCGAAATCGGATTGGTGATGTGGTGTGCTCGACGGCGACGGCGAGGCTTCTGCCGCTGGGGCTTCACGTACTTCGGATAAGTCGCTTCCCGAGTGGTCTGAAGCGGCATCGTCGGCGACCGAGATATCCCCAACAGGAGAGTGGTATCCATTGGACATTGGGATGGAAGTAGTCGTGTCCATATTTCCTGACGGCGACGAGCTGCCTGCTATAAGACGGTAATGTCAGCGTGTATAAACTTCCAAATGAAGCAATCGGCATCGGGTTCACACGGTGTAGTGCGTCTGCCATCTGCGACGGTAAATCGATATGCACAGCGTCTAAAACACATCTAAATGGCTTAATATCCTCGCCGGCGCATTGCATTCGATGATATATCAGAATGAGGCTGATGAGTTGCACTCGGGGTAGTGGACACACGCGCTCCCAAAGCGCCCGCTCAAGTGAGTACAAAATCTGATAGGAACCTCAGAGAGTATGTATGCATCAACTTCGACACTTCTACATGTCCAAGAACCTGAACAATGTAGCTGTATAGAAGACGGCGTAACTGTGAGCGGGCGGTAGGCACGGTGATAGCCTGGGAGCAACTGGAACACAATAAGGCAGCAAAAGAACGTTGGAAAAAGAATACTTACAAGCCATAATGAAAAGGCCTTCCAGGCAGCTTAATCAAGAGGTATTATCCGTCAATGACTGGTGGAATTGGTTGTTGTCGTACATGAAGGAGACGTTGACTTCATTCACACTGAAGACCGTGAAGCTGGACTGGACTACTCAGTGGTTACATTCAACATGAAGACTCGCTTACACCGGAATTAGCGCGGGCCGTTTCACACGAATGAGCACAGATCAAAAGGATTTTGTCATCGCGGGGACCCACGCTACCACCAAACAAATCTCGACGCCAAAGTCACAAACCCGACATTCTCCAAACTCGAAATATAAATATTTTTTGTCGCTTTGCCACAATATTCGACGTTATCTTTGAAATAAATAGGGGCCCAAAACCATCAAATACCCGGCTCGTTTGAGTGGCTCTTAAGCCGGAGAACCCAAGATGGCTGATAAACTTACCAGGTATGCCACGCCACCGTTCATGGCTTTAGAAGCATTAACCCAGGCAGCTCACTGGATATTATTGGGCTGTCTTGCTGTAATATATACTGATTGTTTGATTTGAATAGAATCGCGATCGTCAATGGCGACAAGGTGCGAAACATATTGCCACCATGGCTACCCCACTACTACCCCGCGTTGAAGTTTAAGGGATCATAAATGCTAATTAAGCCCGTCGCATATAGTGCAAACCGAAGGTATATACATTTGTTCGAACGATAATGGTATGATGCTAACGATGGAAATAGAAATGTAGGCAAGAGTGCAAGAAATCGTGCCCAGTTGTTCGCAGTGGTCGTCTCTGTATCGAAGTCGACTCCTCATCGAAAATCGCTTTCATATCCGAGACACTATGCATAGGATGTGGTATTTGCCCCAAGAAGTGCCCATTCGGCGCGATCAACATTATCAACCTGCCGACCAACCTCGAGTCCCAGGTTACCCATCGTTATTCCGCGAATAGCTTCAAGCTGCATCGCCTGCCCATGCCAAGACCCGGGCAGGTGCTTGGTCTTGTCGGAACCAACGGTATCGGAAAGAGTACGGCCCTGAAGATCCTGAGTGGGAAGCTCAAGCCCAATCTCGGAAGATTTGACAACCCCCCAGACTGGGAAGACGTCATCAAATACTTCCGTGGCTCGGAACTACAAAGTCGGTGAACCCTGCGAGAGTGGAGAAAGCAAATGTTCTGACAAAGGCTACAGACTATTTCACGAAACTCCTCGAAGACGACCTCAAGGCTGTCGTAAAGCCCCAATATGTCGACCAAATCCCCAAAGCTGTGCGTGCGCCAGACAAGTCTGTCCAGGCCTTGATCGAGGGCAGGTCTCAGATGGATAACCTCAAGGAAGTCTGTGATGTTTTGGGTGAGCAGATATACTCATTTATATTGACTGTTGTACTAATTACACACAGAGTTGAACCATGTTATGGATCGTGATATCAACCTTCTTTCCGGAGGAGAGCTTCAACGTTTCGCCATCGGAACAGTCTGTGTCCAGCAAGCCGATGTCTACATGTTTGACGAGCCGTCGTCCTACCTGGATGTGAAGCAGCGTCTGAGTGCAGCCAAGATCATTCGCTCCCTTCTCAAATCATCTAACTACGTGATTTGTGTCGAGCACGATTTGTCCGTCCTGGATTATCTTTCCGACTTCATCTGTGTGCTCTACGGTCGCCCAGCAGTATACGGTGTTGTTACTATGCCTGCATCGGTCCGTGAGGGCATCAATATTTTCTTGGATGGACATATCCCAACCGAGAACTTGCGATTCCGAGATGAGTCCTTGACTTTCCGCATCGCAGAAGCCGGAGACGAATTCATCGTTGATCGTTCGCGCGCCTTCCAATACCCGTCCATGGAGAAGACTCTAGGAAACTTCCATCTTACGATTGACGAGGGTGACTTTACGGACTCGGAAATTATTGTGATGATGGGAGAGAACGGAACGGGAAAGACGACATTCTGTAAGATGCTGGCTGGCGCTACAAAGCCCGATGGAAACAGAAAGGTCCCCGACATGAAGATCAGCATGAAGCCCCAGAAGATCACACCTAAGTTTGACGGCAGTGTTCGCCAGTTGTTCTTCAAGAAGATCAAGACTGCGTTCCTTTCTCCCCAGTTCCAGACCGATGTTGTCAGGCCATTGAAGCTCGACGATTTCATTGATCAGGAAGTGAAGAACCTGTCCGGAGGAGAATTGCAACGTGTGGCTATCGTCCTCGCCCTTGGTATGCCGGCTGATATTTACCTAATCGATGAGCCGTCTGCCTACCTCGATTCCGAGCAGCGTATTATTGCTGCTCGCGTCATCAAGCGATTCATCATGCACTCGAAGAAGACAGCCTTCGTCGTAGAGCACGATTTCATCATGGCAACTTATCTCGCCGATCGTGTCATCGTCTTCGACGGTGAGCCCGGAATTGAGGCTCGCGCTCACACACCCGAGTCCCTGCTTACTGGTTGCAACAAGTTCCTCAAGAACCTTGATGTTACCTTCCGCCGTGACCCGACCAACTTCAGGCCACGTATCAACAAGCTGAACTCTCAGCTGGACCAGGAACAGAAGTTAAGTGGAAACTACGTGAGTATTTTCCATCCATATGCCCTAGAAATTTACTAACAAGGCCTAGTTCTTCCTGGATGAAGATAAGAGTTGAAAAGGGCACTCTATATAAAAACACACCGGCTTTAGATGCATCATTAGGCGTTACTGGGTTGGCATCAGGAGCGGTATTGCATAGAGGGGGCTCTCCTGGATTGGCTGAGGAGGAAGATGTTAACGAAGACGACGATCCGGATGATTAACGATGGCGGCGGCGCTCTATCCCCTGTTGCCTGGTCCTACACTGATAGCCGTTCTCTTTTCTGAACATGGTATAGATTGAGGGGCAATGGATTAAGCGGATGAGTGCCGTCTGGGTGGTGATTTAAAGCTAGCATGGAGAACAAAAATCTTCCACTGTTGGCATAGTCATTCATATTAAGTATTGAAACGACCTGAGCCCGAAATGGATTCATCTACGGCTTTAAAACTAGTTCATCGAATAAAAGCAAAGAGATACGATATACACACCAGATGCCCCACTAGTTGTCCCTGGGCTTTATGATCGTGATTCGGATGTCTCTTTTGGTGCTGTTAAACATTGGCTTGAATCGAACTGTCATGTGGCCGAGGTTATCGTGTTAGGCAAAAAATGTTAACTTGTTACGTACAGGTCTTGTACAACGCCTTCCGATGGCATGTTAGTTCCCTACTCTTCTTCAATTTCGCCTTCCTCGCTTCCCGAGTGTACAGCTGCATCCTCCTTTGGTGGCAATGTTGTGGTTGGCGTCTTAGCCTTCACGGTACGATCCTGTGCGGGAGACTCTCGTGGCGGGGTTCGTTCTCTCCTTGTCCTCTATAGAAATATAATGTTAGGGCAATGTCCTTACTATATCACAAGTGTTGTTATGGGGTATCGTGAGGGTTATAATAGGTCATTCCTCCAACCCCACCATCAACCGGGAGTCTCTTTGAGCTTAGCTTCTTCAACCACAACAATGACTATTGTTTGAAACCTCGAGAGCACTACTCTTAAAGATCTTGTTGGTCAAGCGTACCTACTCCTAATACGGGGAGGCCAGACGGCCGAAATTGTGATCACGCTGAGCGCAGTTTTCAGAAAATCGACGAACCTTAGTATCCCTTTTGCTACCCCCGCTTTCAAGGTCACTGTCAGCCCTTCTACGCCTGACCGAACTCGGCTTCTCATCACCATAGGGCAACTCATCAATGCTACCCCTTGGATCACCTCTTCTCCTATAGAGCCTCTCGCGGTCGTCATCTCGCTCTCTCTTGTCGCGGGGATCCCTCTCATGGCGATCGAGAGGATCATCACGGCGTGTTCTGTGAGATCTATCAAAGTCGCGATCCCTTTCAGACCGATCGTTTCCTCGGCGAGCAGGTGAGAGTAGAGTATCTGCAACGTTACCTTTGCGGTAGTTCTTCTCACGATCGGCGATAGCCTTGCGCCTATCTGCTTCATATGCATCGGGCTCAGGGCTGCGGCTTGGCCTACCATGGCGACCACCATTTCGGTGAGATCTCTCACCTCTATCCCTGTCAATTCTCTCTCTTTCCCTCTCTCGATAGCTTGATCGCTCGATAGACTCTCGGTCACGGCGCTTGGCTCGATCTCTCTCGTCATCCTCCTTGTCTTTCAAACGACGGATAACCTTATCGAAGGCAGAACGTCGTAGATCATCAGTGGGAAGGGCAAGGTACTCTCCTGATCGCTCAATACGCGGCTTAACCTTCTCATAAGTATCATCCACCTTGATCGGAGGCTCCAGATGTTTCATGTAAGATCGCAGGTCATCTACAGCACGGCGTTGCTTTCGCTCTGCCATGTGTTTGTCGTCTTCGTTTCGACGAGATACCTTCTCATGGAGCTATAATCTGTCAGCAAAGCACGTGGAACCCCAGGATTTTCATTCCACTCACCCTTCCAAATATCAAAGACAGAGCGTCTCGATCGATGTTAGCAGTACGCCGGTCTGTTTGCATAAGGGTAAGAAACTCCTCAAAGGTGGTCTTCTGCTGTATCTCAAAACGTTTGTCCTGCAAGGTGTTAATAAAGGTAATCTTGACAGAGAAAGGGGGGTTACGAACATCCAACACGTCCAAAATATCATTCCGAGTTCCACGCAAGGCTCGTTCCTCTTCTTCAACAATGTCCCAAAACAAATCCAGTGGTGTAGAGCCGGGTTGACCGAGCATGTTCGTGTACCTTTCGTCAGATTGAACTAAGGGGTATACTTGACTCCACTTGGCCCCAGCCTTGATCTTTCCAGCTTTCCTCAAGTCATTCAGAAGGTCAATGAAGCGGTCGCGGTTCTGGCGTTCTCGTCTTGATTTCTGATTTTTCTGCTGTTGGCGAGCATCGTTGAATGTTCTCTCCAGAGACTTGATATGATTCTCGAAAGCGGTCAACATATCAGATTTCGTGAGTGTCTGGAATTTCTCATCACCTTTGAATCGCTGGTTTGATTGGATGATACCTTGTGCCTCTGCCCATCTAGTATATGGTTCCAGGTTAAGACCGTGCATGATCTCAACAAGCTCGTCCATAGCGGCCCTGCGAGTCGAAGCCTCGCGCTCCATGTTCGTCTTCTTCAACTCAATAATGTAATCTTCAAATAATTGGCGTCGCTCATTGTCATCGTCTGTAGATCTGAAGATCGTTTCGCCCTCAATGATAGGTCTAGCAGTCTTCCAGCGTGTATAATGCTTGATCTCAGGGTGACTTCGCAGCATGGTGCTAAAATCTGTACGAAGCTTGGCAAGCCTCTCCTTCGCCCGATCCTTTTCTTCCAGGCGCACCTCAACCGCAAATTTCTCAAATGCAGCCTTGCGATCCTTTGGGTCCTTCAAAGCTCTGTATTGCGGGTCTCTGATAATTGCGCGCATGGCCGCTTCCCAAGTCCAATCCGGCCTCACTCCGCTGCGTCGGAGAAGCTTCAAAAATGCTGCTTCTGCTTCTTCGAAGGTTGAATAATCGGGGTCGGTATTTGCGGGCACGAACACTTGAGCTCTGCTACCGTTGACATCGTTGCCGTAAGCGATCTGACGAGCTTCCCCAACTGGCTCTCTGTCGCGTGGCTGATCGTATTGCGAGAAACCTCCACCAGCAACAAAGGTTGGGGCACTACATAGATTAGATCAGCATGTATAAGATAGATCATAAAATCTGTAACTTACGATGGTGCTGCGGCTTGCGCAGGAACAGCTTCTTTCGCAAGCGCATCCTTGAAGACCGCTGGCATCTCCCAGGAGCTCTGTTTGCTTTCGGTATTATACCAGTATTTACGGCCCCCTTCAGCAGTGTATTCCTTCCATGGTTGATCGGCCAGAGCGCGCTGTTTTGTGTTAGCTTATTTCCATGTCATAATCCCGTTGTTTATCTTACCTCCACTACAGTCATGAGCTCCTCAGGTTTGGTCCACTGGGTCGCTTTGGTGATGGTGTTGTAGTAATACACTCGCCCTTCAGCATTGCGCGCCTCTTGCCAAAGGCCCGGAGGGGCTATGTGCCCATTGATGCCGTTCATTATTCCTGTTGATGTTGATGGAGCAACGTAATGGAGAATGTTAAGACTATCAAAAGTATTTGGAGGTCGCGCGCGCTAGTGGTCTCGAAGGTCAATTTGCCGCGTCGTGCGTCTCTGGGGCGTTATCCAATCAAGGTTGTGATACGGCAACAGCCACCGCGCCAGGAACTTAAGGGGAGATGCAACAATGCACTTCGAATTCACAAAAAGCCACAACTGACACCTGAAATTAATTCAAGCGACCTTTGCGAGGCTGGGAGCATAAACTTGCAGAAATCATTTATGTTTTGTTTTGGAGTCAGCTTACCGACTTCTGTCCTCTCCTGTATATATATTACGGGGAGAGGGGTATATAATCTTTGAGAATCGAGATGTCTGACGATGAGCAGCCACAACAGTCTCGTGGCAGCTTGGAATTTGTGGAAACTTCAATTATTCAGACGATTGTCCCGGAATTTACAGAATTAAGTCTTGAAGAAGGGTTGAGGACTTCACTTGCAAAAAATGGCGATGTAGAAGCGGCTCTTCAGGACATGGCCCTGAGGCAGACAGTATTCTTTGGTGAGTAAACATTTGGCTCATGGATAATTTATATCTTACTTATCACTAGATTATAGATGAAATATTGAATGTCTATGTTGTCTTACAGACACCACATTTGGATGAAAGGGCTGTCCATCGATACCTTGACCGGCTGGTGGTCACGTTGGATGCCAACGTTGTCAATGCACTGACAGATCCACAAGGCCAGTCCGGCCACGAGCTGATTTATTCAGGATCAAACGATCAGCTTAAAGAAGCACCTGTTATCATTAAAAGTCCCGGGGAGGATGATAAAACAAGTTTATTAGTGGTCTGGAAGTTTCCAGTCCCTCTTACAAGGCCTGGCAGGCTGCGCCTCCAAAGCCCTTCCGTGGTCTTTTCAATTTCCGCGAACTTAAAAACAGCCGAACAGCTGAAGGCGATGATTCGGCAGAACGAATACCTGCCCAGTCAAATGCCTTCTGGCATCAACCTGTTCGAATCCTTCAACGGGGATCCGGCTCTTGGAGATGCCATACCCCGCCTATCTGCTCTACGAGTCTCGCGGGTTAAACCAGTGTCACCAGGCGAGGCAGATTCTCTGAGCCCATTGAGGATAGCACCAGCGCGCCCTCTTAAGATATTACCTGCATTCCAACTACGAGCACGCTACGCAAGACCAAATAACACGCATAGCAACCCCTGCATATTCGCCTCCTTAGACATAGAGGCCACCCCATGGGCTGGCAACTCTCTCAGCTTGACGTCAGTTGGTTTCAAGCTTACAGACGGAAATGTCGAAGATCTGAACACAGCCCCTGACATGGCACTTCCCATGGACTGCCTTCCAAAAGACGATGTCACCTTAGTATACCGCCTCTCACGCACTCCCCTGGAGCAATCCTCGACCCCAATAAAGCCGCTCCACATCACCGTCACTGGCACAGTCTGCGTCTCTCCCAGCTGTCTGCCCAAAATCACCATGATCTGGGCCACAAGCGTCGACTTCACGCCCCCCGTGAACCCCGGCTTCGGAAACCCAAGCGCAACAATCCAGCGCGACCACCGCCCAGCCCAGCTAAGCATATCCTCCAACCACGAGGCCCTGAACACCTCCCTCGCCGCATCTCGACCCGATGCTCTCCCCGCCATCGAATTCACAACCAAACACCAGCGCTCTCTCTCCGTCCCCGACTTCGGCGTCACCATGACCTTCACCGCCCCAACAACCCCAATTTACCAGGGCGACTTCTTCAGCTGGACCGTGTTCGTCGTGAACCGCTCTGACCACCCGCGCAAACTGGCACTCATCCCCATCGCAAAGCGGAGAATCCAATCCTCTTCGCACCACCGCGCCCCGACGAACCGGCCGCTCTCAAGCTCGTACACGCAGCAAAAGGGAGCCTCTGGCGGTGCCAACACCGATATCGCCGATGCTGTGCTTGACGAGAATATTCTATACGCCGCGCAGAAGGGCGCCGGCATCGAGTGTGCAGACATCATATGCTACAGCACCGACGTGCGTGTTGGCCCCCTGGCACCAAGCGCATGTCACATGACCGAGCTACGGTTTATGGCGCTCCAGAGCGGGGTCCTGGGTCTGGAGGCGGTGCGTGTTGTGGATTTGGGAACACAGGAGCATGTTGATATCAAGGATCTGCCGAGTATAGTTGTTTCTGGGGCTAAATAAAATATAAATCATTGATAGCTGAGGTTTAAATCCTTCTACTACTCCCCCAAGATCTCGCTTCAAATGTTTCCCGCTGGAGTCCCCCAAGTGATTTCCAAATAATGTCTAATGCAATACTCCGCGCGCCCTGTTACGCTAAAATGTCATGTCTCATTGTAACCAATCAACTCCGTTAGCCAAAAATGAAACCGTGAAGTTCCTATAACCACAGCTTCCAAACTACGCTTCAAAATCACCCACAACCCTTTAGTGCAGCTACTTTTAGACGTGATTATCGTCATAGCGCACTCGACGGATTAAAATAAGTCGGCGGGACTAATCCTAGGTAGTCATCAATGCCATCCAGCCCATTAGTCTCTAGGCTCTCCATGAGTTCCACCTGTTGGCTGTAGCTTAAGCTTCCCATACGGTCTGTCTGCGTATCATAGCCTTGATCGGTATATACTAGTGGCCCAAAGTTGTACGTCGGTTGGATGAAGTAGTTGTTCTCATCCAGACTGTTAAAACTTTGTTGGCCCGCTGCAGGTCCAGGGGCTTGCATCGGCAACGTGGCAGTTTGAACAGGCGTAGGGCCCCACTGAGGCGGTAGCGGCTGCTGTTGCTGAGGTAGCTGTGGTTGAGACTGCTGTGGCTGGGATTGCTGTTGTTGAAGCTGCTGCGATTGAGGCTGCTGCGATTGAGGTTGCTCCGGTTGAGGCTGGTACGACTGTGGCTCTTCCTGCCCATACTCGGGAGGGAAGTAACTGAAGCGTCGATCAGTCGAGCGACTCGCTGGCTGCATGAAAATGGAATTTGATCGGAACGTAGGCTGCTGTTGCTGGAATCGAACGTTCTGGTGGTACTCATTTGCCGCAGTATTCTCGGGAGACTGGTTAAACACGTAACTGAATGTTGGAGCTGGCTCTTGTGATTGCTGAGAATACGCCATGGACGGCGCAGTGAGATTTGAGTGATCGGAAAAAGGAGAGGACATGGATTCGTTGACGGACGCAGGCGAGTTTGCGGAGAGCGAGGAGGAGGAGTCGGAAACTTTTCCACCATCATAGGACTTGAAGCACGCTCGCCCAAGCCGTTGGTAAAGCTCCGACGCGGGTTTGCTACCAGGCCATCGGTCGGTACAGCGGACCATCACGCCTACCGCCACCTCAAGGAGTTCTTCAAGTTCTTCTTTTGGGTGTAGACTTCTCACGTCTGGGTATGATATCGACCAGAGAAGAGTGTTCACGGCCATAAACAGGCTCTGAAGGAAGATCCAAGTAACATCCACAGAAGGATTGTCCATCTGGCGGTGTTGCATCTTGATGTTATACGCTGAAGCATCGTAACACATTATGGCGCCGCGAACAGATGGCTTTGGAACCTGGGGAGAAGGGCGGAAAAGGAATACAATCATGGTGTTAACCTTCCCAGTAAACCTATGAGAAGGGTCAGCGAAGATTCGAAACGATCCGAAGGAAATTTGCCATACCAAGGTTTGCTCCAGCTAGGGTTCTCAGGGGCTGCTTCTAGCCAAGATTGAAGTTTTTCCTCCATCTGAGGAAACCAAGGATGTGAGTCGTTTTTCGGCTCAGACCGCTTCCTTTGATACAGTACTCGACGTATTTCAGCCTGTAGTAAACGCATCTTGAAGAAATGAACCGCCATGACCTTCTTTTCTGATACATGGTTGGAAGTGATCCCACCCGGTGTGATGTACTCATCATCGACCGTGGCAAAAAAGCCTACATCGACATGGTCTTGACCAGTGGCATATCCGTTGGGACGACCAAGGCTATGTGCCAGCCCAAACTCCATTGAGAGTACAATCCATGATAAGCGCCTCCTCATGTCCATCTGCAGCGGATCAACTTGACTAAGAGACACGCCCTGAACAATGGTCTTCTCTTCTGTGAGGCCTAACTGCTGGCATAATCTTGTCGCGAGGCCAACGATGTAGTATATCGGTGTCTTGGTAGGCGTCAGGAGAGAATATTGTGCTATCAATACGAGACATTGTAATGTCCTGAGATCTTTCGGCCGCACCACTTCATCAACGCTTTGCATGGCAGCCAAGTAGTAGCTATCCGCCAGGCCTGCATATTGCGGATCAAGCTTTTGCATGCTGATGGCTAGAACTATTCGCACAATGAAGTTTTTAACCGGGTCTGTATCGCCAGCATAAACCTCGTCGCATTCCTTATAAAATGTAGGCTCGTGTAACGTAGGGAAAAGATATTGAGCTGAGGACCGATTAGTAATTACTCGTTCAATGAAGCGGGGAATTCAATGACCGACCTTTTTGATTGAAGACTTCTATTAGCTTATCAGTTACTGATCGGTTTGGCAATCGATCTGCTGGAATGGCACTGATCATCGGGTATGATTTTGTCCTCTCTGGGATGGACTCCGGAGACTGGCCGGGAGCTCGTCGAGTGCTAACCTCCGGAACAAGCTCACGAATGCTCCTGGAATCTGTGTAGCGCCTAGCTTCCTCCATCACCAATCTCGTCATAGCAATTCCGCTCGAGGGCCCAAGGTATCGTGGCATCTCATCGTCCTCCTCCAATCGAACGAGACCCCCGGGCCGTATCGAATCCTCCGTTTTGATTTGGGCATCATCATCGTCAACATATCGTCCCAGTTCCAGTTGTAGGGCGCGGACTCGATCCTGGAGGCGGATCACATAGGTTCGGGATATCTTCTTGTTCTTTGTGGTATCATAATATTCGCAGACTGAGCCCTTTCGTTCGCAGGGCAGGCACTTCGGAAGGGTTGGGTCGCACCGCGTCTTTCTCTATCAGAGTATTAGTAAACTGCAACATGAAATCCTTTTGTCGCTGTATCAAGATGTACTAACCTGGCGACATCGGCAGCATGCGGCTAATGTGTGCGCGATTCTTGGTGAGTTCGAGTTTCCGTCGCTCTCATGGCTGCTCTCTCTCGCGCGAGGGGTTCTAGCCTCTCGTGCCTTGCTCACCGACCCCAGGCCCTGCCGAAAAGCTTCGGCTACATCCATTTGCTCCGGAGCTCAGAGTATATTATTTGCTGCTCGCGAGGGGAATACTGCGCATGCTGGGGCGACCTCAGCGATGAGCAGTTTGCTGTCTCTGGAGAAGCTGTGTCTCGCAACTGCTAACCAGCCGAGGCTCTCGAGGGCGATCCGTTCCGGGGGTTGATGCGAAATATGAAGAGGTCCGGTTAATATGCGATTGAGATTCGTCGTTGGTCATCACAGTCCTTGGTGGCGCATTTCATCTTCGCTGGGTATATGCGGCCATAGGAGTAGTGTTGGAAGTGACCACTGGAGCAAACTGACAGAACCGTAGTTTGTGTTTGTGGAGGGGAACAGTCGTCGGAACAGTCCCGCAACAGAGGTGTAGGTTAGACTGGTGGGGGGATGGGGTTTTACAGATTTGAAGATGATCTACCAACCGAATAATAATGTCAAAGTTTTATACTGTTTGTGTACAGTACATACAATGTACAGCACAGTCAGCCAGAGATTCCGTACATATTGGATTCCTGCGGATTCCTGTCTCCAGAGTACTCCAGTGCTCAAATCTTAAGCGCCGGCGTTGTTGGCCCACAGAGAAGACCCGCACCGCACCGCACAACTAAATCTAAGTGCTACTACTAACAATACGCCGTTTCTCTGGTCTGGGGTTCAAAAGAAGCAGGTACTTGTTCAGTTTATACTGCGGAGTTAGGAGAATAGTACTATAGACCAGTACATAACTCGTACATAAACCCCGTGGAATGTCGCTAAAAAAGACAATGTGGACCCTGTGTTGACTTGTTCATTTTGCCTGTCCACATGCATGAAGACGTGCGAAATGAAAACAAGTACAAGTACCATTTGGGTACCATCCGTCGTCCTTGGCTCCAATCCACCCGCACGGGCGGCGGCAGAGTTAAGCCTAGAACACCAAAGGAGTTAGGTGCACAACATCACCTTGCTGCAACTCGTCGTATCATTTGCTTCCCCTCTTCCACCCCACTTACTTAGCACTGCGTTGCACGGAAACATCTCCATCTCTATCCTGCACGTCTTACTTTCTTAAACAGCCTCTGCGCCGGCCCGGATACCCTCATTTCTTCTGAAAGCGTCGGGTGTCGGGCTTCGGAAAGGCATTATGCATCGGTATACTGCCCTTGATTCGCCATTGTTAAGGGTCTCTCGGCCAGTAGCCGCGTGCTCAAGATGTGAGTTCATGAACCAAGCCAGGAATTAAAACATGACCCTGATTTTATCATAGGCCGCGCAGCAAAGATCAAGGCATGTGCTCTGCAGGTATATTAGAGGTTTGCTACTTACACCCTTTAGTGTGACGGCAAGCTCCCGGCATGTACGGCGTGTGAAAAGGCTGGTAGAGTGAATGAATGCTCAAGCTCCAATGACCAGTTTGCGAAAGGCAAAGAAAGGAGGTCAGTTGTAATGGGGAACTGGGCGGTTGGAGGCAAATGCTAATGAATATCAAGCTATGTTGCATCTCTCGAATCGCGAGTGGAAAAGCTCGAGAAACGCATAGCATATGCGAAGATGAGAAAGGCATCAGTCACTATGCACGAAGGCGATAGCCCGCCTATGACGCCCCCCGATCGAAAAGACTCACTGGCTGCTATCCGTGCGGCCATCCAAGGAAAGGCTGCTCGACGGCGGGAGGCCACCGATGTCAATGAACTCGTCTCAGACTTTGGGTTTATGTTTGACCTCCTTTCCCTTGGCTAACGTTGACCGTACTCCCTCCTAACTTTTATAGGACTGTCAATGCCACCATGCGAGACTTCGACACGAAAACTACGAGCTTAACCTTTGCCAGACTTATTTTGGCAGCGTCTCTTAATGAGCCATTGCCAAGGCTAAAGAATCCACAAATGCCCTCGAGGCAAACAGCTATGGGGCTACTTCAGTATTATTTGGAAAACGTGCTGTCCCTGTTTCCAGCATTTCCAGAGACCGCCCTCTTTAACGCATTGGATGCGGTCTATCAAGAAAATCCACAACATGTTGAGGACTTCGATTATTGGATACTATATATGGTTTTGGCGATAGGCTCCATGTGCCAGTCCCGCAGCAGCACAGATACCTTCTATAAGGATGGCGTTGATTTTGTTGTGCGAGCACTCAAATTTGCTGACCACGTCCTCATGCCCGGCTATCCACAGCAGATCCAAGCGTTGATTCTGCTTGTGCAATATTCCACATTGGACCCGGCACACTTTGACAGTTGGCAATTGATCGGATTCACTTGCCGCGCTGCGGTCGACTTGGGTTATCACCAGGATCCACCAAAGGAGCAGGCGGTTGACAAGAGGGCTCTTCAACAACGGCGAAAGATATTCTACTCTGCATATGCACTTGACAGGTAATTTTCATGCTATATATCATTGACATGCTTATGCTCACCCAACATAGATCTATCAGCATGGTACATGCTCGGCCATTTTCATTTACGGACGACGCTATCACTGTAGCATTTCCAGCTGATCTTTCCTCGACATCTGATCCAGAAAGCCCAATTTCGAAATTGCCAGCCCTGGATGCATCACTCCTCATATTCCAACTGCGGAAGGCTCAATCCACTTGGTATCAAGAGCTTTTCCAGTCGAGTCGCGATCCTCTTCATCCTTCGTCTCAATATCTCTGGCAGATGTGTTATGAAATGCGCACCTGGTCCGAAAATTTACCCAAACATCTCCCTCAGGCTACACGAGAACTTTTCGACTTAGAACTCCTATATAGCTATGTCTATTGTTTGGCGCCTTCGTGCCGATTCCCATCAGTGTCAGAATTGGGCAAGACACTGATCTTCGAATATTGCATATCTTATATTCAAAAGCTATTACCCATCGCCAAGGACCCGATCAATACGGCATTCTACACATATCATGACGCCCTCAGAGTCTACTTTATTGGAAGCCAGTTCATCGCTGTACTTTCTGATAACCTCAATGCACTTCTGCAAGGAATCATTCCATTCGTCAACACCATTCAAGGGGGACCACCTCCTCCCCCCATACCAAATATGGGGCGTACAGATAATATTAGCCGGAGCATTATCTGTATCGAGCAGATTATTGAGGCATTGAAGACCTATGGTGAGCGCTGGGATGACTCGAAGGCGCTCAAGTCTAGTTTCGAGGCACAGTCTACAGGTATGCTGGGTGAGCTATACAGGCGGCAAGAAGAACAGCAGCAGCAACAGCAATATCACCAGGACATTAGAGATTCAAGCTCTCCCGGCACTGTAGTCTCTGGGACTGATTATAAAAGTTCTCCTCCTTCGCAGTCACTGTCACAGCTCGGAGATGGATGGAGTATTGATCGATTCACCGAGGACATATATAAGGGATGAACGGGAGGTCGTTGGTTGGTTCATTAGGATGTTGGAGACATGGCTCCTGGAGATCCTTAATCATATCCATGTTTGATTTCTTTAATAGCCTATCATTTTAAGATATCCTGAGAATAGAGATGAGATGTTCAGACAATCTAAACCTGAACCACTCCGGAGTCTGATGCACAAGCTTGGGGCTACCTCCTAAGATTAGGATCCCTGTATTGTTTACATAATATCCTAGACAAGCAGAGTTTCGACACGCGGCTCAGCGAATCCTTCCTCCATCAAAGCCTATCAAAAGAACATCATAATCCTCGGATTTCTCTTCAGAGTTTGTCGTCAGAGTTTGTTCAATTAGCGGCTATTCCCCAGGTTTGTCGTGTTGTATGAATGACGGGCTCTTGGCGCTTGGACCCCCCAACAACACTTATCGGTGATCCACATCAGCCCGTGGTCAGCGCAGACGTCATAGATAGGCGTCGATCGTGACATCGGATCCGCCTTCGATACCTCAACCTTCAACTCCGCATTCCCAAGGTCGCAGCCATGGTGTTCGATATACAGAGGCGGCAGTTACTACGATACCTAAACACCACATATACCTATTGGAATACTGTAAGTGGGATCCACGTTTTGATTTCACAATGCCTAGTGCAATTGTTTGTTTCGAACCCATCACTGACGAGACCTCTTCGCCACACAGCCACTCCTCCATGCGATAATCGCCTTCATAGAACTTGCAATCATGTCGAGGCTCGTAGCCAAGTTCCACGGCTACTATGCTGAACATCCAAGTATGTCAATCCAGCAGCTCCCTGGTCATGACCTTCACTAATTGGCTTTCAGTCCTTACGATGATGGCGTCGAACGCCGTCCTCAGTGGCATAGCCGACACAGTTGCCCAAAGCATAACTGCAATCCGCGAGCGCGCTCTCCGAAAGCCTGGCGGCCCAAACAACAGAGATGACCCATTTGCAGTCGAGATCCACGAGCTTGACAAGAGAAACCCCTTCAGCGTGGAGGACCTCATTCCAGAGTCCAAGATCCTTCCTCCACCATTCGACTTCGAGCGGCTCTCTAGATTCGTGGGATACGGCTGTATGATTGCCCCGGTGCAGTTCAAGTGGTTCCAGTTCCTGAGCAGGTCATTCCCGATTACGAAGGGAAGTGCACTCGGACCGGCAATGAAGAGGGTTGCGTTTGATCAGCTGATATTCGCACCGTTTGGTCTCTGTCTCTTTTTTACGGCAATGACAGTTGCTGAGGGAGGGAGAAAGAAGCAGGTTGTGCATAAACTGCAAGATATGTTTGTGCCGACGCTGAAGGCCAACTACGCCCTCTGGCCGGCGGTTCAGATATTGAACTTCCGCGTCATTCCGATCCATTTCCAGTTGGTAAGACACATCTCACTGTATCCCATACACCCGGCCTCTTGCTAATATATCTTGGTAGCCATTCGTATCTACTGTCGGAATCGCGTGGACAGCATACTTGTCACTTACGAATGCGGCGGAGGACGCTAAGGAGGCTGGATCTCCAGTAACACCTCAGAGGGCGCAACTGCGGAGGGAATATTCCGATTAGGAGCCTGCTGAAGTGTTGTACTTATACATATTTCATACTTGACACGCTCATATCAGCTGTCATAGGGTAGACGGGCATGGATTCATGGATTCACGGATTATATTTAAGGACATACAGTTCTTGGTCAAAGGGGGCGTCGTGGTCGAAAAGACGGGGCATCTAGGTCATATTCTTGGGCGTTAAATGAAATGATATTCTATTTTTCTCCTGAGTATATCTACTATACGCTACATGTTAGCGATTTAGCAACTGTTTATGGCGGAATTTGCCCGCTGCTTTACGCGTCCTCTCCGCTTGGTTACCTAGGCTAACTCCAGGCTAACATAAATTTGGCTTGCCGCCTTAAGGACAACTACAATCACAATCCCGAAATTGGTTGCTCCCCGAAATGTGAGGGCCATTTTCAAGGTAAAAATAACAAGGCAGAGTAACCCACGCAACCTACTTCGTGACCTGCTATGACAGAAAATGTATATAATCCTGCATAATCCTGCCATCTTGCCCTAACACTCTTTACTCTCTTTACATGTCCTTAAATCACTCGCTCTGTCGGTGAGGGAGGGCGCTTGGGTGTGGTGGGGGAGGGGTTGGTAGGCGGGGTTCTCGCGCGGGGGAGGACCGGTTGGGATGGGGTTCTGGCTCTGGGCTTCTAGGTAGGGTGGCGGTGGTACGTCTAGCAAGTCAGGCGTTCCGTGTTCAAAGGCTTGCGACTTCTTCGCCTTCGCGTCGGCTTTGCTGTCGCTGCATGGTTTTTGTTCCATGTTGTTTAGTTGGTTGAGGTTTCTAGACGCGGGCTAGGTGGGGATGGCTTTGAGGAATGGGAGGTAAGTGCACGATATATATGGAAATAGGCCTGGCAAGGTTGCTGAGACCACAGATTGAGAGTCTGCGCTACAGGTAAGCTGCCAATGAGCGCCGCTGCCATACCGCACAAGGATCTGCTGGCATTACTCGGAATTATATTCGGTGGCGTTGGATCCCCCAAGTTTATGTCCTGGAAAATCAAGTGGAGTTGTGTTCTTTGGCACTTAGATGCTCTCGAGGAGTAACTTTGACGGCGGTAAAGGATCACAAGACATGTTTGCAGCTTATAATGACGGGTCGTTTGGAGACGATAAATTGATCAGAGTAAGCTCCCATAGGTGATCAAAACCAGACTCAAGCATTTAGCATAACAATAGTCAGAGTTCTAGTATACAAAATTTGAAAGGGAACCAAAGTTCATCCGAACGCACGCACGAAAGAGTGCAAGCTAATTCATGGGAGGCGGCGTAATGAGAGACGCTACCTCGTCCAGAATTTCAGTCGCCGTTATCAACACCTTACTTAGCGTAGTAGGCAACGTATTCAGCGCTGTAGTTGTCGCATCGACCGTCGAAGGCGATGTGGATGAACCTTGTGCGTAGGGCAACAACACGATACCCAGATCCTCCATCTCCTCCTCGCACCCATCCTTGCAGCGAAGAAGGCCAAAGTTTCTCAAGAGCTCCTCTTCGGTAGGCCTTCGTGTGGAGTTCTCCTCGTCAATGAAGATCTCTTCCGGATCAAGTCCTCCGTCTGTGTCACGTTTGGTATGGCCATTTTTAGGCCAGCCCCCAATTGCTGCAAGCAAAAGCAAGTCGGGATGAGGTGGTTTTTTGTATAATGCCCAGTTTGACTGTCGGTGAACATTGGCAGGTTTCTTATACCATGGATCTTCGGTCTTAAGTGCGAAGCCAGGGTCAGCGATAAGTATCTCAGGGTAGCAAGGGTTTTCAGCCATGCCGCCGTCGCCGTAGGCTGGCATGTTTGTATATGCCATAGAAAACACTGTGTTCGTGATTTTATATTCCTGGGTGTATACCGTTGTGTCTCTACCTCCACACCCTCCGTTTCCGGGAATAATATGAGATTTACTCGGGACGCCAAGATTGTTAGAGACCACCTTATCGGGGCATACATCCTTAAACATTTGCCCAGCTCCTTTATTTTCTGTTCTGGGAAGGAATCTGATCCACACATTGGTGTCCCGTCCATGCCACATTTCGGCTGAGGGATACTCATCACGCTCGCAGTTGACATTAGCCTCTCGCATGAATCCATCCCACCAACCTTTATGGTGATCTGCTCTGTATTTAGCTACCTCGTCCCGTGGTGCCCTGCCGTATTTATTGATGCAAGTGACAGAGGCGTGCTCTGGATGTTCCCTTATGATTGATCTGTAGTTCAGACACGCTTGGGGATATAAATCACCGCTACATGTTTTTACTACAACGACTTCAGAAGAAGGTGCTACAGCCACGCTGACGGTTTTGGTTTCGTCACGGAGCCTCTTCTGCAAATTCTTGCCAGAACAAGTATTCGATTTGGTTGATATTCTGGTCGGAGACGCGGATGGCTTGCGCTCGACTTTGGGTTTAGTCGGCTTGTCATACGGAATTTCGTCGTCTTTACCCCTGAACTTAAAGATTCCCTTGCCAGCTTTAGCAATGCCTTTAGCACAAAGATTGGCTAGAGCCGGCACCGCTGCCTGCACTGCGAGGCGAATGATCCAGCCTATTATGATAAGGGGTTAGTATACAGGAAGCTAAAAGGGAGCGCGGAAACCGAAAGAATAGAGAGGGGTTTGATGTGCACAAGAAAATACGTACCAACGAAAGGAATGAAACTTAACGGCATCAACGCAGCCGAGATAGCAATTCGGCAGAACGCTTTAGCAGCTATCTCTAGTGCTACACTCGCAGCGACCTCAAGGGCGAGATCTGTGGCCTCGCCCTTGGCCTTTTCTACTATCTGCTCTTTGCTGATCGGAGGACTGAAATTTAGACAACAAAAGCTCTGAGTTCTAGACATACAGCTCTGTTCCTCATTACCGGATTTATGGTTAGTATTTTGTGTGAGGGTAAACTCATCGACGTGACAGCTGCCCATGCAACTCAGGCCGAGACCCCTGTAGCCCCTCCATTTGCATTTTCCCATGAGAGTTCCTTTGGAGCAGCAGAGGCGACGATATTGCGACGAAGGACAGCGGTCCGCGGTAGATAATTGTCCGGGTTGGCCGTTCATTTGGGCAGCCTCGTGGTCGCCAATACGACATTTTGCATTACAGGCAGTCGTGTAGCATACACCCTGAGCTTCTTGATCTTGAACTTCGCTTTCAGCTTCTTTAATCTCTTCTGCAGTCCACCTGTGGCACACAAAATCAACATTTTCTCTTCCATCTGAGGCATCTGAGGAGCAGCGAATATAGGGACTAAGAGACCAACGAAGCTGCTACATGAAATGCAGAACAAGAATCTCAGGAAGGGCATAGAACAGAGGAAAGGCTTGGATGTACATACTCTTTGGGATAGATAACACTTTTAGACTCCTGGTCAACTTGATCTAATGCCCAAACCATGAGACCTCCAAGGCAGCGTGAGTTGCCAAAATCTCGCTTCTGAGCTAGGGTTTCGGCATCGTCATAAGAACCCACTGATCGGTGTCCCAATTGATCCCTGTGCGACTAGTAAGCCGAAAGTTTACAGTGTTTCTCAAAGAAAACCTGAGAACTTACATTTGACACCCGCTTTATTGTCATATACAGGTGTAAGATCCTTCTCCTCGATAATGTCTAGAATCTCCTACAATCATCAGAAAGTCAGTGCCATACTCCAAGTGATATCTTGGAATGGAATGGAAGAAGGCTATAAATGGTATTAGGTGATATGACAGGCTCTAGAGTAGCAAAGCGGACGTCAACAAAAATTGCCACAGTCGTGGTCATCGTTATGGCAGTGTACACTACACTCCTTTGCTTCCTTATAACACCTACACCTCTTCGTACTACACAGCCCTTTGCACTGACAGGATATTCCAACCCGAGCACTTGTAGAAGCCTCTCTAGCTGCAAGCCCTAGGCCTACTTCCTTAGTAGAAGTAGGAATTACTATATCACCCCATAGAGCTCGCTCTACAACTCCAAGTGATTTAGTAGGAATAAGGCGTTGTATAATACCAGAAGCTGTAAGAATCCGATACCTATGAGGGTAAGGCTCTTCTAGAACCCAACCATGGGCCCGATATTTGAGAGAGATCTTGAGCCTGAAGCTCTAATTCACCCACAGCTCCGCCAGGCGCCAGAACTCTCAATTGAGCTTAGAATTGGGAGCTCCCACTCTGAGCCAGAACTCGGAATTGAGCTCGCAATCGACCCTAAGGTACTCATCGTAGCAAAGACCACTGACAGAATCCTTCCACAGGCGAGCGTCCGCGATGCAGCTCTCTGTGCAGAGTGTGCTCACGTTCCCTTGCTCCCAGTATATGCTATCGACGTCAATGGTCCACTGGAAAAGATCTTTGTCGTAAGACAGAGTCGTATTGCTGGCTTCTTGTCAGTCACATCATCTATTGATACGCATTGCAAATTTAAACTTACAGAGCGGCAACGCAGCCGGGACTGATGCTTAGGATCTCTGCCATAGTATCTGTCGGGATGAGGGGATAGAGCTGGAAGCCCTGGCCTAATGCCAATGCCAACATTGGCAACAGAGCTAGAACATGGCGAAGGTTCAACATTGTTGCTGTTGAACTTGTGCGATGAAGACTCGATGTCAGGACTCGAAATCGCGAGCACTGAATCACCAAAAGGAAATACTATGAGTACAGCACCGCAGCATCCAATTTGCAGTTAATTCATTTTCTCATATATGTTCCGGCCCAACCACCAACTATTCTGGTTGGCCAACTGGCCGGCCCAACCACCAACTTTTGGGTTGGTGGTTCGGCCGGCCCAACCGCCAACCTATACGTAGAATAGTAGAATAGTATATTGAATTGAATTGAATTCACCCCTCCCAACAACAAGCACCACAGGCACAGCACCAGCACCCACGGCCACAGTGTGCACTGGCCAAGAAGTTGATGTCCAAACAGCAAGTGGAGAAGGCATTGAGGCTTGCAACTATCTCGCTCTAGAATTAAACGTTGCGACAGGGAGTTTGATGGTGGCGTCTGGCAGCGAAGAATGTTATTCGGACAGTTTAATATGCGTGCCAAAATCGTGTAGGCTCCTGCAAGTCGGCGAAAGTGCTACCTGGTATAAACTCCTGCAAGGACCCTACGAGTACTTAGACTGACCATATACCCACAGCGAGTCGATTGCGAAATCCGCATCGAATGAAACGAATCCAATCAGCCTAGCACAATTAAGTACGTGGAATCCAAACATTCTCGGAGCTTGTGATTTCTTAGTGAAAGACCAGTATATATGTATAGAGTAAGTTGTTCCCCTAATATTGTTCTAGTCACGAACTAAACAATCCTCAGAGCGCCCGGGGGCTCCTTGGTTGGACCACCACAAGATGATATACCTGATGATACCGGGGGTCCTGTTCGACGGGGACCAGGCAGCACCATTACCCTGCCGATCATCGAGAATCCAGATGTGCCACCAGAACTTGTGCAAGAAGGCATTGCCGCTGACTGCATTCGATATGTGGTGGCCAATTCGACCGCTGCTTCATGCTGGAAGATCTCCAATGACGGACAGGTTACGCAGGCTCGTTTGTTCGAGCTTAATCCTGTTCTTGGAGAGCATGGAGAGAACTGCGGCACGATGATTTGGCTGGAATACGCCTATTGTGTTGCTACTAGCAAAGACCTTCCAACCACAACAAGTGTAGCTAGCTCGACCACATCTAACCCCCCAACGAGCACATCAAATCCCAAGCCCACTGCAACAAGGGAGGGGATTGCGGCAAACTGCAACAAATGGGCGATAGCAGAAACCGGCATAGGTTGCTATGATATGGCTGCAAATGCAGGTATCGAACTCTCCTTGTTTTACACATGGAATCCCATTCTCGGTGCTGCTGGTGAAAACTGTGGCACGGAAATCTGGCTAGATTACTATTATTGCACTGGCGTGTCTGGTTCGACCACATCCAAAGCACCCACGCCAACGTCCGTGACGCCACCAAAGCCGACAAATACACAAGCAGGAATCCCTGCTAGCTGTACGAAGTTCTATGAGGCGAAGACAGGGGATAGTTGCTGGCAGATTGCGGACGACAATGGTATAGAGTTGAGTTTACTTTACTCCTTAAATCCTATTCTCGGAGCGGCTGGCGAGGGTTGCGGGACGCAGCTTTGGCCGGAATACTCTTATTGCATAGCAACGTCGTAGATGAGTCGTGTATGAAGTGGTGGGAGTGTATAAGTTATGCTGTTCTTGCGGTATCGCCTGTAGGATTTGTAGTTGAGAGTTGGCCCGAAATGTACTGAGAATCGTGACTGTCTTCTTCCTACTACTTCGTGAAAATCCAAGGAGGGGATGTGAGACAGTGAAAAATAGAGGTAAAAATTTAAGGATCCAAAAAATAAAAGCACAGAATCTTCATTCCCACTCACGGGCATATTCAATCCGCGCCTTCTTTAGCCTCAGTTGAGCCTCCTCCTTTTCTATCATGTCACCACATGCTTCTGCCTTTATTATGTCGTCTTCGGCCCACCGAAAAGTCCACTTCTCGACGACTTGCAGGCGGGCTATGTTCGCGGCCTTAATACATTCTTCCTTTGAAAATGTCTCAAAGTTGGGCCATCCGTGATCTTGGAAGATCCGTTTAACAGGCTAGACCAAATGTGATCAGTAATTTGCTTCCTCCGCAACACATTATAGCTTACCCTAATTTGTTCTTCGCCGTCCTCGAATATTTCATGTTCTAACATGTCCTGATCTCCCCGCTTTCGCTGATGAATAACGCCGGGCAAAGGAATTAGGTCGAGAGAAAGAAATTTATGATGCATTTCGTTAAAGTACTTCTCGATAGCAACAGGATTGTACCATAACCATGGTGGGTCCTCTTGAGTTCTCTGCACCTCCCAATGGGTGCCGCAGGGGTACACGTAGCCTTTTTTAGTATCAATCAACCAGTCAGTTGAGCCACGGCCGTAGGTCAAGCAAATCATTCCAGGTTCTGGTTCATCGTCAAACGGCATGAGGGGGGGATAGAATTTTGACAGGGATTTATTCACTGCTATCTTGTCGGCAAGAGTATCATCCCACATCATACCAAGATATTGTATCGGCTCGGTGTCGGGCATGATCGGGTAGTCTTTCTGGAGGTATGGAAGGTGTCGTAAGAGGTCAATAACCGTCTCGTTTCGGCCCATGATACGAAGGGATTTAGCGTCAATTTGGTCGCCCCAGCCTCCAGGTGGTGGGCGTTGAATATTCGAATCTTCCATATATCCCATACGCACGAGCGTCTCGTAGTGACGCGTGAGGCAGCGAACGAGAACATCGCGGTCGTAAGCTGGGATTTCTTCCATTTTGGTGGGTAGCAACTACATCGCGAATGTTTTGTTAGCTCTAGCATTCTTTTGAGAGAGGTAATGACTAACTGCTTAGGGTAAATCTGCTCTCCTCGTGTTGTTTTATACTCTGTAATAATGTTGATAGTGTAAGGAGAGCAACGACGTGGTAACCTAGCACTAGACCCAATTCAGAGCCTAGTTAATATAAAGTCTTAGCATCATAACGTCCTTCTTAAGACTCGCGGCGAAGAACTTCTACGGAGTAGAATCCTTGAGAATTTGACGATTCCGCATCTCCGCATCCACCGCAGTTCGCAGCGAGGTATGTAAAAGTACAGTCGGTGTTGATAAGTGTGTGGAAAACCGCGTATTAAAACACCTTTACGAAAACACATTTTTACATCTATAAAAGGAGGTTCTTTTTTACAGTATTTATATTTCATTTGATTCTAACCCTTACAAATTTTGTTTGCAGGTATTAATAAGAGACAATATAAAGAGAGTCGTGGTAAATATTTTTCTATAACTTTTGTAATACCTCCCGTTCTAAACAAGAGTTGAGGGATTTTTATAGAACGGGCCGTTCCTCAACCTCCCGCGTCCCACAACTATCTAGTCTAGTCTCCCCCACTCCTCACCGGCTTCCCCGCCGTCGCATACTCCAACGCCTCCTCATTCGACTCCCTCACAAACATCTCCCAGATAAGACATCGAATTTGGTGGCCACGTGGATCCCATGGTGCGAAGCATCAGCGGCCAGAAGTTTGACTTCAGAGGTGTTGTCTGACGCAACGTAGATCACGTTCAGGTTGGAGTCGAGCGTTTGATTCAGGTAGTATTGCGACTGCGTTGAGTAGGGCGAGTCCACCCAGTCCTCTGCCTTCTCCGTGCGAAGTGCGCGCCGAAGAAGGCATTCTTGGTAATCGAGCTGGCACCGTTGTACATGAGGTCGTACTTGGCGAGCAGGCCGCGGGATGTGCGGGTGGCGAGCTCGCGCACGTCGGGCCGGAACTTGAGAATCCCGCCAAACTCGTGCACAAATGCCGCCGAGTCGCTGTAGATCGGATACATGAGGTGAGAGCGCCAGAGTTCGACAACTGTCGTTGCGAGGACCGGCGTCGTGCCGCCGGTCTGCCGCGCGAGCCAAGCGGCGAAGACGTCAGGCCGCGGGAGGCCGGTGCGGGGGATGGGCGCTTGCAGGTCTTCGGGTTTCAGGGCAAACGGCGGGTTTATTGCCTCACGGTGCATTTCTGGGAGATATCGTCGGAGCTGCGGACGATGATTTAGGGGAGGACGAGACGCGCGCCGGGGGCGATGGCGAGGCCGGTCCAGATGGGGATTGAGTTGCGGATGTTGCCAATGTCACTAACAGAGTTCTCACAGGTGAATATTGGATCCTGGTTCTATTTCGTAGAGGGGCAGACGGTTCTGATGGCTTCGGAATCGACGGGAGCGTAATCAAAAATGCCATCGGCGTGTGTAGTTTGCACGGCTGTTGATGATATGCGGGAAGAAAAAGGGGAGGGGCGGCAGGCGAAGACCCAGATCCACTTGACGATGAAGAAGGACGCCTGTCCGTCGTCATTTAGTCAACATAGTATAAGTATACTATGTAGTCCAAATACATATTTATACTCAGTATTTACTACTTCATGTGTTACTACCTATAGTGTAGAATACAATTAGTGGTAGTTGCCATCCCATCTTTCACAATGAACCTCCCTGTATCCCCATCCCTCTTTCCTTCCACTACGCTCTTCAGCAAGCGTCCCCCAATGCTCGGATGGTTGGCCCCCTCACCCACATCCGTCGCTAGGAACCCGGGGCCAACGCACCACACCTTGACGCCATCTACTTGCAGCTTGTGGTGATAATCTAGCATCAACATATTGAGCGCGGTCTTAGTGCAGCGGTACCCGACCGTCTCGAGCTCTACCTTCTTCGGCCAGCCGCGCTCTAGCGGCCGCAACGGGAAATCCTCCCTCGCGGACTCCTCGAAGGTATCGAGTCCGGTGACAAAGATGAGCCGTGGGTCGTAGGACTGCAAGAGGAGCGGCATGAACGTCCACGTCATTACGTGCGTACCAGCCACGTTAACATCATAAGAGCTAGTGAAGCTCTCACGCAGCGAGGCTTTGCCGCGAACGTAGTCGAGGTCCTTAATAACGCCTAGGTAATGTTAGCGAGGTGTGCACAGAATTAGGAGAGGTTCAGTATTGCGCACTAGCGTTGTTGATGAGGACGTCGATACGCCCGACGCTAGCCTTAACGGTCTCGAAAGCTTTCTCAATGGACAAGTCGCTAGCGATGTCAACTTGGATGGCCTCAACAGTGTTGAAGCAATTGGGGCACTCCTTTAGGGCGCACCCCTTGTCGCGCGGCCCGAGGGAATCGGCACACTCATTTCGAAGCGTCAAGACGGCTTGTTGGCCTCTTTCCAGCGAACGGCTGCCGAGAAAAACGTGGTAGGACTCGTCGGATTGCAGTAGGGCCTTTACGACTTCGTATCCGACACTCTTACTTGCACCGGTGACGAGTACTATCTTCATTTTGTTAACAATACGATTGCTAGGACTTGCAGTTTAGATGTCTAGATTCTGGTATGATGCTGTAGTAGCGAGATGGCTGACTGGGGTTGAGACATGGGGTGCGCGTGTCTTGGATGCATCTTTTTGTCTTTCTGTCTTTCTGTAGACGCGTTGCTTTGTTTCTGTACGGAGTATACGGAATAGGGAAACAAAGCATCACGTCAGGAACCAAGATGCCTTAGCTAGTAAATAGCTATAATAACTTCCTTGAATCATACATTGGTAATTGTATTGTCGATTTCACGTGAATCGAATGGACGATGTCATCGGCTATGGGTCTCGCAGGGGTAAGCTCGTCGATAGGTAATAGCATCACCCCACCAAATCTCAATAGGAGGGGTACTTTTCCAAGACCCCTCGCCGAAAACGCTTATCCGTTTCATCCCGCAGCCACGAAGCATCTCAACCTTTCTTACATCTTCGTGCTTTTCAATTGCAAAATAACTATTGCAAAATAACTATTGCAAAATAATCGCCATGTCTCTCTCCAACAAGTTATCCATCACTGACGTGTCCGTCAAGGACAAGAAGGTCCTGATCAGAGTACGTTGACTCAGCTTATGGAGGTGTTTATCCTCTGTTAAAATACATCATTGACAACGGTGTTGTAAACAGGTCGACTTCAACGTCCCTCTCGACTCCAAGAAGAACGTCACCAACACACAGCGTATCGCCGGTGCCATCCCAACCATCAAGTATGCCATCGACAACGGCGCCAAGACTGTTGTCTTGATGTCCCACTTGGGCCGCCCAGATGGCAAGGTCAACGACGAGTTCTCGCTCAAGCCTGTCGTTCCAGAGCTCGAGAAGCTTCTCGGCTGCAGCGTCACCTTCGCTCCTGACTGCGTCGGACCAAAGGTCGAGGAGATTGTCAACAACGCCAAGAACGGCGAGGTCGTTCTCTTGGAGAACTTGCGCTTCCACGCTGAGGAGGAGGGAAGCAGCAAGGATGCTGACGGAAAGAAGGTCAAGGCTTCGAAGGAGAGCGTTGACAAGTTCCGCGAGGATCTTACCAAGCTTGCGGATGTCTTCATCAGTAAGTATTACTTCGATTTCTAGCACTCACTTCACCTGCGAATTTTGCGGAGAGATTCTAACATACAATTAGACGACGCTTTCGGAACCGCCCACCGCGCCCACAGCTCCATGGTCGGTGTAAACACCCCGCAGAAGGCCTCCGGCTTCCTCATGAAGAAGGAGCTCGAGTACTTCGCCAAGGCCATTGAGAGCCCTGAGCGCCCATTCCTCGCCATCCTCGGAGGTGCCAAGGTCAGCGACAAGATCCAGCTGATCGACAACCTTCTCGGCAAGGTCGACTCGCTCATCATCTGCGGTGGCATGTCTTTCACCTTCAAGAAGACCCTCGAGGGCGTCAAGATCGGCAACAGCTTGTTCGATGAGGCTGGCAGCAAGATCGTCGGCGACCTGGTCGAGAAGGCCAAGAAGAACAACGTCAAGCTTGTCCTGCCAGTTGACTACATCACCGGCGACAAGTTCGCCCCTGATGCGACGACCGGCACCGCCACCGATGAGTCCGGCATTCCTGACGGATGGATGGGACTCGACTGCGGACCCAAGTCCATTGAGCTCATCAACCAGACCATCAACGAGGCCAAGACCGTCCTCTGGAACGGCCCACCAGGTGTCTTCGAGTTCGAGGCCTTCGCCAACGGCACCAAGAAGATCCTGGACTGCGCTGTCGCCGCCGCACAAAACGGAAAGACCGTCATCATCGGAGGTGGTGACACCGCGACCGTTGCGGCCAAGTACGGTGTTGAGGACAAGCTGAGCCACGTCTCTACCGGTGGCGGTGCCAGCTTGGAGCTGTTGGAGGGCAAGGAGCTCCCCGGTGTCTCTGCCCTGTCGAGTAAGTAGATTTAGAAAAGTGCTGGCACATATAGCAATTTAGAGCAGCTCTGATGTTGCTAGATCTATCTCTAAAATCGAAACTGCGTCTGTGAGCTTGGAATGTGATAGCATAAAATGGCATAGCATTTGTACATGTGTTTCAAAGTCACAAATGATCTGATGGTCCTGATAGCTTGTGTGAGGCGTTTGTATTATTTGCGCAAACAGCTGCCTTCTATGCTATGCATTGCATTGGTGATTGGCCTTCCTGACTCCGAATATAATGTGTCTCCCTTTAGCTTCCAAACTCCCAGTTCACCTCTTTTTGCTCGCCTCCACCTTCTTTAGTTCCTCCCTGTGATAGACGTCGCGTTAGTATGCTGATATAATATTCGGAGGGGCGTGATTGGGGTTGTGGGGTGCATGTAGGATGCTGACATACTTTAACTGTGCAGAGAAGTCCTCGCTAGTATCATCATCATCCCAGCTCTCCTCCCAAAGATGTGTGTTGTCGCCTGGTACTTCGGTCTCTTCTTGTGTCCAATCTGTGATGGCATAAGTTAGTTATTGCTCTTGCTTGGTTGTGTATGTACCTGGCACAGTTCGTAATGAAGACGCAGAGCACACGACGAGGGTGAAGTAGACTGCCTGCTCTGGCAGGTTCCTAGAAACTACTGCGGAATCTATGAGATCTGATGGATTGCGTCGCCAAAGGAACACAAGACTGCCACTTGGTGTCATAGCTCTGCGCTCTCAGAGTTGAGAGCTTGGTTCGGGCGAGTTTCGGCGCTTTATCTCGTGCGGACCAACACCGTATTAAAGAAGCAGGTAAAGAGAGAGTGATGCAAAAAGTCCAACGAAAAGCATATTCTTCATACCATCTACAGGGAAGTCCTCAAACTCATCATCCTCCTCCAAGGTAACAGTCGGCTTCGAGTCTTTGGCGGGTGTCGCGGCCTCTGCCTTGTTGTTTGCTGGCGCCTTGCCAGAAGCTGGAGCTGTGGACATCGTGTTCGGCTTTATGTGTTCGTTGGAGGTATCAAGGAATCTGGTTGTGTTGTAGGTTGCTGTTAAGAGTGACTGGGAGTCGTATGTCCTTGTCGCGATAGACCAGTTGCGGCTTTGAAATGCATAGATGGAGCTAGAGCCATCCGTAGTCCGCCTTACCTAACGTTCGCAGAAGCGCAAACGCCAGAGAGCGCGATAAGCTATTAGCGCGATTTGGCAGGGTAGCTTAACCCCAGGGCTCCAGGGCTGGACCGGATCCATCGGCGTTATCGGGGGTTAATTCAGCTCAAAGATGATGTAAATGCGTGAAAGCCTTGAAGCAGGTTGACGCGGCCCCGGCCACAGCCGCCAGAGGATCCAACGTTACTTCTTCCTTATTTTTTTTCCATGTTGTAAGATATTACTGTATACGCTTGATTTCCTTCGTACCCCGTCGTTCTTGCTTAAACCCTTTTCCCAAGACGGAACTTGTCGGACCCTTGGTTTTCTATAACCCTCCATGTCAGCATTTGCCTCCTTCGTGTGAATTTGTTCAACACAACCCAGGGCTATTCCACAGCACTGCTCAGAGGCTACATTATGGTCGGCCTTGGATGGCTTCGCGGCGGAGCAAAATCAGAGCCTGTAACTTCGCCCAAAACTCCAGCTGATGAGCTGAAGCAACTCGAGCATGCCCTGGCAGCTGTAATATGGATTATGTCGGATGACGTCGATGCGGCGGACAATGCACTGCACGAAGAGACGTCCTCTTTCCATTATCTCGGCCGTGGGGTTACGCAGTTTTTACGATCAGTCCTGGGATTTGAACAAGATGTTATGAAGGAAGCATCCAACAGACTTGCGGCAGCTGAGGCATCATCTTGGGCGGACCTGAAACGGGCGCAAAAGGACCACAAGTCATACCAGTCAAGGCTGTATTCTCCAGGAGCAGAGTATGCATTATGCTACGCAGAATCTCAGATGATGAGCGCAGTGGTTGGCGTGCTGAACGAGAGCTTGACGGAGAGTATTAAAGGATTCTATAAGCTCAGAAAGGCCTACTTTACTCTGGATTCGATCATGCAGGAGGAGGCGGCATTTATGCGCAAACAACGGGGAGAGCAGAGTACTTCAAATGGAGATGCGCCGAGAAGACCATCTATGCCTGGGAGCTTCGATGAAGGAGAATTTACGGATTTAACGGACTCGAGGGACGTTAGTCAGACGAACCTAGCCGCAAAGGGTGCAGAATTGGTGGAAAAACAGAGTCCAGACGATAGCGATTTAGAATTTTTGGATGCAGATGAATCGAAGGCTGGAATTGAGACTACAGCGAATTACCTTGGCCACACCATTTCCAATGAGGAATTTGAGCTCCGAGCCGCCAATGCTTCAGCAGGCACAAAAAATGGCGAAAAGGAAGGCGAGATGCTGCGAACACCTACAGTTACATCCGCAAAATCCAAAGCATCATCTCACCAAGCCCCAGAGGCCGAGTTTTTTGCCAATCCCATGGACCTCTTCATCCACTCTGGCACTAATTTATGCTACGGACTCGTCCTTCTGATTATTTCCATGGTCCCTCCAGCTTTTAACAAACTTCTTTACATCATAGGCTTCCAAGGTGATCGTGGACGGGGTATCAGGCTCTTATGGCAGGCAACTAAGTTCGACAACATCAATGGCGCTGTTGCTGGGCTTGTGCTCCTTAGCTACTACAATGCCGTTGTTGGCTTTTGCGATATCGTTCTCACCGATAAAGATGCGAGAGAGGATGATTCCACAGCATTTTCAATGGCTAAATGCAACGACCTTATTGAGACCATGAAATCACGCTACCCAACTTCCCGATTGTGGCGCCTAGAAGAGGCCAGAAAAGAGGCTACGAACCACAATTTAAAGGGTGCAATCCAGATTCTCAACAACAACCAAGATAGTAAAACGAAACAAATCCTGGCTTTGAATATGTTCGAAAAAAGCTTGTGTTCTATGAGTCTCCACGAGTTCGAGCTTTGCACAGAAAGCTTCGTCGAATGTACGACATTGAACAGCTGGAGCCATCCCTTATATATCTTCGCTGCTGGATCAGCACAAGTGGAGCTTTACCGTAAACACAGGATTTCTAATCCAGAGCTTGCGAAGAAGCACAAAGACAGGGCCACAGGACTGTTACGGAAGGCTCCAACGTTGACCGGGAAGAGACGCTTTATGGCGAAGCAACTACCATTTGATATCTACGTGGCCCGCAAAGTTCAAAAATGGGAAGAACGTGAAAAGGAATGGAAAGTGGACCTCGTGGACGCCATTGGTGTCAGCCCCCTAGAGGAAATAATCTACTTGTGGAATGGTTATAAGAGGATGCGACCAGAAGAGCTACAAGTCTCCCTGCAGACCTTGAATTGGGACAATGCCACTCATCCCGAGAAGTTCAAGGCTGATATGGATGAGGTTGGACTTCAAGCGTTGATGCATGGGGCTGTTTTGAGATATCTTGGGAAATTCACGGAGGCACGGCAGTTGCTGACGGAGAATATCGTTAGCCGCGACAAGTAAGCCCGCTAGAGTTCCGTAACTGCTCGTATACTAACCTATTTACTAGGAATGTCTTCAAAGGCCACCTCTACGACGACTGGAATTGTCCCTCTGCGTATTACGAAATGGCAGTGATATCATGGATGGAAAGAGACCTGCCGGGCATGGATAGCAAAGCTAAGCTAGTGGAGTGCGAGCAATGGCTAAACAAAGTCGCAAAATGGGAGACATCATATGTTTTGGACGCTCGTATTGGGATGAAGGTTACTACCGGATTGGATACGATCAAAAGGTGTCGCCCAAGGGTGTAAATTATTGGTACAGGGCTTGAATAGGATACATATGGGTTTGGATTAGAGAAAAGCATTTATTGGCGAAATAAAATGCTTGTTACATATGAAACTGATAGAAGAAATTTGGCGTTCTTTGGCGTGGAATAAAAGCAGTTTGAAGTAGTTTTGATATTCATCAGTTGTTCTCACGTGCCTACTTACCGTTCTGCGTCGCTGTTTGATAGGAAAACTATAGCCTCGTCTATGCGAGGCTACCGTAGGCCAAATATAGGTTAGTGGTGGTAATAAGTACCTTGTATCAATGACGGCCCGACACCTTCCAAGCACATCCATGAGAGCCGACACCTACAGACAAATATCCGAGGGGTTCTTGACAACGTTTTATATCAGTTCAGCAGTCTTATCACTTCCGGAGTATATGGCGCCATAGCGAATCTTACATTCGAATGCGAACACCTCCCCTGGAGCACCACTAGCCTCGCTATACTTGCGCCCAGCCATGTCCCAGATCCCCGCGAGGAACATGAGCAGCCCACCCCCAGGGTCTCCGATCCAAGACTCTTCAAATCTAACAGAATCTGGCGTTATAGTGGATGTCCCACAAGGTTCGCGGCCGGAGAGCAGTCAAGAGAACGAAACTAAAACGGATGCGCCTGGTCCCTTCGAATCCGAGAGGGCTGAACCTCGGCACTGTTGGATTTGCCTCCAAGACGAGGGCGACGACTCGCCAGAGCACTCACAATGGCGGTCGCCATGCCCTTGCAATCTTCAAGCCCACGAGGAGTGTCTACTAGAATGGATTACCGACATCCAGGCGCAGCCATCTGGGGGGACGAGTATGAGCAAGAAGGTGTTATGCCCGCAATGCAAGTCTGAAATCAAGGTGGAAAGGCCAATCGAGCTTGTAGTCGCCGTTACGGACCTTATTTCCGCCATAGGACAACAACTGCTTTTCCCAACTGGGGCAGGCATGCTGCTTGGATGCTTATACTCTGGGTCTATGGTGTATGGGTTCAACGCTATAGAGCTGGTATTCGGTGGGGAGGAGGGCCGTCGGATGTTATTCGCAGCAAGAGAGACCCCGTCATTAATCCGACAGATCCTTCCAGGCGCTGTCATAGATTGGTTCTTTACAGTCCTGAGAATGACGGATCCGTTCGTACCTACTTCGGGTGGTACCTGGGTCTTTGGAGTCGCACCTTTAATTGCCCCTGCGCTTCTCCTGTCTCGCACCCACATCGCGGACCGCACATTCTCGATGGTGCCCCTAATGGTAAGTGTCCTAATACCCATGGATCTTCCAAAGCTGCAGTGGAAACGATCTAACAAGTAGTAGTACCTTTTGTTTCCCGTAAACCACCATATCCCACACTGGCCGCCGTCCCCCGGCCTCGCCCTCGCCACCCTCCCATACATACGCTCTGCCTATAACGAGCTGTACTCCTCCCTTTTTGCGGACCTCGAGAATGGCTGGAACCTCGCTGTCCAGCGTAGACCGCGCGAAGGCGAGACCGCCGAAGACGTCGCCCATGGACAGCACGCCCGCGCCGACGAGGGCAACATTCTAGATTTCGAAGTGGAAATCATCAACGTTGAAGAGGGGCATGGCGCACTGAACCCACCTGCGGGTCCGCCCCCGCATGTAATCAACCTGGGTGTTCCTGAAGCGCATGGTGCACTGAACCCACCTGCCGGCCCGCCCCCACATATAAACCTCCACCTGGATGCCCCTGAAGGGCAGCCGCAGAATGTAGAGATGCCCAACCAACCGCAGGCTGAGGAACCACAGGGAGAACCGCAACAAGCTGGAGCTCAACAGGAAGGGCAACCGCCACCACCACTGGCAGGTCAGCCTGCGCCGCCTAATGGGGTCCCAGCAGCGGGTAACGAACCCTGGGAGTTTAGGCAGAACATATCGACGGCGCAAGTAGCGCGCTCTATGATCGGTGCGCTCTTCTTCCCAGCCGTCTCGTCGCTCATGGGAGACTTGATTTTCCGCACTGCGCCGTCGACCTGGGTCATGAAGCCGGTGAAGAAATTTAGCTTGCAGCAGCTGCAAGCGACGGGGCTGCTACAGGAGAAGTGGGGCAGGAGCATTGTGGGGGGTTGCTTGTTTGTGGTGCTTAAAGATGCACTGACTCTGTACTGTAAGTGGCGCAAGGCGAAGCATCAGGGGAAGAGGAAGGTGCTGGATTATGATAGGGGTAAGAATGGGAAGAATGGAAATAATGGGAAGAGGCAGGCTGCAAGGTAGCGGTGGCGGAGATGAGCATGATGATTGCATTGATGGGAGTTTGGAGGCATTTCTAGGGAGTTACATAGGGTTGGATTCAGAAGTGGCAAACCTATGGGCATTTATATGCCTCAATTATAATACCTTGGGCCCTAGAAGGATTTTATACAGAATACAACAGACATCACTTGTTAAGAGGATATGGGCGAGTGTAACTAGTACAAGTCTCTGGGCCATTCATATAATCAAAGGAGTCACAATCATGATTGAAGACGGCATGTGAGTAGCTGAAATGTGCGGATCAGCTCGCTTTCATTCGTCAGCAAGTCCTAGTTCCAATATACCAGCCTCGCTAAACAGATACAACAGCCGCATCCGCAGCCATGGAGGTAAGAGTTAACACCAAAGGTAGCAAGTGCAGAAATAGCCGTAGCCCCTGCTTGTCTTGCAATGCACACAAAATGAGAGAGAACGCAAAATCAAAGTTGCCGTACAGGTAAGGATATTAGAACCCCGAGCCCGGCGCAGACATCCCGGACGAGAAGCGATTAGACGGCGTCGCATTGGCGCTGGTGGCAATCGGGCTGCCTATGTCACCAGGTGCACCGACAGGCCGAAGAGAGCCACCCCCTGAGTCAGGTTCATGGCGGATCAAGACGCGGCCATCTCGCTCGTTCCGTACATCAAAGAATCCACCGCCATTATTCGGGTTGCCTTCTGTCTCGCACAGATCTAGTAGCTCTTTGTCTGAGACAGTGTCATCGCGAGTTGTGTTGATGCGGTTAATTTGCTCGCGAACAGCATTGATGGGAAAGAAGCCATCGGGCGTGGAGCCTTCGAGTAGCTTACATGCTCTGCAGAGCATCAATCGTACGGCAACAGACCGAGGTTGTGACGGCCTTGCTGGTAGTCCGCTGACGTTACCAAACCCGCTTGGCGCCGAGTTACCCCAGCCACTCATGAAGCCTGAACCAGGTAGAGATCCTGAACCAAATGGATTGGGAGGTCCACCCCAGGTACCATATGACCCTGGGCTTGAAAATGCCGACGGATCCATGCTATATGGCTGTCCAAACCCACCCTGTCGACTAAGACTACCAGGCGCTGCGCTGGAACGTCGAGTATTAATAGCGATTGGCTCATCCGAGTCATCTAGTAATGCACTGCTTCCAAGGTGGCCTGCTAGGTCGTCGATATCGGCGTCAGAACGCTGGCCTTGCACGACGCTTCCAGGGCGACCAATCGGAGCAGGTCGCGCAATAGGTTGGCCTGCGGCGGGTGGTGCATTAGGATCCGACAATGGTTTGTCAAACGACCCTGACTGTTGTCTGCTGTGCAGCTGGGATGGCCCAGGTTCTTTGTGGCCGCCAAATGGTTGCGATAGAGGTCCCATTCCATTCGACATCTGTGACATGAATCCCGGCGGCGGAGCGTGTGGGCCGGGTAATCCCCTGCCTTGTGGCATAGGCATGTTGTTCATTCCAGGGTACATAGGCCCGGCATTGTGACCAGACATCGGACGAAATTGGTTTCCAAACGACTGGTGTGGAAACATCGGTTCTTGATGCATCCTACCACCAAATCCAGGAGCCATTTGCGGCAAACCGGGCTGGAATCCATTCATACCCATAGGCGGTTGCATACCTGGAAATGGCGGAGGCCCGAATCCCGATTGAGGTCCCTTTAGAGTAGAATGCATAGGTGCATTTGCTTGGGGGTGATGTAGGAATGGCTGAGATGGAGTCCTGCTAGGAAGAGCCTGGGGGCCTGGGCTGTTCTGTAAAGGAGTTGAAGAATTCGGAGAAGTGCTCTGACTCCCTGAAGAACCAAACCGTGGCGTGTGAGGTATTGGCACTGCCGGTTCTCTTTGAGGTGGGTTCACTGGACGGTTAGGCGTTGGAGCTTTGGGAATTGCAGGCGTAACAACAGGAATATGGGGGTTGCTTGGCGTCTGCCATGATTGGTGTCCTCCAGGGGTGGGAATGGAAATAGGCTGCTGTTGGCGTTTATTTTGCTGTTGGGCAGCCTCTTCGCGCTTACGGTTGTCGCCCGCCTCCTTATCTGCCTTGGCCTTCAACTCAGCTTCCTTCTTTTCCTTCTCTTGCTTCTCCTTCTTCTCTCGTAGCTCCTTCTCCTTGACTTCCTTGGCCTCTTTCTCCTTTTGCCTTAGCTCTTCCTTCTCCTTTTTCTCACGCTCCTTGGTTTCACGTGCCTTGCGTTCTTGCTCAGCCTGCCGTTCTCGCTGTTCTTGAACCCGGCGTTGTTTCTCTGCTTCCTTTCTTAACCGCTCTTCGTCTTCGGCCTTCTTCTGAGCTTCGCGCTTCCTGCGTTTCTCCTCAGCTCTCAGCCGAGCTTCTTCAGCCTTCGCAGCTTCCTCGGCTAGTCGCGCAGCTTCTTCGGCAGCTTTCTCGGCGTCTCGCCTGGCTTTCTCCTCAGCAAGGACCAGCTTCTTTTGCGCAGCTTTCTCCTTTTTCTTCTGGGCTTCCTTAGCTTTCTTTGCCTTCTTCTGCATAATGGCCATATCTTCTTCATCGAGCTCCTGTAGAAGCTTTTCTTGGCGTTCGGCGGCAACTTTCTCTTTATAAGCTGTGAGTACCCGCTGCTCGAACATTCTGGCCGCAAATATTTGGAACATCCTCCTCCCTTCTTCCATACGTTGTTCTTCCGTCATGGCATCCTGGGCTGGATTAGCCGAATTCAAAGCATCATCGGTGTGAGAGGGTACCATTTCCTCTTCGTCGTACTCCCCATCCTGGCTATCATACTCATCCTCCTCCTCCTCGTCATCATAATCCTCATCTTCCTCAGGGGCCGGTGGGTGGTTATGATGTGAGTGGTGTGTATGAGTTTGCATGCCATTCGGATGCGGGTAACCGTTCGGGGTATAATGTTCTTTAGCATCTTCCTCTCGCGCCATCCTCCGCTCAGCTAACTGTTCCATCATCTCAATGAATTTCTTGCCGTCGTTTTTCAGAAGATCATCTGCAACTGTGAGTATACCACCTAGAAATCGTATTAGCACAATGGAGAGTAGTTCACGCATATATATATAGTTACCTTGCACCGTGAGACTCTGCCCAAAGTTGAAGAAATCAGTTGCATGGCTCCTTGCAATCTCTTCCGGAGGGTCCTCGTCGCTAATATAGTCTTCTTCCTCTGCTTCATCCTCACTGTATTCCTCGTCTCCTTCATCTTCTTCTTCATCATCACCAAATTGCTCTACTATTCGGCCACGAGAAGGCTGTCGACCATTAAAAGCAGGGGGCAATCGATTTGGTGGTTGAAGGCCGCTTAGCGCGCCAAAACGTTGCGACCCAGGCATCATTGGCGGTGGTCGGTCCCCATGCTGGTTGTTCGCGTACTGTTCCAATTCCTCATAGTATGCGTCATACAGAACTTCCAGCTCTTCTTCAATAGCTATGCGCTTGCGCCCGCATACTGTGCAACTACACGAATGCTTCTGCTGCTCCTTCATCTTTTTAAGCACAGCATCTTTCTCCACTTTGACGAGGGACCTGCGCTCTTCCTCTCCAAGAGAAAGCCAAAAGACCTTGATCCTTTCACGTTCTTCTTGCGAAGATGTGTTCCAAATCTTTTCCTTCGACATGCCAACTGCTTGAGAGGGTGCGCCCGCTGCTGCAGTTGAAGATGACGCTAGGGCGGTCTGGTCGGACTGAGCGCTTTTGCCTTTTCCCTTCCTCTTCCCCGGCTTTGCAGTCATATTTGTAGGTGGTGGAGATAAACTATGCGGCGGAGACACGCTGTGCTCATATGACCCGGAGTAGCCATCTCCCTCGTCGTCGCTATAGTATACCCGGTCGCTTGTCGTATTTTCGAATGCCTGGTCTCCCTGGTATCCGGGGCTGGGCCCTGATTGAGCATCGCCCGCTCGACTTAAAGCCTCTGCTTCTGCTGCTATTTTTGCAGCCTGCTCTGCTAGCTTTTGCCTTCGTTTTTGTTTCTTCTTATTTACCGATGGCGCACTAGCTTGTTCTGCGGGCGATGGGTTTATTGCGTCTGCGTTTGCCTTCGCTGTGGCTTGCGCCATGTTTGGGGATGTGTCAGACGAATCGGTTGAGTTGGAGAATTTTGGTATGGTTATGAACTTGGAACCATCCTTGTTTGTATATTTCGAAGTCGTCGTTACTGCGTCTATGCCAGGCGATTGAGCAGGTTGCTGTTTTGGGTTCGTTCGCATTCCGAGTCCCCAAGGAGCTCGGGAACAACCAACGGAAGGTGCTCACGTCTGTTGGCTAGCGCGCAACGATGTCAGTAACTAGATGCTCGGCCAGAGTGTTCGGGAATTGCTGCCCAAGACTAAACTAGTATTGGTTCCGTCGGACGTACCTGCGTTATGGATGAGTCGGTGGCAACCCGCGACTTGCCCCTCCAAGTCAGCAAGACCAGCTTCTCCAGAGAATCAACGGAAGTCGAGATATGCCGCGGTGTGTCTGGGAGGTTGTGATAAGGCGGCGAGTAGATGTGTGAAATAGTAAGGCCAGCTCTGTCCGGCTTGCCCAGAAACGGTGGTTGTGGGGGAAATGCAGGTCCTGGAGATCGTCAACTGGCATTGCTATGGATTTGAAGGTCAAAGATGACTTTATGCCTCAGGCATAAAGAAGCGCCAAGTCACAAGTCGCTAGCCTCGTCTCCTTGTTGACAACGGCAGCAAGGAAATTCGAGGAAGCATTTATAATAAATTACAAAAACAAATATAACTATTCGGAAAGGTAATAAAGCTCACTATATCTAATTCTAAGAAAACAAAATTCCTGCGACGCATCAGATAGCGTCTTTGTTGGCGGTATTGACACGTGGTAGCTTTATCATATTTGGACTCAAATCGAAGCCTCTCTACCAATGCCTGTGAAACATCATCTTGGAGCATCCAAGTCTCTATAAACACATGTAAATAGGTTTCCAGTTTCTGCATTATTTAAATGGTTCTGATCCTCGTCAATCTTAGTCAAATCTTAGTCTCTCGACAACGAAGCGCATATATTCCTTTTTTTCACTCTCTGTGCTAGCTTCCAGCAGTATTTGTGTAATCTGATCCAATGCCGTCATGTCAAAGCAGCCCTTCACAGAGTGAAAAATTCTCTCTCCATTTATCCAATTTGAATTCGCAATGAGATTCCAGTATATATCAGAATCGGCTTGGCCTGGCCGTCGTTGTTGAAATCCCTAACTGGCCCGTGCACACACTTTTCAGGCCGTAATTTAGTGGACGGCAAACCCCTGGACCCAGATAAGGCGTCTAGGCGGTTGAAGGGAAACTCAGGGAGTTAGATATCAAAATTTACACCAGCGCGATAGGCTGTGACGGGTATTATTCGAGACTTCAATATGAGATTTGACAATAATAACGCCGAAATGAATATTACGGACTGGCTTTGTGATAAGTGTTGAGAGGCTCGAAATCATACTCAGCCACTATCGGCCACAATCAGCCACGCTGTGGAACGTGGCAGCTGTAAGGTACGTAGGTACATGTGAGCAGGGCGTTCGGCGTTATGGTTCAGCCGACTAACCACTTTTGGTAAGATGGGGGTTGGAGCGACCCGCGCGTCAACGGTGGTCAGCCCAATCTGTATCGGGGCGCCTCCAGCGATTAGAGTTACACATCTCAGCTTACTATACGAGCACAGAAACAACGGAGTACGGTTCCCGTCCCAGCAACATTATTTCAAGTTGCCATTTTTCACAAGTATTTAGGTTCTTAATTGCGTTCAATTCCTTCTAGCCGTATATTTCTTTTTCCTTCGGTGGTGACGCTGATCACCCCATACGACTGGCAACCGACAACATCATCCGACACTATCGACAAGTCTCCCTGCTGGTGAACTTACACTTCCACCACCCTACCAGTGCAAACCACGGTCATCTTCAAACAACCAACCAGCATAGCGAGCTTGTATTTCCATACAGGCCAGGGAATTGAAAGGGGAGCATAGCCAGCTTATTCCTCTCCAACGGGAGAAGTTAAACCCCGACACGATGGAAGAGCACCCACAAGCTCAGAATGTGATGCGGAGGTGAGCACATCATTTACAATTTTCCTCCATGCAGTTACCACCAGCAAAACCACTACTCCTGTCGACTCTATCCAACCCCCCCACCTTGTGGGCTCATCGGAACACAGGCAGGAATTCTGGGTTCGACATTTGCTGACAGCATCACTCTAGGAAGCTGGTTATTATAGGCGATGGTGCATGTGGAAAGACAAGTTTGTTAAGCGTCTTCACATTGGGGTACTTTCCAACAGTAAGCAGAACTGAAACTCAGTAGCATACCTGGACAATTACTAATGGAATTCTCTAGCATTATGTGAGCTACCACCACCATCAAACGACATAAACAACTACTCAAGGTGTTCGAATTCATACTGATATCAGACATACAGGTTCCCACGGTGTTTGAGAACTACGTGACAGACTGCAGGGTGGATGGGAAGTCGGTACAATTAGCCTTGTGGGATACTGCAGGACAGGAAGACTACGAGCGCCTTCGACCCCTTGCATATTCCAAAGCCCATGTTATCCTGATAGGCTTTGCAATCGACACCCCAGATTCTCTTGACAACGTGAAGCACAAGGTAAGAAGCTGTATTTCCGGTATATTTCCGCCCGTGGACGAGAAATGCTGACAATGCTATCAGTGGGTTGAAGAGGCAAACGAGCGATGCCCTGGCGTCCCGATTATACTGGTGGGCCTGAAGAAGGATCTTCGAGAAGACCCCGTCGCTATTGAGGAAATGCGGAAGAAATCGCAGAATTTTGTCGGGACCAGGTTGGCCACAGATGTCGCACATGAAATCGGAGCGAGGAAGTACCTGGAGTGTTCGTCTCTGACTGGCGAGGGTGTCGACGATGTGTTTGAAGCAGCTACTCGGGCGGCGCTGCTTACGTTTGAGGGCAAGAAGACGAATGGGTGCTGCGTTATTCTATGAGGAGTGCCGTGGACGTCGATAATTAACAGGATGGCACCCAATCTAGGGTTGGCACAGTGCCGCTGCGCTCGCGACAAGAGGTCCGAGGCAGTGCCGGCGATATTGCAGTTTTCATGAGCGAAAAATGGGCTTGGATGGGCGCCTCGTTCACACAGAACGCCATTTCTAATGTCGGCATGGGATGGTGTTACTATACTTTGGCTCAACGCCCTTAATGACTTACGAGTCGATTCACTCTTTACTTCCCTTACATAGCCAGATTTCGGCGTTGTTCTGGAGCCACACTTGGTAGCGATGGATGAGCAAAAGTGTACATAGGATGGAAGCGAATTTTACAAGCTGTTATACATGAGCGCCCTGCTTTGGGATATCCCCTCGACTCCTCGTCTATGTTCCCCTCCAACATCTCCATCTCATTTCGTACAATATTCGATGAACTCTGTCCCTCCCAGAAATTCTATAGCACCCCCCTTTGACCTATCCATGCTTCCTCCTAACGGGTCCACGAGTGGTCCCACGGCTCTTTTCCTGGTGTATCCGTCTGCGCACGCGCATACTCAATTGGCACTCCGTTCGGGCCAAAGATACCCTTCTTCTCCAAAGCGATTCTGTACAGGCGTCCAGCATTCTTGTCGCCCGGCCCCTGCAGCGCCCGCAGCTCCTCACAAGCATTGTGCATGCTCTTGTACATCCTAAGAAGCTATCATTAGCAACCATCCTCTCTCTATCAATATAGCAGGGACAAGAGAAGTTTCATACCTCTGCAGCTCCAGCTCCTCCTCCGACATCTTCTGCCGCCTAAACAGCATCCACGCGCGATGGATCGTCCAGTGTCGCAGACTCCTCATGCGACTCAGGCGCAGGGGTCGCGGCGTCGTCGAGTGCTGGAGATGGTAACGGATCAATTGCACCCTAGGGTCTTTCTTGCCGCCGCCACCGCGGTTCTTGGGGTTCATTGAGCCGCCCGAGGCGAGGTTTGCGGGTGTGGTCGAGATGCTGCGGACGGGGAGGGCGGTGGTTGAGGGGGCGGCGGTGCGGCGGACGGTTTGGAGGAGGGGAGTGAGGAGGCGGAAGAGGGGGGAGACATTGTTGGAGGCCATGATGGCGGTTGGGCGAGGTGAGGTCGGAGGTGGGTGAGGTTGGAGATGGATTGGGGGTTTCTGAGTTGCGATGGAGTTAAATTCGGTTGCTGGATCCATGAATTATTTTGTGCATGGCGGATACCACGTGACGACATAATTATGAATGCCACCGACTATCAACATCTGATCGATATCAACCCAAGGAATAACACAAAACAAATACAACATTACTGTACAAGATGATGAGTAACGGCGCTGTTCCTGGTACTTTGCACCATTATGTACGTCTTTAATGTGGCAATTCCCAACATCAGTCCCTTTAACAACACAATTGCCGCCGTGGTATCAGATAAGCTAACAGGAACAGGCTGGCAAACTCGTAGCTTTCGAGCTTACAGCTGCCGAGAAAGGCGAATCGGGCCAAAATATCCTCTTCTTTATTGGAGGGCTAGGTGATGGTTTACTCACCGTCCCATACGCGGCACAACTTGCCCGCCAACTCCCACCCGCCTGGTCACTTGTGCAAGTCCATCTATCCTCATCCCACATCGGCTGGGGGACTTCGTCACTTGGGAAAGATGTTGATGAGCTATCACAATGTGTTGATTACTTTCGTAACATAGCAGGGAGGTCTGGCAAGATTGTCTTCATGGGCCACTCCACTGGTTGCCAGGATGTGATACACTACCTGGTGGGCCCCGGAAAGGAGAGCCGCGCACCTATAGACGGAGGAATATTGCAAGCATCTGTCAGTGATAGGCAGGCTATGGAGGGGCAGCTTGATGAGGCGCAGCGCTCTAACACGAACAAAATTGCTGCCGAATGGGTGGCAGCGGGAAGGGGAGAGGATGTTCTATCATCCGCAGCTACGCATGGCTTCTTCGATGCTCCAATCTGTGCGAGACGGTGGTTGAGCTTGGCCAGCCCGAATCATGATGGGGAGGATGATTATTTCAGTTCGGATTTGACTGATGAGCAGTATCAGAGGTCGTTTGGGAGCCTGTCGAAGGGAAGTAAGCTCTGTATCCTGTACTCTGGGAAGGATGAGTATGTGCCAGAGTACGTGGATAAGAAAGCACTGGTTGAGAAATGGATCGGGTTTGTGAAAAGGGGCTCTGGTGAGGTGGATGAGAAGAACTCTGGCATTGTGGAAGGGGCAACCCATGATTTGAAGAATAACCCAGAAGAAGTCATTAATGGGGTCTTCTCGAGAGTTATTGGCTTTCTATCAGATCTATAGAAGTAGAAAATCCAATATCAATGTCCACCAATATTATAATATAGAACGGTTGCTGTGCAGAGTTGACCTGAAAAGTTGAAACTCAGCACCCAGTTATAGCTCTGTCGCGTGCATAAAATCGTAGGACAGTGTCATAAATCGCGCCAATGCACGCGAACGTATAGTCTGATTCGCAACTCCGAACGTCAACTTCCACCTTCAAAGACACCATACAATAAGATCAAGATGGCGACTCCACCAAGATCTTCCGTCGGAGAGCGGCAAGAAAGGCCCATATCCACTGGTAGAGGTATGATGACCTCCGATGATCTATCCCACCTGCCCATTCCTCCCAAACTCAAACCAACATCACGTGACATGTCAACGTCCACTCTCACTTCACAAGCTGATGATAGGAGCAGTTCAGTTACCGCGTCGGTCAACTAGAGGCCCAGTAGATCTATCTCAGTAAGCCCCCATCTCTCGCTTTTCGCACAAAGCTAACCCCTCCAGGGCACCCGTCTCCGGTCCCCTTGGCTCCTCCTCACCCACCCTCTCCAACTCCCAAACCCTCTCACCCACCCCCTCCCAACGCTCACCGAACCCCTCCTCGCGGCCGACATCCTCCCCCGCCTTCCATGCAAAAGACTTCTCCCGCCTCCTCCGCCCCGAACTCTACCACCCCCTTCCCACAACCGACATCCCGGCGCCCTTGCGCCCCTCTTCCCCTCCTCCACAGGACCTCCCTACCCTCCTCTCCACCTCCCGCTTCCGCGCTGCTGCCGTCCTCGCCGCGAACCTCCTCACTACCGCCACAGCCCCAACTGACCACCCCACCATCTTCGCCCTCCTCTACGTCCGCCTCGCCTCCCTGACCCTCTGCAACGCCACCGCTCTCGCGGCGCAGGAGGTAAAGGCCCTCGAAGATCTCAACTCAGCGCTATACCTCGACCCACTTACCTCCGCGCACCTCGTCCCCTGGGAACTCCGCGTCCTCGCTGTGCGCCTCCAGGGCATCGGATTCAACGACCCCCGCCGCGGAGTAGTAGGGTATTTCGAGCTAGCGCGCGATGCGCGGCGCGCGCTTGCCGCGCTACGGAAAGCCGTCTCTGAAGACCCTGAGAGCGAAGACTCGACGCTGGTAGAGCGGCAGATGTGGGAGGAGCGACTTGTTGATCTCGGTGTGCGAGTTGCGGGTGCCTTGGTGGAGATGGAGGATTTAGAGGGTGCGGCGATGCATTTGAGGACGTTGGGGGAGGGGGGGGATAGGATGGTTGGAGCGAGGAGGGCGTTGTTGTGGTTGAGGCTGGGGGATGTGGAGGCGGCGAGGGGGTGCATGGGGGGGAGGGAGGAGGCGGATGGGGTGGTGCTTGCGTTGGGGGAGATGGCGGATGGGAAGTATGAGGATGCGGCGACGATTTGGGAACAGCTTGCGGAGAGGGATGGGGGGAATGAGATGTATGCGCAGAATTTGGCTGTGTGTATGTTGTACTCGGGGCAGATCGATGAGGTATGTTGGCGGCTTTTTTCAGTTCCGTGGAGTGGGTGGCGTGATGGTTATACTGACAGTGCATAGGCAAAGGACATGCTTGAGAATCTGCTAGACAAGGGGAAGAGCTTCCATGCGCTCACTTTTAACCTGAGCACGATTTATGAACTATGCACCGATCGCTCGAGGCAGTTGAAGTTGCAGCTTGTGGAGAAAGTGGCGGCTATGCCAGAGGCTGACAGGGCTGGATGGGAGAAAACCAATGCCGATTTCAAGTTGTAGACAAAAGTCAATGATAGCTTTTATTTGACGTCTTGACGTCTATTTTTATTTTCCGGTGACGTAGAACGTATGGCTACAATAAAGGCCTGGGATTAATATTATACATTACAAAGCGGCTCACTATAGCAACGTTCTCTGGGGCACCTTCAAGTCATATAAGGGATTAATTGGAATGAAACCAATAAAATTGGAGGCGGAGTTGCTTTAAAACCTACCAGCTTATCAACCTACACTCTATCAACCCTCGTCCCCACAAAGCCACACTCACCAGGATTCTCACCACAGCTCGAGACCGGCGGCAGGACCACGTCAGTGACAGGAACACCGCGGCGACAGCAAACAACCGTGACAAGAAGAATAACGACAAGGGGAATTCGAACACCGACAACAGGCATACAAACCAAAGAGGGAAAGCAGGTAAGCAAAGCTGATAGTAGAGAAGCTTAGATCACAAGACACGCCCGGCGTCTTCTTTGCCCCTTTTGCGTTCTTTATTTTGGGTGGCTAGACACATGGACCTCAATTTATACCCACAAATATGGGATGGAGTGGCTATCGAAAGTAGAATCAGCGGGAGAAGGTGTCTTTGATTCTGAGTGTGGCGGTATCAGCGGCCTGATCAAGATGGTATGGAAGAACCGAAGGAGATGGAGAAAAAAAAAGGCATCGGAAACAAACTTTTATGATATACAACTTCAATAATGTACCCATAGCTTTGCATAATCAAATAGTCAATTCAACAGCGAGATGCCCCAGAACCAATCCAAACCCGCAGCCTAACCCTTTCCCCATACACCATCATGCCAACCATAATATATATAAAGCAAAGATTTGAATTCCTAGATCTAGTAATCTCCTAGCCGAAGTATGTGTTCATAAAGTATAGCCGGGTATATGCAAGCAAACCCATACACCTCGCTGCCCTCCCCATCTTGTAAATGTGTGTCTCTGTCTATAGTTACAACAGCAATAGATCCCCCAGTTCGCCCCCCCATTAAATATTATCGCCGCCAGCAACGATCCAGCATCATGATATATGCCTCCCCCCTCACCCATTATTCGCGTATTTTCTTGCGGCCAGTCATTAGGTTCCACTGCCCCACTCACTTCAGCATACTCTCATCCCCCTCTAATATCCGATACGCAATCTCCAACCGTTTCCTCCACACCCTATTCTCCGCGCTCGTCCGCCTCGTCTCCTGCAACCCCACCACACACTTCCCCACACTCGCCACCAGCCGCTCCACCAAAATCTGGTCATCGCGGTGTAACATCGATACCGGGGATGGCTGCGCAGCCCGCTCATCGGTCCCATTCATCATCCCAGTCGTGAGCGCCATCCCTAAGAGCTCGCCTGGATTAGACGCGAGAGGAGACGGGTAGCTAGAGGGCGTCGAGGTACCGCTCGTGTTCTTAGGCCTGTTGATCAAGGGGAAGGAGCGCGTGGCGCTAGAGGAGGAGCTGAAGGAGGAGATTGAGGGGCGGTGTTGCGCGACCGGTTGTATGACGCCTGCTCTGATGACTGAGCTGCGACGGGATTCCTGTCCCGCCTCTCCTGCCTCGTCGTCAGGTGTGGTAGGCAAAGCCTTCGACGTGTCACCCCCGTGGATCTGCTGCGACCACCTCACATCCTGGACCGCGAAATTGAAGTATTCGTTCTGCAGATCTGCCTCCGTGTGTCTCGATTTCGCAGTCGCGAATGTAGCCATCGTGCTCACGGTATCGATGCTCTTATGCCTCTTGTGTCCTACGACCGCGGGTTTCAGCTGGTCTTTGTAAGTCCCGGTAGCAGGAGTATCGAGGCCGCGCGCGGTTGCGACGGAGTCATCGGAGCCGTAGCTGTCGGTGCTGCCGCGTCGGTTGTATTTTTGTTGAGACATGGTGCCCATGGCGCTGTGGAGGAAGAAATGCTCATAGTCGAAGGCGTCTTCGCGGTCTTCGTGGGAGAGGGGGACTTGGGAGGTGTCGTGGTAGAGGGAGGCGACGTCGCTGGAGGCGTCGTCGTATTCCTCGCCGTCGACGGATTCGTCCTCGTATTCATCGTTGATAGGTTGCTCTTCATCGAGCTCCCTGTCCTCAACATGCTCCTGGAGGTCATCTTGCCCGTCTTCCTGAAGACCGTTTTGCTGGTGGTTATTTTCTGCGAGGTCATCTTCCAATTCGGCGGGCTCTTCGTAAACCTCATCTCCATTAACCTGTTCCTCCCCTCCAAAAGAGCCAACAACATTCCCATATTCCTCTTGGTCTTGGTGTTCCTCAGCCTCCTCAAAGTCTTGGTAAATACTCGTCGTTTCCGACTGGCAATCCTCCACATCTTCCGCCGCGTCCTCAGTAACGTGATCAAGCATATTATTAACCTGCTTCTGCTGGATTTCCTGCTCCTTGGGTTCCCCATCCCACGGTGCCTGCATCACAACAGCATCAGCACTCAGATGACCATCCTTATAGTCTGTTGACGTCGTGTACCACTGTTCGGCGGCCGTGAAGGGGCTAGGGGTACGGAGGCTCTGCACGCTACGCCTCTTCATATTATCTTCCTTTGCTCGGTCCCTCAGTGTCGAAATCTTGCCCTTGAGGTCCTTCATTTTGACCGACAGATCTCGCATCTGCATCGACGAAGCCGAGCGCGTTAGGGCGCGTGGGTCGATCTCGTGCCAGGAATGGGGTTCAGCAGTACTAGATCGGACGAATCTATCAGCCTCAAGAGGTGAGGGGAAGGGGTGATCTCCATCGCTCCCCGTTTCCATGATAACTATCCCAGATGCCGGATCCGAGTGTTCGTTTAAAGATGACCGACGACTCTCTTGAGCAGCAATCTGGGATCTATATGAATCCCGCCGTTGCGGTCCTTCCGACTGTGGTGACGCGATTAGTGGCAGGGATTGCCTTGAGACGAGGGCCGGCCTTAAGATGACGGTCGTATGTTGAATATTATTATTATTAGGGGGTGATAGAGGAAGCGAATTCTCGCTACCGACTCTTGCGTGAGACGGGCTGTTGGGGCCCAGGTTGGAGTGATTCAGTTGTCGGTGCCTGGCGGGAGGCAAGCCCATCTGAGAGATTATGCGCGGCTCGGGAGGCGAGGGTGTCGATCTTGACAAGGGGCTGCTGCTATGTATTGAAGACATCGAGGATGAGGGGCTGATATATAGGGAGCTTCGTGCACGGCTGAGATTCCCCTCCATGTTCTAAAATAACTCTGTCAGTGCACGTTCCTAGAGACAAATCTATCAGTACTCACATCAAGCCGTTTTTTGGCGTTTGACAAGATCATCTCTGCCCTCTTGCTCAGCGCCGCACTGCTCAATTCCTCATCCTCCTTCTCCCTCCTCGCCTCTACGGCCCTCGCATCCTTTCTGTACATAGTCTTAACCTCGGCCAACATTGCCTGTCCGTAGGCTTCGCCCACAACACTCTCCTCATCATCGCCCTGGAATGCACTCTCATCCACGCTCACAGTATCATCGAAATCCCCAAACGGCTCACCCACAGGAGCCTCAGTCGTCACGGTACTCGTGCTCTCCATACTAGCGCTCCGCTGGTGAGCTGGCACTTTCGACCGCTTCACCGTACTCTGGTATCCCATCGTCGGCGACGATTTCACTGGTGAATCATCCCCCCTTGCGAGCCGGTCCCGCATGCGTCGCACACCAACCCCAGGTGTGCTCTCCGCCTCCGTCACCTCACCGATATCAGATAACATTGTGCCGTTCCCATATATGATTGGTGTGATAGGTGTCATAGGCACAGCGACCATGGTATTGTCTCCATATGCCAGGGACTGCGCAAAGTCCATATCTTGGGGTCGGCCCTTCCACGCGGCCGAACGCGGGGGAGAGGGGGTGGAGTCGTAGTCGCCGTAGGGCAGGATCATGTCCGGGTTCGTAAGAGTCGGGGAGGCGGGAAGGGAGGGGTAGGCCATTGTCGCTGTCGTTGTCGGTGCTCCTTGATGCATCTTGCCGTTGAGTGAGACACAAGCCGGGAGGGAAGGAACAGTTCTATGTGAGTTGCCGTATGCGACGGCCCGCTAGATATGGTTTATATGGCCCGCTTCGAGAGGCGGTTCGGTGGCGCGGTAGGGGATGGCGGTATGGGGAACTGGCGGGGGTTGAAGACCAATTTGTCCAAGACCAATTGTCCACCCGCGATCGCAATGGTGATGTCGAGGGGGTAGTCGTCGTCGAAGCAGCTCGTCTAGGCCAATCGCATGGTCGTCGGTAGAGCGCGTAAAAGGAGAATGTTGTCTGTCTAGAGCGCCATGTGAAGCATGTCCGTCGGCGTGAACGCGCGTGATCGTGTGTGAAGGGGGTTGACGACGGCGACGGCGAGAACTACAATGGGAAGAATTAGCGGCCGTTGTAAGGGATGGATGGCATTTTCAGTGGAGGCCGGCAATCAACTGCCCTCTCATTCGCTGACAATCCCTGTTTGAAGCCCCTTGGCAGGACTTTTAATCCCAATTTGACGGATTACTTACTGCTAAAGTACTTTATGGATTTAATTTTCCCCTTCATGCACGAAGGTAATGAAGGAAAGGGACATGCGGGTCATTCGTCGCATAAACTTACTCAGTGTTCTTTATCAGCTGTATAAATTGTATAAACTGTCTTGGAATAATTTCCTATTATGCCGAATGCAATATAAATCTTCAGGCGTGTTCGTGTACGTGTACATTAATATCTGCAGTACTATAGAGAAACTGCCGTAGTATGGAGATATGGAGATTGAAATTGAGATTGAGATATTCCCTAGTTCCATCTGAATAATTTCCCGACGGCACGGTTACGCGATTATGTGGTTACTTTACGCGTACTTTGGTACAAGCCGAGACCCGCGCGGTCGCCCCCAAAGTCTGAGAAAGGACCCTGTACATTTCATTCACCGAGGCTCTCCAGACCCTGTCGCCACTTTAAGTTTGCACAGCACTATTGATCATATTGAAACAACAATTCTCATATTTCACTGTTTCAACAAGCTAATTACCGAATTCTCGAACTAGACGGAGAGTAAGCCCCTTAGCCCCAACTGCCGGTCTCGATCCCAAGTTATGCACGGCCCTTTGTGCTTGAGCGGCGGCATCGCGGAAACGGAAATGGCGTTCCAAGCCTTCTTCGCTTCTTCCCCACATTCCCTTTTCGCTCGCCGCCCGGCGACGGTCACTCGGCGAAGCTTTTCGGCGGCGCTGGCTCGCAAACTTCGCTTTACATCGGATTACACCTGTCAAACTCCAACTCAACATTTCCTCCCCTCGAATCATAAATAAATACCTATAACCCGTTCCTTACTCCCCTCAAACCAAAAGTTAATCCCAATTACATTCCCATCCTTATCAATCCCTCACCACACCCCGACGACCCCGCCACAACCCCGCACCATAACCATGTCGTCCACCACCCCCACCACCGCCTTCCACATCGAAGAATGCACCCCCGCCGACGTCTCCTCCCTCGTGCACGTTTACCTCTCCGCCTTCACTCCCGAACCCAACCACATCGCCTGTTTCCCCAACAGCACCTGCTCCTGGGCCTCGCAATCCGCCTGGCTGACCAACCGCTTCGGGAAGCGCCTCAACCACCCCGGTCCCGGAGAGCGGCATTTCAAAGTAATCGAGACGGCGAGTGGCCGCATGGCGAGTTTCGCTAGATGGGAGTTCCCGCACACTCCTGCGCCGGAGGAGGCTACCGAGGCGGTAGTAGAGGAGGGCGGGAACATGGATGCGGATTCCCTGCCCGAGGGCGCGAATGTAGCGGCGTGTTTGGAGATGTTTGGCGGGCTGGATCGGATGCAGAAGAAGTGGGTTGTGGAGGAGGAGATGTATTTGATGGGGTTGTTGGCGACGGATCCGGAGTTTCAGGGGAAGGGGTGCGCGTCGATGTTGTTGAGGTATGGGTTGGAGATGGCGGATCGCGAGGGGAGGAAGGCGTATATTGAGGCGACGCCCGCGGGGTTGCCGTTGTATAAGAAGTTGGGCTGGGTGGTGGTGGATGAGGCGGAGATTGTGAATGCGAGTAAAGAGACGCCGGAGGATGAGAGGAGGTGGATTAATTGGATTATGATTAGGGAGCCTGTTTCTAAGGCTTGATTACAGATGCCTCCGGAGAGAGCATTATTAGACTAGAGTCTCAAACTATCCTAATTATTCAACTCCTCAGCAAACTCGCTCCTCAGGTGACCTCCACGGTACTCCCAGCTCCGCGAATATCTTCTTCTCATCCGCCCCCTCCACCAGTTCCCCTTCATTAAGTTTCACCCTCCCAAGGCCCCTCATCACACCTTTATACAATCCCCTCTGATTCAATCTCATACCACGCTTTGAAGCCAAAAGCCGAATACTCCTATTAAAGATATCATTCCCCGTAAAGTACAACAACGCAGCTCCCAGCTCGGACGCCGGCGCAAGATGAAAGTCAATCCGCCGCCAAATCGGCGACTCCTGCCCAGGCAAGACGCAACAGCCGTGCCACTTTGAGCTAGATTCCGTCCGTCCGACAGAGAGGGGCGCCACAAGCATGCCCGAGGCCCGCAGCTGCGACACAAGCTTATAGAGAAGAGGCGTTAGCTCGGAACAGGCCGAAGTACCCGGCTTGGTCAGGAGGACGTCGATGTCTCCGCATGTCTCCGCACCACGGCGATAACTACCTGCGACAATGGCCTCTATACCTCTATCAATGCCCCTCGCAGTATCCGCAACGATCTTAGCTAAAGCGCTGACTTCTGCTCGCGGTATTCGAGTCTGGAAATCCTGATAATGATCAATGCCCAACCGCTGGTTGTCAGTCAGGTTGGCATGTGCCAGGAGATCTTCGAGGGTGGTATAGCCCTGTTGTAGCCATGTTGTTGCTTGCGAAATTCCGACGCCATAGATTCCAAGGAAGAGCTGGAGTATCATGTCGTTGCGGTCTGACTTGGTGTTGTCAAGACGTCGAAGCTTGTCCGTGTGGACGATCTCCTCGATCTTATCGGCAATCCGCGGTCCTATCGCTGGCAACTTGACAGCTTCTGCTGCGGTTGAGATGAGTTTATTTTGTTTCTTAAGAGTAGTTATAGCCTTCCTATACCCTATTGGGCGCCACGTATCATCCATCCGTGTATAGTAGGCGGCCATTTCCTGAAGAATGGATATGGTTCGCCCGTTAGGATTCGAGGAAGTGGCATCTAAGGTGCCTCCTTTCATACAGCTAAAGCTTTCTTGGTTGAAGCTGAACTTCCGAGTAATATCCTTTCGTTTGGGTTTTAGTGAGCCGTTGTCATCAGAGCTGTCGCCTCCGTGATGAGGTGAGCCTGTGGGGGACGCGTCCTCCTCATCATCATCCAAGGGGAGGTGCTGCACTTTGAGAGTGCCTTTGATAATCTCATCAAGGTCATCATCTGCCCTAGTACTCTCTTCCACACTTTGTGGGGACTCGACAACAGGTCCTGCACTTAGAGGTTCTGTGGTATCTTCATCGCCAATCGTTCCATACACAGCTGCTTCTCCATGCACTGGGCTTCTCGCCACGTCGTCAGTTTCTCCCGCTGTAGGTGGCACGGATTGTCTATCCCCTCCATTCTGGCTTCTGTCCGGTGTAGCTTTCGGAGGTACATAGTTCCATCTTCCCGGCTTTGGCCTCGCAGTTTTGAGTTCCAGAGACTGATGGGGGACCGGTGAAGAGGGTGGCTGTTCCGAAGTTCCCACGGTAGAATCTTTTGTCGTTGGTTCATATCCCGTTAGTAAATACTGTTTCTGATTCGGGTTCAAAATAGCCTTGAACTGTATGCAATCCAACGGGTACAGTTCGTTGACGAGTATGATGTGATCCGGAATGGAAGAAATTTTGAGGAACGAGGTGATATCCGCATACGAAAGGTGTTTATCAGCGATGATATGCGTGACAGTCTCGGTCCATTCTGTAGCCCAGGTAGCGCCATACTCCCTAGCCTTCACGATCCGTGCCCTGCGCACTGGGGCGATGTCATCAGGAGGGACGTAGAAGAATACCAAGTCCTTGAAGATACGGTGCTGTTCCGGAACAAGCTTTATGCTCGGCTCTTTGCGCTTTCGCTTTCCGAGAGCACTCGAGGAAAAGGATGAGAATTGAGCGACGCGGTTTAGGGTAGTTGGGGTTGGGGCTGATGTTTTTCTCAGAGGCGGAGCGCCACCGCTTTGAATAGGCTTTGGGGAAGTTGGCGTTTCTGCGACGAAAGAGACTTCGTTTGACAGCGGGGTGCCAGTGCGGCCCTGTCGTAGCCGATTCTTGATTGATACTAATGGAGTTTCTTTGATGAGATGGATTGGGGATGGTGACTTCAGAGTTGGTGCTGATAGACTCCGTTCCAGCTGAGGAGTTGCGTTTGGTTTAGGATCAACCGGTTCGCGATGTTTATGTGGAGATGACTTGTGGTGAGGTGGAAGAGAAGTAATAGGCGTATCTCGACTGGATTCTATGGGGCTCTCATCGTCTGAGTCCTCATCTAGTGAAGACAGTGCTTTAAAATATGCGGCTTTATCCATGTTCTCTCGAGCCATACTCTCATCCAGAAGGGCGTACTTCACACCCCAAACAACAATGGTAAAGATTCAAAACTTGCAAACTCATATCCAAGTCGCCACGGCTTTTATATCCAAGAATGCTTAGTTTAGGTTCCAGCGTCTTAGCTGAATGAAGAGACTTTGTCCTCCCCGAGATAATTGGATGTGTCAAAGTAAGGCACGATTGAGGCTACAAGGCTACACTTCAGCCTGATGCGTCGTCTTGGCATTAGGTCTGAGGCAACCATAACGTTATCACATGCACGCACGGACGAGCTTTACAATTATTTACCAGAAAGGAATTCAAACTATTATTGATGAAATCAACATTAAATACTGCAAAACTGCTAACAACATTCCAACTTCAACTCAATTATACCGTCTTCGTCGGCACAGCCGAGCTGACCTCGATTTCGTTAGCCTCGATGCTGCTACCCTTGTTCTCTTGAACCGGAACCGCATGGTGAGCATCCTCAACATGAAGCAGATCAGCTCCCTTCTCGACGTGATCCGCTCCACCGAACAGGACATCCATCTCCTCCAGGCTGACCCTCCTTGTCTCGGGAATCATGAAGTGGACGAACACAGCCAAGACAACGTTGATCGCGAAGAAGAAGTAAAAGGTCGAGAAGCCGCAGTTTGCGAGGAAAATCGGGAAGAACTGTTGGAAGATCGAGTTTGCGACATTCTGTGTCTGGGATGCCATGCCGACGGCTTGGGCGCGGACGTTCATGGAGAAAACTTCAGCGGTCCAAATCCAGGTTGTCGCTCCCCAACTGGGCTTGTAGAAGAAGATGAAGAGGAAGAGCAAGAAGGTGATGGCAATGCCAACCGGCTCTGCCTTCGTCGGCTTGCTCACGCCCTTAGATAGATAATAGATCGTCTCGGTCTTTGTTCCCACTAACGCCACAGCCAGCATACAGACAGCCATTCCGATAGCACCCACGATGAACAAAAACTTGCGGCCGAAGCGGTCAACAGTCCAAGTTGCGTTCAGGGTGAAGATGATACCGAAAGTAGCGTTGAGAGCGTTGATGAGGGAAATCTGCGACTGAGACTTGAAAACGCCCTTGTAAATGATAGTGCTGTAGGTGTTGAGTGTTCCTTGGCCAGTAACCTGCTGTCCGGCATTGAGGATGAATGCCAAAATGAGACGCTTGCGGACGGAACGATCCTTCCATAGAGCAGAGTAGCTGCTAGAGATGGCTTCCTTCTCAAACTCGAGAGCCTCACGAATCATGAGGATCTCATCTTCAACTTCTTGTTCAGTCTCTCGGACACGGCGGAGTGTCGCACGGGCATCGTCGACACGGTCGCCGTGCTGGAGGTACCAACGTGGGGTCTCGGGAATAAACGGAAGAAGAACGAGGATATAGATAGGGACCATGATCTGGAAAATGACGACAATCTTCCAGTCCCATTCGCCAAGCTTCGCTACATGAAGCTGGCAGGCGTAGTTGATCCAGTAGGCAAGGAAGGATCCCACACTGTAGAACAGTTGCCAAAAGGACATGACTTTGCCTCTGATCTCTGGTGGGGCGAGCTCACCGATGTAAATCGGGCCGGCGGCTGCATGACTGTTAGCTACGTGTATGGAACTAGAGTGATAACGGCATACTCAATGCAATACCCTGGCCGATACCAATAATTGCTCGGCCAGCAATGAATGTACCGATACTGTGTCTTGGTGCGAATGTCTGGATGAATGTCGCGATGATGGTCAAAAAGCACCCAATACCCATTCCCCATCGTCGCCCGAAGCGATCCGCCTAGTTATGAGTTAGATGCAGGTCAAACGGCCGATAAGCATTGGCACTACTCACAATAGGACCACCTAGGAAGAAGCCAGCAACGATCGCGCCGACAGTATAGGCGGTATTGACGGCACCGATGACATTTGCAGCCTATCTCGATATTAGTACAAGCAGGAAGCTTCAATCCGATATCCAACTTACTGGCTTGTTGAAGTAATTGACCCAGTTGGATGAGCCTTGCACCTATTTAAGTATAAGCATATGCAGTACGATCGTAGTTTCTGTAATAACATACGGAGTTGTAGACTGAAGCATCATATCCGTATAGCACCATACAACTGGCAGCTACCATGGAAATATACCTGTTGGCGACATCAGTATAGAAGTGAATATGGGGGAAAGTTCTTCTCTTTACCAATTGTACACGCGGGTGCTGTGAACGATCGCCATTGTGGCGAGTTAACGGAGGCTTACTGTCCTACAAAAGGTATACAGTGTTGGGAGTCCTTGGTCCGATGGTGAATAGGGAAACAGAAACAGGAGGAAAAAGTGCAGGTGCTCGGGAGCACACCCAATATATATGATGAGCCATTGCCCATGGCCCATCCATGATACAGAAAGTGGAGGTACCTACCATATGCGCCCAAACGCAATACGCCACACAAGATAGCTGGAGAAAACTCCTCTCCGCACCCCTCACAGACCTTCTCCAACTGCCTACCACAGTTGTCCGTCCGACATGTGGTTGGAACTCGACAGGGATCTCCGGACGTGGAGACCCATCATCCCGACACTAAGGGGGGAGATAAGCAAGCCGGCCTCAATAGTGGACATTTTGAGGAATGCGGAGAGAGCAAACTACTGCTATAGATGCTTGGATGTTACTTTAGAAATGTGGGAGACGCGTTAGTCTCCAACCAAGCGTGCCTCGAGAAGGACTCTATTCCTTGCTACCCCAGAAATTGGAGTTGATGTTATCCCGTTTGTGGAGGGCCGGAGAGGTTATCACATAGATTCCACTAATCAGAGTTTCTCCATGGGCCGGCCACGCTAAATTATTTGAGCACGAGGTGACAAGGCTTTGACGGTCCATCCCCACTTGGAGAGAGATATCGTGTGGGGTTGAAGATTAACTTGGGAATCTAGCAGTAGTGCTCATTTGACGGCCGCCTTTGTTCACTATTTCGAGGCGGGGGCGGGTTAATCAGTTGTTTTGTCTGTATTGGCCAGTGTGGAGATGACTCCAAATGGCGTTTGCCAGGATCACATGATCAATATCGATACGGTACATGCCGCCATATGTAGGGAGACCCAGAACAAAGCTTGTCGTATCGGAGTAACTTACTGTACTTGTACAGTGGCTGCACTTCAAATAAGCGCGCTATGGCTGGTGGAATTTAAAAAGTGCGGAGATGTGTGGCACCATGGTATCAATATATCATCACGTGATTGACACCGTATGGTCATGTCATAGAATAGTGAATAGGTAGTATTCCGCATGGGCGATCTTCGGGCATAGATGAAAATCTAGGAACCGATGTATAGGTGAGGAAGCTTCCTCTGCGGGAAATTCCAGGTGGGCTGGATCAAGGCCCTTCATGGACAGCTGATCTTCGGCTACACACGGAGAGCCAGGAACCGACGTGTAGTCCTCGGCGGATAATTTAAATTCAGGTGGTCCGGATCACGGCTCCTCCCCATAAGCAGCAGAATGGTAGGTATTGAAAGGTCAGTCCTTGGTATCAAGGCCGCCATTCACTTCCAGTCGGCGCCATCATAACTGAATTGGGTGCCCAGAAACTCCAACTCAGACTTGCCTTTAACCACTTCATCATTGATTGCAGATGGCCCTTAGCTATTTCAAAACTCTCTGGTTACTGTTGTACAGAAACACACGAAGAGTATACGAAATGGCTGCCGGGTTGCAGTATCAATTCAGTAGTATCTGAAGTGTCATCATCGCTGGATCTTGGGTTCTCGCCAAATTATCTCATGAGAGTAAAGTCGTTCCTTTGCTGCGTCCCGTCTCCATCTTTGCAGTCCGTGCTCCGAATTGGATCTGTATGTGCGTTAGTATGGTGGTGAAGGGTCAATAAACAACAGGTCGCCTTACCGCGCGTTTCTTCTCTTGAGACACAGAGTGCATTCCCAACTTCCACGCGAGGAGACGAAGAACTTTCTTCCCTGGCTCCAATGCTGGTTCAGCGGCATCCAATGCCTCTGAGCCACCAAAGCCACATTTATCCCACACAGGGCACGCCAGCGACCATCTCACGAGATCCTCATCAAGATACGGAAAGCGGGCTTCTCGACCCCAGTTCGAGATGGCCCGATCATCTCTACCTAGGTTCCGCTTTCCTAGTCTACCCACATCTAGGTCCAGCTCTTCGATTAACCCTTCGAATCCACGCCTAGAAAATGCTGTGGCATGTCGGGTATAGCCTCCAAAGAGCTCGTCTGCGCCCAACCCCGATAAAAGAACTCGGGCTTCTGTTGCATAGTCGGTTGCAGGAACACTATCGTCAATGGATGCTTTTCCAGATCCTCGAGACGCAAAATACAATGCACCTGCTATAGATAGGTCCATTTCTGTGTTGTGTGGATATATAAGAGATATGACTTTACTTCTGTGAGTTAAGAACTCTTCGTATGGTATATTGGCCTAGATATAATATTAGAAGCGTAAGGTACAAGCTTTCGGGATGCTTTACCTCTACAAAGTTCCATTTCCGTCCGGGGCAGACTTGTCTCAGCTCCTTGAGCGCGCTTCTCCCAGTCATTCTATCTGGGCACGCTTCAAATGGGTTGTCCACCCCAACAGGCGGGCAAACAACAGGTGGAGTGTCGCCTAATGGATTTTCTTTGGCTACAGCCTCACCAAGAATATCTAGCTGGTCTCGTCCTTGCCGAGCTTTTCGCTGTTGCTTCACTTTTGGTGGTTGCTTTGATGCCAAAACAACCCTTGGGTTCTCGAAGGCCACATTAAGGAGATCTATCTGCTCTTCCAATGGCAGTATATCATGCGCCATGCGTGCAAGAACTGCACAGTCCAGGCCGCCAGAGAAAAGGATGGCCAGCTTGACCTTGGCTGGACCTTCAGAACGCGGAGGATCAGGAATATTTAGCAGGCGTAACCGCAATGATTGTATCATATGCTGCTCAAGTTGCCTTACAGAGTCGGATGACAGATTCAGAGACCACGGAGTCGTGGGGACTACTTGGTTAAGAACACCGAGAGAAAGCGACTGAAACAGAAATCAGCTTTTGTTGCGGAACGTTGGCTGCACAGTTATACTGTTGACTTACAGGAGTAGCACCCTGGTTGTCACTTGGCACCCATGGGCATCTGTAGCAAGGAAAGTGTTTGTTTCCCACGGACGATTCCTCTAGTAAAGCTAAACCTGGGGGGATAGATGCTCTATCAAGTGCTGCCACATAGATCCCATCTGCCTCGACTTCTTTCCAAGAACTGCTCGTTGAATCCGCAATACTAGAAAACTGGATAGCATCCGAGATATCTTCGGAATTGTACAACAGCGATCGTCTCCCAAGGCAGTCCCGCCCGAAATAAACAAGACGATGGATTTTGTCATAATAAGCAAATGCAAAGGGGCCAGATATGGTCCTCAGAACATCGAGGACGGCATTGATAGACTCATCAGCCGACCTTGAGACAATACTGGCATCAAGGAGGCCAATAATTGCCTCGCCGTCATTACCCTCTACCACATCGTGGCCAATTTTCCAGGCCTCTCCATTCCAGCACAAGACCGAGCCGGTTTCTGTGGTTGAAAGTGGCTGCGCGGTTACGTGGCCGCCACGCAGAGAAAGCACGGTAGATGTAAATAGCAACGAGACGGTATCACCATCTATCGCTGTTTGTGCAACAGCTCTCAGGGTATTGGATAGATCTGGGCCCCTGTTGGCGAGGTGTTGTAGTAGTTCGGGGTTTGGGCTTGGAGCTTCAGTTTTAGAAATGGAAGTAAATATGCCACACATTTCTGCTGAATAGCCCGACAGAGGCCCTTACCGTTAAGCTGATAGACACGTTTCACTGGAACCGTGCTGTTGTCCTGTCCGTCCTTAGCAAATTTAGTTAGCTTCGGGTTGGTGATGAGGTCTGATGTTCGTACCTCGCTAATTGAGACTCGTCATCTTTGTTGGGGGTTCCACACATGGAACTCCATCACTCCACCGCCTGCGGCTCTTAAGCTTTTCTACATTTGGGAAGTGACAAGTGCACAAACGCCGGTCCATACACAATAAAAGGATACAGGAGAATACTTGGTATAGTGGAAGTTCATAGTCCTACCACCTCAGCCGCCTTACCTCGATCACCTAGCAGCTACGACGACTCCCAAGGTACCTACCGCCCTACCCCACCACAGACAGCTCACAGCTCCAACAACCTACTCTTGCCACGGCGGCCGGCGAATCCTGCATGTCTCCCCCGAAACAGCAAGAAGGAGAAGCTGAACCGGACCGCGATCTTGAGAATAAGCCGAAGTTGGATGAGATAGACACCGTGGTTGGGGACCGTTCGGGCACGAACGATGACCCCGTAGGAATTGCGGGGGAGGAACTACAAGACGCAGGCAGCACGGCAGGTCCGTCAGACACGGGCAAGGTTATTGAAGATACGATGGGAGAAGCTGGCACAGCCAGTGTGTCTACTGGCGAGACAGCACTGGAGGAAAACGCTGTGGAAAGCCATGAGGATCAACAAACCACACTCGACGCGCCAACCACCGAAGCGTCAACCACGGAGGAGCCAACCACCGAAGACAAATATGTCGGCTCAGATCCGATGGAGTCGTCAACAGCAACGCTGAGGCCACATCCTCCTCCAAATCACGAATCAAACACTACACAAGTTCCGACTAAAGACAATATGTTCCTCGAGCCTACCCCGCAACCTCCACACTCAGCCGTACCCCCGGCGTCTAACAGCGCATCTACATCTACACCTCGGTCTGGAGCTGGGGAAGGTCCAAGCGACAGGTCGCCGACACGGTCTGATGCAGGATTTGATGAGAAGCCTTCTCCTAGCGAAGATGGGCGCGAAGGAGAATCCCGATCGGAAATACAGAGCATCATGGATCAGTTCAGTGCAGAAGGAGGCGGGCCAGGTGAAGAGGAGGTGATGTCTCCTCGGTTCGAGCTCGCAGGGCCATTGCTTGGGACTCAGATCCAGCATCCTCCTAGGAAATCAAGCCTTGACCCCCTGAATCATGGGGTGATCAATATATCCCAGGGTTTGGAGAGCACTGATTTGGGGAAGGGCGTATCATCTCGGCGCGAAAGCAAAGATAGTGATATAGGCCCAGAGGTACCCCCCAAGCCCACCTCCATGTATGCAATGCCACCCATGCGCTCGTCTGAGGGACAGATCGAATCGCCCGTTTCGCCTCATGCTACATCGCTACACCGACCCCCGCCACCAGAACCCGAACCGGAGCCAGACCTTCCTTTTGATTTCCATAGATTTCTGGAGCAGCTGAGGCATCGTACCGCTGACCCAGTTGCGAAATTCTTACGATCCTTCTTGCAGGAGTTTGGTAAGAAACAGTGGATGGTGCATGAGCAGGTCAAGATTATAGGGGACTTCCTGGCATTTATTACAAATAAGATGGCTCAGTGTGAGATATGGAAGGAAGTTTCCGATGCGGAATTCGATAATGCTCGCGAGGGCATGGAAAAGCTTGTTATGAACAGGCTATACACACAGACTTTTTCGCCAGCGATTCCCCCTCCACAGCCTATACCCGGGGCAAGGCCAAGGAGAAGAAACGGAGAGCGCCCATTGGGTCCCGGAAGGAGAGGCCAGCATCAGGAGGATGTTGAGCGTGATGATATCCTAGCCCAAAAAGTTAGCATCTATGGGTGGGTGAAAGAAGACCACTTAGACATACCTCCAGTTGGGGAGAGTGGGAAGCGATTTTTAATTTTAGCACAACAAGGTGAATACAACTTCGACTCAATCCAGGGAGCATTTCTAACCCACGTGTAGAACTACTTAAAATCAAGACATATAGAGCACCAAGAGACAAGATCATCTGTGTTCTCAACTGCTGCAAAGTCATTTTTGGTGAGTAGGTCGACAAAGACATGCTCCCACTCTGTTAACTTTCTCCTCCAGGTCTACTGAAGCACTCCAAGTCCGATTCGTCAGCGGACTCATTTATGCCCCTATTGATTTACACCGTCCTACAAGCGAATCCAGAGCATTTGGTATCTAATGTTCAATACATTTTGCGTTTCCGCAACCAGGAGAAGCTTGGTGGAGAGGCCGGCTATTATCTGTCCTCGTTGGTAAGGAAATCCTGATTTGTACATTGTAAATATCAACTAATTTTTGCAGCTGGGTGCCGTTCAGTTTATAGAAAATCTAGACCGTACAACATTGACAATATCCGATGAGGACTTCGAAAAGAATGTGGAGGCTGCAGTCTTCGCCATCGCCGAGAAACATCGCACGGACGAGGCTGACGCTCCACCAACACCTACCCAACAGCTGTCCGAGATGTCCGGGCAGCCTTCGTCGGAGCCCAATTTTGGGAAATCCTCTGAAGCCGAATCCTCGCAACCAAGAAAATCAACGTCATCTTATGAGTCTAATAATGCTGACGGCGGCGATGAAAAAGCAGCCATGGGTGGACTATTACGGTCCATCCAAAGACCACTATCTTCCATTGGACGGATCTTCGCCGATGACAGCTCTCAAGGTAGCCCTAGCAGGGGTCCTGCGAGCGGCAATACATCAAGGCTATCGCCAGCGCCAAGAAATGCAGAGAGGCCCATAAGCCCACAGAGACTTGTTGAACCAACCCGTGATACTGTTGACAGAAACCACCTGCGTGCTGAGAATGCGGCAGTACGGCAGGCAAGCGTTGAAACAGCCGAAGCACAGCACTTGGAAAGAGCAGAGCACGAAAATGTTGTTGAGACACTCTCTGGCATGTTCCCAGACCTTGACAAAGAACTCATCAGCGATGTAGTAGCTCAGAAGAACGGAAGGTACGATCTCCGTGTCCAATGCTCCTTCCACTTATACTAATGAGACCTAGGGTCGGCCTTGCCGTTGATGCCTGCCTGGCACTCAGCTCGTAGTCTCATATCAGATATATAATATTTACTCAGAAGATACCCCATGGTGGTACTGGTACCGCAGCCAGAGATGATTACGGTTACAGAGCATTACCGATTTGAGCGTGCATAGCGTTGGTTTGTTTGGCATATATATACCTAGGTCTCTGATTGAAGTCTTGTACCTCTCACGGTTTCATCAAAGATATATGAATGATAATTTGTAGTCGATAGCCTTCTACTCGAGAAAGAGGCGTGCCTTCCATGTGTAGCTATATAGCGAAATTACTGTTCATGCACATGTAGGCAATATCTTGCCACATAACTACACAGCTAAGTAACAGTAGGTTAAGTGCAGTTACTCGATATAATCTATGTCCGGTCCAATCGTTCCTGCCAGTTCCTGCGATAAGCACCCGTGCACTTCACTACTCTGTGCCAGGAACGGAAGGAGAGCTCCTTATTGTTTATGAGAGGATCGCTCTTGCCTGCAAGACGGCCGCTCGACGTGTATAGGTTCTATTTTGGAGCTTCGAGAGGATTTCCTCTTTCACAATATTATGATAACGAAGCATTATATGTTTAGAGAGTATTAATTCAAGCAACATCTTTAGACAACATGGCTGACAAACCAGACGACAATACCACAGGCTTGCCTCCCACAGGCCCGCCTCAGACTCCAGAATCTTCAAGTTCCAGAAACCAGACAGGCCTGCCTCCCACGGGTCCATCTCCTGCTGCAGGATCCTCAAGTTGGAGAAACCAGACAGGCCGACCTCCCACGGCTCCATCTCCCCCTACAGGACCCTCAAATTGGAGAAATCAGACAGGACCGCCTCCCACGGGCCCGCCTCGTACAGGCCCACCTCGCACAGGTACACCTCCCGCCCCAGGGCCCTCGAGGTCCAGAGACCAGACAGATGGCATCGAGGCTCCATTGTCACAGCCTCCGTACGAAATGACCCTCAATAAGTACGTACAGCCCTGCAGAACTTGACACTGCTCAGAAGAGCATGTTCCATATATTTACATTTATTTTATGAATATTCCCTATGCAAGACCTCTACCCTAGCAGCCAGGCCCATCCACATACATCATAGCGGGAGACTAACGGTCATGTCCCTATAGGTACTGGCCCAATATCAATAGTTATCATGGCCCTTGGTTTCATATTCCTATTGAAGAGCTCGAAGTCTTAGCAAAGAGCAACTGGGCTCTCCCTCGACCCCGAATCATTGACCCCGCTGTATTCTTTGACTTGTTGAAGATCCGGCAACTGACTGACGAAGCCTGCGACCTGGCAGTACGAGCAACAGCCGGAATTGCCACGTCGGCTCTCTCAAAACCATTCACTATTGCTAGAAGCATGCGAGGAAGTGGCGTAGAAGCACTAGGGCTGGGATCCTTTGGACCTGGGGTCGAAGCGCAACTGAGCCCAGAACGGAAATTTCGAATGCGAGAGAAGGCTACCCAAAAACTCTCGGAGGCATATCGTCTTGATGATACAGCATCCTGCATTGTTACCATGCGAGGACCGTCTGTCCTTGGAATGGTTGCGAAACAAGTGATTGAAACCCCTCGAGAAGATCTAGACCGTCTCGATGGCAAATATGTGCATTATTTCCACGAGAAGACAGATGACAAAGCTATGATGAAGCCCGAGGCGTTCTCACTACTCGACGAGGTCATAAATGAACGGCAACTGCCGGCTGAGCCTTTGCGTACAAGAGCTGTTGCTAAGATGCTCCAAGAGAATAATTTGGAGGCCGTGGAAGATCTAACTAAGGCGCTGCAGTTCTGCAGGTCTCAAAAGAGTTTGCACAAGCCGAAGCTTCCGAAATCACAGAATAATTCAAGTTCAGCCGCTGATACAAGTGGCTCTTCGAAATGTAAGGAGAAAAAACTGGATGAGAACGACTATCCCAGTAGTCTAGAGGCTCAGGTACTGTTCCGTAGGGCGGGCGCATACCTTGACTTAGCTTCCCAAACCGTTGAAAAGGCACTTCCTTCAACAGATCAAAGTCAGCGCAGTTCGATGGGTGCGAGCAATGAGAGCAATACTGGAGGTCCAAGCGTCGGAGCGGAACCAGAAGCAATGGAGAGGGAGAAACAGGGCAAGCTGGTGAAAGAATATGCAAAACGAGCTCTCCGTGACTATACCTCCTATCTCTCACTTTTGGATTACACGCCAGACCTTGATCCAAAGCATATGGATGCTTTCGATCGCAGGGTTTTTCAAACTGCAGTTGGATTTAAGTTACCTAAGGGGAATACTGGTAGCAGCAGCAACCCTTTATCGGGAATCCCATCACCAGTGGCCTACCAGATGTCTACGCTCTTCTCTGCAACTCCACCAAGCCTCCAACCAAATCCTCAAACGGACATCTTAGTCGACCACGATTCAGCCCCCAAAAACGCATCTGATACTTCTGCTCTCCATGCAGCAGCCCAACAGCTCCTTGACAGTGCCAATAAAAATGAGTCGCTCACTTATCATCCTCTTCTCGTAGACGTATTGCACTCCCTGCTTCTCTGCCACGTTCTTGTGCAGACCTCTGACCGTGAGATACACCGCCATGCTCACATGGCTGCACGCCTCATCCGCAGCTGCGACGGATATCCGATTTTTGAACCGCCTCTGGAGGTGCAGAGCCGCAAAGATTGGCTTGAGGTCCTGAGCCGAGTGGGCGAGAGATTCGATCTTGGTGAATCCTGGGACTTCCTATGCAGACCCAGGTTGTATAGGAGGGCCGGGGTCCCACCGGTGTATAGCGAGGAAGGCGGGGGCATGAAAGAGACCCGAGACGAGAAGAGGGAGAGGCTACACAGGAAGGCTGTTTTAGAAACGGTAACGGACAAGAGCATAACTGATGATGAAACTTTCAAGAAGGAACTTGCAGCAAAGAAGACGAGACAAGTGGAGGAGGAAAGGAAAAGCACGGGCAAATCGGATGAAGATAAGGCTGGTCCATCGAAAGGTAAAGCGAAGGACGAAGACCACAATGTGGATTCGAATCGGGCACGCAGTATTGTGAGATGGGTTCTGGAAGCGCCTCAGATAACTAATCCGGAGAGCAGGAAGAAGAAGAAGCGTAAAACAAAGGGTCGTGGGGGTACTAGGGGCCGTGGGTATAGTACGGGTCGTGGCTCGTTGAACAGTTCCATGGGCAATATGAGTATTACTGATGATCAGACTGTCGAGACTCCCAATGAGGGAGCCGACTAAGCGAGCATGGATTCGGTACAATTCTTTGTACAGTAGTACGTGATGTTCAAATCACACAGCGTATTCAGCGAAGCATTAGAAAATCAATCAATCGAACTCGACTGGGATTCACGGGGAAAAGCGTGTTCATATTCCTCATCAAGTATGCCCAGACGCTATATACCACGTAGACCGCATAATCCCCGTAAAGAAGCTATCACTTTGAAGCTTAAATATTTCCATTTCCTTTCACCCCAAAAACAATCGGATACATCTTGACAACTAGAACGAGAACTTTTGCCCCAGAGAGCGATAACGCCATGCCCGGATATAAAACAGAGACTCTTCGGGGGATGTGGTGACCGCGACGATGAAGATATGTAGTATTAATGGCAGATGTAGAGAAACGACAAGCGGCAAGTTTACTTGTGGAGACCGCAAGTACGCTCGCTCATGAGTTTCCTACGCTCTTTATCGCGGCCTAGCAAATTCGTTAGTAAAGCTAAAGAGGGTTATGGGGGTGTGAATGGTGTGTGCTTACCCTCGTCATATACAAGGAACTCGTGTAGGCCAGCTCCTGTGGGCACCATCGGTAAGACGGGGACCTTCTTATCGGTAACAATTTCCAAGAAAGCCGGTCCATCGGACTCAATGAGCCACTTGAGGCTGTCAACGACATCCTCTGGCTTCTCGCACTTCCGTGCCTGGACACCCATAGCATCCGCCAACTTGATAAAGTTGGGGTTCTGCTGGTGGGTGTGTGCGTATCTATCCTCGTAGAAGAGGTTTTGCCACTGGGTGACCATGCCCTGCTCCTCGTTGTTCAGGACGATGATCTTGACGCCAATGTTGAACTGGTGGGCAGTGGACATCTCGGTCAAGGTCATGTTGAACGAGGCGTCGCCGTCAATGTCAATAACAAGGGCGTCTGGGCGGGCAACCTTTGCGCCGATGGCGGCGGGAAGACCGAAACCCATCGTGCCGAGACCACCGGAGGTGATCATGGTGCGGGGGTGTCTCCATCGGAAGTGCTGGGCAGTCCACATCTGATGTTGGCCGACACCAGTGGAGATGATGGTGGTCTCCTTGCGGTGAGCGGTCAGCTTGGAGAGCTCCTCGATGACAGTCTGCGGCTTAATCATGCCATTCTCTCCAGACCTCTCGTACAAGGAGAGAGGGAACTTCTTCTTCCATGCGTTGATCTGGCCGAACCACTCAGAGCGATCCTCCATGGTCTTGATGTCAACGTATGGTAGGAGCTTGGCAATGTTTGCTGCAGCATCACCGACAACGGCCTCAGTGGCCTGAACAACCTTGTTGATGTTCTTTGGCATGATGTCGAAGTGGACAATTCCACCACGGCCTTCGGTAGCGGCAAGCTTTGCCTGAGGGGCGAATTTTGGAACGTTAAGAGTCACACGGTCATCGAATCTTGCTCCGAGGGCAATGATGAGATCGGCCTCCTGCATCGACATGTTTGCGTACGCAGATCCGTGCATACCCAGCATGTGGAGAGACTTCTCGTCAAGCTCATCAAAGCCACCGAGTCCCTGGAGGGTGGTGGTCACAGGGATAGAGGCCTTGTCGGCAAGCTCCTTGAGCAGCTTTGGGCCCTCTGGGAGTGCAAGGATACCCTGTCCAGCGTAGATCACAGGCTTCTTTGCAATGTTGATCAAGTCTCCGACGCGCTTGATAGTAGCTTGGATTTGCCTCTGGGTGATCTCTGATGCCGCCTTGGAGGCTGCGCTCGGCGATGATGGGAGAGTGCTGATCATCGGGATAGCCTTTCTCAGGATCGATGCAGTAACATCCTTTGGTAAATCCACGAGAACTGGTCCAGGACGTCCGCTTGTGGCAATCTCGAAGGCCTCCTTGATTCTCCTGGGCAAATCTGCGACGTTCCTAACCATAACATTCCACTTGGTGCAAGATCTCGAGATACCAATGACATCGGCCTCCTGGAAGGCGTCACTTCCAATGGAAGTTGTAGCGACCTGACCACAGAATACCACCATTGGTGTACCATCGGAAAGAGCGTCTTGCATAGGCGTTATCACATTGGTGGCACCGGGTCCGGAGGTTACCAGAACCACACCTGGCTTTCCACATGCGCGGGCATAACCTTCGGCCATATGTCCAGCACCCTGCTCGTGTTTCGGTAAGATGAATTCAAAATGTTTTGAGTTGTAGATGGCATCGAATACGGGGAGAATAGCGCCGCCAGGATATCCAACTATGTTCACGGTTAGCTTTGAAGTTGGGGTTATTTATTCGGGCAACATACAAACATGCTTAACACCTTGTCTGAGCATCATCTCATGGAAGATTTCTCCTCCACTCATCCCAATGAACCTATTATGTCTATCAGTCCTGTCAAATTTCGAGGCACTAGTGCGACGTACGACTCATCCATCTCGGGTTGCCTCGCATTCTGGAGAGGCTGCGGCTCATTTTGCTGAGGAGTTGTGTTGAATGTTGACGCCGGAGGTTCTCTTGCTTGCCTACAAAATCAGTCAGTTAGTACCGGTCAATGAAGGTGGAATTGAGGAGGACTCACGACGAAGCAGCCGCGGTTGTGGCTTGTGACCTGGTAGTACCCGGAGTCTTTTTCGGTGCTGATATAACTCTGGCGGCGGAAGAAGTTGAGAGAGGTTTCGATGTGCGGGTGGACGCCTTCACCAAGCTGCGGACAGCTGACCGCGCTGGTTGTGATCGGAGCATCGTGAGGTTATTGTGAGAGATCGTCGGCCAAAGTCGGCGACTGAAAAAAAGAAATCGAAGTCGTGTGGCGACTTCAAAGGCCCTGTAAAGATAACACCAGGTACAGCTAAAGAAGGGCTGTCCTTGTGTCCTGTTCCGCTATGGTGTTGTCTCGACAGGGCGGTGACAGCGAGGTTTTGGCACGCAATGACTTGTTATGCAAAGAGCAATTGTAGAGTCATCCATGAGATATAGCCAGAACAAGAGGCGGACGGGCGACGATCACGTGCACACGATATGTTTGTGAGAATTACGGCGATAAAATAGAGATTGGCCAATCAGAGTGTGGGGATTGACGTGGAGATCTCCGACCTCGGCGGGGAATAGGCGGGGATTGAGTCAGGTGACACAAGGTGCCCATAGCTCCCAATTTAAAAAGTATTTGTCCTATTTGTCTATTTGTGCCTGAGGATGTGGAACAAAGCTCATCGTCGGAGTATAGAGCCTGCATAGTTTGCGCGCGCTATCGTACATTATTACACGTTATATGCGATCATACTCCTATCTTCGCTTTGTTTACTCATGGTGGCTTATATATATGGGGCATAAAAACAATATCTTGACCCGACGGTGCGGGGAGAGTGCGGAGTTTTGGCCCATATAGAGGACATACGATGGTTTAATTGGTGGTGGAACTCAGGGTCCGCATTTACGTTGGCGTTCTCATTGAGGGAGAATTGTATTGCGCTACCCTATGCTACGAGTCTGTAACCTGCCATACCACGTACGGAGCTGGCTGCTCAGGAAGAATTTGTATCATCCAAAAGGTTTTCTTTCCATCTCTCTTTCTTTCACCTATTTCCTGTCATTCCTCCCCGCAGCTGTGCTTGACAATCGACGAGATTCCCAGGCGTTGAGTATCAAAAGTCTTATCGCCCAGACTCGTCTTATCCCACCCACATATCCAACGAACCCCTCTTTTGCCCTTTAGAGCAGTCAGAGCACCAATTCTGTTGTCGATATGGCCGGCACAGTTCCAGTCGTTGCCTCTTTGGATGGCATTTATACTCAAGATGCAGTATCTGCGCAAATGAAGCGCTGGAGCCAGCTCCTCAGCACCTTCGAATCCACATACAAGCACCCCGCATCCTTTGTATCCCGGTCCCCCGGTCGTGTCAACATAATCGGGGAGCACATCGACTACTCCCTCTATCCAGTCCTGCCCATGGCAATTACATCAGACGCCATCTTCGCCGTCTCCTGTCCCGACGACTCTGCCTCGGCCTCCTCCAACACTTTCAAAATCCGCATATCGAATGTTGAGTCTGAGAAATTTCCCGCACACGAATTCGACATCCCATATGATAATGTCGATATCGACTCGAAGGTCCACGAGTGGACAAATTACTTCAAGTGCGGATTGAAGGGCGCCTTACAATTGCTTAAGAAAACACATGGCGAGGGGTTCCGTCCTAAGAGCATGAATGTGCTGATGGATGGCTCGATTCCAGCTGGTGGCGGACTTAGCAGCAGCGCTGCATTCGTCAGCGGCAGCGCTTTGGCGGTCATGGTCGCCAATGGCGTCAAGGATGTTAGCAAGATGGATTTGACTGAGATTGCCATCGTGGCCGAGCGAGAGGTGGGCGTCAACTCTGGTGGCATGGACCAGTCTGCCTCTGTCCTCTCCCTCCGAGGCAGCGCGCTCTACGTCTCCTTTGTGCCAGAGCTCTCGGCTCGCCCGGTCAAGTTCCCAAGCACAAACCCTGAACTCGCTTTCCTGATCGCACAATCATTCGTGCAATCAGACAAGCATGTCACTGGCCCCGTCTGCTACAACCTCCGTGTTGTCGAGTGCTCTCTGGCTGCTGCCTACCTTCACGCCCTCTTAAACGAGACAAAGGAGCCTCTTCCAGCTGACTCTGGGCCGCTGGGCATCAGCTTGTACGGTTTCCAAAAGGCATACTTCGCCAAGCGCAACTCCTCGGCATCAATCAACGAGCAGCTGCCCGAGCTGGTCGAGAAGGTGAAGTCCACATTCACAAAGGAAGAGGGCTATACTCGCGAAGAAATCGCAAAGGTCATCGGCATGACCGTCCCAGAGCTTGAGCAGCGATTCGAATCTACCTTCCCTGTCCGCGCGGAGACATTCAAGCTGCGCCAGCGCGCCCTCCACGTCTTCTCTGAGGCTTTACGTGTCTCTGAGTTTATTAAGCTGCTCGAACAACCAGCCGAAGAGCTTGAGCGCGATGCTTCTGGTTCTACGGAGAGCTATAACCGCAAGCTAGGCGATATCATGAATGAGACGCAGGATAGCTGCAGGGACCTGTATGAATGCAGTTGCCCTGAGCTCGACGAGCTGTGTGCTATTGCAAGGAAGGCAGGGGGTTATGGAAGCAGATTGACTGGTGCAGGATGGGGTGGATGCAGTGTGCATCTTGTCCCCGCTGACAAGGTAGAGGCGGTTAAGGAGGCTTGGGAGAAGGAGTATTATAGCAAGAAGCAGTTGACTGCGGAGCAGAAGGAGGGTGCTGTTGTTGTTAGCAGGCCGGGGAGCGGCAGTGCCGTGTTCCTGGTGAAGGATGGGGGTTTGTAGATATTATACGTATGCATATATTATCTATCACTTTATCTCCATCATTCTATCCATTTCCTCATATATGCAGGCTTCATTTTTCTGATGGTTGAGCTGTTTTCTTTATTACCGTCGCAGATATTCGGTTGGTGCCTGGTTACTCGCTCATTCGGCCTCGACGGGCATAGAACAAGACACTAACAACATGCAACAGTATGGAACGAAATGCAATGGGATGGAACGAAACGCAATGGAATGGAATGGAACGAAATGCCGCTCGGTCTCACAGATTTATATGACGAAAATAGTTCAATAATTGTGCTGAACTTTGTGGGCTCAGTTAGACTTTCTCACTTCGCCGCGTCCATTCGATGTAAGTCCTCGACGCTGCAAGAATAGTGTGCATCCTTCCTAGCCTATCCACGACGACTCGTCTGTGAGTCTGGAGATGGCTCTGTGTGGTTTCTAGTCTCGTCTGGCCTCATTTGTTTTGCTATATATACATGCTTTCAAATATCTTCCTATTATGACTCTTTTTCAAGCCATCGACACACCAGGAGCTCTCGTGGACACCAATTTGCTTCACTGAAGGAAAGATTTATAGTAAGTGACAGTCCTACGCCCATAACTTGGCCCCAAAATATATCGCCCGAAAAAGGGGCAGGGGGAAATATGAAGTCTAACGGTCCCAGTTCAGGTGCTCCAAGACTTGTCAGCGACGATGGCCCCCGCGGACCCTTTGAAGCCAGCAGCCAAAGAGCCAAAGACGTTGAGGAGGTTCAAATTATTCCCCAAACTCCCCACCGAAATCCGACTCATGATCTGGACCCTCCTCTTGCCACCTCCACGGGTCGTCGACATCCGGATGCGTCGAAAGTCCATCCCTACATCCGCGGGAGAAATCTTAGATGTCGGTCGGTTTATCAGCTCAGTCGACCACCCCATCATCCTGCACGTGTGCTCTGAATCTCGCAGAGTGGCCCGACAACACTACAAGCTCTCGTTTCCCAAGAAGACGAATACGGAGTGGTCGCCGGCTCAGACATATATCGACTTTGACAACGACACGGTCTGGTTCGATAACCTGCGCTACTTTCCTACTACGCCGTCCACGAATTCACCAAAGACCCTTCCCATGGCTGAGTTTGCCAAGATCAAAAAACTCGCTATGCGGCACGAGATAGATCGTGTGCTGCTGGATAGTACGAAATTGTTTAATCCGAAGCACTTTCCGGCGCTGGAGGATATATATGTGGTTGACCATAAAGTATACCCTCACGAGATCTTGTTGGTTGTTTACGGGACCTATACCAGTGAGACCTTGGAAAAGGTGTGGGAGAAGGAGAAGAAATGTCCTACTGTTTACTTGGCCAGTGCGGGTGAGATATCTTGAGGGTATCTGAAGTTGATTCGATGTAGGGCAGCCCTGGGGGTTGCAGTAGCTCCCATCTGGATACGTGGAGGAGATTTTTATTGTAGGGAATTATATCATCCGGCTGTCTTTCATTTATAAGATGTCCAAATACCATATATGCAGTATAAAACCCCCATCTACACCCGAACTATTTAACGCTCAAACTTTTAACGTGTATTGATTTCGCAACTGTGGCTAGCAAACTCAACCGAACCGTAATCTCATGTTCTCGTAATCGATTTCTTGCTTCCTCTTGATTTTATCTTGAATCCCTCCTTGTCCCCCACTCCGTTTTCTCTTCCCTTTAAATTTGGAAAACATGGGGTTATATAACCCCGTTATGAATTTATGAAGTTACGCTCCACGACTGGAAGGAACGAACGGGAGAAGGGACAAGAAGGAAGGAACGGCGGTACAGCGGGAAGGAGAGAAGGAACGAATGGCGGATAGAGCAAAGGGGGGAAGGAACGAGGGAGGTAACGGGAGGAGGGACGGAGGAAGGAACGAATGACAGATAGATAAGGAGGGAAGGAGCGGGGGAATGGTAATAAGGGAAAGAGCGAGGGAAGGAACGAATGGCAGATAGAGAGAAGGAGGGAAGGAACGAATGGCAGATAGATAAATAGAGGAAAGAGCGGAGGAGGGAACGGGGGAAGGAACGCATAGGTGGTAGAAAGAATTGGAAGGCACGGCGAATCCAGGCTGAGATATCTTTCAAGAAATGAGCTACTGGCCAACATCCATTACAGCACAGAAACATCAGCATCGTCTCGTCCAGCTAGCTACGGAGATTTTGTGGAGGAGTGACGAGAAATGGGATAGGATCTGATGAAACTTTTATACGGGCTCTCGCTCTGCGAGGTTGCTGATGATCATTATTCCAACGCCAATTGACTGCTGTCGCCTTCAAACCCATTTCGTCACAGTTTCACAACTTGATGTTGCAAGTAACTATATTTATTCATTCGTAGCAGATTCCTGATTAAAATCGGCGAAACTCTATCTCAGTCCAATGTTATATTCCACCATGCCCACACGTTGCTACCCCACTGATTTCTGGTTCTTGGCAAACGCTTGCAATATCAATGATACTATCAGCCTGGCAGTTGAAAGAAGAGTCATCAGTGAGGAAATTGTTCCCAACTCTTCTAAATCCGAGGTCCTCTTTTTCTAGTAAATCAGCAAGCGTCTTGTCGTCGTTTTTGTCGCTTGTGCATGTTGCAACATCCCCCTACGTGCCGTCTGGGCCCTCGAATTTCACACTACCGCCAAGGATGGTGTGGAAAATCCAGAGCCCAGTTAGAATTGAGTATGGGGAGGGCCACATTCTAGGTGAAGAGCGTGATGTCTGAGAGTTGTAAACGGGGTCAATTGTCGAGGGTCTCTGTTATGCTCTTTTTTTGGTCTTTTAGTTCGTAATGGTTAGCAATTTTTGAAGGACTTTCACCTCGCATTTATAACAATTTCAAGGTGTTACTTCTCCCATCTTCAATCCGTGGCTTAAGACCTGTTCTGGCTCCTCTGAAACAAAGAACTCGTGACTTATGGTTGGAGGCTTGTATCACTTCTCACGCCAACCTGGTTCTACGAAGCTGAGCCTGCTCTAGAACATGATGTGTGATGGTACGCGAGTTATACATATTGGTGCTCACCTATTCGACCTTGTCTTTGTGTGACAGTAATGAGTCTTAGACTACGATTTGGGAAAGCTCAATGCGTCGTCGCAAGAACCCGGGACTACTACGACTAAGACTGGGGAGGGCATCGAAGCCGAGGAGGAATAACGTGTATATTCCTTCTCCTAGAAAGTCCAATTTGTCTGATGTGCCCATGGGTGGGGTCAGAGGCGCCCAGATCATTGACATAGCCAGTATCGCCAGCGAACCAAGAACCCACAGAGTTGGTTCAGATTATTCATGCTGTGAGCCCCATTTCTCACTATTCGACTGCTGTTGTCACTTCCCCCCTACTGTCGCTACCCCTTTATCGCCGCTTCCACAAAGCATCGGGCTCTTCCCCAACGCCTCCTCATAACCCCCCCTCAAAGACCAATCTCTCCTGAGCATCCTATTTCGTTGAGCACATTTCAGGCAACCTTGCAAGCAAATGGAGATATTGTAAGATATCGTTGTTTACAACAGTTTTGGAAGGCACTACCATACCATTTGCTCCCATGTGGGCGTCCACATGGTAACATCGTCGACCACTACTTCAACGCCAGATAAATCGTTGGCACTTCCACAACCTGTCTCTCACAATACATTGCATACGGCTGTGGACGCTGCGGAAAATTGAGGAAGGGGTGTGAGATCATATAACAGCGCCAGTGTGACAATAGGGAAAATAAAATATAAACCCATCTATCGATCAACCCCCAATTCAATGCGTTGAGCTTCCTATATATTTTTCATCAGGGAAGCCGACCAAACCCAGTCAATGAGGCGACTGCGTCGTTGGCTGGCACCCTTTTGTCACCATTTCACTCCTGTTGTCATTACCCCTTTCTCACCGTTTGGGCTCCTGTCGTCGCTACCCTCTTGTCACCGATTGCACCCCCGCCACCCCTCACTATCATAGCTTCTGATATCTCTGGTTCAAACCGGACCCGCCGGAAACCTTGCTCAGGTTCGACTCGGGCCGCAGTAATAGCTTACATGCCTCTCCGAAGATATCTCCATAATTTGCGTAGAAAGCGGTACGTTGTGCTGCTCCGACGCCAGATATATCGCTGTCGCTTTCGCAGTCAGTCCTTCATGGTGCGTGGCACATAGCTATGGTAGCTGTAGAAAATGGAGGAAGGGTAAGGTGAGATCATATAACAGCGCCAGTGAGGCAACAGGAAAAATAAGAAGATATAAAAGCCACTTCTGCGCTTGCACTTTCCCATTTTTCAAAGCTAATCACAGTCAGATCATATCACTCGATTTTGGCGTGCGGTATATAGGCAGAGATGGACGAGGGGGATTATGAGTGAAATCTAATGAAACTCGCACACTTGTGTGTTTGCTCTTGTCAACCCCTTTTTTTTTCTCACCGTTTGAGCTCTTGTTGTCGGTACCCCTTTCTCACAGGGTTTTCTCCCCGCTAGGCTCTATTGTCACCGTCTCTAGAAATATATCGGAACTGTTAAGTTAGAATTTAGAGCTGGACATGTGTAAAGGCGTGTACTTACTATGGTGCGAAGACGGAAGCATGTTGGAAAAGACGGAGGCGGATGCGTGTTGGAGCGAAAGCGTGTTGGGTATTGACTTACTGGCCGTGATGGTCGCAGGGGCTTTTATCCCAGGATCGGGGCGACTGTGGCACTGGAGCCAGCAACGGCCGACGGCAGCTTGTCGGATGCTCCATCGGTTCTGGCAATCTCGTAGACAAATATGTAAATCTTTGTGGCATCATGTATTTACTTTGCGTCAGGGATAATTCAGAAACTTGGCTCTAGTTGGAACATGAGTTTGATAAATTGCAGTTTGAAATAGGAATTGTAGAATGATATTTCAATTTATATTACTTTTTTTAAACAATAAAATAAAAACCTTGGTACAAAATTATTCATAAATAAAATGAATATATAAACGGTTATTTCCCAGCCTAGCATAAACAACCACATACATAGCCATTAAATCTCATCTCACCAGCTGAAATTTGAATATAACATCACTCACTCATATCATCTCGTCGTCCCCGGATCGGACTTATTAATTATCCGCCCTCGCAACCACAATCACATGACCACTCACCCGTTGCCAAACCCATCGCCCACCCAACAAACCAAACAGGCCACCCAAACCCGCCAGCCTTCTCGTACGACTCAGCGTCCCACCCCCGTACAACCCCAGAGCCTCATCTGACCCTCCTCCTCCAGGCGCCCACTCCCCCTTGCACCTCCAGTATCACATCGTGACCAACGCCTCCACCTCGGTGACAGTGACGACAGTGACATTCAACCCCCTCTCAATGAGCGACATGTCACATCCCCCCCGTCCGTGCGACGCAATAAGGTTCACCACCGGTCGGCGGTAATGGGGCAAGAGTGGGAGGGAGGGAGTTCGTCACAAATCATATTGGCAATCTATCCGTGACGCGTGGGGAGCACACGCACATAACATTCCATTCCACCCCAGCGGATCCCGCTCAGCGCTCCCTTGCAGGGCGTCTCGCTCGCGAGGGAGCGTTGGAAGTGGGCGGGAAAGAGTGAGAAGTGACAGAGCTTACGGTAGGAATTGTCACAACTGACCAAAAGATGACAGCTAGAACAGCTGGGATACAGCTATTCTCGGCGCAAATCCTACGCTACGCCCCTCCACTGCGGCGCACTGGGATCTGACCCATCCCAGCGCAGTTGTGTGGCAAAAATAGCGATCGTAGCGCGCGTTCCCATCGGGCATCGCCTTCTCCGTCCGTCCCCAGGTGCACGCACGGCCGTTCTAGGCCTGGGAATCACGCACGTCAGTCCAGTACCATGGCTTCAAGGCTTGCACCACGGCACGCGCGGGACAGACGGCGTGGTAGGTACGTGGGAGGGAGTCCCAGAGCGGAGGACCTGGGAAAATATGCGTATCCCGGTGACCGAGCCTGGGAAAGGAAGGGGGTGTGTTCGACTGGGCTGGGCTGGGCGTTTCGGTGACTATGACGGAATGCGGCGTGGGCGAGGGGACAATACAGTGAGTTGCGGCAGGTAAGTTACAGTGGTAGGCTAGATCTTTCTGGTGCCAGGGACAGCGAGATGAGACGCCCATACTGTACCACCGATCCCGTCGATCACTCGGCCAACATCCTCACCGCACCAGATCGACCACCATCCATCAAACCTGTCCCCATCGATAGCCTGATGCGAACCGTCCTCATCGCAAGGCGGCCGTCCGTAAGCCCAGCGGCACATCCTCCCACAGCAACAAAGGCCGCAACCAACCAACCAACCAACCTTCCATCCCCGTTGCCCAATCAGCACCCTGAACCGCGATCCTCGCTGCCTGCCGTCAGCAACACCACACACGGCAGCACACTCAGGGACCCAATCAGCGCACCCGCCGCGGATCGAGGGGACGCGGCGCCACGAGGCGTGCTGCTTGCTGCCCTGGCGCTGACTTGGGCGATGGGTTCTGGAAACGCTGATCGCAGACCCACATAGTGAGGTCTCGGAACGCGCAAAAGGCCCTGGATACGTCTTACCTGTCCTGTACGGTAGTGGAGGGGGAATTTGTAAAGATGCTAAGAGACAGGAGTGGGGTCAGGCTGGGTGCGGGCGCCAAGCGGGGGGGGGTTACTACTGGTTTTTTTCTTGCTGTTACTGTTTCTTGATTACGGTGGCGCTAATTTTGGGACGGACGGGTTTGGGAGATGTGTCTTACAGTTGCTGTGAGGTGAGTGCTTCATGTACCGGGCGGATGTGGTGTGGACCTGGTGGGGTGGAGGGGCGGCGGGCGGAGCGGTCGAGGGCGAGGGTGAGGTGAAAATAAGTCTGTTCTGTGTGTGTCTCACACCAGGCGCGATGATGCATGCTTGCGTACGGGAAACACGGTACGGTAACAGAAAAAGCAGCAACTCCACAGCAACCGCACAGTCCACTTCACTACAGCAGTAGCAGCACAGTACGGAGTGCAGCGACAACTACACAACCAGACAACTAGCTAGACTTCTGACCAAAAGCTGACTCGATCTCCACACAAGCTCTCACCTTCGCCACCAATTGCGCGGCCAGTGCGACGGCAACGGCTGCCATTGGCCCGTGCGCACCGTCGACGCTTGGGCGAGATGGGAAGCTCGTGCAGCATCGACCGGTGATATTGTCCGGAGTTGGTGAGTTGTATGGATGGTCGATGCACGCAATCACGGCAGGCAGAGCGGGAGGCAGCCAGTTAGGTTGTGTGCCTTTCCTGCTTGGCTGCCTGGGTTGCCTGCCTGCCTGTCTGTCTGTCTGGTGGTGTGCCTATGGGAGTCCTTCCAATTTGGAGGTGACTGATCATCCCCTCTGCTTCCAGTCGAATCAGAACCCTCCGTCCGCCTCGCGGGTTTCCTGTCGCCAGCCTTGTCGTGTCGGGGGGTTTGGTGCGTTGTGGTTGGTTGGGGGAGGGTGAGACGACCAATCAGATACGCGGAAGAAGGTGGGTGACCCACAAATGCACGTTTGGGTGTGTCTGGCTTATTGGTACCCTGCATTGCAGGATGCATCGACCGCCTCACCTCTACTGAAATGGGCGCGCGCGGATGTCTGAGAGGGAGGAGGGGTGTGACTGTCTGTGTCTAATCTTGATTGTTGTCGCATGGGCCGGTTGGTGGCGGGAGGGGAGGACAAGGGAGGATGGGAAAGTCGATGAGGTTGAGGGAGGGGGGCGTGATAGTGGGAGGCGAGGGGAGGGTTCGAGATTCTACTATACGGTGGTGGTGTACTCGTGGTGCAGTGCGTAACCTGGACTCGACTGCACTCGTACAGAGGGTGGCTCAGCTGCTGTGTAGTACGCTGTCTGTCTTGTCTGTCTTGTCCGCACTCTGTCCTCATCCGCCGCCGTATCCGTATCCGCCTCCTCCGTGAGTTACTCACACAGTTACTCACACAACACCAGCACCGATCACTCATCCCCCATCCACCATCGCCTCCACCGCCCCCCCGGCGACATCCGTTGCATAATCCGGTTGAGTGTGTGTGTATGGAATGGAAACTATGGAAGCCCACAGTTCAGTTCGTTCTCTGGTTATGCACATTACGTGCACACCACACGCACAGCCAGCCAGCCCCACTTTCCCACCCCTGTCGGATCCAAGCCTTGTCGCTGGCTGGTCCGTTTCCAGGATCTAGCCTTGTCTTGCCTTGCCTCGCCCCCCGGTGCAGGTGCAGCAGCTCCTCTTGGATCCTCTGGACTGGCTGACTCCTCCTGCTCCTCCGGCTTGGCTGCTCCTGGTTTTCCTGCACGACCCATGACCAGCACCCTTGACCGACCCACACTCCGTTCACACCGATCCACCCCATCTCTACAGGAGTCCACACAGAGACCCACACACACCCGTTCCGTTCGATCCCCTTCACACTTTCAACCGTGTCCTCGCCCATCATCTACAGCCACACCCCGCCCCGCCCTACCTCATCTACTGTACCATCCAATATCATCGCCGCTCTGCATCCCCAACCAACCATCTCCGTTGAACAGCCCCCCTTTTCCCGCCTTACTGACTTAGGACTAGTTGAGCCCCCCTTTTCGATTTGTTTTTGGCCTTCCACATCATCTGCATTTAGCCTTCCCTTCCCTTCCTTCTCTTCCTTTCTCATCCACCCACCAACCACCCCTGCTGCTTCAAGCCAATTACGAGATTGCGTCACATCCAATCAGCGTCTGGTGTCTGGTGCATGGACCCCTTCCGCCGCCCTTTTTTGCGCCTAGCAACTCACTCACTTTTTTTTTGCCTGCGACTTTGCCTGCTTCTGCTTGGTGTACGGCTGGCTGGGCTGTACGATGTCTACATGGGATAGGACAGGTTTGAACGGGCGGGGGGTACTTGCATATCCTACTGTGATTGTGACTGGGAGAAGGTATTAATCTCGCCTGCACACACACTCCCTCCTACCACTCCCCACCACTCAAAACAACCTCAGCTTCAGCCTTGACCAATCATCTATCGTCGCCCTTCTCCTTGAGAGACCTGGGATCATCCATCATCATCTCCTCCTCTTACCTTTCTCTTCTTCCCTTCCCTCATCACCACAACCACACTAAACTTCATCAAATCACACTAAACAAACTCCCCTTGCTTTAGAAAGAGGGAAGGGCACAGCAACAAGTACTCCAACCAAGGATCACACCAAGAACGCCTCTTTTGCCCCCCCTCCCCCTCTATTTCCAGTCCATCATCAACCTTCTTCCTCACTCTTCCCTCACTACCTCACTACCCTACCTCACTAAACTTCTCTCTTCCAACCAACTTGCAGCCTTCAATACTACTAAGTCACCTGACTTGCCCACTACTTTCTTACACTTTTTACACTTCTTACGCCTAACAATACTACTCGCCTCCCTCGTCTCCACCTACCATCCACTAACAACAACACCCCTACCCACCCACCCACCCTAACCCACATCCAATATCCACCGCCCACCCCCATATCTATATTCCTATCGCCCGCACCGCCTTCCACTCACTCACTCCTCCTCCTCCCAAGTCTAGTCCTTAACTCGCTTCAACTTCGTCATCCCCCTCTATCTATACTCATCATCATTCTCACCCGACCGACAACTTATATTTTAACAACAACAACAAACTTCCACCACCCTTCTCCAAACAACTATCAACAACCACTCCTTTACTTTCTCCTTTCTTCAGACCTCTTCTGTTTAAAGGATCCAAGTTTCATCTCTCTACCACCCCAAGGCTTCAGCCCGGATTTCCAAACAGACAACCCCTCCACCGGACAACCAGTTGATTTCCTTGGATTACCCACAGGATCTTTTTTCTTTAGGCCATGCAGAATGTCGGTCCTCAATACAGGCCACGCAGGATGTCGACCCGATTCAACAATAGGTCTCAACCGACAATAGCTGCCCTCCAGGAGAATGCGCCCCTTGGAGACTCATCTTGTTTCTCAGATTTCTTCCCGTCCCAGAAGGCCACCGACTGCTCTCCGCAGACGGTAAAGTGTCCCATCGTTCCCTTCCACGCGGCTCCCCTCCCTACTCCGCCCCAGTCGCCCTATGGATACAACGCGCCGCTCGCGCCCGTCGCGAACAACATGCGCTACTTCCAGCAACCAGTCCACCAGCAGGCTCAGCAACACTTCCAGCACTTCCCGCCGACTCCCCCGGCCACCCCTCCCCCGGCTTCCACCTTCGACCAGGCCCAGTTCTTCGACGCAAGCCAGCGGTTGCAGTTCCTCCGCACCCTCGGATCAGGAGCCTATGGAGTTGTCCACTTGGCCAAGGATGTCCGAACAGGAATCCAGTATGCCGTAAAGGTCCTGAACAAGTTCAATGCCAATGGTCTCCCCCTGGATGCGCGACAGCAGCACTTCCAGCAGACCGAGATGCAGCTGCACTACGAGGTCTCGGCGCACCCCAACATCGTCTCGCTCCTCAGGATCCTCGATGTGGCCGACTGCACTTATGTTGTCATGGAGTATTGCCCTGAGGGAGATCTCTTCTTGAACATTACTGAGCGCGGCCGCTATGTGGGTAATGACCTTGCGGCCAAGACCGTGTTCCTGCAGATCCTGGATGCCGTTGCCCACTGCCATCGCCTGGGAGTCTACCACCGGGACTTGAAGCCGGAGAATATCCTCGTCTCCGACGGGGGTAGCCAGGTCAAACTGGCCGACTTTGGATTGGCCACTACGGACAGCTTCTCCTCGGATTTTGGATGTGGATCTACATTCTACATGTCACCAGGTGGGTAGTTCAATTCTCCTCCTTTCCCCCTCCCTCCCTCCTTCCCCCGGACAGTCAACTAACCACGGTTTCCCCCGTTTGTAGAATGTCAAGATCAGTCTTCTGGGATGCCCTTCTATGCCTGCGCCCCAAATGATATCTGGAGCCTCGGAGTCATCCTGGTGAACCTGACCTGCGGCCGCAACCCCTGGAAGTCCGCCTCTACAAAGGACTCCACGTTCCGCGCCTACCTGGCAGACCGCCAGTTCCTCAAGTCCATCCTCCCGCTCTCGGACGAGCTCAACGAAATCCTCAACATGGTCTTTGAGATCGATCCATCGCGCCGCATCTCCCTGGCCGAACTTCGCCACCGCATCGCCACCTGCGGTCCCTTCACCAAGTCAGCCGCCGCTGCCACCGCAACTACCACCACCACTTCCGTCCCGGCATCCGTCCCCACCATCCAGGTCACAGCCGACGCCTTCGTCGACTCGGACTCGGACCTAGACGTGTACAGCGCGGCCCTCTCCCCCGCCTCCACCATCTCCGAGGAAGGCTCCATGATCTCCGACGCCTCCGACACCTCCACGGCCCCCAGCGAAGCCGGCTCCTCCCAGGACCTCGACCTCCAGTTCGAGGTCATGGACGAGGATCACCACGAGGACCACCAACAAATCGCCTCATTCGACGACTACGCGCCCGCGGCTAAGGATCCGTGGGTCGCTGAGCCCGCTTTCGTCGCACCATACGTTCCCGTGGACCCTGTTGTTCCTCCCGTGACCGCACCCAAGGACCATGGAATCCCACCACAGGCCCAGCAGCAGAGATTCCTCTCCCCTCCCCCGCGTTCGGCTCCGCCGAGACAGCAGAGGGGCATGCACCAGTTCATTACGCGCTGTGTTACCCCTTCGCTCCTGAACTCGTTCTGTCCGCAAGGAAGCCAGCGCGGGGCCCCTGTGCGTCGCGCTTTCTAAGTTGCAGTTGCAGTTTTCCATGGGATTTTCCATACATAGGAAGGAACTTCAACCCAGGATTATTTTTTTCCACCTTTTCCGGATGGAACACACACTACCACTGGAGGACCACACATTTTTTTTATTCGTTCGAGAAGACATACGATAACTACTCTTTAATCATGTATATAAAAAAACACAACCCCACCGACAACGGACTCTTCTCTTTTTTTTTACTTCAACAAAACAAATTACCGGTCCCGGCGTGGACATATCAACCTTCAAAAATTGGCGGCGGCGAGGGAATCTGTTTTTTGTTACGTTTTTTTGTATTTTGTTTGAGCAAAACCCCTGCCATGGGTTGGAGTTTGGGATATACGCTGTCAAGATTGGCATTTTATATATATTTTTTGTCTGGCATGACAAAGAAAAACCTGGCGTCTTTCTAGCTACTACCTGTTTATGGTTTTACGTTTCTTGTTATTTGGTGTAGGGGAAGGGATAATTGGGGAAAGCGATGGTTGGATGATATGAAATGATTTGGATGGAAGGTGTTTATGTTGTTTTGGTGTCGATTTGGGGCGATGGATGGGGTTTAATCGACGGCGATGGCGTGTATTTTTTGGGGATTGTTGGGAGGGATAAAGACTTGTTTGGAGATACCCCCTGCTGCTGGTTGTTCGCAGAGAGAGAGAGAGATGGAAGAGAAGATTATATTATGTGTTGATGAGAGATGATAGAATCTATGAGTCTCTGCAACTTATTTGTTCATACCTGTCGTGATACTGTGAATGTTGTGTCGTGCTAACTTACCTTCTCTCTCCTCTCCCTCTCACTCACCCAACTCTCCCCCGAACACCACCGAACAGACAGTTGGTATGCAAGACACGCGGGAATTCAAGAAACCACTGAACGAACCTCTCTCTCACATTACTCATGTTCACACACCCGTGTCTTACATCCTACCACCCGTTTCTCATCCCACTCGTTCTCATCCCATCATCATCATCATCATCATCAATCAATCAATCACATCTATCATCAATCACATCTCACTTTAAACCCCGCACAAGCGGTGTGCGCAACCCGCATCAGCACCCACCACATATCCACAACAATATCCATATCGACTAGCTGCGGATGCAGATGCGGCTGCACAACCACGTTACCTTGCCTAAAGCGGTGGTGTGCATAACATACTACACCACAATACACCATAAAGCGATGGAGTAAGTGAGGCGTCGCACCGTACGGACTCACGCAGCTTCGGCGGGGTGAATCGCTTGGATATGGGGGTTTCAAGTATAGAACCGTTGATTCGAATATCGATATCTATGCTGCCTACCTCAATGGGCGGGAGAGGGGGAGAGATATATCTGATACGACGGGTGGTTTTCGATATCGTATCCTATCATACAACAATGCGGACTTGATATCGATGCGCGCTTTATCTTACACCGCTTTTCTCCTCACATGGTGAGGATGGTGAGGATGGTAAGACGATGATGATGATGATGAGAAACGCAGCTGCGTAAGTCTTTAATCTGCTCTCACAGGCTGCCTTTCTTTCACCCCCAGTGCAAACAAACAAACCAGGTGCACTATCTATCAGCCGCAGCTGCTTGCTGCCAGCCTTCTTCTCGACCCTCGCACACATCATGCACCAGCTCACATACTCTAACACCATATTACGCCAGCCTCACGCACTCCCGTCATAGAATCCCATCCCCCATCGTCGTCTTATTACGCTCACTAGGGCCCCCACCGTCCCCCGTCGTCGTCTTATTACGCTCACTAGCCCCCCGCCATCCACGGTAATGGGTAGCGGGTAGCGGGTACCGGACCTGAGAGGAATATTCCAACCAGGTCCAAGAAGCCAAAATCAGGTGAGTAACACGTGCGGATCAGACGAGAACCGGAAGCTAGAATTTAAGCTTGCTGGTGATGATGGGGATGGGGGTGGTGCCGGCGCTAGAGTGGAGTGAGTGGTTGACGATGGGATGGGTGGTGAGGCCCATAGCCGCTCTTTGGTAGGGGATCATGCGAGAGGAAGGCGGGTAGGGCGGTTGTTTCACATCATAATTTCGGGGACGGCGCGCGGGAGCTAGAAGGATGGTTGACGATGAGATGTGTGATGAACCTGATATTGGGTATTTGATCAATGCCAGGATATGAGGTTAACGCGGCTAGGGCGGTCATGGCGGCTGTCTCGCATCATAGTTTCGGGGGACGGCGCGCGGAAGCTAGAGGGATGGTTGACGACGTGATTGCTGCGGCTCTGGTAGAGAAGAAAATAGAGTGTGTAGCTTCCAGGCTAGATAGGAGCTAGCAAAAACTTTCTCATCTCTCTGCTTGATCACCTGGGTTAGGGGTTCGTCATGGGGATGTCGATGTCTCGTGATATCAAGCATGATTTTGCTGCTTGTAGGGGTAATTGATTTATAATGCGGATGCGGATCAGGAGCTTATGGAGGGGGATCAGGTTTTTATTGTTGTAATGGATTTTGGGAGCAAGGCGGGGAGAAAGATTGGGAGTTGGATTGTTGTTGGTATGAGTCAATCGATTATCATCTAGCGGTCTTCACTCACGCATGGCAAGAGATCGATGGGGTGTTCGGCCAGGTACGAGAGGTATTATCAGATCAGGTTAATCGTTTAGTAATTGACTTTTTTTTGGGAGGGGAAGGAGAAATCAGAAGTTGTATTATTGTAAAGTCAAGTAGATTCTCTTCTAGTTCTCTTCGTCCACGCATAGAAGGAGATCGTGGGATGTTCTGCCAGGCATAAAACGGTATTATCGGTTCAGGTTAATCGTTTGTAATCATTTGTAATCGATTTTTTTTGGGCAGGGAATCAAGAAATCAGAAGTAGTATTATTGTAATCAAGTTAAGTAGTTTCTCTTCTAGTTTCTCTTCGCTCACGCCTAGCAAGAGATCATGGGTTATTCCATTATGCAGCACAGGGTATTATCATGATACTACTTTATCATTTCTCGGTCGATCTTGCTCATCCCCCCCAGATCAGGTTTGTAAAAGATCACCCGTCCGTACCTGGAAAGGGGTTCGAACACCTTATCATTGTTCATTTGCTGCTGATTATTACTATACTATCACCCGCTTATACCTGGGAAGGAGTTTGAACACCTTATTATTATTCATTCGCTGCCGATTATTACCAAAATACTCATGGTCAAGCGTATATCGATCTGCTCATCTTCTTCACACCAGGCTGTAAAGATCACCTGTATGTGTGCGTAAAGGGGGTTCGACACATCTTATTATTATTCATTATTACTGTTTGTGAGTCACTCTTCTCGTACTCTTTAGATCAGATTTTGTAAATATCACCTGTATGTACGTGTAAAGGGGGTTTGATCTATCTTACTATGATGCATTTGCTGCTGATTATTACTATAATACGCATTGTCGAGTATATTCCAATCTGTTCATCCTCTTCAGATTAGGCTGTAAATATTACCTAGATTGTACGTGCAAAAGGGGTTTGATTTGTCTTATATTATTTATTTACTACTAATTACTACTAATTATTACTATAATACTCGTTGTCAAGTTCATATCAATCTCTCCATTCTTTTCAAGATCAGTTTGTAAAAACCACCTGCACGTACGTGTAAAGGGGTTTGGTTTATTTTGATATTAATCATTCATTACTGCTTTACTATAATGTTTATTGTCAAGCTTATATCAATGTAATATCCTAGTTTTCATAATACCTTTACATGCAAATAGTATTTTACTCAACTCTTACCATAATAGTATTATTACTTTGAGGCGATGTGACTCATCTTATCACACCATCTAGGGTCCTCGGCTTAGACTGTAGATGGTATCTCTACGTCTATCATTCACATAATACTGTAATAGTATTATCCACACTCTCCTAACACCCTAACAAAATCGTAGTCAATATCAGAATTTCTATATACAAATGATATTCTACTCTCCATCTACCACCACGTCGGCGCCAACGGCGGGTTCGCGAACTTCACCGCCTGCTGCGCATACTTATCCCACCACTGCCCGGCCCCCGGCGCTCCCTCCCCATCGATCAGCGGCCCACACGCCCCATCCGACTCCCCGGCGGGCTTAACCCAAACCAACGAATCGACAATATCGGTGCCTGTATCCGTCGTCGGCCTCTCCCCATACCCCGCCTTAACATTACACCAATCGCCCCACTCCTCGCGCTGGTTCTGCAGCCCGGAGCGCCCGACATCGATGATGAAGTGGTGCGGGACGGAGGCGTTCTGGAGGAAAGGGGCGAGGGAGAGAGCGTAGTTCTTCTCGTCGTAGGAGGGCGACCATTCGGTGTAGTTGGCGCGGGGGTTGGCGATGTAGGGGTTGAAGTTTGAGACGTCGGTGGCGAAGCCGCGGATGGTGGCGCCCTTTTTGAAGGTTTGGGCGAGCTTGAGGACTTTGGAGAACTCGGCGGCGGCTGGGAGGGTGTTAGTGGTGTTGTGGGGAATGGGGAGGGGGGGGAACTTACCTAGGGGGAGGTTGTCGGCCCATCCGAGCCAGCCTCCGTGGGCGGCATCGATGTAGAGGCTCACGTTGGGGAATTGGAGCTTCGAGATGGCGTAGGCGATGCCCTCCTCGTAGATGGGGGTGGCGGTGGCGCAGAACGGGATGCCCTGGTTGGTGATGACATTTCCCAGGGAATCTGGCTCGAGGACAATCGCGAATGTCAAGTCAGGAGCACTTGAGACCGCCTTTGCGAACTTATCAACAAATTCGGTCTTGTACCTCTGGAGACCGCCGTTGGCGGAGGAGAACTCTCCAGCCGAGTCACCGGCTGAGCAGTCACGGTCGGGCAGATCGTAGAGGACAAGCTGTACGATCTGCTGCTTGCGAGTGCGGCGGAGCTCCGCACGTGCCTCAGCGATGGCAGTGTCGATGCCGGAGAGGCCGGCAACGTTGCTCACCCAGACGAAGGTGCCGGTGCGCTGCACGGTGGTGACGCGAGCGGCATTGAGCAAGTCGCCCTTCTTGAGGAAGGCAACCTTGGTTTGGTCGAGCTCCTTGGAGTAGTGGCTGTTTGCGTAGTAGTTCTTGCCTAAGAAGGGGTTGACATCCTTGGGAGGAGTGGTAGGAGTGGTAGGAGTGGCTACTACGGTGAAAGGAGCTGCCGCCAACAGAGAGAGGAGAGCAACGGACGGAAGCATCTTGAGCGATGGAAAGTATTCCCACGTATGAATCTCAAAGGACAGTAAGAAGCCGATGGATTGAGAATGGATCTACATTGTGGAAACTAGCCCCCTTATAAAGAAATCCCGATATGGGGATTGTTATGTGGTATCATATGCAGCGGCGATATGTCGCCGTGAAGCCGGGCCAAAAAGAGGAGAACCAACAGCGGCCAAGAAGGCGCAATCACGCAGACGAAAGGATAAACACGGTAGCTTACCTAGCTCAGGAACCCGGACTTACCATATCTCTAAAGTTGTCGCGGAGAGAGACCTAATCGGAGATTAACCCTACCCCATGTTGATTGAGGTTATATTACAAGCCCTCGGTAAACGGAGCACCGTGCCGAGTGTGACGTTTGAAGCCGCCGATCTCTCCATAGCGCCGGGTAAACAGTCGGGCCAGGCCACGTGCAGCTTTGACCAAGCCTTGAATGTTATCTACTTTGTTTCTAGAAGCGGAGGGCCGCCTTCTGTGCAGTAAGCAATCTATTTCCCATATTAACTGCAGATATAGCCAATCACGAACAAGAGGCTTTTCTATGAAACGGTGGGCGTCCATACCATGAGCATTAGGAATTGTATAATTAATACTTCATTCAGTAAGGCAATTATCGTCTATCTGTCATGTCATACGTATTTTACCTCACGGTACTCTGTACCGGTTTGGTGGCTGACCAGCGCCTCCCCAAGCTTAATATTTCGTCTTGGTAGCGAGACTTCCAGCTTAGTGTCTGTTCTGTAACCCCATAGAACGATTTGGGATCCTGCAGTAGTAGCCATGGCTATTCCAACCCTGGCACGCAATGTGGTGACACATTGAGCAAACAGCTGATCGTGGCTTGTTCGCAATGCCGGAAGGACCGGGGAGCTTCCGTCGGAGGGGAGTACTCTATCTGGTGTTCGCCAAGATCCATGCCAAGGACATGGCATCATGGCATCATGGCATCATGGAATCCTTCCTCCAGGGCCTGTTGAGTGGTAATCTCTTGATATAATATACGGTGCATTACCTGTATCACACGGCTGAATCGTTATATAGTTAGCAATTTAGCAACTGTTCGAGAGCAATCCAACGTACATGGAAGAGCCACCGCAAAGAGGGTCAAGGGATATGGTGCCAATAGTCCATGCATATCAATATCACCGCGTCTTTGGTTTCCGAATTACGACTTCCCCGCCTTTCAGCTCCCATCCCACTCTGTTTTCTTTGACAAGCGCATCCCACGTTGATCCTGTCACCTGCTCGAGGAACTTCAGCGACACTGTAAAATAGCTCCTCCCAAGGCACTTCAAGGCGTGTAACCTAATACCCTCTTCGGCATATTCCATCAACTTGGCTTTGTGGCCGTCGACGCTCCTCTTGACTTGCCAGAAGACGTAGTAATTGTCGTGCGCCAGCGCATCCAGGACGGCCAATATCTTTGTATCCTTTACGCCATATCGAATGCGCACCACATGCGCCTGAGCCAAGTCCTGCTGCCGACATGCAAGGTCGAGGACAAGGTAGCCAGCGAACTCTTGTAAATCGAGGCGCGACAGGGGTCGTACTGTATGCATCCTGTGGAGGAGATGAAGAAGGGCCGGATGATAGGACTCCATGTGCTTGATCAAAATAGACAGACGAATGCAGAATATGTAAGCCTGCGTTGAGAACTCATCAATGCGTTTAGAGGCCACGATTCCCTCGCGAAGTTTGCGCATCGACATTGTCAATACGGACAAGTCTTTGGAGGAATCAAATTCAACAGGTTTCTTGGGTATGGAAGGAAGCTGTGGTAGAGCATTGGTTGTCTTAGTATCGGGTGTGGCGTAGATGGACGATGCAAGCCCTTTGAGAGGTTTGGCGGGTGGCGGCAGCCTGCCCCCACCAGATTGAACTGACAGCTGCGACATGCGACGGAGGAGTTCATCGCTTCGCCCCGCATCCGAACAAAAGCTCATATAACGATCCACAATCTTGGTATAATAATTCTCTTGAGTCTTAAAGTTGAGCAGCCTGGTCAAGGAATCAGATGCGACCTCATATGTAAAGCCAACCAATCTGTCTCACCTGTTGTCGCCTTTTGAAGGCAGGCCAACTGCTTCTAGGGGATCGAGGGTGACTGGCTTGAGCCTACCCCATCCCCCAGAGTACGCACGAGCTCCAGAATCTCCGCGGCCGGACATTAGTTAAAATGCCTATTGTCGCCGGATATTGAAACAGGTGCTGGCGGGGTAAACAAAACGGAATGTCGTCAAGAGAAGGCTGAGGGAGCCTTCCCTTGGCAATGACGCTTATTGGCTAAACAGTTTTATCATAGACTGTCACAGGCCAGCCTCGGTCCCACCAATTCGTAGCCTCACCAAAATCCGTAGCCTCATCAGCTCCTCAACGTTTTCTCAGACTTCAAATACTTGTAATTGTGCAAGAAATGAGGGAAAATTACTATCTAAGTTCATAGAATTATCGCAGGAAAATTTGACCATGACGACTCGGCAGCGCAAAAAGGCGACGCCAGACACCATCGCTGAGAAGGTCATCAAAGCGGAGGGGAAGGTCAAAGATGCCTTAGTTGTGCTCTGGGATGACCTCCCAAGCTGGCAGCAAGACAATCACTATATCATCTCGGGATATCGTCCAGCATCAGAGTCTTTTGCCAAATCATTCGGAAGTCTTGGCTATCTTCACAACGAATCTGTGAATATATTCTCCCATCTGATACCCTCCATCGGGTCAGTGGTCTTGGCAATAGCCCTCTACAGAGTTGTGGTGCCTCGATATGAGTCTATCACCCAGGGTGATATTCTTGCATTTGCCTGCTTTTTCGCAGGGGCAGCATTCTGCCTGGGGATGTCGGCAACCTATCACGCCATCTCAAACCACTCTCATGTCGTGGCAAGATTTGGAAACAAGTTGGACTATGTAGGAATCGTATTCCTGATCACCGGCAGCTTCATCCCGAGTATTTACTATGGCTTCTACTGCCATCCCCATTTACAGCAGACTTATTGGACAATGGTGAGCTCCCAGCCCAGCGACCTGCTTTTATATCTCTGACCAGGAATGCAGATATGCACCTTGGGGCTTGGCTGCGCAACGGTTTCGATATTCGAAAAGTTCCGTACACCAGCGTGGCGCCCGTATCGAGCTGGCATGTTCGTTGCCATGGGTCTGTCTGCCGTCTTCCCCGTGCTTCACGGCGTGCAAGTCTATGGCGTACAAGACATGCGGGACCGAATTGGTCTTATTTGGCTCCTTACCCAGGGCGCATTATATATTTTAGGCGCGGGAATCTATGCTGTAAGCCACACCCGAGATTCGAAGTGGAGCCCCTTTTGCTGATGATCAATAGGCACGATGGCCGGAACGAACGGAACCTGGAAAATATGATATTTGGGGAAGTTCGCATCAAATATTCCACATATTGGTAGTTTTGGCGGCGGTAACGCACTTTTACGGCCTGGTAGTTGCGTTTGACTTTCATCACGGAGCAAACGCGGCAGTGTGTTGAACCTAACAAAGTCTATATCCCCGAAAAGTTATTTGGGTGGCCATATTATTGTAAATATTTATAGAGGAATGGAATTTTGGTATTAAATCAAGACTTATGATTAGATTAGAAAGTACGACATTTCTGGCAACCGAAGAGGACAGTGCTATAATTGGAGCTTCGGCGACTGACAGCCGTTTTCCGAGGCTTGCTTACCTACCTACCCCGGAGTTAGCCTCGGCATGGCCCATCTGGGGTACGCCCCGCATTCAGTCCCTCAGTCCCTCGGGTGTGCACTCATTTGTACCGCGATACCCAATCCATTTATAATCTTTGATAGGGAAGCTGGCTTAACTTTCAAAGATATATTCTAAATTGCAAACCTCTCATCTCCATACCATATCCCTTCATACACAATGGCTTCCCGCGCACAACAGATTGCTGGCCACTTGAACTGGCCAAAGGGCATGCTTGCTGGCCAAGTTGCTATCATCACTGGCTCTGGTCAAGGAATTGGTGCTGAGGCCGCGAGGCTCTTTGCCAACGAGGGTGCTAAGGTTGTCGTCGCTGATATTGACGCTGGTAAGCTTGCTATCTTGACTGCGCCTGAGAATGTATACTAACTGCGACTTAAAGCCAAGGCTGCTGATGTCGCAAAGAAGATCAACGAGTCTGGTGGCAGCGCTATCTCTGTCGCTGGCGACGTCTTAGATGAGAACTACCTGAAGGACTTGGTGAAGAAGGCGGCAAAGTTTGGAAATGGGAAAATTCATATCATCGTGAACAACGCTGGCTTCACTTGGGACGGAGTTATCCACAAGGTAAGCTCTCCAATAAACTGCAGCTCTAGGCGCAACGTCGATACTGGACAGTAGCAGCCAAAGACAAGCACTGACATGCGCCAGATGACCGACAAGCAATGGGAGACCATGCTCGCGGTCCACAACACCGCCCCCTTCAAGCTCGTCCGCGCTGCCGCCCCCTACTTCCGCGTCAAGGACGGCGAGCCCCGCAACATCATCAACATCTCCTCCACCTCCGGTGTGCACGGCAACGCCGGACAGGCCAACTACGCTGTCGGCAAGGCCGGTATTGTCGGCCTCACCAAGGTCATTGCTAAGGAGTGGGGACCAGCGTTCGGCGTCCGCGCCAACACCATCGCGTTTGGGCACATCGCCACGCGCTTGACGCAGGCGAAGGAGAAGGGTGCGTTTGTTACCACCCCTGATGGAGAGAAGATTGCTCTTGGTATCCCCGGCATGGGAGAGCCGCCAAAGGACGGATCGGTTGCATTTGCCGATATCCCATTGAGGAGACCAGGTAGCCCGTCTGAGGGAGCCAGCTCTATCCTGGCTGTCGCCAGTCCGCTTTTCTCTTATGTTAGTGGCCAGACCATTATGGTTACGGGTGGAAGGAATATGTAAAGTACGATAAGATGTAATCACAGTTAGAAAATCCATATATGTTCATCATTCTTATGATTCCGTGCCATGCATCCACAAGATCTTGCGCCAGCGCTGCTAACGTAATTTATCACACCCAGCAACTATACAGAAAATTGTAGTTTATAACGGTTACAGTTGACATGACATGTATTAGTATAGTAAACCCCCTCCCCAAACTCCCATATACATCCCTTCAGACCTTCAACCACAAGGCAAAAACCCCCATCGCATACTCAGCGATCTCGTTTGAACCCAGTTTGCTCTCTCCGTACACACGATCCACAAAGCTGATCGGCACTTCCGCAACAGTGCAACCCATCGCCTTTGCCCTGACCATCATCTCCATTTGGAAAGTATACCCCTTGCTCTCAGTGCTGAGAATAACCTTCTCAAGCACCTTCTTCTTATACAGTCTGAAACTGCCCGTCAAATCGCTCACACCCGGCCTGAGCACAGTATCCGCAAATAAGTTCGCTCCTCTCGAGACCAGCTTCCTCTTCAAGTCCCAGCCGTACACGCCTCCGTTCCCTGCATATCTCGTGCCGGTAACAATATCGTATCCGCCGTTCGTCGAGAGCGTCTTCTGCTTCGCGATCATCTCGGAGATGAATTTCGGGTGGTGCGAGAAATCGGCGTCCATGATGATGACGAAGTTTCCGGTTGCGAATTGCATGCCGTGGACGTATGCCGTGCCTAGGCCCAGCTTGCCAGCGCGCGCATGTAGGTGGACGTGTGGCGCGTATACTTTAGCAAGCTGTTTGGCAACGACCTGGGTGCCGTCGGGGCTGCCATCGTCGACGATTATGAGTTCCCAATCGAGATCACTACAGGACGTTAGTTCGAGGCAACAGAGGAGAGCCGCGTAGAGAGAAGCTTACAGCTCGGTGAAGGTGCGGTTCAACAGCCATGTGATGATTGGAAGGTTGCGCCTCTCATTGTAGGTAGGTAGGAGGATGGAGTATTTGTCTTTCTGTGCCTTTGGCGCCATTGCGGAGTCGATATGGATTTTATGTACACGGTTGCAAAACAGCGCAGCAATGCTCAGCGCAACGTTCACTTGTGTGTTGTTGAAGGAGGGTCGGGAGTTGGATGTTCTTGTCGTGAAGCTTTGCGATGTGGTCTTTGGCAATTATTGGTATTGGCTCAGGAGACGGCTGGCTGGGGAAGCTGCAGCCGAGGGGATTGGGTTAGCTCCCGCGCCAGGTTGCTTGCACATCTGGAAGCTAACGACTTTGGTTCAGTCAACTGTCAAATGTTAAAAGACTGAGACACTGTGCATGACGGTAGCGATTACAGCAATTGTAATTGAAACAGAATTTCTCAATTACTGAAGGCTATAAGAAACAATTGCGACAAGGGATGCCAAGGTAATATATTCATTCTTTCAAGGGCGTAGGCTCTAATCAGCCATATCCACCCACGCAGCGTCAAGCTTCTCTCTATGTAACTATCGAACAATGAACACAATGAAACCTTCCTGGCATCCCTATAAAGAACAAGATATGCTAACGCCACCTATGCAACGCCTGCTGCTACCCAAAGAAACTATACAGGTGCAATGACTGCGGGAAAGTCACAAGATCCCGCTAAATGACAAACAAATACAAAATATAAAGCCTCCCAGTCATCACAGGTCTCCCTCAACCAATTGCTCGCTGGCTATCGTGAGAAGCTTGGCTGCTGTTCCGACAGCTTTCTCGGCAGCTTTCCAATCGCCGGCCTCAATAGCGTCGCGGATGGCAGGGAAAAATGACTCGTCGTACCCAGACCAGGCTTGAGGAGCAAACAGGACGTGTTTGAATTGTTCACGGCCGGGAACCTAAGTCACATGTGTTAGGCAGGGTCTAAATAGGAGGGGATTGATAGGGTTAAGACTTACTCCACCTCCAACCTCTAAGTCCAGAAGGAGAGTCTCGAAATCTGAAGCGCGGTTGTTGTAGCTTTGTCGAATGATGCTTACATCCATTTGCTCATAGCCTCCATTGTTGTTTATAAAATTCCTCCAGTACGTCTCCCAAGACCTGTATCGTTCTGCATCCCCTTTGAATTTAAGGGCAGCGGCACGAAGCGGTTCGATGTCCCACTTCGGTTTACCGGCTTGGTTCGCCCCCTTGGATCCGGCCCATTGATTGAGATCCTCAACATACTTCCCAATAGCAGTGGCGTAGGAAGGCATACTCAATGGAAGAATTGGGTTATCCGCCATTTCTAGAACAAGTAAACTCCAGACTTGGCATAGCATATGATGGTATAGGAAACCAGGGTCGCCAAACTTTTCCATCCACTCAAAGTTGTCGTATACAGAGTGGTATGGGAACCGCTCGCCGGAAAATCCAATGTCAATAGACGATACACCTGCGATGTCTTGGAATGCTACGTAATCACTCCCAGCGCCGAGGCCCTCGAGTTTGCTTTTAGACTCCTCCCAGAGCTGCAGTAACGTACTGCCGTTTCGCACAGGGTTATTGATTCGGTCCATGACAACACGGATAACCTCTTCAAACGCAGGAGAAGCAGAGGCTTGGAAGTCCTGTCCGCTGACTGCTACATCGACGTTTATATAGGCAACTCCATTCGCCCGTAGCTTGTCGATATTGTTTTCGACGTATTCAGTAGAGCCAATAAGGTTGTACTCCTCTCCATCCCAGCTGGCGAATTCAATGGTTCGTAGAGGCCGCCACCCATGGCGTTTAAGCTCTCCGAAAATTCGGGCCATTTCGATAAGTATAGCTGTCCCAGATCCTGGATCAGCGGCACCATATGCCCATGCATCGCGATGGTTACCAATGATAATTGACTTCTCGCTTTGCTCAACTCCTTGAATTCGCCCGATGACGTTCCAGATTGGCTGTTGCTCAACCTCATCCTGTTCATTCTTGAGGTGAACCACTGGCGACGACAGGTCTCCAGTCCACCATTCGACATCTGGCACGCCACCCTTCCATTCTGGAGGTACGGCTTGCCCGTGGCCCTTCAAAGATTGCAGGAGGATTTGGGCATCACGCCAAGCTAGAGGAATGCTGGGGATCTTGTTAAGGCCGGGGTTGTCTGCTACTGGCAAACGCTTTGCACCCTTAACACTTGCCCAACCAGGTGTCAGAACATCTCCAATTACCCAGCTCATCAAGCTGACTGAACCCCTCTGAACACCATCGGCCGGCATGAACCTCCCATCGGGCCAGGCCTTCCCCTTGACAAACCCATCTTCGGCAGGATCGCTGTAGATGATGCATCCCGCAAAACCCGCTTGTTCCGCAGCCTTAACCTTCAAGGACCTGTCACCTTGAGACCCGTAATATTTCACCAATGCAATCGCGCCCTTTGTGTCGATCCCGCTGTCCTTCAATCGCTTGAAATCCTCCCTTGACCCAAAATTGGCATATATTAACGGGCCCTTTACGTGTCCTGACTTTGAATGGCCATGGAAAGCCAGGGCTTGCTGCCTCCTTTCTTCTGGGTACACATTATCCTCTTCGAGCTTTGCCTTCCACTTGACCGAGCCATCCGCGTTCAAAATCTCCACTGCACGCCCGCCAGCCTTTGGGTAGTTTAGATATACATCGTATCTGTCTCTTACTACGTTTTCTAGCCCAGCATTGAGGAACTGCTGCTGAATCCAGTTGCTTAGCGCAAAGTCACCTTGTGTTCCAGCAAGATGGTCGTAAGCTGTGAGATGTTCGAGGTTGTCTCTTATCTTCTCCGAATCAATCTGCTCTTGTAGCCACTCCCTCACACGACCTGGGTCAAACATTTGACCCCCCATGCGACGTGACGCATTCGAGAAAAAGTCGCTCATAAAGAGTAGGTAGGCCAGCCCTACTACTACAAGGAGCGCAAACATCCGGGCCAGTAGTATGAAGATCGAAGCGTCCATTTCCGGCATCTTGAACTTCCACTTCGGCAGCCGAAACTTAAACGGAAAGTGTAATGACTGGGAGATACTGGATATGCGCTTTCCCCAGCGGGATTGTTCTGCTGGGGGCTCCTCTATCTCCATCTCGTCCATTTCTCGCCGCATCTCTGCATCCTCCGCCGCCATTGAATCTCTTCCTTCATCTGATCCAAGGAATTCGAGAGAGTCCAAGCTGTCTCGCCGAGATTCGTCATCCTCCGTGGGAGGCGGGCGGTAACCTATGCGTCGTGTTGGTACAGGGAGCCGGGCTTCGTCGCCCAGAAGCCCTTGACGCTCTTCATTATTGCTTGCTTCGTTCGGCCGCGACGTTGCAGGTGTAGGGGACCGAGAGGACGTCGCTTCGTCATATGTAGGTATAGGGAGGTTCTCGTATTTGTAGGGCTTCTCGTCGGGCATGGTGCCTCGAGGGGGGGCGCATGCGGCTCCGGCTGATGATAGTCCAGTAGTCGATGTGGATGCTTAGGTTGATAGGTCTAGGAAAGGATATCCATCACATTCGAATCCATTAGATATTGACGTTTCAATGAGACCTCGATGCTGGTGTCTGGCAATGATATGGTATCAATAATGTAAGTCCCTGCGACTGAGGCTATCTGGACGAGGTCCACGCACTACTGTACGCTCGGCAGTGGCTTGGTAAAACACCGATATGACAACCCCCCTACAATACATAAAACACCAAGGTATCGCTCGTCATATACTTACAAGAAAACCAGCAACTGTGCTCAGACCTAGGATAGATATGCTTTAAACACAGATGTGATATAATTGGAATGATTAATAGGTAAGATATTGTACAGTAAAAGGTCCCATATAGAGACAACCAAGGATGAAAGTTATGCAGCAAGATGCGACATCACGTGCTTGATACATAAAATGAATTGGCAATCAAGCTGAGGGCGGGTGGTTATCCGTACATTTTGTATGACGGAAGGAAAGCCCGGCAAGTGAAGTACGACTATGCTTCTCTGGCTTCAACCCCCCGCGATCTGAACATCATTCACCTCAAACTATCAAGCTCTCGTTAGAATATTTGACATCAAGATGGATTACGTCGATAACAGAGTGGCTAAAGGTATATACTAAACATCCGCGAAGCCGATCGTCTGCTAATTGTTCTTTAGAGGCCGCAAGGTCGTTGCCAAAGGCTGAAGTGTTTGTTGGCATCTCTCAGAACCTCGCACCCTAGCTAACTCTAGTCTAACAAAGAGCGACATTATTCACGCCCATCAATGCCATCCTGCTCTCACTCTTCGTCCTTATTATCTACTACCAACTACGTCCTAAGACACCAACCGTCCTTCCGAAGCAGCCTCCCGCCGTCGTCTTCCAAACCTTCACCCCACGCACTTTACTACCAAATAACGGGGCAGACGGCGCGCCAGTATATCTCTCAGTACGAGGCCGTGTCTTCGATGTTACCTCTGGCCGCCAGTTCTACGGGCCAGGCGGACCATACGAAAACTTCGCTGGACGAGATGCCAGCCGAGGACTGGCTCATGGCAGCTTCGACGAGGATATGCTGACGAGTGACTTGGATGGGCCGTTGGATACGTTGAGTGATCTCAATGACGAGCAGAAGGACGCACTGAAGGGGTGGGAGGAGAGGTTCAACGAGAAGTATCTGGTTGTGGGGAAGCTTGTTGCTGCCGGCGAGGAGGAATGAAGCGGACCAGAGAATCAGGAACAACGCCAGGAAGGTCGTATGCTTTTTTTTAACGACGCTGTCAAGCGATAATGCAGGTAAAAGTTCAAAATTTGACATGCACCCGTAGCCTTCCAGCCACGGGAGACTGATTTATGATTGTATATTGATGACCAGAGAAACGCCCTTGCTCCATGCTGCGCTCATCGACCGTCTGCTCGTAGCATGTCCTTAATTTATCCAAACCACCATCTAAGTTGTTCACTTCTTTCCGCTCTTCTTGATTCCTTGTGCGCCAGTGTTGAGGGGTCCCTTGCTTCCCTTTGCCTTCGCGGCGAGCTCAGCCTTGGCTTTCGCATCTGCAAAATATTAGCATAAGAACGTCTAAGAATGCGCGCATAACATACCAGCGCGCTGCTTCTCTTGGAAAGCTTTGTCCTCGTCATCCAACTCGGCCTTTGGCGCCTTCTTTGGTGCCTTGAGAGGCTTCGCCTTGCCACCTGCAAAAGGTTAGAACATGTTTGCACCAGAAGATATTTCCGTCATAACATACCTGCTCTGTCTACGCCACCCATACTGATGATTATACTTGAATAAGTATTAGTTTAGGTAGATGAGTTGAGTTTGTACGTTGAAGAATCGGAATGTAGATGCAGATAAGGTTTGCTTCAGATAAACTGGAGGAGGGGCAACTGGAGACGGCGTTTTCCAACGCGCATTGCCGAATGTCACTAGCGCCGCTAGCGCAATCAGTAAGGCAAGCCTTGTTGTTTCTAGACTCGAAATCTTGGAAGTGACCTCGACTAACACTTCGAACAACGCATCAAATACGTGCAAACAAAGGCTTCAAAGGAAGACGCGGATTCCAAATACTTGGGCAATGCGCTGAAAACGGAGTACGAGAAGATATATACCCGGTTGGGCTCATTCTCACACAGAGATTCACCTTCTGATCCTTTACTAACACGTTCTGGCATCAAAGGGAGTGGGTTATATCGGCCCCAGCAAAGGTCATCCGCGACGATGGCTTCATCTAGTTCGGACGAGGGGGAGATAAGAGACCCAGGATTAGACAAGGCAACTACGTCGCCGCAGATGAAAGACACTTCAGTTGACCGTCAACACAGAACACGATCTAGATACTCGCCTTCTCCGTCTTTGTCGATCGAAGATAGCGTCGTTTCCGCCCTGCGGCGCTCATCAGAGAGACGCTTATCACCAAGGGGTTCAAAGCGAAATCGAGATGACGACCACTACTCTCGCAATCACAGAGACTCTCGACGATTCAAGGGTCAATACGAAGACCGCCCGACTCAACGGCGTAGCCAACAGCCCTACGAAGATCTGGATAGGGAAGGCGCCACCCCAGCTGGTCTTCGATACGACGATGGCGACCGGAACCGCGACAGGCGCTCGCGTACTCGAACACGCAGCCGTTCTCCTTATAGAGCCTCTCGCGAAGCCGAATCTCGAGGCAGTTATAATACGAAACCACAGCGTGACAACTACAGCGGTAGTAAGAGCGATTTGCCTGACAGGCCAAGGATGAATGGATATGGAAATCATCAACGCCAGGGTTCAAGAGACCAGTCAGTGAGCAAAAGGGCCGATGGGCGGATGCCAACTGACCTTTCAAATGGAGAGGCTAAATTTGTTCAAGGATACTCACAGAAGCGTGGTGATAGCTATAAGGGCGAACGTGATATTGAAAGGTTAGTTCGTGGAATATTCTTGACTGTTTGAATAAATAGCTAACGCTTCGATAGATCCCACCCCCCTGCGGAAGAACCACCATCTGACACAGAGCCTCTTGATGAAGCAGCATTGATTGAACAGCGACGGAAACGCCGTGAGGCGATTAAAGCGAAGTATAAGGGTTCGGCCACAGCTACGCCTTTAATGGTGCAGGCTTTACAGATAGGAGACCGAGCAACGCCAGAAACGCGCAGCCAGAGTGAACAGGACGGCGATGATCAAACTACAAGGAATGCTTCTCCAGACGTTGGCACTCCTTCAACACCCAAAGAAATCCAGGATCCAAGCGCATTCGCGGCCCTGAATGACCAAGAGCTAGCCAATGATGCCAGAAGAGCTAATCCGGAGGATGGCCCCTCTGCCGCGGACTACGACCCAACAATGGATATGAAGGAGGACAGATTCCGGGACGATATACGCCACACTGGAGACGTTCCGTCATCTGCGTACGACGAGACAAAGCCCACAACCGAGCAGGAGGTTTTACTTCCAGCATCCGAGGTGGAAGAAAAGCCCAAAAAATCAAAGGACGACTTTGACATGTTTGCGGACGACGACGACGATGATATGTTTGCTGAGGAGCCAGAGACAGCAGCTGAGACCACACGTAAAACTGGAGACTCGGCCGTCGCCGTCCCAATACCGGAAGCAAAGGTTTTGAATGTTGGGATGCTGGATAACTGGGATGACGCCGAAGGATACTACAAGGTGATATTGGGTGAGCTCCTCGATGGAAGGTACCACGTCCAGGCCAATCTTGGAAAGGGTATGTTTTCTGGTGTTGTGAGAGCTACCGATATCACAACGAAGAGGCTGGTGGCGGTCAAGATGATCCGCGCAAACGAGACCATGAGAAAGGCAGGCATGAAGGAGATCGAAATCCTTCAGAAGTTGATGAGCGCAGATGTTGACGATAAAAAGCACATGATTCGATTGGAACGTCATTTCGAGCACAAGGGCCATCTCTGTATGGTTTTTGAGCACCTCAGCATAAACTTACGCGAGGTGTTAAAGAAGTTTGGCCGGGATGTGGGTATCAACATCCGTGCTGTGCGCGTCTATGCCCAGCAGATGTTTCTTGGGCTGACACTCATGCGCAAATGCAATATCCTTCACGCCGATCTGAAACCCGATAATATTCTCGTTACTGAAAACCGGAGCATGCTCAAAATTTGCGATTTGGGATCTGCCTCGGATGCCTCAGACAACGAAATCACACCTTACCTTGTGTCACGCTTCTACCGTGCCCCTGAGATTATTTTAGGAATGCCGTACGACTTTGCCATCGACATATGGTCTGTTGGCTGCACATTGTACGAACTGTATACCGGCAAAATCCTCTTTGTTGGCCGATCTAATAATCAGATGCTACGCTCTATCATGGAATGCCGTGGCAAGTTCACGACGAAGATGCTGAGGAAAGCTCAGTTTGCTCACATGCATTTCGACGAGCAGACAAACTTTTTGAGCGTTGAGCAGGACAAGCTGAGCGGGAGGGACACAGTTAAGACGCTTCCCCTCGCGAAGCCCACCAGGGACCTGAGAACGAGACTTGCGACGGGTGCCAAGGGATTACCAGACGATGAAATGAAGGAGTTGAACCTGTTCATCGACTTATTGGATAAATGCCTGGCACTAAATCCCGAGAAGAGATGCACGCCGGCAGAGGCGCTGAAGCATCCGTTCCTTAATAGACCAGTTGGTAGATAGATGGGAACTGGTTCGAACAGAACCATGGCGCAGTCGAAGCTGATCCAAGGCAGGGTAATTATGGGATTGTAAAAGAGACACAAATATACGGGATGCTCTACATAATTGCTATAAATAATATGATAACGTCTGTTGAACTGTTGTAATATGTGTTGGCACATGTGAGATCGTCTCAGTTCATATCTGGAGCGAGGCTGCTGTCATTTGAGTCGTAGCCTCGTCCAGAGTGGGCCTGTTCTAAGCCAAGAGCGGTTACATTCCAGACGAGACCCTCAGGGTAGAGTAACAGATCGACGAAGGGTGGGGTTTGGAGTCAAGATAACACATCAAATCGATCAAGGTACTACAGGCGCAAGTTGTAAGTACGGGCCGAGCAATGTTTAAGTTGCTCACAGAATCATTAAGTTTGCTGGTTACTGTCCACCGCGAGATCATTCACAGCGCTTGTGATAGATGAACATCTAGTCGTGAAACGAATCATAGTAACTGACCCCTGACGACCCATAACAGCCACCACCAAAGCGGCACAGTTCTGTTTCAAGTACACCACGTTCCCCCCCTAGACAAGGGGTTTCCAGTCCTTCGGCCTTCGTGCGGATCATTTCTAAAGAAGATTACAGGTGCTAACAGATCACTGAGAGGAGGGGTTAAGGTCTGAAGGCCTTCATTTCGTCTGAGAGTGGCAGGCGTAACGGCAAGGCCATAACTACAACTGGACGAGGTGTCATTGCCTGTTCTTTGCTCTACGCCCATGCATTCTTTGTCGTCGTGCACGCCCTCGGATACCACCTACCCTCTGACCTTGATCTAACTTACTTATCTCGTTGCTTAAGAGACCGCCGCTATCACTTGGCTGATCGAATGCCATCGACCTCTATCACATTGTCGCAAACCACAATGTGGAAACGAATGCAGCAGGGCAAGTCTGCGAAGCATCAAAATCAACCTATCTCGCCTGGGAGCAATGGAGGCGCCCTAGAAGGACCTCAGGATTCTTTTCTCTCGCCCCAGGATGGTAACTACGGGCGAGGCCTGCCAGCTCTGCCAAAGTAAGTAAACACCTGCGATGACCTCAACATGCCAACACTAACAAGATCGCAGTGAGTCTGAACAGCGACAAGGAGGCAAATACCGACCAGAGTCATCCGTATACTCCCAGCACTCCCCACAATATCCAGCCCCCGCGACATTCCAAGAACAAGTCTCGAGCTACGAGGAGCAAGTAGAGATATCCCCGCCCAGTTCACCAGATATCCCTCGAAGTGAAATGGTCTCCCGATCCTATAACACACACCCAAGTGACGTCCCAGCCGCGCTATCAGCGCACCCGGTCAAAAGCAGCATCCCAGTTGCGCGACGCGAGAAGCGGCGGAACCAGGCACAGGCGACCACAGCGGGCCACCTTGCGCGGAGAGAGGAGCAAGCGGCTGCTGCTGCTGGGCTGAGAAAGACAAGTGGGACGCGATGGGATGATTACTCGGGGGAGCCTAACGATCAAGGACGGCCACCGTCCGTGCAACCGGGACAGTTCACGCCGGTAGTTACGAACCTAGAAGATTCATATAATGCAGCGCAGTCAGCTCCCAAGGTGCAGACATCGTTTAGCGACCGAGTGCGGAAGCTGAAGGATGGGAATAAGTCAAACGGACCCAAGCCTGAGTGGAAGGGGTCTAGTGGGAGGATGGCGATCGTTCCGGCGCCTGAAGATAACCCATCCGCGCCGCCCTTGCAAATCCCCAGAAAGAGCAGCAAGCGCGTGCCTTCCAACCCATCACTGGCTGGTTCGAGAGTCACGTCCCCTTCTAATGAGACTCCCGTTGTATCACCAACCGCGCACGGTGGCCCGCAGTACTTCCTGAACACCACCTCGGAAGTTCCAGAACCACCACCACACGACGAACCCCCCTCGCCCTTAAACTCCCTCCCATCACAACGAGTGCACGCGCGCCGACCTATTGCGGCTCCAGCTACGCCCGATAAATCTACTCTACCACCATCCGTCTCCACCATCGAGCGCAACTTCCACGAAGCCCTCAAAGACGTCTCGATCAGCAACCCCTCCAGCAGACCACAAGAAGTCTCCCGCTTCAGCGTCACCACCTACGCCCCCTCAACAACCACCACCAACACCTCCTCTCCCCGCCCCAGCACCGACTCCGTCCCCCCCCTCCCAGAGCCCTACCAATACACCAGCTCCGTCCCCGCGCACTCCCCCATCCTCAACCGCCGCCGCCCCGTCGGCGCACCAAACTACACATTCGACCGCACCACCGGTGCGCTCCGCCACCCTCCCTCGGGAGAGCCAAAATTCATCAGCATGTCTCACCGCGCGTCACTCTCCAAAGCTCTCCCCAAGTCCCCTGAAGAGGGCGCAGCGCTCGATAAAGTCGCGTTGCTGCAGGCGCAGCTCGATGACCTCGCGAGGCAGAGGAGTAACATCGATTCTTCGATTCGGCGGATGACGGAGCTGATGCCGGGGGAGATGACGGGATTGGGGAGGGGGATGAGCAGTGAGGCGAGGATAGCGGAGATGGCGAGGAGGGAGGAGGAGAAGAGGAGGGTGGAGGTGTTGAGGGGGGATTTGGCGGGGGTGAGGAGGGAGGAGCATGAGGTGGGGTTGAAGTTGCATAGGGCGCTGAAGAAGGCGGATGAGAGGGCGGTTTATGAACCGAGTGGGTTGTGGGTTAGGAGGGTTACGGGGTGAGGTGGTGGTGGTGGTGGGTAACTGCTGTGCGTGTTTTTTTGGCAGTGGTGCTACGGTGATGAGGGGGTGGTTTCGAGGATGTGTTGATACTGTGAGGGGGTGGGTTTCTCGGGCGTGTGTGTTCAAATGCTGTATAACAGGCACATTGTACGATATGCATGCAGCATGGATTTGAAACAAGGCTATACGATGGGGATTTCTTGGGGGGGGTGGAGTGTGGAAGGGCGTTGGTCTAGCGCAAGATACCTGCAGTTATGTTTTTTGTTAGCCATGATTTTACTTGAGCTGAATAGAAAGCCATGAATAAGTTCCCATTGGGTGCGCATATATGCGACTGTTTCCGTTTCCTGTGTCTCTGGCATGGCATGGCATGGCATGGTATGTACTTACTATATACTATGTATACGGAGTACTAGAGTTATTATTGTACTGTCTGTACACCATCGTAACTCGCGTGTTGTGGTGTTGGAGATGTTTCACACCTGTCACATAACCGCCCTTAACCGCAATGGGGAAGTTACTGCATTCTGCTATTTCTGCGGATTTAGGCGATGGAGCAATTTTATTGGTTCGCACGTGATGGCGGGCTAGTTTTTTTTTTGGCTTGATACTATATACGGGAATCTCCAGTAGCGTAATGGTGGTTGCGGTCGCGGGTTTTGCGGGTAGGGAAGATGCGTGTCTCGTCTTGTCATGTCCTGTCCAGCTGAGATGGGGATCGTGGAGGGTGGTGATAGGGGGGATGGGTGTGGTGATTAGTTTATGGGATTAGTATATGGTGGTATATGAGTTAGTTTATGGATATTATGGATATCGCTGCTGGAATAAAGGAAGGTGCTTTGATTATAGAGGTTAAAGGGCAGGGGGGTCGGGTGGTAATTAGTAATTTGAAAACAGGATGTAAATTATGTGTTTCTATTCGAGTACACGGAAGATTTGATGTGTTAAGGGTACTCTAATTGTTAATGTTATCAGAGTGGTGTGAGTAAGTATAGTGCAGTACAAGCTGATTTGATTACGGGGATTAGTTAGAGTACCGTATACCGTAACGTAACGTACTGTACAGTACAATATAGTACTTTAATTATACTTTTTTTTCAATATTTCAGAAGCGAAAGGGCAGATTGTCCTTTTTCAGGGTGATGGTGGTGACGAAAATGAAACCGAGATCAGCCAGTAACTAAGACACATACTAAGACACATTTATATATATTTATACGAGCTATAAGTAACTATAGTAGGAGTAGTAGAGTAGTAGATTAGGTAGATTAGCAGATTAGTTAGATTATTGGGAAAAGCCGACGGGCTTGGTCTGACACTGACTGCCTAATCTAGAAGACGACAGTACGAAGTAGAAGATCATTTCCCTTGATTTGTCTCTTCTGTCCCTTTTGTCTCTTATTTTCCCAGATTGTTGGTTAGTAGGTTGGCGCTATACATATCGCGTAATTGGGCGCAGCGATGGGTGATGGGTATAGGTAAGGGTGTAAGGGTGTAAGGGTGTAAGGGCGATGGATGGAGTTTTGATTAATCACATTTTTCTTTTCCCTCTTTTCCCTTTTCTTCCCTTTTTTCCGATCTAATATTGGAGATACTGTGTCAAAACATACAAGGTATATTAGATATTAGTATAGATTAGTAACGCTACATTATGCCTACAACTAATATACTCTAATATACTCTACACATACTACTACCCTATGCACATGTACATACTCTCTATACGATACTATATGCTATATGCATGTACTGTAACAATACCATAATATAATAGTCCGAGTATCTCAAAGTCACTATATCAACCCATCCCAGCCCACTTTAGTATATCCCCTAGCAAACTAATTATAATTCTCAATCGGGGTCTGGTTAGTCTCGCTATTCTGGCTAACTCTGGCTACTCTGACTAGTGTGATTTGTCTGATTTGTTAGATTTTTGTTACTTACTACGTCGGTCATTACTCTACTTCGTACTAAAATTGACGCTTACTTATCGATAGTGTACTATTTAGACAATTAATAAAGTTGATATAGCCAATCATCTCTCTCTCTTCTGTCCCATCTTCTTTCTTTCCCAGGCTTTTCCCAGCTTACACTTTAATGCGCGCGGCTTGGTTTGTAGCGTTGTAGGTTTGTAGGTAGCAACGTCCTTTTTTGCCTCTAGACTTTTTTTCTTTTAATACAATCTGGTCCCAACCCATAATCTGTAGACTGATCCACCCATGAACTCTTATTAAAAAGGTTGGCTTGTCCATAATCCATAATATACATACCGTACCCCCCCCCGTTGTCACTTTCACTGCTTTCAAACCCATAATCTCTCTTTCTCGGTGGCGTGAAACTCTTTGTTCCTTCTTTTATCCTAAATTCACTTGCTCTTCTTCTTCTTGTTCGTGTCAAAGAAAGGGTGGTCCCTCATTCTTCAAAAAGGGTCCGTTGGTCATACGTTATCACCACGCCGCGAGCTCCCTTACTTCACCTATCGCGCAACAAACCATCAACGGCTTATCACAGTAAGGGTCTGATGTGCACCCTGTAACACCCTCAAAATGCAACATCCCATGGATCTCGATCCTGAAGCGCCGCCGACTCACCAAAGCGACAACAAAGGCGACAAAAATCCCACCACTTCACATGCCAAAACACGGGATGCGCCAACCTCATCTGGCCACCCATCACCCGCACCCTCAAGCAGCTCAAGTCACCACAACGAGCTCTACGATCGCGAGCTTTCTAATTTCAACGCCGTACTCGCCTCTATCTCGCCTGCCGCAGCTCGCGCCGGCGTGCGCCAAAACTGGCGCAAATGCCTACTCGGCTCATCCAGCGATGAGGCCTTCTTCATTCGTAGTCTCATGGGGCGAACTTCAGATCACGTGATGACTAAGATCTTGGAGGATGAGCAGGAGAGGATTTTGGAGGTGGCTAGTGAGCACTACAAGGCGTTCTTAGATCAGGCGATGGCGATGAGGTTGGAGAGTATTAGCGCGAAGGATTTGGTGGCGGTGTTGGCGAAGGCGAGAAGGTTGGGGTATGATGAGATGGACTTGGTGGAGGCGGATGAGATGGTTATGCCAGCCGAGAGGGCGGAGGCTAATGAGCCGAGCGACATGGAGGAGGAGGCGGAGGAGAATTTGCAGGTCGAGGTGCCTGAGGTGTTAGACGTGGAGGGTGGAGCGCGGAAGGATGGTTGGGAAAAGGAGAGGTTGATGGAGTTCAGGATGAAGGAGCAGGATGATGGGCGTCAGGGGTCGCAGACGGTGTTTAGCCAGACTGAGGGACATGCGAAGCGCAAGAGTAAACGCAAGGTGTGCCCGGCTTGCGGTGCGACGTTTCTTCAATCGGCCGGGTTGAAGTATCATATGGATCGTAAGGTCTGTGAGAGACAAAGGCCGACTGCTCCTTTGAAGTTCTGGTGTGATCTCTGCTCAAAGGGGTTTACCACATCGGGCGGCCTCACTTATGTATGTATTGTCCCGGGATATGCACTGTGATTGACTTACTAACAGCCTCTTAGCACCGATTGAACAATGTTTGCAAGGGCCATGAACCATCAACGGCGTCGTCTCCCAACGCCCAGCTTCAAGCTGAGCAGGCAGCAAAATATGCCGAGCCTCCAAGAGACCTAACACCCAGAGACATCCTTAAATCAGAGCCATACCCCGGAGCCTTGAACGTCCGCACCTATTCTCCTCCTCGGGCGCAAATGCCAGCAGCCCGCTTCACCGAATTCAAAGCCTCACCCAAACCCCTCCCCATGCACCCCTCCCCCCAACAATACCAACCACAACCGCAATCCACGCCCTCCTCAAGCTCCAAACCATCCGTCGCCCTCACCCCCGAACAATACTCCGAGATGAACGCAAAACTCGAAAAGGAAGAGCGCCGCTTCGAATCCGTCCTCGCAAAAGTATCTCCCCAGCTGTCCTCCGCCGAGCGGCACGCCGAGATCAAACGCCTCAAAGCGGGGAGCTCAACTCGCAAATCCATCATCCGTCGCGAATACGGCGTGCAAGTGCGCCGCTCCAAGGTCGCCACCGCCAACGCGATTCGCACGGCTAGTGGCGGAGTTGATATCTCTATGGTCGATGCGCCGCCCAGCACGAATGGGTTTGCGGCGATTAACCGCATTGCTTCGTTCCGCGCAGAGCCGAGCGAGCCGGACTCGAAGAGGAGGCGTACGGGCGAAGTCGAGGTGGTTAGGGGGAGAAATCCATCAATGTACGATCCGCTCCGCGATAACTCGGAGCGCAGTCGCAGTGTGGAGTACCCGCGCCCCAGTTTCAACGGCGGCGCGCAACAACTTCCTCATCCTGACCAGGTGCTGAAATCGGATAATCGCCCGACGACAGCGCAGAGGCAGAATGGCATTATACCCCGCTCGAGACCGCCGTTGCCGCTGCATGCCGAGCGCCCGCCGCATGGTACGCCGCAGCATCATGACCAGTATCGGCAACCTAGCTACCAGCAGCACCAGACCCCAACGGGGGGATTCACGAGCGTCAATACCGAACAAAACCCCTCCTCTGCCCCACATGACCGCCGCGATAGTCATCACGGCCCTGTAGCACGGATGCAAACCTACGGCGCCCCGCCCTTCTACGTCGACCAAGACCGTCGCGAGCCGGCGCCCACACACCCGCCCTACCACCCTAGTCACCCCAGCCACCCCAACCACGAGGCAGCGGGTACATTCGGAGTCCTAAAATCGCATAAAAAAGTCCCCGTCCACGAGGCGCAGGTACAGTGGGATAATCTGCGGGGTGGCGCTGGGACTCACTATGGCGGACAGCTGGGTGTGAATGGCGCGGAGAGGAAGACCAGCGCGAGGACGGGGGATCTTATTGAGATCCTCTCCGATTCGTCGTCGTATTCGCATACCCCGCCCCAGGAGAAAGTAGTCGCGCAGGCGCAGCAGAAAGCCCCTGCCCCGCCGTCGTCGCGGGAGCAGGATGTTCCGCCTGAGGCGAGGCAGAGTGCTGGGGGAGGCGGGAGACCGACTGCCCTACCTGCGCGAAGCTCGCCGCGGCCGGGGGAGAAGGGGGGGGAAATGAGGGGAGGGGAGGTGGAGAGTGATAGCGATGATGGGAGTGATACTAGTATACCGGCAAGGAGGACGCCGGGGAAGAATGAAGTGTACCGCGATACGCTGTCTGCGGCGCCGCGGAGCGCGAGGGGGAGGGGGAAGTATGGGAGGGATGAGAAGGAGAATAGGGGGTTTGAATGATTTGGTGGCTTGGGGTTGAGGTTGGGAGGCGTTCTGGGATGGGGTGTTTGGCTTTTTATTGGGGGTTGGTTGCTTTGCGTTTGAAGCGTGGGGGGAAATCTAGCAACAAGGATATATACCGTTTTAAGGGGTTTAGGCTGGGTTTGCGTGTATATTAGGGGGCGGGGGCGAGAATAATATGCCCCTGAGATGGATTTTGACAAGTACCAAAGCAAGGAATCATATAATATCGTCCTTTACCCATAAGCCCCTTCCCGCCTCAAGAGTGATCCATAATGAATAGAGCTCCATGGGCTTGTAACCTACGCTTGAACCTATACGCCTTGGCATTTATAATGTTAAAAAGGGGGGCTTCAACATGAATGACTCAAACCACGTGATAACGCGTGATTACCGCGTATTCCAACGTCTCAACGATCCCGTAAAAATAAGGGAACCTCAAGAATTAGCCACCATGATCCCAATTAACAGAAACCTTTCTACTCTACGGCACCTCCATCGAAGGGCAACAGCTGTCTCTATATGGAGGGTACCCCTAGATCATGCCGGCCTCCGTAGATTCACCGTCGACGCAAAGAAGCAAGGGACCGTTGAGCGAGTCATCCGCGATGCCCCCTCAGCCTCTGAGCACCACTACGGCGCCATCGTCGTCGGCGGCGGCCCTGCCGGCCTCGCCACAGTCGGAACCCTCCTCGATGAAGACGTCAAACCCATTCTCTGGATAGACCATAAATTCCAAGGCGGGCGACTCAATGCGCAATACAGGGAGGTCCCAAGGTGCGTCACGTCACATGATCCCCCTCCCCCACGGCTCCCTCTCCTTCTTGAATTCCAGAAATATTTATATACTAACGGCATACCAGTAACACCAAAGTCTCCCTCTTCATAGCCTTCGCGCGCGCCACAGCCGCCTTCCGCAAGATCGCTGATCAAGACCCCACCCCGCCTGCCTACGCGGCACTGCAGGCTATGGACCAGGACACGGGGTGTACCCTCGCTGCGGCGGGGGATATGGTTGTTGAGCTCACAGCGGGTTTGGGGAAGGAAACGGACGTGGTGATGGAGTACGGACATGTGGAAGCCGGGTCGCTGAACGAGCAGGGCGTGTGGAGCGTCACTACGCGGGCGAGTCCCGCGGAGGCGAAGAAGGCGGGTATCCCCACGACGCGCCTTCTTGTCCTCGCAACTGGAGCGCGTCCGCTCCCACCGCGACTGCCGGAGACGTATCCCTATCTGACCCCTCTGCACCTCGACACTGCGCTTAGCCCAACGGCACTGGCGGAGGCGCTGCCGAGGGATAGGGACGTGAAAATCGGCCTCGTAGGCGCCTCGCACTCTGCCATCCTAGTCCTGCGAAACCTGTACGAGCTAGCGCGGAGCACGCACCCTGGGCTAAGGGTGAAGTGGTTTAGTCGGCATCCGCTGCGGTATGCGGTTGACAAGGGGGATTGGATATTACGCGATAACACCGGCTTAAAGGGGGATACAGCTGTTTGGGCGAGGGAGAATCTCGAGGAGGGGGTTTGGGAACAGAGTGATGTGAAGGGGTATGTCCAGAAGATTTTCACGACGCCGGGGGAGGGGGAGAAGGTGGCGTATGAGAGGGAACTGGGGGGAAGGGGGGTGGATATGATTTGTGAGGCTGTTGGGTTTGAGAAGGCGGATTTGCCGAGGTTGGAGAGGAGAGGGGAGGGGATTGGGAGGATTGAGGCGGATGGGTTGACGGGGGGGTTGAGGGATGAGGGGGGGGAGATTGGGGGGTTGAAGGGGGTGGGGATTGCGTGGCCGGAACGAGTTACGGATAAGGAGGGGAATGTGGAGAGTGCGGTTGGGTTGTGGAAGTTTATGAGGTATTTGAAGAGGGTTGTGCCGGAGTGGGCGAAGGAAAGTAAATAGGTGGCGTTGGAGGGTAGGCTTTTGTTGTGGCATTTATAGGAGCTTCCAATTTAGATTTTAGATATGTTCGGAAGCAGGGAGATATGCTTCGTCAGCTCGGAGCGCCTGTTATAACTCGTATGTTAATATCAACATGTCATCCTAAAATTTAGAATGATGCGCAACAAACTCCTTGCAAAGTCATTCAAAGAACCATGCCAGGGCTATCTAAACTTAACAGTTAACACCAGATGGACTTCCCTTTCTTTCCTTATTTTTAATCTCGAGGGTGATGAAGGAGAGGGGATTTCTTGTAGGTAGGTTTATACATAAACTTACGGCGGTAGGCGGAACAGAAATCAGGAGATTGTGACTTCATCCAACGTCACCACCGAAGCTAGATACGAGGCATAATTGCACGACGCCTCATAACTGTCTTACTATTCTTTAATTCCCATAGCTATTGAAAGCATAACTTCAACTCTAACCTCAACACAAATCGACAACAATGTTCAGCCTCCCTACCCGCCTCGCCCTATCGCAAGCCATCTCCCTCCCCCTTTCCGCACGCGCCTTCTCCAGCTCTACTCCAGCAGTAGCCCAGCTCGCCAAAACGCTGCTTGAAGACAAGGACCAAGGCCTCGGTTTCATCCGGTCGAACCCCCGCGCCCCAAAACCGCGCAAGCTCGGCCTCACAGAGATGCGTGGACCATATTACTCTGCATACGGGACCCGACATCTAGAGGATGTGTTCGAGACGATGGGGACACATGTGGATGGGCTGAAGTTCGCTGGGGGCTCGTTTGCGGTGATGCCCGAGGAGAGGGTGAGGGAGATGACTGAGGTGGCGCATCGGAATGGGGTTTATGTGTCTACGGTGAGTAGTGTCGGTGTAGTAAGATGATAGATGTATACTGGTGCTAACTGCGGGGAGGGGGGATTCATAGAGCATATCCTCACGCATGCGGATGTACACAGCGTGGTGGATAGGTATCTTCGAAAGTGCAAGGACCTCGGGTGAGTTCCCTACCTTTAACTGTAAACTCGTCTTACTAGGAACAGCTTCGATGTCGTAGAATTGTCCAGCGGCTTCCTCTCCTTCCCACCAGACGACTGGCTCCGCCTCGTCGAGAAAGTGCAGAGCCACGGCCTCAAGGCCAAGCCTGAACTCGGCATCCAGTTCGGCGCCGGCGGAGACACGGAGGCCTCCGCTCTGGAAATGACGGGCACGAGCGACCCGGCTAAGTTGGTGGAGATGGGGAGGAAGTTTCTCGCAGCAGGCGTAGAGGTGATGATGATTGAATCGGAGGGGATTACGGAGAATGTACGGACGTGGAGGACGGATGTGATCCAGAAGATCTTGAGGGATCTGCCGATGGAGAACGTGATGTTCGAGGCTGCGGAGCCGAAGGTGTTTAATTGGTATGTGAGGGAGTTTGGGGTTGATGTTAATTTGTTTGTGGATCATAGCCAGGTGGTGCAGTTGGCGTGTTTGAGGAGTGGGATTTGGGGGATGGCGGATACGTTTGGGAAAGTGGTGAGTTTTAGAGATGGTAACTGAAGGTTTGAGAGGAAGGTGATGGATTGGAACTTATCATTTTAGACGTCTCGTCACCTCTTATATGCCACTATACGTAAAGGATAATTACATATGACTAAACTCAAAATGATTATGCATCCCCTACGCCCCGCTATGCACAAGCTTCCAATCTTGTTGCTATCAATCGTGCCAAGGCATATCGTAGAACCCAAGCCCCTTGCCGCCTCAAATGTGATATTTAGATAAATTGAGAGCGAACTTGGCGACTTGATTCTCACCCAAGCCGCTCACATTTGGAACACCACAGTTGCAGCCAGGGACAGTACAGTAATTCGCAGCTTCTACCACAGGCGTCGGGGTTTTGGTCGCCTGGGTAGATCGCATTCGCACCCTGCCACCTCGCAGTACTTAGTATCCCCCTTTTTTCCCTTGGCTTTCACTGCAGGCGGCGCTGGTTTCGGTCGTCTGGGTAGGCTGCACTCGCACCCTGCCACGTCACAGTACTCGATCTCCGCCTTTGTTTCCTTTGTGTTCACTGCAGGCGGCGGTGGCTTTGGTCGTCTGGGTAGGCTGCACTCGCACCCTGCCGTTTCACAGTACTCGATCTCCGCCTCTGTTTTCCTGGCATTCACTTTGGGAGATGGTGGCTTTGGTCGTCTGGGTAGATCGCACTCGCACCCATCCAAGTCGCAGTAGTTGATCTTCTCCTGTGTTTCCTCAGCGGTGCCGTTACTAGAAGTATCGCGTGGGATCTTTGGCTTCGATAGCTTGTGACCCGTAATACAGATACGGCCTGACTTGCGGCAGGGTATGCAGATAAAAAATTCCCCGTCACTGCAGAGGATGCAGCGGAAGTAGGAAGTGTCGTCTATGAAGCCGCAACCGCAAAAGTCGCACGTACCTACAATTTCGTCGTCGTCATCCTCCTCCCCCTCCTCTTCGTCGTCATCACCCGAGTCATGCTCCAGCTCTCGCGAGACCATGTCGTGCCCTCCTGGACACGACGTGCCGTCGGCGTTACAGCCCCGACAGAGGTTGTAGTTGCCATCAGCACAGATATAGCAGTGCTTGTGCGTCTGGGTCTTAGGGAACTCGTCGTAGCAGTTATCGCATATCAGGTTGTAGTCGTCAAAATCCCCCATGCCCTCGTCCCCTGTGTCCTCATCAGTGTTTTGGTCGTCGTTGGCATTAGAATCCGGCTCGTCCGCCCATTTGTCCCCCGCGTCAGTTTCGGCTGCCGTCGCCGCCCGCGCCGCCGCGAACTGGTCTGAGGCGCTCACCAGAGCCTCCTTGATGATGTGTAGTACATTGGGATAGACACCGCCCTGGCCGCGCCGTAGCCGCGCGATCTCCTTGTGGTCGCCGTCGACCTTCATGCGCGTCTTCTCGGCTTCGAAGTTCAGCAGCGCCGACGACCGCTCCACCATCACTTTTGCCTCTCCGCGTCGCTCCCACTGACCGTCTGGCCCCTGGGCCACTGTGCTAGTCGCCCGAGACTCATAGTATGTGTGAATTGTCATGTCCTTGGCTACGTGCCGGAATCGCTCTGAGAGACCTGTCAGTGTCGGCGATTCGCGCTTGAGCTCGCTGATCAGCGTCTGTGTTGGGTGGCCCTTGACAAGTGTCTCCAGTGCTGACACCTCTAGCCCGTTGTGTGGGGCTCCAAAGAAGATGAGGGTGCGCACTGGGAGGCGTGAGCGGATGCTGGGCTCTAGATCGGTGATGGCCTGGAGGGGTTAGCATGGGATTTAGATATAAAGGAGTCATGGCTACCTGTTTGATGATAAGGGCGCCGAGACTATGGCCCTAATCAGACGTAGTCAGTATAGGTTATTAACAAGAAGTTAGCAGTCTTCAGAATAGTGAGTAACACGTACAATCAGGATAAGGGGCCTGTCTCTACACTAATGGGAACGTTAGTTGTGGTTGTAAGTATAGAGAAAGGGGGGAGGGGAGAAGGGGAAGAGCGTACGGATGGATGGTCTCTTAGATCCATTAGGCTCTGGATAAAGCTGTTCCCATAGTCCGAGATAATGCTCTTTGCTGTGTTGGCACCATGCAGCTGCGACTCGTAGCCGTAGATGAGGATCCGGGCCCGGTTCTGGATATCTCGCGGCAGGTAGTCCCGTAACCACATCTTCTGTCCGCTATGCGCCCAAGACCCAAACGCATGGCCGGCGAGGCCGGTGATTGCAATAATGCTACAATTCCCTCATGTCAGTGAAGTTGCCCCAAGACAATTTACTTTTTTATATATATCGGTACTTACTCTGCGTAGACATCTTTATCTGGGTTGTTGAGCGGCGTGAAGCCGATAAAGTCCTTGTCTATGTCGAAGTCATAGTTTTCCTCAGCTCGCGGCTCCCTTGGCTCCCGCGACGAGAAGAGGATTGTTGCCGTTAGTGTGCCATCCGCATCGTAGTTGGTTACATCTGGCACAAGCGACTTGACCTCGATATACTTCCTGTCGTCGCTGTGGAAGCACGACTTGAGCCGCTCTTTGGTGAAGTCCGCTGGGATGCTCTGGATCCGCCATGTCAGGGGGCGACTTGATACCATGGTTGTAGCTTAAAAGTACATATGTCGAAAAAGAATATAGAGAGGAATTTGGGGGAGAGGAGGGGTAACAGAGATATAGCAGGCTATATTATACTTACATATTATGCGGTATTTCAGTATGGAATCCTTCGCGGGACAGACCTATGATGAAACAGTTTACTACTAATAGAAATAACTGCCAAGGGAGCTGGGTGTTGACAAGGCTGTGAAGCTGAAAAATACTGAAGTTCGTGGTTGGTAGGCAATCCATAACATGTGCCTGTGCCTGTTTGTGGCTGACAAGCCATGCTGGAACAGGTAAAGGGAGGCCTGCAATGTATCCTAATGGGGGCATTGGAACTTAACGCTGTAGCATCCACCCGCAAAAGCTGGCTTGCACGGACCGCATGAAAGAGCCAAGGATTGTTTAAGATTGGTGGGTTAGTAGATGGACGGGTGAGCACTATTAGATCTCCACCGTTGCATGTTTTCATTTGTTCCTTTTGCCTTAGAATTATATATATTTTTAGTTAGGCCACATCGTATATGCATAGATCCTCTACTATTTAGGGAGGCTTAGACCACCATTCCCTCTTTTGGGGAACCACTCCTCCCCCTCTCTCAAATCCTTTAGGGCTAGGGTTGGATTGAAACATCGTTCTGGGTTCATTGCTGGTAAGCTACCTAGCCAAATAGAATGTTCTGTCGCGATGTTTTAAGTTTGGGAATAGTATCATCGTGGTGTGGAGGACGCTTCGGCAGGATGGCCGCTGCGAAAGGCCGGCGGCAAGACGAAACACCAACAATAGCTAGCCACGCAGTGCAATATGATTAATATAAACTCTGTCGCGATGTTTTAAGTTTGGGAATAAGTATCCATCGTGGTGTGGAGGACGTTTCGACAGGATGGCCGCTGCGAAAGGCCGGCGGCAAGACGAAACACCAACAATAGCTATCCACGCAGTGCAATATGATTAATATAAACTCTGTCGCATTCCGGAACTTCTGACAATCGCCATGAATTGTGAGATTTAATTCCTCAGAAGATATGTCAGACGATAGCGCTCGCGAACTCCTAAAGAAGCTTGGAATTTCAATTAAGCGATTCAACACCGAGGCGCTACCGATACAGCACCGCGAAACTTTCAACCTCATCCGCTCCATTCGACATAGAACCTTGGAGGATTATAGTAAGGACATAGCTTCTTTTCAGGGCAACGAGCCTTGGAGGGAACAGACTCATGACAGAGTGAAATGGATCGCATGTCGTGCCGCAAACCTGGTTAATCAACGACGCAACGAGGCTGGATGGAGATCCTCACTTGAGAACGATGTTTTTCATAGATTCCGGGTAGAGGTGGCTTGGTTAGTATTACATGCTCTCAAAATTATTTTCGGGCGGGTTCTAATTTTGAGCATAGTCCTACATGCAGAGCGCGAATCTGGAAGTCCGAATTGGAGGCTTACAACGGTTTGCCTTACGCGGAAGCCTGCAAGCTCGACGAGCGTAGAAGCAGGCGAAAGCAGTGTAAGTGCCCTCTTGAACAACGCCCAAGGGACTCGTAGTAAGTGCAATATGTCATAAAAATGTTACTATCATCAAGTCTCACTGATGGTTAGCTACGATGTTGGCGAAAATCTACTTTTCGATGACCGGGCCGAGGAATTGATAGTGTATGGACCACTCGTGGAGAAGATACAGCTCCCTAATAAGAAACCCGATCGGATTTTTGGGCTGAAGAAGACGAAGGCTTTTGCCAAAATTCTCGATGTCGATGGACGAGACGACGAGGAGGATTGTAGATGCAGTCCATTCAAATACTGCACTGATCCCCTGTTGTTTCCGTTTCTGATAATCGAAGCTAAGCAGGACACGTCTGTCGGCTTCGAAAAAATTGAGACACAAACAGCCCTTCCTATTTGGGAACTGTTAAGGCTGCAAGACAGTATTCGGGCTGAAGTATCAGGGGAACCACACAGCGCTAGCCCTCTGGTTTGGTTCTTTGCAAATAGAGGCGACAGCTGGAGAGTATATGGTTGTTATGTCACTCAAACCGAGCCGAAACAATATGTGAGTTATAACATGATCATGGCAATTTTCCTAGTGTCGATGAACAAAAAACAGCAATGCTTAACAGAAGCTGCTTTTGCGACAATAAGCTAATACGAAGAAAGGAAATCCTGCAACTCTGGGATGGATGCATCGCGGAGAAAGATAACTCGTTACAGCTCCAGTTAATCATCGATTACATCGCCGACTGGGCAAGAGATATCTATCGGCCATCTATTCTGAGGCATCTCAAATCAACCGTCTCGAAAATTGCTTACGATCAAGTGAGCCTCAGTAACGACAGCGACATATTCTCTCTAGCGAGTGCCTATCACCTCACGAGAACAATTTCCAATTGGATACCGGAGCCCCCACCGATTATAGACGTAGATGAAACGCCCGAAGGAATGGTGTGTGATCCAGGACCTATACTCCACAAAGACTTTCTGCCAATTCCGATACCCAACACCGAGCGTGGCTCGCTGCGATCTGCGTCCCTCTTCGAGTCGAGAATATTTGGGTTGCGCCTAACAAAGCAGAACGTCAAGCACATGCTGGAATTTTCTATGGGAATTTACAGAGACTATAAAAAAGCTGAGACGATGGCAAGAGACATCTTGAAGTTGTTTTCCAGGAGCGACTGCATCGCGATGCCGGAGACAGATCTCGATTTCCTCGAAGAGAGCTGGACAGGCGACGTGAGCGCCGAGGCTAGAGCATCTACATCCTCAAACTCAAGGACATTCTACGTCTTTGTAGAATTCTCTACGTTCATCACGAATACCTGGGACATCGCGAAAGAAATATCCTATCTAGCAGTGTCAAAGGCGGCATTGGATGAGCTAATCACCGTTGCGGATTTCAAGAAACGTCCCTCTGGATTGATCTCCATAGCGCTGAGAGCTCGACCATGTTCTCACACAGTGTGGCGCGATGCCATCGAATGTCTTCGCCTTGGCTCTCCATGGGAACATTTCTGCGCCGCCATCACTTGCACACAACTCTCTGTTTCCTCCCTTCCTGTACGAATGCGCGCGGACTATACCCCCGATACAGAGGCGCTCAGCTTTACGTCTACATCTCGCAACCCTCGCACTCATGGTACTTCCCAAACACCGATGCGAAGGATCATCGAAAGATGGCACAAATACAGCCGAAAGCAATCTACCCCCAAGGTTCAGAGCGTGCCGCGGTTCTCGTGGGAGGTCAATCCTGAGCCTCACCAGCTCAGCTTTATCCGCGATTTGGAGAGGACGCAGGTTACTTCCGAGCGGCAGGATCACAATATTCAAATATGCAAAAGGTGCCGTTATGTTAGCAACAAATCTGAAGAAGATCACAGATTCACTCCCATAGTTGCGCCACCGATCCCGGAATACGGAATGGTCCTTGTGGCGACATTGGATCTCACAACCGCGCCGCCCACCAAACATGATATCTGCCTAATCGCGTTTGACATCATCCCTGAGATAGCTGGTGGCTCCTCTGCTCTAGCGCTGGTTGTAGATGACCTCCTGCAAAGCGGTTTGATTTTCCATACGATCAGACATCCACTACCACCCCGCTATGCGAATGAGCTGTCTAGTTGCGATACCATCTGGAACCTGCCTCTCCCCTATCGACCGGTGACTAACAAGCAGCGGTATGATGTTAAGAACTGGTCTCTTGAGCTGCAGGGACTGGAGCCTGTGGTATGGGTATCGAATGGGACGGGACAGCAGGTGGATTATTGGGATAATCTTCAGCTGTTGTTGCACTTTATGAAACAGGGTTTGACGTGGAAAGATGCCCGTGTAAAAGTGGAGGATTTGGTAAAAATATCGAAGAGACGCTCGGGGTTTTATTGGAGTGATGAGTACACACGATCGTTACGGAACTGAGTTGAGAGAGGGTCATTTGGGCTATGGAAGCAGACAAACGTGGATTTCTTTGATAGTATTATTATAGCCCTAGTTCAATAAGTAGCCGCTTGCTTCTATTTAGTGAAGCTTCCACCGCCATTACCTCTCGAGGGGATCTCCCCCTCTCCAACCCTCTTAGGCAGCGCCCTCCTCCTCCTTTACCTGTCTCTTCTCCACCATCCTCCCAAACCCCCTCTCCAACCCCACCCTCCCCACCTCCATCCACATCTCCCTCACAAACCTCTCCACCCCTTCCAAATCCCACCCCGCATCCCCCTTCACCCCTTTCGGTAGCACAACCCCATAAGTCTCATCCGCCTCCACCACAATCCTCCTCAACCCCTTCACTGCCGCCCCCCTAGTCCCAAGGGGTAATCCCAACGCCACCACATCCACCGGCACACCATCGCGAATCAACTTACCCACCTCTTCAAGCTGTCTCTCCGCCTCAAATTCCCTCTCTTGCGCCTCATACAAACCCCTTGCCGGCGGCCACGTCAAGAAAGCCTCCTCCCTCACCTCCTCGCGCGAGGGGACAAGGCGGTCATATTTCCCCTCCCCACCCACGCGCGGCAGAAACTCCTCTTTCCACCGCACAAAAAGCGGACGTCTAGAATTCCTCCTATTCCGATGTTTCACCTTCTCTTCCTCCTCCTCTCCCTCCTCCCTCGCCCTCGTAGTAAAAAGCCGACTACTAGCGACGTACTCGAACATGCCCTCCACGCTCTCAAATCGCGTCCAGTACCTCTCCCTCTCTAGACCGAGGAAATCGAGGATCGCGGAGGGGTTGGAAGTCAGGGGAAGAGTTGAGCCGCGGCGTCGGTGGGCTTCGATGGAGGGGATGCGCAGGGCGAGGGAGGTGGGTGTTAGGATTAGCCCTGCCTGCCGAAGGGAGGGGCCGAGGAGTGTGAAAAGCCCCGAGTGCGCGTGCGTGAAAGAGAGGAAGTGGAAGGCGGTCGGGGTAGGGAGGGCGAGGACATCAACTTGAATGAAGCGACTCTGTCCATCCCTTAATTCCAGGGCGTCAGTGGTCTCGGCTGCTTCATCTCTCTCGACAGACGACGGCCAGGGAATAGCAAAATTAGCTTCCGGATTCTCCGTGCGCGGCAGAATCTTCGCGGCAGCATTGAGGGCGGCGCCGAGGTCTTTGAGAGGTATTCCCGGGGTGAGCGGGCCGTGGACTAGGATGTCTATGTCCCCGAAGGATGTCTTTTCGGGTGCTTCCAGGGGCGTGCTGATGTGCGTGTAGTACTGGGAGAGGATGGCGTGGCAGCGGTCGCGGGTGGGGATGTAGATTGAGGGGGGCATGCGGGGGGTGAGTCGGTTGGTGAAGACGTTGCCGCCCATGTCTGTCGTGTCGGGGTGAGAAGCTTGATGTGGGCTTTGGGCCGCAGGAGGCTTGTTTGCTGGGGGAGTTGGATGGGGTTATGGGTGTGTCATTGAGAGGGACCCCTTGCAGACAGGTTGACAGACAGGGAATTGGCAGCAGAAATTGGTGGTGTGAGAGTTACGCGCTCAAATCGGTGTTGTGAGTGATGGCTTGGGTAGCTCTTAGCTTCAGCCACTGCGCTCACCAATCGAAGGGGAAGACGAAATGAAATGTTGATATTGACTCCACCTTCTGCTGCATCACCAGCGCTGGATTTGAGGGATATCTGTACCTGAAGCGTACGATGATACCCTGATACCCTTGTGATGTTGGACCTGGACCCGTGTTGGACCCTGATATTGCTGTTGGACTTTGGACCCTTACAGTGATGTGATATGAGTGTGGCGTCGTCGTTTGTATGACGACCGAAGTGGGTAAATGTGAAGATCTGGAGCTCTGTCTGCAGCTCAGCCACACTTCAACCGCTCAGCCTTGTTGCGCCATGACCACCTGCCCCGCCAAGCCCCGAATAAAATATTGGTGGGGGTGGCCCAAATGAGCATGGTGATGAACGCTTAGAGGGGTTCTAGTAGTCAGGACTATCGAGACGTGCTCCTTCTGTACATATTATGCGCGTCCTATGCGCCTATTACAGTAATTCATAAACAAGCGCGGCATCATTTACTCCATCAGGATTTACCTAGGATCTCACCGGGATGCACTGGATTCACTGGGATTGCACTGGGATTCCACTAGGATTCACTAGCATCTCATTGGGACTCTTCACTGTCATCTCACTGGACTGCCAAGTCTCGGGCTGAAGGCTGTGCATGTAATATTGTGGCTCAACCCAGACAATCAGACCGATTAGTCCCCAGCTGTGACGACTGCTCCCAAGCTCTCCCCCTCCTTCAGCCCCGCTATCCGGGAGCGGTTGGGACACATACAAATATCCTTTGTTTGCATCCCTCCATCAGCCACTCCTCCATCTCTGACACTTCCACATCATCACTTGCATCCTGAGAATCACTCTCCATCGAGCTCTCTCCCCCTTCTTCAACATCCCATAAACCGAAAAATGGCATACCAACAACCCTACGGCGGTGGTCCCCCACCTCCAAACCAATACGGCGCTCCTCCCCCCGGACAGCAGCCTCCATATGGTCAACAGCCCCAATACGGACAACAGCCTCAGTATGGCGCTCCCCCTCCAGGACAGCCTCAGTATGGCCAGCAACCGCAGTACGGTCAGCAGCCCCAATACGGCGCTCCCCAACAGCCTCCATACGGTCAACAACCCCAATACGGCGCTCCTCAAGGCCAACAGCCTCCATACGGCCAGCAGCCACCTTACGGACAACAGCCACAATACGGCCAGCAGCCCGCCTACGGCGCTCCCCCCCAACAACCGTACGGCGCCCCTCCCCAAGGCCAACAACCCCCCTACGGCGCCCCCCCCCAGCAACAATACGGCGCTCCCCAACAACCATACGGCGCCCCCGCTGCCCCTTACGGCCAGCCAGCTTATGGCCAGCAGTCATACGGCCCTCCCGACCTCCCCAGCACCGGCTACGTCGTTCCCCCCCCTCCCATCCAATGGGACGGCACCCCCGACGCCCGCACCCTCCGCAAAGCCATGAAAGGGTTCGGCACCGACGAAAAAACCCTAATCCACGTCCTCGTCTCCAAAGACGCTTTACAAGTCGATGTTCTCCGCGCTGCATACAAGAAAGAGCACGGTCGCGATTTGATCGCCGATATCGCCAGCGAGTGCGGTGGCAACCTGGAGGAGGTGCTGTTGGCTATTGTGAGGGGCCCGTTGGCGCAGGATTGTCATGTCCTACGCACGGGGATGGCGGGGCCGGGGACGGATGAGGAGGCGCTGAATGATGTGCTTTTGGGGAGGAGTAATGCTGATATCGCTGCTATCAAAAACCTCTACACGAAAACCTACCGACGCAACCTGGAAGCAGACCTCAAATCGGAACTGAGCATGAAAACCGAGCGCCATTTCCTGATGGTCGTAGCGGGGACGAGAGCAGAGAGTAGTGCGCCCGTGGTGCCGCAGCAGGTGGAGCAGGATGTATTGGAGATTTACAAGGCGACGGAGGGGAAGACGGGAACGGATGAGCTGCTTGTTTGTCAGATTATGAGTAGCAGGAATGATGCGCAAATTGGGGCGATTGCGGGGTTGTATGAGCAGAAGTATCGGAGGAGTTTGGAGACTGTTATTAAGAGTGTGAGTTTTCCCCTTTTCCTTTCCCCCTTTCCCCTTCTCCTTCCCCTCATCCCATCTCCCCAGACCCTCCTCGATCTACTGGTATCCAATATGTATGTGTACTGACACCCCCACAGGAATTCTCAGGCCACATGTCCCGCGCCCTCCTCCACCAACTCCGCACCGGCACCGACCGCGCCCTCCGCGACGCCCTCCTCCTCGAAGACTCCATGGCCGGCATCGGCACCAAAGACCGCCTGTTGCTCAACCGCGCCGTGCGCGCGCACTGGGATAAGGGACATTTGCAGAGGGTGAAGGCGGCGTATAGGGCGAGGTTTCATAAGGATTTGGGAGCGGCGATTAGGAGTGAGACGAGTGGGGATTTTGAGAGGGCGTTGTTGGGGGTTATTGGGGAGTAGGTGGAGTAGGTGCGTGTGAGGGAAAGGGGTGGGTGGAAGGGGGCAGGGGGGTGTACTGCTGCGTTTTGATAATTGTTGCTGCAATTGCTTTGGCGGAAATCTGTTTGAAGGCCCGGATAAGGGGGTATAGTAATCGACCAATCGATGATGATAGTTTCAAGATGTTTATATTTTATACGCCGTCCCCGCGGCTTTAAATCGCTATTATCTACACGTTACATATATGTATGGTATAAATCCAATATGTCCCCTAAACAAACCCCCTTACTCGGACCTCGGCGACTCGATAATACCGGAATCAGCTACCCTCCTCCTCTCATTCTCCTTCTCTGCTGCTCCCATGTCTGCTAGGCCGTACCAGGTTATGAACCCGAGGCCTAGGAGTGCGGATATGATGCTGAATGTCATTGCTACTATACCCCTTGGCGTGAATCTGCGAAGCATTAGTCGGATCCTCACACTCGATAAATAGGGGGAAAAAAACAAGGAAACAAGCACATACCCATCAGGCAACGGCCCCGGCGGTTTATTCTCCCCCGTCAAATCCAGCAAATCCTCCGTATTCCCCGCCGCATTCCCCTTCGTCCCCGTCCCAGCAGACTTACACGCCTCATAATGATCCTCAGGAATACTGATCGTCTTCTGCATCTCCAGCGGCGCCTCCACCATCGTCGCAATCAGCCCAGAATCAACATGCCACTCGATATGGCAATGGAACAACCACACTCCTGGATTATCCGCTTTGAACCTCAACACCATGTTTCCGTTCGGCCTGACCATCAACGTGTCCCTGCGCATCGGCGTCTTGGAGAAATCGGTATCCCGCGTGGCGTCGAAGGGACCGGCTTCCTCGGCGCTGCGCCAGATGGCTTGGAAGGCGTGGCCGTGCAGGTGGAAGGGGTGCTTGCCGGGGTCGTTGTTGTTGATGACGATGTCGACGATTTGGTTGTGGGAGAGCACGAAGGGGTGCGTGTATTGGCCGTAGATGGCGGGGTTGGTGGCGGTGAGGCCGCTGGTGAGGGCCGTGTAGAGGGTGGGTACTTTGGCGGGCTTGTAGGTTATGTTGTTGAAGAAGGCGCTGGGAGGGGGGTTAGCATGGGGGGTTGGTGAGGGGGGAGGGGGGGTAGGGCGAGAGGGAAAGGGGGAGGGGAAGGGGGTGCTTACTAGTTTGCTCCGTCGGCGAGGTTGTCCATCATTACTTCGAGGGTGATGGTTTGGTCTGCGTCTCCTAGGAGGGGCTCCTTGTCGTGGGGAACGAGGTCGAAATCGTCAATGTCTGTGAACTCATCGATGAGCTTTGGCTCTGGAAGAGGCTTGCTATTGTCATAGACGAGCCATCCTGTAACATTGTAGTTCAAGGTATCGGGGAATTTGTCGAATAGATCCTTGGTCTGTCAGTACGTGCATAGCTCAACTAGAAAGGACTACTCACTGTATCCATACTTCCAACAAATGCATAATTGGCAGTAGTCTCGTTCTTGGCCGTCACGAGGAAACTGTATCTCTGAGCCGCGGTCAAATATATCATGTCTGCCTCGTATGGGTCGGTGTAAATGCCATCCACCTCGACAATCTTCATCGTGTGACCTTCAAACCAGACACGCTGCCCTGCAAAAGCGCCCATGTTCACCATGCGGAAGAGGTAGGTCTTGCCGGCCTCAATTTTGACCTGCAGGTCTTGCGTGTCATTCAACAGTGCTGAGTTAGGCACTGGCTCAGCACCTGTGGGGTTGGCCTTGTTCAGGAATTTTGGGATGAGGTCCGTCATTTGGTCATGGTACCAGTCTGAGACTGAGACGACAATCTCCTCATCATACATGTCCTTGAAAGGAGACTTGGGGTCAGAGATGATGAGAGGAGCACGGATTCCGTCAGGGTACTGGCCGCGGAAATGCGAGTGATACCAATAGGTACCCGGTTGGTCAATCTGCATAATATTTAGTAATCGGGAACATGATAGCTGGAAATCTCATACCGTAAAGTTGTATTTGAAGGTAGCTCCCGGCACAATACCGCACTGAGTGACCTCAATAGCGCCATCCATCTCCGTGGTTCCATTCATAAACAGGCCATGGAAATGGAGCGAGGTAGTCGCATTACCCAAGCCATTCTCGAGGTTCACGATGACGGTATCGCCAACGTCTGCGTTGATAGTTGGCGGTGGCCACGCATTGTTGATTCCGATTGTTGCGCGCTCGAAAAGTCCGTCTGGGTTTGCTCTCACCCAGGTGACGTTGAAGTCGTAGGTCACGACCTTGGCGTCGGCGAGGAGGGAGAATATGGCGAGGGAGAGGGAGAGGATGTAGAGGAAGGGGTGGGAGGGAGCCATTGCGAGGTTGTGTTCTCGACAATAAGAGAATATTTTCACAACGGCATGGGTGATGGAGGGGAAGATACGGGTAATTTGGAGAGGGAGAGGGAGGGACAGGGAGGCTCAAGTAGAGTATGAAGATGGTCGGGTGAGGGTAGGAGAGGGAGAGGGAGAGGGAGAGGGAGGAATGTGTGAGTGATAGAGAGAGAGCCTTGGGGAATAAAAACTTTGATCTGATAACCAACAGAGGCCGGGGTGGGTAGGTCAGAGAGGGGTGTGGGTGCGGGTGAGGGTGTGGGTGTGGGTGTGGGAGCAGGGGTAGGTGTGAAACGTAAGGAAATGGATCAGGCCAAGGTTATCAGATGGCGGGCGCATGCAGTAGAGACGGCAAGTGTTAGCGAAGAGAGTTCTGCGGTAGAAGTAGGTGTGCATGTAGAGGAGGCGAGTATGTGCATGTGCACGTGGGGTGTATGTTCTGTTCTCGTATACGTATAAACGTGCAGTAATGATTTCGGCTGGGGGATTGAGAGGCGGGAGGGGGGAGAGGGGTGGGAGGAGTGAGAGGGGGTGGGAAGGGAGCGGATGAGCTCAATTGGTGTGGCATCCCTTCTAGAACCCTTCCGACTCCCCTATCCAGCACGTTTTCCGGCGTCTTCCCCCGTAATTTTGTAGTGATTCTTCTAGTGAGCGATTATTGCCAAAGGCCGGTGTTCGGTCGGGGGTGGAGCTGCTGAATCAATAGAACCGACCGACAAAAACATTTTCTCCGCGGGGGGACTGGGGGGACTGGCTTGGGTACTTACTTGGCCATGCTTAGCCGTGCTTGTCACCGATCACCGACTTGAAGCTTTTTCAGCAGGAGCATCAATTCTAAAAGTGGGGGCGCAGTGGAGTAACAGTGGATTCAACCAGGTTAGACCAGGTTGAACCAGCTTATCAGATTCTGCCAAAGCACACTAACGGGACAGGAGTGGTGTTGTTAGCCAATCATCTACATACCAGCTGCGGGTACCCCCAAGCAAATTGACAGATCTGATAAGACAATCTAACTGGATGCACACACACTACCCAACGAATTCCCCTAAGCCCCCAAAGCAAAGTCCCCTCCAGTCCCTCCAATCCCCTCCAGTCCCTCTTCCCCCCCAACCAGTTAGAACTCGGGACTCGGCATGCATACTCCGGCTTTTCCCTTCCCTTCACCCACCACTCGTTATTTCCCTCTCCAGCCATTTCAGCCATTCCAGCCTTTTCGACTCTCTCCCACGTACTGTTTACGTCTTTCTCTCACTCTTCGGCCACACGGCATACATCATACACCGCAAAATGAGTAATCACACGATCACCCCCATCCACTATGATCACTCCACCCACAAGTAGCTAGCCAGCCCTTTCTTCACAAGGACACCCCCAACTCCCACCCTTCCTGCCGATCTACATACCGATTGGTTTCCCTCCCCCTCGGGCTTTTTTTTTTCAGTTATCTGATCCGCTACCCACCCGCTACACCCACCCCACCCCACCCCTCCTCCTCCCGTTCTTCGGCTTTTATCAGATCATGCAGCTGCAGCTGTTGTGTCAGACCCCGGGACCATAGCCTAGTACTATTTTGACAACCCTCCTTACCTCACCTCTCCCTCCCTCTCGCTTCCTTTTTTCCCTCCTACACCCCACGTCCCTCTTCCCATAAACCTCTCTCTCTCCCACCTCTCCCTCTCTCTCGCGCATCTCTACCACCCAACCCCCCCCTCTCTGCCTCAAGGCTTCACCACCCCCCCATCCCCCGCCAACAATGGCACCCAACGTCTTCGCCGTCCCCGTCTTCTTCATCGTCTTCCGCGAAACCATCGAAACCGGCATCATCATCTCCGTCCTCCTCGCCTTCCTCAAACAAACCCTCTCTGGCCCCACCTCCGACCCCGTCATCTACAAGAAACTCGTGCGCCAAGTCTGGCTCGGCTCCATCATCGGCCTCACCCTCTGCCTCATCATCGGCGGCGGTCTAATCGGCGCTTTCTACGGTTTAAGTCGCAATGCCTGGCAATCGACCGAGTACTACTGGGAAGGCTCCTTCGGGCTCGTCGCAGCGATCATCATCACAGCCCTTGGCGCGGCGCTGCTGAGGGTGTCGAAGTTACAGGATAAGTGGCGGGTTAAGCTGGCCAAGGCGCTGACTGAGAAGGCGGAGAAGGAGGAGGGGAAGAGGAATCGGTTCCAGAGGTGGTGCGAGAGGTATGCGATGTTTTTGGTGCCGTTTGTGACGGTGTTGAGGGAGGGGATTGAGGCGATTGTTTTTATTGCGGGAGTGAGCTTTTCGAGTCCCGCGGCGAGTGTGCCGTTGCCCGTTGTGATGGGGTTGTTGGCGGGGGCGGCGATTGGGTATATTATTTATAAGTAAGTCGTGTCTCCGCCAATTCAGGTTACCTACCACTACTCTTGCGGGAATTGGACTGGGAAAAGGGAAGGGGACTAACGGAAACAGGGGCGGTGCAACGGCGCGTTTACAGTACTTCCTCATCGTCTCAACATGCTTCCTCTACCTCGTTGCCGCGGGTCTCTTCTCCCGCGCTGTGTGGTTCTTCGAGGCGCAGCTGTGGAATAATGCCGTTGGAGGCGACGCGGCCGAGACGGGTGCTGGGCCGGGGTCTTACGATATCGATAAGTCGGTGTGGCATGTGAATGTGAGTTCCTTCGCTTCTCTCCTCCCATTTCCCCTCCGATCCTTTTCCGGGAATCCTGGGTTCTGATTACTGACACCCCTCCAGTTCGGCAGCCCCGACCTCAACGGCGGCGGCGGCTGGGGAATCTTCAACGCCGTCTTCGGATGGCAAAACTCCGCCACCTACGGCAGCGTGATTAGTTACAACATCTACTGGATCTTCGTCATCGCCATGTTTGCGAGCATGCGGTTCCAAGAGGTGAGAGGGCGCTGGCCTTGGGGACGGAAGGTGAAGAAGGGGACGGATGATGGGGATGTGGAGGGGAGCGCGAGGGAGAGTGGTGGGGAGGGGAGTGGGGGGGATGAGAAGAGGGTGCATGTTGTGGAGGTTGGGGGGGCGAGGACGGTGGGGGAGTAAATGGGAGGGGTGGGAGAATGTAGATACCAAAATTTTGTATTGCGATTTAGGATAGGGGAAATGATGTAAATAGAAACCCTTTTATACCCAACCTCCACGCCCCTCCCGCTCGTCGACCAAGAACAGACATCAAAACCTCCCCCTATCCCCTCCGCACCTCTTTCGCGTGGAAAATGCCAAATGTGAGGGTCGAACAGCCTCCTCCTCGGGGCCCCCATATAAATAAATCTCCCACCACAAACGAACTGATGACCACACACGATAATCAGGACACTAAAGGGATTCCACCTCGCTCTAGACGGTCGGTGATATATATATTTTTTTTCATCACCCAATTAACATACATGCGTGACCAAAAGAACAACATCCCATCCCACCCCCCTTCCCCTCCCTACCGTCCACTACCCCACACCGTCCGCTCCTCTGAGCAGCGATGGGTAGGCGACGGGTATAAATATCCCGGGCTCGCCGGTGACAGGTATGGCTTCAGAGGAAATGACACTAAAAATGACCTTATGGTTGGTCTTGCCGTCTTCCCTGGAGCCTTTCTCTCTCATAGAGCGTGTTGGTGGGTTGGATGGGGGTGTGTGTTTGATTACTGTCTCAGGGGACGGCGGTGGTAGGAGGGACGGTGAGAAATCCGCGACGGCAGGAGGAAAGCAGTGGTGAGAAGAAGGCCGTGATGAGAAGTAATCCGGCAACAGCAGTTCAAATACCAAAACTACAGATCAGAGAATCAAAACTTCAGATGGGTCTTCGTATGTCAGACATAACTGATCGTGTAGTGTAGAGAACATCACTCACAGTCTTGACCATCAGAGAGACTCGCGATATAATACGGGTATCATAGATCCAGATCCATGAGCACGAGCTCATGTCAGTCGTGGGACTGGAGTGGTGGTGTGGTTTTGTGTTGGTTGTTTCGGGACGAGTGTTGGGGGGTTTTATATAAGTTTTTCTTTGGTGCTCTGGGATGGGGAGAATGATTATGGCTAGCTGGGGGGGAGGGGGTGTTGTGAAGGCTTCACTGCGAACTCGGGGATATACTCAACCCATCTCATATCTAGTCATCCACTTTCCACCCCTTTCCTTGTCCTCCAGGCCTAGTTGTGGGATAGCTCGAGCACACATCACACACACCCTATAAATACCTCGCCCTCAACTCCAACACTCGACAAGTACAGGCAAAGAATTGGAACAGAGCATATGTGTCGTCGCGTCCCCACAACTACACACTTGCCGCCCTCGATGTCAGAAGCCGCGCTAACTGCTTCCCCTCAACTCGAGTGATCCGGGTGGTGACAGGTCGGCGGAGTGGCGGCGGGAATCTGCGACAGCGCCGGGGGGGGTGAGAAGCAGCTGCGGTGGGAATAGATAGCGACAGTGAGAAGTCAGCAACAACACAGGGGCAAATGGGATACTTTTCCAGAAGCCAGGTCGAGTATTAGAGCCTGGCGGCAAGGCAAGCGATAGGTTTTGCGAATTTGGCTTTGTAGAGGATACAGATGTTGGATGGGGTTATATACGTTTCGTCTTGCTGCTCGTGGCTGGTCAAGGCGAGGATGGAGAGGATGATTACAGAGCACTTTAAAAACGGGAGGGGGGATACCTTCACTGCGCGCTAGAGGAGATACTCAGCTATTCCCATAGTTTGCCCATTTGCGATGATCTTTTTGCTCTGAGATGACGATGTTGGCATGGGAATGGGACGTTCGTGGGAGAGGAGACGGCCCCTATAAGTACCCCCCTCTCCATCTGCGACACCCGGGAACAGCGGCAAAACTACAATTCCTGGAACAGATGATAAGGAGTTCCGTATTTCAATTGTTACACATGTCGCACCTGATACCAGAAGCTGCGATGGCTACTTCCGCTCATCTCGAGTGGTCAGAGTAGTGGCAGTGCTGGTCGATGTGGCGGTGAGAATCGGCGACGGTAGGAGGAGACGGTGACGAGAATCGTCGCGGTGAGAAGAAGACTTCGATGGGAAGAAATCATCCAGCAACAGCAGAGCAGGCAGAAGAGGTAGTACGTCTTGTCGTCCAGGATCTTCGCTAGTGATAACTGAGGGAAGGACCCATATCCCATTCATAGAACTTTACTCCCCTTCCTATTGCAATGGCTCCAAAAAGTCGGTTGCTATCTCTATTCTTATAATCGTTGTCCATGAATGTATGCCTTTTGTGCAGCCTTTTAATATCACTTTGATGGTCGCGCGGTGCTGATATTGTGAGCTTGTTCTGGGGTTTGCGAGCAGCTCCTGGCTTGTCAACGGAGTGGGAAGGGCACATTGTCTCGCTGCGGAAATGCGGTGATGGGTTCGATGCTCTCATGGAGATATATTCAGCTAGTTTTGTTGCTAGGTTGGTTATTTATCTTTCATTTAATCACCTCGGCGAAGTGTGGTTATAGGATTGTCCGAGCACACACCACATAACCCCTATAAATCCCCCACTCCCCATTTTTGAGCTGCACACTCGACAAACAAAAGAGCATTTTCAAATGCTACATGGGCGGTGCGGGACCTCATCCCCCCACAGCTTCATCTTGCCGTGCCACACCCGACCTCATCGTCTCTCTCTGTTCCCCTTCTCCCTCGCTGTTGAACCTCAGGTCCATACACGGAACCTTGATAATAGAAGCTGCCAGCGCGGTGATAAGTTGAGCTGGCACTGGGTTGTGGTAGACGCAGTGACAGTGAGAATCCTCGACAGTGATAATCTGTAACGGTAGGAAGAAAAGCGGTGGTGAGAAGACACTGTTGTTTATCTGGCAGCTACATACGCTGACTTGAAGTATTAAACTGGCGTTACCATACCCTGACTTGATGGTGGTTGCATTTAGTGGGATGTAATTATGGATCATTCCCAGAGCGCCTAATGTTTTTGCGACGAACCTAGAGCGTGCGTGTTATCCAAGCCGGTTCGCATGGCTGAATGATCCCGGTTTCCAAGCGCTCCACGTCCATATGGGTGGTCAGCTTTGAGAGTGTTTCGTGTCCAAAATTGGGTACGATTTGCGTACGAGGAACATGTCGAGGTCTACGACGGCTGGAGGGTGGGATAGGCTGATGACGGCCGGGGACGATTTAGGGGGTTGAAAGAAAAGGGGTTGTGATGGGTGGTTCTGGGGACAAACTATTAATGAAGGAAAGAAAAGATGAAAAAGTAGTGGCTACACTCGTCATTGGATATGGGACCGGCGATACTTATATAGAACCCTCATCGAGGCAAGTAAGTAGAAACAAGGATTAAACGATACGAAAAAGACGAGACAGGATCAAGAGACAGCATACACATTGAAATTCTTGTTGAATTAGACCGATATTGCTCAGGCAGAATGAAAGAAACAGTTTGCAAGCTGGCATCCCGCTTCAGGTGCATCGACCCCGAGAACCACGAGCTATCCTCATTTGCTGCTGTAGATGGACGTCTTCACCTCGCAGATAGTAGGAATCTGCAACAGCGAGAGTGACATCGTTTCTTTCAAGAGAAACGATGACAGGATGGAGGTTGGTGGCAGCAGTATACACTGGTGCTGACAGGAAATATCACGACAGTTGACACCCAGAAGCCTCTACCACGATCCTGTATCGTGGATTAATATAAGAGCCTGAAATTTATGTGCATCATCAAAGATCTGTCTGAGTTCTTCTTCCCAGTTTTCGATGATAGACTTTCTTGCTTGGCCAGGCACATAACTTCGCTCTCATAGCAAAATATATGTCAGCCAACATAAACAAAGGATATATTTCTAAAAATCCCCAAAACTATCTACTCCCACCCCCTAAGCATGCTGCTTCTTCCTCCTCCCCCTCAACGCCTTCACCCCCTCCCTGCCCTTCTCCGCCGCCTCATCCAGCATCCCCCCCGCTCTCTCCCTAACCTGATGTTTCTCCGCCTCATCCCTCACATCCTCCATCACATCCCCCCCCACACTCGTCCCATGCAACCAATCCATAAACCCCCACGGCGCAAAATTTCCCCTACCACGACTCTGCATATGTCGATCCTGCCGTCTCGCGATGCCGCCCAGCATGATGCCGGGGAGCGTGGCGTAGCCGGATGCGACGAGGGTTTCTTCTAGAGTGGTGAGGGCGAGGAGGAGGAGGTGCGTGAGGATGTGGGGGCGGAAGAGGAGGGTGGGGAGGTAGAGGGGGAGGAAGTGCAGGAGCAGGTGGGGGAGGGGGTGGTCGTAGTAGGCGGTGAAGGAGTAGGGGGCTGTGATGGAGTGGTTCCATTGCTTGTGGAGCGTGGAGAAGATGTTGGGGTGGGCGGGGCGGTGGAGGAAGCGGTGGATGTAGTATTGGAGGACCTGTGGGGTTGTTAGTGGTGTGTGAGGGTGGAGGCCGGAAGGCTTACTTCTCTTATGACAAGTCCTCGGAGGACGTCCTTTGCTATCGACCACGGCATTGGGAGTGTGGTGGTAATCTTCATGGCGCTGCGCATGTGGAGAACCTCAGTGAAGAGGAACTCTACGGCGACTTGTATCCCGACGGACAGAAGTATGTTGAACAAGCTGACCCCAATAACCTGCCACCACGGCGGCGTGCCCTTGCTCTTTTTTGCGCCTTGCACGCCGCCAGTCCGGGTTGGTAACGCTGGGGCGCCCTGGATCTTAAGGCCTACTGCCAAGCTCGGTATGATTGTGTCGAAGAGGAGGAAGAAGGCTGCGGGGAGTAGGAAGAAGAGGGCGCGCACGGCGAGGGTGCCAATAACCTCGACGCGGAGCTGGGATTGTGTGAGGACAAGGGTTGACCAAGTCATGTAGAAGAATAAGAGGTTGAGAGAGGTTGAGTAGGTGCCGAGTGTGGGCAGGAGCAGGTAGCCCACTACTGGAAGTGAGAGTAATGCGCCCATGGTGTTTGAGGGCTGTGAAGCAGATAACGCGTTGGTTTGATGAGTTGAGACACTTTATGCGACGACCATATATGCATGCATACAAAGAAAGATGAGGAATCTCACTTAGTCTGCCCTTATATATATACTGGCATTGTTGTATATATATTGTATGTGGACCCTCAATGGGTTGATAAATAACAAAGACATGCTCTATGACGACATAACTTCCAGACTTGCTTTGAGCTTACATTCTTGGACTACCCAATGAGGAAGAGCCTAGAATTGGTCTGTGCATACCAACGAAAGCGGTCAGTCAGGGGAGTGAAAGGTAAATGGCAGAATTCCCGCTAAAAAGGGTCTCACCGCCTTCCCGCCCTGCCCCAAGGGACAAGCCGCAGTCGCGGTACTCAGTTCAGCCCAATTAGGCTTAGTATCCCACCCCCAAAGACCCAAGGACCCTGTTCGTGCACGTGCCTCTCCGCATCGATCCAGCTTCCCCGTGATGACAGTAATAAGCAGATTCTCCGTCAGGGGCAAGCTCCGACCTGTTCGTGGGTGCGAGTCAATTTAACGCTGCACGCACTGCTACCCTCTGCTACCACTGCGATTGTCTATTGCCTTCTACCCTCCAACCTTCCTTCTTATATCTTATCCTTTTTGTCGCATTCCCCTGTATCACTATCGAACCATCTTCTCCCTGGCGTCCCTTACCTCCTGATTATATTTTACCATTCTCAATTCGGTCCCGGAATCCCACGCTGAATGACAGGTCGCGCGTGAAAGCGGGATCCAACTCCTATTCATCTCCGAGACATTCACGGCGTGAGTCTCCCCCATTGTCCACTTTCGGCCCTTCCCCTCTCTTCTCGTCCTCCCACAAACCCTCTCCTGAAAGTTAAAACTGACCAAAGTTATCCAAACAATAGCTTCTGTCGCGCGCTGTGGTCGCCCTGTTACCCGATTCGAAATTTAACGCATAATGCGCTCGGGCGTTTAGAACTCTCTTTTGACCGACTTCGCACCTGCACGCCCTTGTTAGGCCTGGTAGGATACACAGGGTTCTAACGAATACGCGACACACTGCAGACGACTGCAGATGCAGTGAACCGACCAACTGAGATTACAGCGGGAGCAAAGGGATAACCGTTGACACCAAACGAACCACCCAGTGTGCCACCAACTAGCCAATATGGCTCCTCCCTCCACCCCCCCGCCCATTCCGGAGCGTACAAGGTACGAAGGAAAGTACGAAGGCCGAAGAGGATCGCTTCCTCCTCCGTCGTTAAAGCTTCGCGCGACAGACGGGAATCGAGTGCATGTCCACCCTGCCTCTCCTGAGGTCATCTCCAGCCTTATCACATCGCTGTCGATCATCTCGTCACCCGCAAACCGACTATTCGAACTCCCAGGCGCCGCGAACTCTCTACCTAGTTCCCCATATGCGACACAAACCACCTTCGACCCTATCGATCGCTTGCTCCAGAATGAGACCAGCCAGGGCGGCAGTTTTGGTATCGATTATGGCGCATACAACCAGTCCTCTCATAACTATGCTATGAATGAGCTGCCTCTGGATGAGATGTCTGCGGCTGCACCAGTTATCCGAACCGCTAAGCCTCCGTCCGGGTTCTCAGCGTTGACTGCTCCCAAATCACCTAAACCCGACGGAACACCGATTAAGAACTTGTTGAGGAGCTCAAGGCCGACGTCGAGAGAATCTAGCGGAGACGACGCTCTGAGCATTGGAAGTGTATCGATAGAGCCAGGTTCGCTTCCACGGGACCTGAGGAGGAGGCGCTCCTCGGATAGCTGGGATAAGAAGCAAGGGAGACACAACAAGGGATTACTCTACATGAGCTCCAAAGAACGGATGCGCGAGTCTGAGAGAAAGCGCTCATCATCCAGTACCACGAGAGGTTCGGGAGTAGAACGGCTTCCAAAGCAAGAGTTTGATACGAAATCATTCATGTCTGAAGCACCGATAACGGAAGAGCCGGTTGTTGAACAACCGGAATACCTCTGGAATGACTCCGCCGCGCCGAGTCCTTCCATTGGGCCAGATAGCTCTATGAATGGGACCAGCAATGGTGGGATCGGATCAGGGCGTTACATCCCCACGCGGGACTCGTCATTGCGGAATAAGAAGCGCGCACCCCACAGCGGCAGAAGCTCAAGGCAACCGGCCCCAGAGCTTGCTGATGATACGATCAAGGAGGTCGACGAACACTCAAGTCCAGTTGTGGACAAGGGCGCCGAAAAGTTTGGCCAGTCGCAATCCAGCTTGGCTGTACAGAAACCCAGAGATCAATCAGCAATCCCACTGCCAACCCAACAGAAAACAAGAACAGGCGAACCAGACAGGAGTCTGTATGCCGACCAGGCGAAGGGCCAGTTCGTTAAAGACGACGGGGCACCATCGCCGAACGTTACCCAGCGTACATCTCGCGATAAGTCCGAGCAAGCGCAGAATAAAGCGAAGAAATCCAGTGGAAGGCTAACGCCAGATCCATTCGAGAGACTTGCAGGGAGACGAGACTCAAAACGGGACTCAAACAAGGCCAGACGCTCGTCGGGTTACCAGAGTGGTGCGGAGGGCGACAAAGTAGAGAAGCATCGCAGAACATCGTCAAACCCGAAGAAGGATGCACAGGCAGCTGATGGCAAGGCCAATCGCGTGAGCACAGATGCTCGTCCAACAAGTGCAGATTCTATCGATGATGCTGTAGATGCCTATCTGTGCTCTCCACGATTATCACACAAGATTACGCATCCACAAACTGGGCGAGTCATCTCGTTCTCCGAGGTTGGAGACCCTGAGGGATTTGCTGTGTTTTGCTGCGTAGGAATGGGCTTGACGAGATATATCACCGCCTTCTACGATGAGCTTGCCCTCACGCTGAAGTTGCGTTTGATTACCCCTGATAGACCCGGTGTTGGTGAGAGTGAACCTTATACGGACGGAACTGCCACACCGCTTAGCTGGCCTGGTAAGCTCCCTTTTTCATCGTCACTCTTACTATGCTAACAATCATTAGATGATGTATACGCTATCTGCCAGACCCTTAAAATCACCAAATTCTCCATCTTGGCTCACTCCGCTGGCGCCATCTACGCCCTTGCCACTGCCCTCCGCATGCCACAGCACATCCGTGGCCGCATCCACCTCCTCGCCCCCTGGATTCCTCCGTCCCAACTCAACGTTTTCGGAGGGCAACAGGTCATGCCTCCAGCCAACTCCATCCCAACATCACAGCGCATTCTCCGTGCCCTCCCCACGCCAATCCTCAAAGCTGCAAACTCATCATTCATGTCCGCCACAAGCAGCTCTATCACCTCAAGCCTACCAAAGCAGAAGCGCAGTAAACGCAAGTCCACCACCGCCAAAGACGCGCCTACCATTATTAGGCCGAACGTCGTCGCAGTTGGTCCTGGCGACAAGGAGAATGTCGGTCCACATACTGATCAATATGGACCGGTGAAATCGGGACAGGCGGCACCTCTTCCTCGCGCTGCGAATAACCCTCCGGACCTAAGCAGCGAGGCTGCGATCTTGGCAGCTGCTGCTATGTCGGCGTCGAGCAAGGAGAGGCAAACTACATACGACACGCGCTTGACGCACGCCATCTGGGATTTAGCCACCAGCGGGGCCAATCCCGCGGTGGACCTGTTGGTGTGTTTGGAGAGGAGACATACGATTGGGTTCCGCTACGTGGATATTACGCGCGCTGTGGTGATTCACCATGGCAGCAAGGACACGCGTGTTCCGGTTGAGAATGTGAAGTGGCTGGGGAAGATGATGAGGAGGTGCGAGGTGAGGATATTGGAGGGAGAGGGCCATGGGCTCATGGCTAGTGCACAGGTTATGGGAGGGGTGCTTATGGAGATCGCGGGGGAGTGGGATGATTGGATGAAAGTTGTTGAGCGGAAGGGGGGGAATAAGGGGGAGGAGGCTGGACGGAGACTGAGGGAGAGCAGGAGTGTCAGTGCCTTCCGATAAGTGGGGGTAATAGGATGTCATCCTTTTTGGGTACGATGGATGATGGTGGGTCAGATTGATGGTTATCTCCTGGCCTGGTCAGGGCGTTGCTTTTGGGGATTGCTATTGCGGGATATTTGGGATGGGTAATGTATGATACAATGGGGAGGCATGTAGGTTTGTGATAAACCGAGGAGAGGATATAAGTCAGCTATAGTCATATAATGATATTTACACGTTACAAAAAGTTGTCGTCTTACGGTTTGTGCTCTCAAATGTTTCATTGAAGGGTTTAAATTGTATGTTGTGACCACAATATATGGGGCAGAACTGGCATCGGACCCCTTTCATTTGTAAGGCATCGTGTGGGGCGTTTTCAAGATATTTTTGAGCAAAACATGCGACAGGAGTCTGGCTAGTGCTGGACATATTTTCAACGGTTATCACTAGAATCACAAGTGGGTTATCTACAAGCTTGATATCAAATAAGCATTCTTCGCAAACTATACTATATCATCCACAGGTGCCGTCGATCAAATTCTTCTTCACAACGCGACATCAAGTCGCGCCTGCAATGAAAAAAATATAGGCCTGTCAGACATCCATCACCACCCACCCAATCCGCGCGCCCGAAGGCAGACCGCGAGACCGGGACAAGATCATCACCACTCTCTATACAGCACCTCTTGCGAGGCAACCGCCACGCTTGCGCGCAGTGCGAGAGTCTAAGGTATCACTCTTGGGCAGTGAGGAGATAAGTCATCAACCAGGTTGGAATCTGTGGCTTTCGTGAGAAACACAGTATGGGGATGTTTACTAAAGAAAATGATTCCATCTGAGATTTGCTGTTAGCTGGTGTTCAAACGTATTGTGTGCTTGACACTGCCAGTTGTGATACTGGAGTGTTGCTGGAGTAATGGGGGTAAACTCACGAAGTAAAATCGACATGAAAAGAAAAGGAAGAGTTTCTGAGGAAGTCGGAGACTTTATACAATTGTCGCAGCCGCTAGCGCGAGCACTAGCGTGGAAAAATTGATGGTGGATCAAGATCAGGTGATCACGTAGCGCGACTTGACAGAAATGATAATGACGCTAGTCCTAATTCGGATTCTCCGTTGGAGCTCAGAAATTCAAGCATAACGACAAGAATTTCGGACGGAAGCCATTATCATGTTTCAATTTGATGGCGGCAAGAAGGAGAGGGAGACATGCTTTGTAACTCATGGGGCAATGGGTCACTTGGACCCGGCGCAGCCGCCTGTGAGGAGGAAGCCGTACTCGACGATTTTGGCTGTGCCATTCGTACATAAGGTCTAAGCTACATCTGATTCAAGGTAGAATGATACTAATACGAGTATAGGCTGAGCTGATCTTGCCGCAAGAGCTATATGAGAGTATCCAGATTGATATGGACAGTAAATTTTCAGTGCCTACCTATTCACGTGTTATCCTGCCACTGGCCGAGTTGCTATCCGGAGACTTTTTTACAGAGTATATTAAGAAGGGCAATATCCTCATGCTCTCTGAAGGAAAGCAAGGGGTCAATGATGTCTACTCGTTACGAGATGGTGTTCTGACCTTGGCGCTGGAGAAGGAGAGTTACGAGAGAGCGGGCTTGGCTGGGGAGCCTGATGGCGCGAAGGGGAAGAGAGGTGCTCGCGCAAGATGGCTTGTGGAGATTAACCTGCGCCAACCTTCGATGCTGCATGGGAAGAAGGGGTTTGATAGGATAGTCTACGCATTCAAGAACGTGTTGAACAAACCCGTCACATGGCTGTTTTGCAATTTGGAAGGCGAAGGTCCGTTATTTCTGTCTATGAACTTTAACCATGTGGCTAACATATATACAGCTCCATCTCCGGATCCCTTGGCCAAACATTTTCCCGTCAAGATCAACTGTCCCCCAAGTATAACTCGTGGCCCAGTAGTTAACATGCCGAATGTCACGCCGCCAATAGGAGCTGACGAAGGAGACAACTTTGGCGAGTTCGCAGCTGATTTATACGAGTGGCTGTCTCTGATCTCCTTGGAAAGCCCCAGGGTAGATGTGAACGACCAAATCGACCCTTTTCTATCACGATACACATCACCTCCCTCTGATAAGCCTGAAGGGGAGAATCAGGCCCTGGTGAAAATCACCTGGAAAGGCTTCATGTCCTCATCTTGGGCACATAAAACTTTCGTGTCAGCCGTGCTTGCAGCAACGACAAAGTCCTGGTTCTCCTTTTCCGTGTCTGGATTTCCAGACAGCTTGCCAGCCACCTCCAGAGATTGTACCATATCGAAGATACCAGGGCCCTCATCAGAATTTATGCTCTGGGAGGTCGAGCACAATTGAATACATCTCTTCAATCCGTGCGTTGGCGTACGTCCCTCTCCGCCGGGTTCACTTGGCCCCTAAACGCCTCGGTGACGAGTGCTCTTAATTCCGCTTGGCCAGCTTCGTCTTGGAAATCTTCTCTTGCTGCCAACTCTTCAATCTTCCTCCTGAATTCTTGGTCAACCTCGTTATCACCAATATCTTCCGGTGCCATGGTGCCCATGTCAATCGAGATTCCTGCTGGCAACGGAGGAACCTGTCCAATCACTGGCGCCAAAGGTGCATCGGTGCCGTTGCCATTCGCTTGTGTAGTGCTACCTCCATCCGCGAAGGATGCGAGATACGCAGCAACTTCAGGGAAGTCATCGTCGGCCAGTATCGATTCCGCAGCGGTCCTTCCTTCGTCGCCTGTGATCTTGGGATCAGCACCAAGCTCTTCGACAAGGGCCTTCGCAGCCTCAACAGTCTCGGCAACAAATAAAGCCGTCTCATTATCCTCATCTCTGATATTAACATCGACTTTGAACTCGTTGACCAGTGTTCGTAGGAGGTCTAGGTGGTTGTAGGACACCGCAGCGTGAATCAGAGAGTATCCATGGTCATCTTGGGCTGATGCAAGGCTGGGATTGGCGCGTAGGAGCGGCAGGAGCTCAGGCGAATTATCAGCGGCAAGAAGAAATGGGTTAGACATCGTGAATAGTTTAATGACAATGTCGTGCTGCTTTTCTAATTTTAGTTTTCGTGAGGTTGGTGTTGGACGGTGACTGTTGCGGCCAACAAAATTTACCCCGCCAACAAGGCTGACAAGGCTCACTAGCGCAAGTCGCCTAAAATCACCATGACAGGCACTGGGAACAACATAGATCAGATCCAACGTTGGTTGGTTTGTGATTCATACCGCTTTTATATTGCAAGGGGCATGGTAAAGCTTGTGAATACTAGAAGTCTCTTATACCCATCTTCTTTCAAGTTATATCAGGCCCTTTGCATGATTTTATCCGAAATTCCATTTTTGGGAATTTAATATCCCCCACTTCATTTATTGCGGCTACAAATTGACTACAACTTGTCCATCCACGCCTTGGACACTCTGTTCGACACTCTGTGTCAAAATGACTGACCAAGAGAATGTACCCTTCGTTGCCCAGGATATACAAGAAATCGGAAGCTTTCTCAAAGATCTAGAGTCACATGCCAAAAAATGGATCGGAGCATCACGTTCAAAGAAAACGTTCAGTTGCAAGAAGAACGAGTTCAACGTGGAGAACTCTCCTGACAAGCTAGTTGTCGATTCCTGGCGCTTCCAAGAGTGGGATTACAAGCGTGATGATCTCCCAACATATGCAAGAGGGCTGTTCACATATCACACCAAGGATAACCGCCCAGAGATTGCCACTCGTGGCTATGACAAGTTCTTCAATACGGAGGAAGTAGAAGCAACAAAATGGAGCAACATTGAGCAATACACGAAAGGCCCATATGAGTTGAGTCTCAAGGAAAACGGGTGCATCATCTTCATCAGCGGTCTGTCTGATGACTCGTTGCTGGTTTGCAGCAAGCATTCGACTGGGCCACGTGAGGACTCGAATCTTAGCCATGCCATAGCAGGCGAACGATGGGTCGACAGGCAACTCAAGGCCGTAGGGAAGACTAGGCAAGATCTTTCCAGGGAGTTGAGGAAGAGAAATGCCACTGCAGTAGCGGAATTATGTGATGATGATTTCGAAGAACACATCCTTGCGTATCGCGGAGATTCTGCTGGATTGTATTTACATGGAATCAATATCAATATCCCGGAGTTCACAACTTACTCTGGGTTACAAGTCCAGCAATTCGCCAATGACTGGGGATTCAAGCGTACTGATTTTCTCGTTTTGGACGAGATCACTAAAGTCCGATCATTCCTCGAAGGGGTGGCAGAGACGGGTTCGTACAATGGACGAGACGTGGAGGGATTTGTTATTCGATGCAAATCAAATTTTAGGTCAAGAGAATACCAAGATTGGTTCTTCAAGTATAAGTTCGAGGAGCCATACTTGATGTTCAGACAATGGAGAGAATGCACCAAGATGATGATCAACGGAAAACCACCTCTTTTCAAGAAGCACGTCAAAATCACCGAGGAGTATCTGCTATTTGCGAGAAAGAAGCTGGCCGAAAACCCAAAGTTGGCGAGAGATTACAATAGCAATCACGGCATCATTGAGCTGAGAGACGATTTTCTGAAAGAGAAGAACCTGAAGGGCTCAGACCTCCTTCGCCTGGAATACTCAAATGAGGGCGAGGCACCACAAGATGCCACAAAGAATATCATCCTTGTACCAATTGCAACTATCGGCTGCGGAAAGACAACAATTGCCATTGCATTGCAGCATTTGTTCGGTTGGGGCCATGTGCAGAACGACAATATCCAAGGAAAAGGCAGACCTCCTAGGTTCACCAAGGAGGTTATGAGCCAGCTTGAAGACAAGCCGGTTGTGATCGCCGACAGAAACAACGCGCAGAAGCATGAGAGGAAGCAACTCATTGGCGATGTGCACCACCAATACATTTCTTCGGCACGCCTAGTGGCATTGAATTTCGTCCATGATTTTAACTCGATTGAGAAAATAAAACAAGTCACCATGGGCCGCGTTTTTGCAAGAGGAGACAATCACCAAACGATTCAAGCTGCATCCGACAAAAGCAAGGTGATGGGAATAATGCAGGGTTTCATCAACCGTTTTGAGCCACTCCGCCTGGACCAAGATCCCGACCATGGCTTTGATTCTGTTATCGATTTAGATCCAATCTCAGACTCGCGTCAAAATTTGGAGACTGTGATCGCCCGGTTGAGCGAACTGTACCCGAAACTATTCACCACTATGCCTACTAGCGAGGATTTGGACGATGCTATTGCTTTTGCATTGAACGAGTACAAGCCGGAATTGAAGCATGATGTTTCTGGACGTGGGCCGAAGGTAAAGACAAACCAGGTACGATCTGTTAATAAGCATATCAAACCACAGCTAATAGATTTTTAGCAGCCAAAGCAGCAGAAGCCCATCGTACCTGCTGCACCTAAAAAGAAGGCCCTTGAATATATTGCGGTCGACATACCAACCCAACAGATCCTGGATGCCCTGGAGAAGACATTTTCGACTCAAGACGACGCAAAAGCGGCATTCTTCAGACAGCTCCAAGAGACTCGCCGAGTGCAGCCAAAGTTCCACGTTACATTGATCCACCGCGCCTCAGCTAGGCAGCAACCCGAAGTATGGAATAAATACAAGGCCCTATTTGAAGTACACGGAGATGAAGAGAAGCCGTTGGGAGATTGTCAAGTCCAATTAGAACGTGTTGTATGGAGCCACAGAATCATGGCGATTGTTGTCCGGCTGGTCACTGAAGGTTGGGAGTGTGTCAACACGGTTCCGCATATCACAGTGGGAACAAGGGCGGATGATGTCAAGCCTAAGGAGAGCAACGACCTCTTACAGCAGTGGCTCCAAGATGGAAGCGGCGAACAGACTGGGATTTTCGAGGCAGTTATACAAGGAGTTACGGTTGATGGCACGGTACATGCGGTTCTGCAGAAGCATTGATTCGGGGTTTGCTGGAGGGACTGCGAGGTGATTACTAGGATGGTATTGCGCTATTTACCACCTAATGGGCAATTTAGCTTGAGCTATTATGAGGGCTAAATGTTGCTTTATGACAGTAGCCATTAGTTATGTTCCGCTAAAGCTATTATACCAAACCCAGGAAACCAAGGCTCCAACACATCCAAATACACGTAAACTGCTTATGCCCCAAAATTCTGTCTTGCCAACCCCCTGAGCATCGCCATTGTCTTATCTTCCTTCTCCCTGTATTCCTGCAATCGCTCATCTCTCTCCGCCGCCCTCGCCATAAGCATCTCCTCTCTCCTCAGCTCCCTATCATTCTTCTTCCTCTCAAACTCCTGCTTCTTGGCTTTAAACTCACCCAAGCTATCCCCACCGCCCATTAACTCGCTCTCGGGCACTTCCGCCGCTCCAGGCGACTTATCTCTGAAAGACTTCATCGTCTCGTTCTTTTCGCGTTTCTTCTCGAGCTGTCTTTCTCGCGTTCCAGCTTCGGCACGAGGCACAAGTTCATCCAGGGCCTCCTTTTGCCCCTTACGATCAAGTTTGCGTGCATACTTCATGTCTTCGCGCTGCTCTTTTCGTCGCGTATAGGCTTCTTCGGACTCGTTTTCTCGCCTCAGCTCCAGATCTTGCATATTGGGAATGCTGGGTCCCATCCGACCCCTCCCTTGTCGACCTTCTTGGCCGGGGAGAGCAGGGCCAACAGAATCATCGCTACTACTCTCTGGATCTTCCCGTCTGCTTGGTTCGTCTCTCTGATACCGTTGTTTGGGAGCATCGCGAGATGGTGGCTCCGAATCACGTGATTCTGGTTCAAGTTCTGACACTGCCGCCACAGCTTTTTGGTAGGTTGACGGGTCATACCAGCCTTCTGATAGCTCGCATCGGTTCCTACACGTGTTAATAACTGTAGTTATATGCGTATAGATAGACTTGTATTTACCACTTGCCAATGAAGCTCTTCCACCGACCCCGTGCTTCAGTTTCGTCGAGATCGTCTAGAACTTTGCCCTTTTGAATATCAAGATACAGGGCAAACATAGGTTTGAACGCTCTGTAATCATGTTTGGTGAGTTGCCGCGAGTTATACGGCAGCTCTACTGGAGCTGTGGCTACTCTCTCTCGGCGGTGGTGGTGTTTGTGGTGGCGAGACGGTGGTGATCTCTCGCGATGCTTATGGCGATCTGAGCGGTTCGGGGACACGGATCTACGTTCCCTCCTCCTTTCCAAATTCCTTTCTCCTCTGTCTGCCATGATAGGTGATAACTCAAAGGATTGTTCGAGCGCTAGAAGTGATCTTGTTTATCTCTGCCAAATCGCGGTCTCTAAATCGATTATACGGGACGTTAAAACCGACCAATCATATGTCAAGTTAGTCTTGAATGAAGATTCACTAACCTGATTGGGAACATATACTATGTACATCGAGGCCAAACTCCATTGGTCCTTTTACTTCAATAGAGATCAAGAAGACATCAGTTTGATTTGAATTATGGAAAGCGTTAATATTTCATGGTGTAATTCTATCGAGGCCGTTTATGCGCATACCATACCTTTGAAACCCGAAATCACCCGCCGAGCAATTTGAGAATCCACAGCGACGCGTAGTTTCACCCAAGCTATCGATTTCTAAGTTTATTTCACGTCAACAAGATGCCCAGTTCTTACTCCTTCTGTCTTCGAAGCCATGGGCTGACTGCTTGTAGTCTGAGCGCCGCTTCCTTCCTTCCTCTCTTTGCCTACGGGAGCGGAGTCTTTCTGTCCTTGCTCCCTTCCCAATTCCGCTACACTGTCCAAGCTCCGCTTCACATCTTTGTCACCAAGAACTTTCTGAATGAGTCGTGCTTCAATGTCACGAACACCCGTGCGCGGAGCTTTTTGGTGCCTCCCCTTCCTCATATGAGACTGGTTCGCAAGTGCCTGCCTCAAGAACACTATTTCTCGGTTCAGAACGTCCAGCTCCGATTGCGGCTTATTATGGCGAGCCGCTTTATGAGGGTGAGCCACGCTCTTAAGATTTCCCCCATGGTTCAGAATTCCACGCAATATTATGTCCTGCCATTCTTCTGTCGTCTCAGGCATCTGATGGAGGCGATGGCAATTTAGGTCAAACTTGCAATGACCCCTGATCCAGTTGTGACATAGCTGATGCCGAGAGTCCGGCAGCGTTGATGGCCGTGGCCGAACCTGTGAGGTGGCTGCTTGTGATGGAGTGCCAGCAGTGGAGTTGGAAACAACCGGCTCTGTTGCAGGATGTCTACCGGTAGAATCTCCTGATAACTCTCTGGATATTTTAGAGTCCTGGGTTTTACTGAGAAGGCCGTTTTGGGCACCAGGCTGCTCTGGAAGGACCGAGGATCTTTGAAATTATATGTTAGAAACCGAGTTTATGCCGAAGTAGAAGATTATACTCACCTGGGTTGTTTCATTCGATAGTAACCAGTCGATGGGCCTTTTTGTCCCAAGAAAACCATCCTTGAACTCTCGACGGGACTCAACGACTTCGACAGCCCATGGAACTCCAGAGGCAGCTCGTCAGCAGGGACAAGAGGAACTAATTCTCCAGTATCACGCCTGATGTAGTGCTCAGGTTGCAATCGAAGCCTTCTCCTGGGAAGTTCATGGTGCCTAGGAGTGGACCGTCCCGCCGACAAAGCAATTTGCTGTGCAGGCATAGTGTTTGCTTGTGGATTTCTGACTTCCACAGTAACAATATGTAGAGCTATGGGCAATGCAAGATGGTCGTGCAATTTAGGATGAGGAGTACGAGAAGTATTGCTGAGAGACCCCGGTTTTAGACCAACAAAGGAGATAAAGTGGCGACCAAAATGGTGTATTTGTACCCAGTATATGACTACATACAATAAGCTCGGAGTAAAGTATGCCAAACAAAAACATCCTCTTGTTTTTGTTTCGTTTGTTAGTGGAGCTGGACAAGCACTGCAGGGCGGCAACTGCAAGCTGCCGTGCCAACACCGGAAATCACAAGTACTGCTGAAGCCCACCACCGAAGATGGATAGTTGATCTGGTAGCAAAGTAGATGGTGGCCCAAATTCTTTGAATATTTCATCTGAGTTCCAACCTCACTTTTGCTTCCATCCCATCCACAGAATTCCCCACCTGTCTCGTGCTATCCTCGAGCTCTACTTCCCTCCTCATCCATTTGCCTTTTGCGCCTCGGCTTTCTGCATCCACGGCAAGAGAATCATCTCCTTCCTCTAAGTCCTCACTGTCATACTCTTCATCTTCGTATCCAGCAACAGGGTCCCACTCGCCAGTTTCCCATATCAAACACAAGCTCAAAGGCCTGAGGTCAAACAACTTTCCCACAATGCCCTTGATTCGATATACATCGAATCCTCTAGGGATCTCTTGTTCTTTGCTGATTTCTGAAATTTGGCCTGGAAAAGTGCCTGCAGGGAGGCGAAACGTAAACTTGATGAGCCGTGCCTCAAGCAAATCGGGATTAATGGCCTTCTCGGCCCGCCGCACCACGGGGGCTTCGTAGATATTGCACAGCTCAGAAAACCTCCTGTGCTTGCTAGTAACAATGCTCTCCTCGCTCTCTGGCACTGCTGCCATTTCTGTCGCAATACGCGAGAGATAAAATATCTCGGCATTCGTCCGCTCAGCTGGCGTAATGGTACTAAAATTCAGCGACTTCAGATTTGCCAGACGACCTAGAGTAAGCATGTACCCTTCGTCGGCGCTTGTCATCACATCTCCTGGCTTGGCCACTGCCTCATAGACTGGATTGTGGGACATTCGCAAAGCTGTCAAGCCTGGGAAAACATCTGGCAAGCTGTCGACAAACTGCCAATCAGCGACTTTATTGTATGACAAGTCAAGATAGCATAATTGGTCCGAAAACACGGGTTTCTCTCCTTGGCTGCCGGCACCAACAGTGCTGATTTTGTTGCCTTTCAGGTGGAGGGACTTGAGAGAAGCCAATGCAGTAAGTGGTAACAGGTCTGAAATGCTCGAAAAGTCGTTATATTCTAACGTAAGAGATGTGAGTGTCATTGGCAATAATGACGATGGGCCGTTCAGCGATAGCGTTACTAAATCGTTTGAGCTGGCCTCAATGGATGTGACGTCCTTAAATTGGCGGGAGAGTAGACATATATCTTCCCACGTCAGGATCATTTCATTGAGACTGAGGTCTGTCACACCAGCGAAGGCGTTTTGTGATTCCCCGCCTTCAAACTCTTGGGGCAAAATAGCCAAACGATTTCCACTGCTTCTGTTAGCAATGGTCACATATTCTCAGACGAGCACTTACTTGAGTCTGAGACTCTTGAGGTAGTCTAGTTCTGCACATATTTGTACGATCTCTCCACAGCTCTGAAATAGATTTCTGCTCAGATCAAGCTCTGTTATTACGGGGCATACATCCCTGATTCTTTTCCCTTCCGTTGTGGCCTTGACAATGCGCATTCCGTCCACCAACACAATCTTCAGTTCATCCAGCTGGGCCATTTGTTTCCTGATTTTATCAAAGCCAACTTCGTAGACTACCTTACCGGATATCTCAATTTCTTTCTTCTTGATTAATTCGTTTTGCTCATCCCGTCGTTCTATGTCTTCCGAAGCATACTTCCGATGCACTGCTTCAACGAAACTCTCTACGAAATCTGGCATTCGGGTAGGGCGCACGAAGGAACCAGCATTGATTGACCCACGTCTAGCTAAAACCAGTCAACATCAATATGCCACTGGATGTAAATTTCAAGAAGGTATCTTACTATCAAAATACTTGACTCCCTTGTGCTCTCCATCATGTTTACCCCGTGATGGGTAATCCCACTCAACACCAAGCCAAACATTTTTTGTGCCAGCTACCGGCCCAATATATCTCACTGTGCAAGGCACAGAGTCATAAGACAGCCGCTGGCCAATATAGAAATTTGATGCCATTTCATCGTTGTCCTCTCCAACTGTGAACTTCTGGAGGGGTTGTGGTCCAACTAATCTCGTAGCCTTGTCGCGAGGCTCCCATATAACTGTAGCCGAGAATAAATATTTCTTGGCGCGGCTCGCGCTATCTTGAGCCTTGTCGAACATCATACCATCATACCTGCGGCTCGACATATTCGACAATCCATCCACACCTCCTTCAACCACTCTCGCGCCTATCGCACATCTGAAGAACACCATTTGGATCTGATTCCTCTGCGCATCTTCCACGATGGATTACCAGAACCGCGCTGGCTCCAAGTTCGGCGGCGGTGGTGTCGCCTCCACATCCGCCACCAACGCCGACCGTCGCGAGCGCCTTCGCAAGCTCGCCCTCGAGACCATCGATCTCGACAAAGACCCATACTTCTTCAAGAACCATGTTGGCTCTTTCGAATGTCGACTATGTCTCACAGTCCACCAGAACGATGGGTCGTACCTCGCTCACACCCAAGGGCGGAAGCATCAAACCAACCTCGCCAGGCGTGCGGCACGAGAGCAGAAGGAAGGGCGCGTTGGCACAGATCCGGTTACGGGGTTGCCAATTGGCATGGTTGGAGCGCAAGTGTCGGTGCGGAGGAATGTGGTTAAGATTGGCAGGCCGGGATATAAGATCACTAAGACGAGGGACCCGGTGACGCGCCAACAGGGATTGCTCTTCCAGCTTCAATACCCAGAGATTACGCCAGATATGACGCCAAAGGTGCGCTTCATGAGTGCGTTCGAGCAGAAGATTGAGGATCCTCCGGACAAGAACTTCCAATACATGTTGGTCGCGGCCGAGCCATACCAGACGTGCGGATTCAAACTGCAGGCCAGAGAGGTGGATAGGACGAACGATAGGTTTTGGACGTGGTGGGATAGTGACTTGAAGGAGTTTTGGGTGCAGGTTATGTTCAAGACGGAGAGAGAAGAGAGATACAGTGGCGTGCCTGGACTTGCGCCAAGAAGATAATGGTTATTTGGACGGATGGGGGAATTAGATTGGAAGGCGTCAAAGGCGTTGGTTACCAACTTATTACGATTATTGTAAAGATATCACAGCGCATTCACCAGATATTAAATGTTAAATTTACAGGCACATTGCAAAGGGTGCAGACAAATTTTAATAGGTCTCTCATAAGTCTCTCATTTCGCTATGCAGATGTCCGGAGCAAAACATTGTAGTATGCCATAAAAATGACTGTAACAGTGCCATCACGAATCCCTAAACCTCTAGAGAAACAGAGAAATTCATTTCAAGACGTTTCTTATAACTGAACCAAAGGTGTATCATAAGAGTCGTGTCAACACGCTGGATATCTGGAAAATGCTATCATGGATGACAGTAAATACTCTCCTTCATCAATGCAAAACGGGACACCAAATAGTGGACATCTGAAAAACATATATCAGATACTGGGCGCTCAAATAATCATCACGCAGATATTTGTTCCGTACGTCGTCAACTCCGCCTTCTCTCACAGATTACTTGGAATTATCTGGAGTTGAAGGTATCGAAGCGTTTGTAGGTGTATCCCAGGAAGGGGATATCCATCTCAGGCACCTCGTCTCTAACCTGGCCCGCAGCCTGTGCAGCCTTGAGATGAGTAGCGGTATCGGTCTGGTCGATCTCGTCGATAGGGAAGTAGGTGGTATCGATGTTGGACGTGAGTCTAGGCTCGAATGGTGCACGAATGCGGCGAAGGCTGTCGAAGTCGACACCGCGGAAGAAGGGGTGGGCCTTGATCTCATCCGCTGAGACTCTGCCCAGGCGGTTCTCAGAGTTACAAATAAGACTAGGTTATGTTAGTGGCTTGCCTGTAGCATGGCATATAGAAACTTACCTTCGGATGAGGTTCTCCGCCTCGGCTCCAAGCTGGATATCGTCGGGGAAGTGAAGGGTTGTGCGCCAGTTGACAATCTTGCGGTAAGTGTCAGGTGCCTCCTCGGCGCAGAACGGTGGCCATCCGATCTGGCACTCGAACATAATGGTCCCAAGACTCCACCAGTCACAGTCGTATGAATAACCGTGTCCACTGAAAATTTCGGGGGCAATATAATCAGGTGTACCGACAGTGGAGTATGCCATAACACGCCTAGATCTACGCCAGTCGTTAATGACAGCTCTGTTGCTGACCGTCAAATTGATCTGGTCGAGATTAACAGAGTTGCGGTCACGGGGCTTTGGTGCAGGCTGCCGTTGCAAAAGCTGCTGGTAGTAAGAGTTGTCGTGAAGGCGATGGAAGCCAGTAGACAATCCAAAATCGGTAAGCTTGACGTGTCCGCCCCGATCAAGCAGGATGTTGTCAGGCTTGATGTCACTGGTATCAAGTTAGATGCAATTCCTTGAAGAGCCCACTCCGTACGGAAACATCTCTGACTTACCGGTGAATGAAACCAAGCTTGTGGACAGCTTCAATTGCCAGAACAATCTCAGCTATGTAGAAGCGCGTAATATCTTCCGAAAAGATTTCATACTTGATAAGCATGGTCATCAGATCTCCACCAGGCAAAAACTCCATCAACATGTAGAGGAAGTTAGAGTCCTGGAAGGTTGTGAACAACTTCACCACCCAGGGACTATCAGACTCGGCCAAAATATCACGCTCGGCGCGAACGTGGGCCAACTGGTCCTTCTTGAACATCTCAGTCTTCACAAGAGACTTCATTGCGTAGACGCGGCCATCTTGCTTCTTCTGGACCAGCTTAACTTCGCCGAAAGCACCCTTTCCGATAATCTTAAGTGTCTTGTAGTTGTCGGGCTTGTCCCTTGTCCTCAAAAATCGCAGATATTTCCCCTCCTGTCTGCCAGTGTTTGCCCAGGTTTGTTCTCTTCTAGCTTGCGACATATTTGGGTCCTTCAGACGCTGCTCCATTTCGCTTTGTCTAAAGGTCATACAAATTAGCATCCAATATCAGATGAGGGGTTGTCCTTTATGTCTTACCTCAGATTGCGGTCGCGGGCACGCTTGACGCTGTCTTTGAAGAAGTCGCTGGCAAGCTGAGCACATCTCTTCTGGTTGTTATGGGTGAGAGGGCCATATTTGTCTGGGTTTCGCTCTGGAGCTGGCTCAAACTCGGGCTGCTGGGGGACAACTGGTGCAGAAGCAGCGGAGTAGTAGTTCTGTTGGCCACTCGAACCAGCCGTTCGAGGTCGCTGGGCACCAGCTTGTTGTCTGGCGTATTGGTTTCCTCGAGCAGCACCGCCTAGGTTCTGGTGGGAGAACTGGTGAACAAGGCCGTTGGTGGTCGAGTCGGGGTTTCCACCTGGGCCTCGGGACTGGTATGAGGGTTGCGCATATGCCTGCTGGCCAGGCTGGTACTGGTTGTTTTGTTGATTGTTCGCCGGGTACGGGTTGTTCATGAAGTATCCCTGGGCAGGTGTGTAGCCATTTTGCTGCTGCTGTTGCTGCTGGGGTTGGCCTTGCCCCTGATTGTTCTGGCCTTGGGCTTGGAAGACAGGCTGTGGGAAGGTTGATGGTGTTGTCGGGTATGACCGATCGGTGGGCGAAAATCGGTCATTGTTGTTGAAGTTCAGGAACAGGCGATTGTTATTGCCATTGTTCGCATTGTTGCCATTGGCGCCGCCATCGTTCTCCATGGTGTCGACGTTGTGTATATCTGGTAGCTACGCCGGAAAGAGGGGTTGTTGATCGGACCGAAGATGTCCACGAGGTACACACGTCGGAGAGGGCTACCCAGAGGGGTGATTAGTGCTGGGGCGCTATGATAATCTGTGACGGTTTCCGAGTTTGACCATCTAAGAGAATGAGGTCAAGTAAACTCCGAAAGGTGTTCAGGAAAGTTGACGTTGGTGGAGGGAAGCCGCTGTTTACCCTTGTAGCCAGTGCACTGTTTGTCGTGCATGCATGTACAGTACACAAATGTACTCCACCAAACGTAAGCGCTCTGATGTTAGTGGTGCCCAATATTCACCGCTTTAAAACATAAACACGAAAATAATTGGTGCCTTTTCTATTACGAGACGCCCGTCAGAACATATCAAAGAGCAGCTTGGGAGCTGTTTGTGAGACCGATTTAAGACATTTACGAAGGGTTCTAGGTGTAGCAAATCCCTGATGTTTCTGTGCTACGTACATAAAACGCTCGCTCCATACTCGAGGAGTGGGACAGCTCAAGGGCATTTTAGCCAAGCAGCGAGGTACAAGAGTCAAGAGGCCTTTTACGAGCCATTTATTTATCCATCAAAGCAGTTAAGAATAAATAACAATAAATATTATTCTCGTCAAAAGTATCATTAACCCTCAGTTGCCCTCATACACTATGGCTCTTGGCTTTAACTAAGCGCACTATGTGACCGCGACTGAGGGGTACCAGAGCGGTCTGGAAGCTTGATAGACTCAGTAGCGGCGGGAAATTTATAAGCCATCATCGACGACAAAAGTCCCTGTTACAGTTTATAGATATTTTTGGCCGCTTCAGTTTCTATGTCTATGCAAAGGTATAAAAAAAAATTGGTGTGGCATTGCTGCATCGTTGGAATATTAACGTCGGGGTTGTAAATCGCCAGAAGCTTCATACATCAGGAGATATGATAAGTCCAACACTTGTTAATATGTGGAACATTTCGAGTGAAAATGTGTATCTATTGATAGAGAAAGGAGATTCATCTTTCTTGATCTATCTGTCTATATGCCCCAGCTGAACTCTCTAACTTCCCTTGGTTAGGCGTGAGTATATCCCATCCTGTGGCTTTCCCAGCCGACATCTCCATACGCCAGTCCCAAATATCAAGAGCCTCCATGGCCATAAACATCTTCGTCGCTCAACGCCAAGTGCTCTCAATGCCAACAATCAACATGGCACTCATATATGTTCAGTGAAAAAGCGGCCATAACCCTCCTGTCTTGACCCAACGACGATGTCTCCGTCAACCCTTATTTATATCCCTAAATGCGCAAGCGTAGGCACAGACCCGTTCACTTTTTGGGCGGTGCCTTTCCAGGTGGTGCCGCTGCTGGTTTCTTTTGTTCTGGTTTCCGAACTGCGAAGCCGATATACCAGGCGCCCACGCCCAAGATAATCAGACCGACCAGGACGAGAATCATGGTTGTGACGACTTCCGGCTGTGTCCGGACAACCTTCTGTGCGCTTGGCGTTAACGCCGGAAGAAGGAATTCGTAGGCCATAATTGAGTGGCAGCTGTGGCGTATGGCTTGATGGAGCTAAGCTGTCCTTAGAGTGCACAAGGGACACTCGGGTTTCCGGAAAAGGAATAAATAATCCGAGGGTAGAGAGATCAGGAGTAGTCGCTGTAAAGAAAATCTTAACGTGTAGTCGCAATGCAAATTGGCAATTCTGTTTGTTCTTGTTGTGTCTGGCTTAACGTGATAGGAAGTAACAGTGATACCGGCATTCAGAACACCTTCATTGAGCGGCCCGGTAGTGATATATGACTTTGAAAACCAAAAGAAATCCAAACGCAAAACATTTAGTGAAGTGGAGCTCAGGATGAGGCTCTCAGACCTACAGTGTATCAGATGGCTGAGGTGGCCTGATATTTGAAGCACGACGCCGCGCACAGGTCTAGCCACAATTTATGAGTGGACAAGGCGTGGAATGCGACGTTGACACGGCACTAACCAAAATCATGCTGTTTCAGTAAGGAAGTGCCCTTGGCTCTATATCTGATGGCAGTTTTGGCCTTCACATGAAGAGTATGAGGAGTAGATTGATGTTCAACTCAAGACTTGGCGTGTTACGTCTAACCTTGTAGTGGACAGGGTCTGCCAAAACCTAAACTCACCAAATTATATCTCCAACTTGGACTGTTTCTTCACTTTATGAGACAATACAGTGCACTTTGACGACTAATCCATACAGGATTATAGATATACACTCTTCATAGTAATGCTTGACCTGTCGGGATTTTGTGTAAAATGGCACGTGATCTCCATATCTTATCTTTGAATTAGCGGGCGTTGCCGGCGGCCTCCCCTGTGATTAGTCTAACCAATTGTGGGCTAAAGAATTTTGGTAAGGGTGTCGCGACCGAACTTTTGATAATGGGCATCGAAAGAAATCTCGAGTCGATGAGAGGCGCCATACCGCGACTTGCCTTTACCACGCTTCAAGTTCCGACTCGTAGACGCTACGAGAAGTTGGTGGTCCAAGGCTTCTGGATACTGTGTAATATTTAATCGGAGATTTCAGCCGCGCCCAGTTCCCAGCATGGCAGACTCGAAGCCAGTTGAGCCAGAGGTACTGTCCCAAGACGCCCCTACCTTCACATAACAGGTGGCTAACGTGATGTTAGGCTTCAGCGCCAAAGGCGGAAATCCCAAAATCGGCAGCGAAAAATGCGAAGCCAGTGCGCCCACCGAACCCGGTATGGAAAATGATGGGTCTGCCGAATATGCGGCTCAAATTACCATCTCGGAACTGGTCGATATTCCTCTCAATAACCGGTACTATTACGGGGCTTGTAGTATATGATAAGAGGGAGCAGAGGAGGGTGCAAAAGAAATGGAGCAAGCTTGTCGAGCACTTGGCCAAGGAACCACTCGACCCGAAATCGATGCCTAGGAAACTCACAGTGTTCCTCGAGGCTCCTCCGACGGACGGGCTACGGGTTGCTCAAGACCACTTCAAAGACTACGTGAAGCCGGTTCTCGTATCTTCAGGCCTTGACTGGGAGTTTATCCAGGGGCGCAAGGAGGGCGACGTGCGCGCCGAGTTGGCAGAAAAGATCCGAAAGGAGCGCCAGCTTGCCACGAACGAGATCCAAGAAGACGACCCCGTCCTCGCTGCTCGCCTTACCAATGGCTCAAAATTATACGAGGGACCTCTTGGAGATATTGTTATTGGGCGTAATACTTGGAAAGAATACGTACGAGGTATCCACGAGGGATGGCTTGGTCCCGTCACGGAACCTGCCAAACCAGAAGTACCCGTCGAGGCAGTGGAGCCAGTTGCCGAGCCAGAAGTTATCGAGACTCTCCCCGGCATCACTGTCCACACCTCCACCGACGACGTCCCCCCTGCTCCCATCAACCCCGACCTCAAGCCAGACGGCAAGCCACCCAAACCCCCGCAGCCAAAGCCATGGATCTCCACCGACGCCTACTCCGCCGCCACTCCCGCGCCCACTCTCCCTAACGAACTCGACCCATCCGTCCCAATTGCATTCCCACACATCCTCGGATTCTTCAATACCCCAAGACGCATGTACCGTTTCTTCACGCGCCGTCGCCTCGCCGACCAAATTGGCCGCGACGTAGCAGCTGTCATCCTCGCGAACACGAGGCCATACCATACTACCTCCATTGCGGGAGGTGATTCGTTTGCGCCTTCTTCGGATGGAAGTGATGGTGTGGTGAACGACGAGGCCGACAAGTCGGAGCAGGGCACGGTCCTGAAGGAGGAGGAGCAGGATTGGCACAAGTCCGTCCACAAGCCTCTCGATGACTTGACTAAGGAGCGTACGTGGCTCGATGATGTGGTTCTCGACCCCCGTATCGCTGGGAGGATGAGAAGGGCGGAGTTGAGCCCGGAGGATGAGGCGCGCGCGGAGCGGATTGCGAAGGAGATCACGGAGGAGGAGATTGAGGGATGGATCAAGGGGAACCTGAGGAAAGGGTGGAGAGCTGGGAATGAGGCGCTGTTTGGAGAGAAGGCGAAGAGGCCTGGAGAGGGCCTTGTTGAGGATGAGAGCATGGAGGATAGATGATGAGGTTGTTGAAGGCTGTGGTGGGAAGAGAGATGTAAGAAAATTTGTATGATAAGGCATTTATCTCTGGGGTGAGATAGGGTAGCCCGGTTTTGCATATTATCTGTCACACCAGATGTATTATAGTTATAGACGATGAGGAGCGCAACTCATTTGGGTTATGTATGTACAAATATGAGCACGCAACGTATGATCTCCTCTGCAACTTGAATCATTTGACTCGGTGTTAAATTGTAGCTACTCGTACTGTAACTAGCTTTATACCAAACATCTCCATAGCAGTTTATTCTATCGAGTCTCCATATTTTAACCTGTAAAGCTACCTCTTTCCATTTTACGCTCTTACACCTACATGCACAACCTCCCAAAGATTCGTTGATAATTGTTCACAAAGCGGCCTGTCCGCGTTCATCACGCATGCGCTGATTATGATATTTCGCCGAACTTATGCACTAGGTAACTTCTTTGCCTCCTCCTTAATGGCCTCAAGGACCTTCTCTGGTAGGGATGCGGACTTCGCCTCAAGTCCCTTGTTGAAGCGAGAGATTTGCTCTTTGACTGTTGAGTTGCTCGAGTCGATGGCTGATGCAGCCAGGAGGCACTTCAGGGCGAGAAGGTATTTTTCTGTCTTTGTTAGTTTACATAATGCCAAGGGACTTTATACTTTCTTACCTCTTCTGAAATAAACCTCGAAGCCAAGAATTTGTCCCTCGAGCAGCTTTGGGGCAAACTCCAGCATCGGGCCCAAGAACTTCATCGCATCGGTCAACGGCTCCTTGGTCTCGGCGAGCTTGACACCGTTCGGGTCTTCGTCCACCTTCTTTGCTGCGGCAGCATCTACCGGAACAGCCTTGTTTGGCTCGGCCTTCTTGGCCGCTGCGTCTCTCTCCGCTTGCTGCGCAGCCTTGCGCGCCTTCTTCGCTGCTTTCTTTTTCTCCAAGGCCGCTTCATCGTCGTCTCCAGACTTCCCATTGGCTTGGGGCTTATCATGGAGCTTCAGGTACTCTTTGATAGCACCGATTGCTGCCCTTGTGTAGAAGGGGTGGTCCCGTAACCTGTCCTCCCACCTGATCATTTGGACGTATGCCCTAATTTGGCCCTTTCGGAGAGAGAAGCTGTGGAAATCGAACTGGTCTTCTTGCCACACATCAAAGATGTTGTGGACAGTGGTGAAGCGCTTAAGAGCTAGGCCCACATCGCCCTGTCTGGCATGCGATTGCCCGTCTTCCGTTAGGAACCACATACATTGCATGTCGTGCAAATCAGCAAGTGGTCCTCCCACAGCCTCGAGACGAGTAAACATGCCCAGTGTCTTCAAAGCAGCGTCGTTTTCGTCATTTCGCAACTGGTATTTCGCAGCTTTAGTATTGATATAGCGATCTCTCTCGTCCAAAGTCCGTGCAATCTCCATTGTTGCCGATGCAGTCTTCGTATCGCCCTTGTGCTTATATATCCTGGCTTTAGTCATATGGAAATCGACACTCTTTGGCTCCAACTCGATCGCTTTGTCTATATATTCCAATGCCTGGTCAAGGTCACGGCTGAGGTGGTAGTTGTAATGTTGCGCAAGGTAATAGTATGCGGACGAGTCTCCTTTTGAAGTGTCCCCACTTCTCTTTGGCTCATCGTTGGTTTGTCCTCTTTTGCTGTTAATATATTCGTTGACGACTTCCAGAAGCGTTTGCTGCTTAGACTTATTCGAATAAAGGTGCTTCAGGTTGGCAAATGTCGAGGGCACTCCCTTATCCAACATTCTGTGAACATAGGAATCTGCTGCTGTCCGGAATTCGTCGCCTGCACCAGTTAGTTATGGGGCACTTTAAGTTTCTGGGCTTCAAATACTGACCATCTAAGAAATCTAAAGGTAGTCTTCTGGCAGAGTCACTTCGTGGGTACTTCTCCGCGTACTCATCGTAGATTGCCTTTAGCTCTTTGTGATTGCCCGGCTCTATGTTCAATGCCGCAGCCAGTCCATCATAGTATTTCTTGCATTCCGAGTTACGATCAATCAGGGCACGGAAAGCCGTCGCTGCCTCCTCGTTGCGATCAAGCTTCGACAGATACTCCGCGCGAAGCTCTAGAACGGCCAGGCGGTCGAGGTTGTGCTTTCCAGCAGTCTCCAAGTGCTCCAGAGCCCTCTTGTAGTCTCCTCGCTCGGCAATAAGAGAGTTCTTGTACATAACCGCTTCCGAGTTCTCGAAGTCGAGTTTCGATGGAGGGCTCTTCAGGGTCTCTTCGTATGTGGTCAATACTTGTTCGGCCTCGGCAAGGTCTCCTGACAAGTGTTGCGCAATTGCCAGTGCAGTCCAGTTTTGTCGTATATGGGACCGAGCCTGTAGCATTGCCCTCCTGCTGGTAATATAGCCTTGGTAGTCCCGCATTTGTATTTGGAGCAAGGCCAGGTCCCTCTGGATCTGCTGCGATTCTGGGTCCAGCTTCAGGGCAAATTTGTATGCCTTAATGGCCTCTTCAAAGTTCTTGTTGGACCTATAGAGCAGACCGTAAACGTGCCAGCAGACATGCGACTTCATGTCAGCCTGGAGAGCAAGCTTGGCCAGCGCGAAAGCTTCATCGGATTTGCCAATTGAGTTCAGGATCAATGCCTTCATCGCCATGGTATCTCCATGCTTCGGGTTCTTCTTGAGGATTTGCTCGGCCGCTTTGAGACCTGGTGTAATCTGTCAGCGCACCAGTCATTCCGCTGCCGCCGAGGAGATGCCCACCTTTCTTGTACTGCTTATCTTCATAATTGCGAACTACAGTTCGAAAGAGCGAAGACTCCTTCGAACTTAATGGTTGCGGCATCTTATAGGTATGCTGGTTGTGGCTTGAGCGCGGAAGGGCACAGGGTGGAAAGAAGGCTGTCGGTATCGGAGCGCGTGAGTGCAGAGACCTGAGGCCAGCAAGCCCACCCCACGTACTATTCGAGGCTACGGAACTCTAAATCCAGTTTCGCCGCACACAAGAGCTTAAAGGGCCTAATTCACAAATTGTATGGTAGCCTCGACAGGGAAAGTGAAGGTCAAGTTATATATTACTGATGGCGGGGACGTGGAGAAATACGAATGTCATTATTTCCTGTGAAAAGAAATTGGTGGAACGATAAAAACAATATATATCAGCACCTTTCCAGGCCCTCAACCATGATATTGTCGACTCTCAAGGATGCCAACCAATGCAAGGCTCAGAAGCTACAATTCTAAATACCATCGCTGTATGTCTTTCCAAACAAGCCATGATGGGAGTGATGCAAAGCTAATCAATCTGAGGGGCTATATTGTGTTTCAGAGACTCGACGCCGAGTTTGGTGCGAAATGTGCCCATGAGGAATTCTTCATATTTATTTGCGCGCTTTCAATATATCACATTAAAATACTGAAGAACTACCTACGAAATAAACCAATCTTCTTCACAACTCTGGACAAGCCAGAAATGTAATGAAAATGTGAGGTCGCGTCATCTGGAGGCAGTGTAATACCAGAGACACTGTGTCCTGGGACATGAGTAAACTCAGCGGTCCCAAGACTCATTTCAAAAATAGATTTAATCATTGATTTGTCCAATAGGACAATTTCAGAGATTAAACTGAAAAGAACAGATACTACACTTGATCTAAGCCAATAGGCAAAGAGAGCTAAAGAGAAAAGAAGAAAAGGTCAAAAGCTCGGGGGGGAGTTCTAGTATATATAGGCGACGAAAAATTTCAAAATCACGCTAGTGAGAATCAAATTCTGTCTGAAAGGGGTTTAGCTTCTAGTCGCAAACTGGAGCTAGCAATTGTTTGTCGTGTTTGCACTTTCCCAATTCAGTGCCATACCAGTAGATGTTTGCTATGTTTGCACTTTCCGCGCAAGCTCCCACCACCATGCAAGGTGCCCCCACCAGCAGACAAGGCTGAAGACGACCCCGCGATGACCGCGTTGATCTGAATTGCGCCCACTATCCATGGCCCACGCATAAATGACAGGACGATATATATAACTCTCGATTACGCCCCACCTCCTCAACCATGGCTCAGGCCGACACCTTCGAGTTCCCGGCCTTCTATTCCTTTCCCCCGTTCTTCTCACCCCAGCCGTCGACCACCACCGAGCACGCGCGTCGCAGCAAATGGAGCAGCCTCATCCTCGCCTACTGTCGGCAGAAGAAGCTCTGGAAGCTGACGCTGGTGGATGCCATAGACACGGATCTGTTCTGGAATAAGACGATCAATAAACGGGTTAGCCTCGCGGATGCGAAGGAGATTATAAACGCGATGAGGAAGGAGGGAAGGGCGGAGTGGCTGGGCGGGAAGAAGGATAGCGATAGTAAAGAGGTGGCGTGGATTTATTGGAGGACGCCAGAGGAATGGGCGGGGTTGATATATGACTGGGTACGGAGTTTTTCATAGCTCAATGATTTTCTGTTTGGAACCTACGGATGGCATAGCTGACATGGATATACAGGTTGACGAGACGGGACAGAAGAACGTTGTTCTCACATTATATGAACTTACAGAGAGCGAGGCGACGATGTCGCAGGAGTTCCATGGCATGGATCCAGATTTATTGCAGCGGGCGATGGGTGTTCTTGTAAAGAGAGGGAAGGCGCAGGTATTTGGGCAAGAAGACGAACAAGGAGTTAAATTCTTCTAGACTCTGAAATAATAACACAAAATATTAGTTTAAAAAGGTTAAACTTTGTTCACTCAGAGCATGTTGCAAAATGGGGTGAGAAGGCATGCTTTGGGACAAATATCCTGGATTAATTCATTCCGATGTCAACTATGCCCAACACTCCGGACAACCATGCTCTGTCCCATAAAACCGAACTCCAGGCTAATGCTAAAAACGGCAAGCCAGATCATCTACTGTGCCAAGTATGCGTCATGCCATTTCACCTCCTGCCTCATTGCTGCGTCGAGTAACCATTCGACCTGTACAATCCTCGGCTCATGCCCATTGTCTTGGGCCATCTGTGCAAACTTCGGCCACAGTGCCTTCTCCTTGATTGACGTCCCTGTCAGCAGATATACAGCCTCCTCTTCGCCTTCCTCCCTCATCCTCAAAGTTTCAGCCTTCGCTCTGAATATGGCGAACTCGCCTCCATTGAATTCCACGATAGTCTTGTATGTACCAGGGCCATTCGGTATAGCTTCCGTACAGTATACGGCAATGCCCCGAAGCAAATGCCCCGAGTTCGATTTGGCACGGTTGACGGCATCGGCGAGTTTGACCTTGAAGTGTTTTTCCTTCGCTTTGTCCTTCAATACGAATGAGTCCGGAGGCGGCATGGTTGACGACGTGAGGCACGCATCAATGAACTCAGTCGACAGGATGCCGACGCCCGTGGCCAACGCACAGAGAAACTTGTGCGTGCGAACCATGCCTGGCGCTGCGAGATAGTTGCAAGTGCTGGGGTCCTGGACGATGAGAATTCCAAGTTCGCGCAGCTTTTTCTACAGAAAATGTTAGCCTAGCCACATCAAGAACCATGCTTGGGGTACTTGCCTTATCGGAATCTTCCTTTGCTGGCATCTCTTCCCACCGCTTGTAGCTAGTAACCAAAAGTCTGATGCTCACGGGGCGCGAACCAGTCTTTGGTTTCTTAATTACCCGGCCCTCCTCCTCCGACTCTGCATCGCTCGCCCCTCCAGCTTCGCTAGAAGCCCTTCGGGTGCCCCTTTCTCTGTCGACCTGGTCTGCAGCTCGTTTTCCGCCCCAAATACCGTTTCCGGCACGCTTTTTCTCTTTTTCATAAAGTGCGATGTCGGCAGCTTGGTCATGAAGCTTGGATAACGCGCGGTCCTTTGCCCCACGACTACTTGTAGATGATGGCGTTTCATTCTCTTTACCTGTTCTAGCTAGTCGATTGCTGTGTGGTGTCGATAGAAGATGTGCCGTTCGTTTCGGGACAGGAGTTGCTTTTGGTCGAGGAAGAACAGGCAGGGTTTGGTCATCCGCCATAGAGACATCAGCCAAGGCAGCGCTAGGGGGTTCAGTAGCATGCTGAACACCTGCATTGCGATCCTTCGTCTTCATAACAGGCCTATCCTGCTTTGATGATTCAGGAGTGGCAACATCGCCAGGATAATAGATGTGCTCCAATATCTTGCGATCAAAAGGCACCTGGCCAATTACTTCACCAAGATTTGTGCGCCGTGGAAAATGGATGTATTTTGGATTTGTCAAGGGTTGTGCTTTGCATTTGACATAGCTTTCCTCAATCCATAAATGGTTGACCATCGAAATTCCCCACTCAAGCGCAGCCTCGCACTTTTCGCTGTTATTTCGCGCAGTGATAAGATGGGTATTATCCTGCTTCATACTTTTCGTGAACTCGCCTCCGGCAGCTTTAACGAGGCTTTCGAGATAAATGCGGGTGTCTCCACCATAGTTAGAAAGAGTGATTCTCGTTCCTTCAAATCCCTCAAGCGGCATTCGAGGGATTGGGTAGTGCAGAAGTCGTCGCAAAGGCGAAGTCCACTCATTGTAAGTCATGAGATAATACAGCCAGGAAAGATTTCCAACATCTTTTCCACTCCGGGAAGCCGTGATATAGTCATCGCCATCGCGGTAGTTGCAGATATACATATTGGCTTTGTGGACGCTGGTAGTTATAGCGCCATCTCCATTGGTAATGAGGTCCTCAAGAATGCCTCGATGACGGCTACGGAGTTTCACACCTTCTGAAAACATGACTTTCTTGTCGCGGAAAACGCTTAATTTGCGAGATCCCGAAGGAGAATCTGCCCCGACGGGAATATAATCAGGGATTGGGGTTGTGGCTCCTGTCACGCTGTTTGTGACTGGGACCAGAATCTGCGCCTCAGACCCTATCCGAAGAAACTCGGGGTCAGGGAGCAAATATGGCTTTTCGTCGATTCGATGCCCCAGCTTAATGCAGTCCTCAAACCAGTGAGGCAGAACGATTTTGCACTTTAATTGTTTGTCCTTTGCATTCTGGCACTTCGGGTGGTCTTCTGTCAGCGCCACGATATGAGTGACTTGTCTGGTGAGGCTGTTGGATTCTTGGCCTCCCATGGCAATGACCGCGCCAATAATAGCATCTTGGTCGCCTTCCGGAATATCGGCGCAAGTGACGTTAACGCCAGAGAAGAACAATTTTGGGTCTGGAGTATATGGCCGGAAAGGAGCTAGTTTATTCTTCTTGAGCGACGCCGCAATCCAACTTGGCGTGATAACAGGACGCAAATGTGCAGTGGCGATGTGGTATTGAGGGAAGTCAGAAGTTGACGAGATTATATGTGTAACTTCGGCGATTTCGACAGTGCCATTGGCGCCAAGTTCTGATATTGTTGCTCCATTTTCTTCAAGTATAGATCCAAACTGTACTGTATGTTAGAGGGGTTCACCAAGGCGAGTGAAGTTCTTACCTCACGCGCATTCTCAATTGTTAACTCTCTACTTGGAATAATAGCGATATGACAGTCGTCAAACAATAGCGGTGGCACCTCATTAGCCATGGTAGGCTGCTATTATGTCATTAAATGCTGTGGTTTTGGGTGGGTATAATATTCATGAATGAGGCGTTTCCAAACTGAAGTTCAGTAATTACAGGCGAACGCGTTCCTGAACGCGGTCAAAAACACGCCAAGTCTGTTGTCACGTGATGCGAGGCCCCGATAAGAACCCTCCAGTACCTTGATTGCTATCCAACAAGATGCGGCCTAGCCGGAAGCCGAGGCTCACTTGTTAGAGGATCCAATGGATCAACTCCTCAACCTTACTTATATAATACTATTCGAGCAAAGTAAGACGAAAAGTGTATATACGACTTCCTTGTGGTTTGCGTGGCCTTGTTGATTACTATTACATTTTTCTAGAAGTCGCTATAATAAATACATATATATATCATCGCCAACATGTCGACAGCTAACTTCAATATCAAAGAACATGTAGTAGAAGCCCAGCATATTCGGGAATATGCAAGAGCGACATCGTTTTCGGAGGAGGAGATTCTAAAGCTTGCCGTCAAGCAGTATACGCCGTTAGACAATCCAAATCCGCAACCAGGAGATGTTACAATCATTGGAGCACATGCAAATGGGTTTCCCAAGGCAAGCACCCATTCTTTGACTTCAAGTATCCGTGTCTGTTGCTAACACTGTACAGGAGCTCTACGAAGCCTTGTGGGATGAACTATATCTACGCTCAAAGGCCAATGGCTTCCGCATCCGCAGTATCTGGATCGCCGATGCCGCCCACCAAAATCAAAGTGCAATTCTGAATGAAGAGAAGTTAGGGAACGATCGTAAGTTCTCCTAATATATCCCGAATTCTAGCTGACCAGCGGCCAAGCATCATGGATGGACCATCCCCGTGACCTTCTTCACATGATTAACCACTTCCGCAAGGAGATGCCACTTCCGTTGTTCGGCGTTGGCCATTCATTTGGTGGCAATAACCTTGCCTGCCTATCCCTAATACATCCTCGCCTTCTTACCTCACTCATCCTCCTGGATCCAGTCATTCTTCAACAAAATCCGACCGGCGCTGGCGGCAGGGGAGCACCTATGGCGTCAACATTCCGTCGCGACCTCTGGCCATCTCGCGAAGCAGCCGCGGCGGGCTTTCGTAAAAACCCATTCTACAAGGCCTGGGACCCTCGGGTTTTAGAGGCATGGAACAAGCACGGAGTACGCGAGACGCCCACGCTACTCTATCCAAATGAAAAGGGCTCCGTGACATTGAGCACTCCCAAGTACCACGAAGTGCAAACCTTCATTCGCCCAACTTTCCCCGACCCCATTAACGGTCCTCTGGCTCCCATTACTCACTACTCCCATGCCGATATCGATCCAGCCGTACCCGCCGGCGAGCCATTTTATTCCCCAGCACCATATATTGTCCTTCAGCAGCTCCCGCGCTTGCGGCCAAGCGTGCTGTACATATTCGGTGGCACCAGCTTCATGGCTCCGCCAGAGCATAATGCCGAAAAAATGCGTGTCACAGGCACCGGCGCCGGAGGGTCCGGAGGGGCAGCAAAGGGGCGCGTTAAGGAAGTCGTTTTAAAAGGAATCGGCCACCTGGTTGCGATGGAGGCACCAGTGCAAACTGCAGAGAATACAGCGAAGTGGATAGGCCAGGAAATGCAGCTCTGGAGGCAGGAGGCAGAGAAATTTGCGGGGTGGGCGAAGATGGGCGTCATTGAGAAGCAAGTCATAAGTGAGAAGTGGAAGAACATACTCGGTGGAGATCCAAGGAACAGGAAGGTTACCGATGGCGCGGCCAAGTTGTAGAGAGTGATATGTAGACCAGAATATATTGCCATAAGGACCATCATTATTCGAAGACATTGTATATAATTTCAAAAATATATATATTTTTTCCTATTTTTTATTCCTCATCAGGCGGAATCCAAATTAAGATTCCTTCCTTGTCACTCTTCATCCCATCTCCTGGAGCGACCTTCAACACCTTCTGAAAGTAACGATCAGTCACCACCAATTGCGGTCTGACCCACTCGCCCCTCACATTCGGCAGCAGGTTGAAGCTCATACCGCGCCGCGACAATGGCAACAGTTGGATAGTACTTTGCTTTGCACCTGAAAATGCAAATTTGTCGTTTGGTTCCATCACCACACTGAAAGTGAGGAAGTGCATCGAAGGATTTTCAATCATGTATTCCATGTGCAGGACCATTGGTGTGGTGGTGTCTTCGCTGTATGACAATTTTGTGAGGACCCGGGGCTCGCTGCTGGCGACTAGCAGCCTTGGAATGGGCAGCGTTGACGTGTTGGATGGTGATCCAGGCACGTCACGTCGCCATTGTATCAATAGGGACAAATCTAACGATGCTGACCGGCGGTCATCCAGGCTCAGTTTTTGAGTCAAAACGTCGAAGTGAGATTCTGCTAGAGCTTCGGGTAGGATGGGTAGTCCCAATGATGTGTTTGGGAGTGGGTGGATAGCAGAGCAGGCAACGCCGCCGTTAAGGGAGAGGATGGCGAGGCTGACGTCCTCCACTATCAAAGCTTCACCTGCAAACGAACAGTATCTGGCGGTGAGATTCCACTTCTGTGGGAGACCAAGCGCGGCGACTTCGCCAGTAGAAGACGTTTCCCCATCCTTAGGATCAAAGAAACTTGGCCATGATCTTGAGTCGAGGCGAGGCGAGAAATCATAGTTCGCTTCGAATGGACTGCCAATATTGAGACGTATGGCTGCAGTTCTGGTGATTGGAGTTTCCAAGTCGGAAGCTAGGTTATACTTCAACTGTAGAGTTATTTCGTAAGTCGATTGTATTAATATTGGACCTAGAACCACAACGGCTGATATTGTGTTGGAGCTTGAGATTGATCCAAGTTTGGCGCTTGGTGGCGTTTCATCATCTGGTGAATATTCCACGTCGGATTCAGGTGCCGTGGGTATAATAATCTTGAAGGGAAGCTGAGGAGTTCCTGCGCCATCGTTGGTAATGGTGACCTCCAAACTGGCAAGTGATTCTTCATCTTCGCCGTTAAATATATCGACGTTCAGGTCAATAGGCTCGTTTGTATAATACTGATCCTTCAGCGCCTGGAATTTAATTTCCATTTTGGGCGGTTTCGGGAGAATGATAATAGAATGCGGATCAGCACGCACAACCCGCTTGCGAGCTGGCTTCTGGCTCCACCACATATCACGAGTGGTGATGTGGTCGAACTCTATGATGCATTCGAGATCAAAAAGGGGCGCAGCGAGTGCAAACGTCGCTGAAATAGCTTTGGCCTTGCCTGGTTCTCTCAGAGGACAACTCAACTCAAAGACACGTGTTTGTCCAGGGAGAAAAATCAAACTCTCATCTCCGACGAGAGTGCTGGACCGCAAGCCACGTTCCTTCGCAACAGACATAGCTGTATCCTCAGAGTTTCCATGTTCTTCGCGAAGCTCCACCTTGGTGAACGATGTATTATCCGGGCGGACTTCAACATCTTGAGCCTCACTGCTATGCCGGATCGTAACGGGCTTAAGAGACCCTTCGAACTTTATCTTTATTTCCGCCATAGTAATGGGCGATGAATCCTTTGAAGCAAAGGACGTGACGCTCAATTGTGATGTGCATGGTTCCCCAACCTTTCCTTCGGCCTGCTCGAAAACGAATGTCGCACACAAGAACGAATGTATATCGTTCCCTTGAAGCACCACCGCTGGTTTCCCTTTCACCGTGTCCACATCGTCAAGGGACTTGGTAATGTCTAGAGTCTGTCGTGGATTCCGTGCGAAAGCTGTTGCGAGTTAGTGCCCAATCTTCATACAAATAGCCCAATTATCTACTTACTTGAACTCATAAGCTCCCAGTCTACAGCAACAACTGTCCCGCTATCTCCAGCCTTGACCGCAACCTCACGCAGGATAGTCCCCACCTCTTCAGTCAAGTCCCACCACCCTTCCCTCCTCCAAGACATGGTGTGCCATAGTGGTCGGAGGATGCGTAGCGCGTCGTCCCAAGCCTCCTGTTTTATGAGCTCCTGTGCCAACTGCAGCTTCACAGCCTGCGCCGAGCGCATGCTTTTCCCCGACTCGTACTCTGAAATAGCTCCTCTCAGCGATGCCATGTACGAATCCATGGAAGGAACTTCCGCCTGCGACTGGGATTCTGTCATCTGCGGCTCGGGATTTCTGTTAACCCCGAGACGCTCCCAAAGCGCCCATGAGTGACTATTTCTTTCAGTATATCCAGAATCTAGGCGCCTGTGAGCTTGGATGCCGAAATCGTGCAATTAATTCCAAAGAGGGTATCTCTTGGCCATTGGGGTTGTAATCGCCTAAATTAGGCTAGCGTGGTGCGGGCAGTGACGGTGCGGTCAAATGCCGCCGCTATCCAAAGGTTGTTCCTGAGAGGCCGCCCTTCTGTTTTGCGCCATTCATGTCACAATACTCACAACATATCCTGAGGGGCTGTCACTCATCGATGTAATTGAATAGCTACCTTGATCTACACTACAAGAACAATCACGCGAATCCACCTACTGTCGAGTGCTGCACACAGCAAAGGTAGCCAAATAGGCTATCTATTGACACAGAGATCAGGTGTCATTCCTGCGACAGCACTTGCGGCTCCATACCTAACCTCTCACCCTGGGACTCGAACAGTGAAGGCGACCGAACTGATTCACCTACTGTGGTGTAATACTCGCAACCGGAATCCCAAAGCAGGAACGACTGAGTTCCGATAAGGCGCAACCATGCCGAGTGTACAAGATATGATGATCGCTAGGCTTGTGGGGGATATGAAGCAAGCAGTCAAGCGCAAAGCCGATGGTAGGAATTCTAGATCCAGAATCCATTAGCCTTGGACTTAACTGACTTATGTTTCTTCTCAGAATCGGACTCGGAACACTCAATAGACCAAACCACGAACAGGGGGAACAAGCTGAAGAAGAGGGCCAGATACGTCCGCGAGGGCAGGCTGGCGATGCCGAACGGTCCACAGGCCTACAAAAAGGTAATGAGGAGCTGTCTAATCCAGAAAGTCATTTGTGTATGCTGATACTGTGCTAGACGATCACCTACAACGAGCACTATGAGAGAACAATCATTAGCGAACGACCGATGCTTTACGATGAGGATGGCTACGAGATGGATAGTGAAGACGATGAAGATGGCGAGGCTTTGGCCGCTGCGAATGAATTCTATCCATATAATGATGTTCGAATGGAAGGTTAGAAGAAACCTTGCCCTCCTCAGTTGACTTTCGTTCCTAACCTTGTGGTGTAGAGTTGCTTGCGCCATTGACATCAGTTACCGACCTGCCAAATCACCCAACACTATCTAGGCCATTCACATCGAAAACACTCACCGAACTCACTCTGAATGCGCGGTCAATGATGCAGAAGGAAAAGGAGACTCTATGGAAAATGAAGCGCCTCTTAACGAGGCTGAGCGGCGATCACATATGGGTACCTACGGCTCTACTCGAGACGCCGAACGACATAAGCTTCTTTGGGGATGGCAGAAACGAATACCGGGAGCACCTTCTCGAAAAAAACCGATTGGAAGATGCTCGTAGTGAAGATACAGATATGAACGGGGCCATACTGGCACAGCTAGACGCTTCCACGCCTGGACAGGCTGTAGACAATTCTGCGACTGAAAACGAAGTCGCAATGGTTGACGTTCCAACTCAGAACGGTTCTGCCCAAGAAGTGAAGACTTCAACATCTGTTGAGCCTGCCGTGGCTGAGGATGTGGCCGCTGCAACCAACGGTGACACCAATACAACGGAACTAGATGGGGACAAGAAAGCTGCCGGGCCCCATGAATCTGAAAATGAACAAAATGCCAACGGGACTGACAAAATGGACGGAGTCGTTACCGATGCAGCGGCCACTGCAGATGCCGAGGAATCCGCCGAGGACAAAGCCAACCAATTCGAAGATCCCGATACCACTCTTCCTGACCCTGATGTACCAGCAGACGACGAATCCGAGGAGAAGGACGAAACTGATGCCCCCGAGCCAAGGCGCATGCGCACCCGCGCCCAGGCACAAGCCGCATCCGATGACAACGTGAGGTCTCGCACACGATCCCTCTCAACCTCCTCCAACGACTCTTTCATACATCCATTTTTCTTGGCGCCCCAATCTGCGATTCCGGACCGAGACATTGGGCTCCCGACGCAGGAGGCAGATGAGACAAGGCGGTTGCTGCAGCTGTTTGTGCAGAAGCAGGAGGAGGTGTGCAGGGGAAGCGAGAAGCTCTACGAGGGCCTTCTTAAGGCGGATCGGCTGCGCAATGATGTGATGAAGTGGGCTAAGGCTGAGGCGCACACTGGCGAGAATGGGATGAGTGACGGCGAAGATTGGTACGATATGGAGGAGTGGAATTTGGATGAGGAGTTGAAGAAGGGGCAGGATGAAGACGACGAGGACGCGGCTACAACTGCGAAGAAAACGAGGACTAGGAGGCAATAAGTTCTTGTATTGATTTGACGGGCGCACAGGACGGCAGATAGGAACGGAAAGCTGGGGTATTAGGCGTACAAACGGTGGTGGTTTCCACATATTCACTTTTATGATAGACATTACGAGCCCTCACTTTCTGTACAACAGGGAATATTGTTGTAAAATTATACGTTCTACTCTTTGAGTGAGTACTTTTAAAACGACTTTTGCTCCATCCAGCGCCTTCCATACACGTAGTTGATATCTGTGCAGTCCTGTAAAACGCTCGCTAATACTGTTGAACTCCGCTGTATACGCCACCCTGCCAGCAGGTACAAACCCCATGCCTTGCTATTTACCATCGACTCTTTCTATGCCTTTCATTTACAATCTATTCCACCTCCGCCCGACCCCCCAAGGCTCTCTATCACTACCCTTCTCGTTTAGTTCTTCTTTCCCCGCTTGGCCTTCGCGCGCTCCTTCTCGCGCTTCTCGTAGATGCCAGCCGTGAACGGATCCTCGAAGCGAAGCGCAACAAGGTAGACAACCAGCACCTCGATCGTCAAGAGCACGCCGGCCGGCTTTCCGTACCAGAGCGCCGTCCCGAGGAAGCTTAGAGTGGAACCGTAGTACATCGGCGCATCGGTAACGTTGAAGGGGAAGCTAGTGACGCGGGAGTCCATCAGGATACCGAAGTAGTCGCCGAGATACGTGCCGGTGAGACCAAGGGCCCACATGCTGGAGATAACGAGAACATTTCCGGCGAGGAAGAGCCCGCCGGCGATGAGCTTGACGAGATCGGTTTCGAGGTCTGGGTGTCCGGGCTGGCTGCGGAGGGCTTGCTCGTAAAGGTAGTCGCGGAAGATGCCAAGAGAGAAGATGGATGCAGCGAGGAGGTAGCAGCCTAGGCGTGCGTTGCCGCCAGCGAGCTTCGTGAGGACCTTGTTATGGTATTCTGCGGGTTATTAGAGAGGAGTTTGCAGGCTGGGAGTGGTGAGGTGGTCGAGGGTGGACGAACCTTGGCGGGCAACCGTGCTGTGCGGGGTTAGCTTTTGGATTCAGGTACAAGAGTGGTATAGGTTCACTTACTTCCAGTATATGGGGTTGAATGCAATGGCAGCTGCGGCGACTATCGGAGTGTCAGTGGCATTTTTTTAACTGACACTGGCATGTGACCAGAGAGCCTAATATTCATGTAAACATACCTGCAAGGCTCTTCTGGTCGAAGTCGACGAAGCCGCTGGCGAGTTTGAGGTATTCGGCCATGTTGACGTGGATAAGGTGACAGGAACTATCGTTGACAAGTTGCAGTTGACGAGGAAAGCTTGAAGACGTGACGGCGGCAGAAGGCGGCCCCGGTTCCTGGGCAAGCTCCCAAGCGAGCTCTATTTGGTGGATACAAATGACGTTAATGAGGCGAGGCTAACCATGAAATGTTACCCGAAAGTCTGGAAAGAGTCGCCTCTATAGCTGAGAATATATAACGGTAATTTAAGTCGATTAAAATTATCCCTTTAACCCTTTTTTACAGTAGCTGGGCCATTTAAAGCTATCCTGAGTGACCGAGAGGCTATATTTTACTTACCGTTGCTATAAACAGTGTCTGTTGTGTGCAGTTCTTGACAGATGAGCCTTGCGCGAGCTCATTTGGATACACCAACTTGGTTCACATATTCAAGGTAGTGCATATTATTTTGATGTTAATTCATTGTAAGCCTCTTCTATTCCATCGAAGCCTATACGCGTTTTCGCCCCCCCGATCCATTTATGAGCACTATCAAGCCAAGCCTGAAGATAGATGAAGGCCGAAAACATGCAAACGTCCCACCCCCCCATTTCGATACACAAACAAGAGTAGAAGGCATTCCCTGGCAATGCCGCTATTAAATTGCGAGGCAGCAGGCCCAGGAAGCGGGTATGAAGATAAGGGTAGAGCAGACCAATAGCAAAAAAGCAATATTGTCCAAACGCCTAGCACGCCTCGAGCATGTACATGACGCCAGACAGATGAGTGAAGGAAATAAGTGGTGCACCGAACCAGGCCAGTGCGAAAAGCAAACACCATTGCATTGCAAAATATTGGGAACCAGCAGGATTGCTCTGGCCCCATCCGAGTAGAGTCGTTTTTCCGTCTACCGTTCGTAATTTTTCTTTCGTGATCCATCCAAAGAGTTCATTTCAGTTGTAGCGAAAACTCAGTTTGAATATGCCAAGCATTGTTTATATTATCTCGTTTATTGAGAAACGGAATCCAAAGGTTGAGAGATTTCGATGCCGAGCTCTTCGGCATGCTTCTTGGACCATTGGCGGGAGTGGATTGATGCTAAGCCGGAGTTAGTAAAATATCAAAGAAGGTTTGAGTGGTGTATATAGTAGACTTACCCTTCATGAACTTCTTGCTGGCATACTTCTTGAAGAACGCCTCGTGTGTGACTGGGCGAGCGAGATAGTCGACCATAAGAATAAAGATTGGCTCAATTTGTTCTTCCGAGTATCCAGCGTAGTGTGCGAGGGTGACATCCCAAGGGCCTTTGTCAAGGATCTTGCGAGCCAAGTACATGGACGAAGCGGCGATCTCGCTAGGAAGATAGCCCATGAAGCGGTGATCAAGGAGACTGATCTCCATGAGGTACTTGCCCAAAGTACGGGTCTCGATATCATAGTTGTCGGCCTTCGAGATACGTCTGAGGAAGTTCATTGGGTTGGGGTAGCTTAGGTCATAGTTGAGGGCTGACAGAACGTAGCGCTCGGCGCTGAGGATCTCGGCTTCCGTGAATCCGTCGTCGGCGACGTGGCGGAAGTTCTGAACGTGAGGCGAGAGGACCTCCTCGTACTTAGAAGCGATGAACATGGCCGTGACCCCAACGAGTTGGAGGCGATCGAGCTGAACCACCTTGGCAGACAAGAAACGATCGAGGATGTTGACAGCAAGGAAGAGAGTTTCCGGCAGAAGGTGGAAACGAGTGTGAACCTCAATCAGCCAGTCGACAAGGATGCCACGCATCTTCCATTCCAAATCTTCCTGGTGCTTCATGTAGACTGGGTTGGGCATGGTTGCAACCTCGAGCTCCTTCAGGTAGTCGAAAATCTCGTGGACGTATTCAGCGACCATCAATGGGTCGTCAATATCCTCGGCATCAAGGTCGAGAGGGAGTTCGGCTTCTGGCTCTTTGATAGCCTCAACCGGAACACTCTCCACCTTGTTTTCACTCATAACCTCAGGAGCAACTCGCTTTTCAACACTGGTGTGGACCTTTTTCCTCGCAGGCTCCTCATCTTCTGTGACGGACTCTTTGATTGAGAGCGAGCTTGTGCTCGAGGTTGTTTGCCTCTTCTTCGTGACACCACCACCAAGGACTCCAGAGCCGCTGGCCGTTCTCTTCAGTTCAACCGTGGATTTTTTGTTGTTATCCTTCGAGCCCAATGCGGTTCTCGTGGAGTTGGTTCGGGACACCTTTTGGATGCCAGTCGGTTGGGCGGCCTTGGACACGAGGCCACTCTTTCCCAAGGGCTTCTTTCCCTCGACAGCTCCGTCACCCTTTGTAACATTGCTGACGTCTCCCAGTGCAGCACGCTTGCGTTGGAGAGGCTGGTTGATTTGGAGACCTGACTTCTTGGATTGAAGTGGCTTCTGGGCAGCGCTGGACAGGTCGTCTACGCTAAGAGCAGCGGCCTTAGCCCTGGTCAGTCTTGTTGTTCCGACATTCTCATCGTTCTCGTTCGTTGCCACTCGGGTTCTGAGTGCTCGGGCCTGTTGGGATTGTGTTAGAGCCTGTGAATGTGTGGAATTTGCATTTGACAACAAACGCGGCAATACTCACTGGAGGCATATTTGAGGATATAGACAAGTATAATGATTGTTTCGAATGTTATATGAAGCTATAATTATATTAGCAACGCGTACAGAAGGCTAAGGCGTGCTGGCTGAAGTAGGCGTAACATTGGTGACAAAGACACCATAAACAACGCGTCTTTGTTGCCAAAACAACTCGTGGAGGATGGGATGCCTTACAGTATTGAAGGAGTCTATGTGTGCATAAACTGTCGAGAATTGTAAGAGTGTTGGGGATAGGAGCGTGGTCGATGTTGACGCTGTGTAGAAAGGACTTGGTAAGAGGCTGCCACGTCTCGGGGACACCGCTACTGAGCGTTAGGATAACTCAGTGCGTCAAAATAGAGTGATCTCGATCATGGACGCGGAGAACAACAAGAATTGGGTGAAATAGAGGTCGTGGAGGTAGAAGTAGAAGGTTTGTTGTTGACGTCGGAGGAGGAATGTAGGAAGAAAGACTACGAAGTACTGACCTGTAGGTGGAGCTTTGCGTCTCCGTGCTTGTTTGTAGGTCTTAGCGCGCGAGTTTCAACGCCAAGAGGAGGTGGGAGGCGACGCGATTTGAGACGAAGTGTCGAGGAGTATCTGGCAAAATAAATCGAGCGTATAATTTCGAGTAGAATAGAAACTATAGTGAGACTTTATAATAAAGAAGTTTTCATGGCCGCATTTTTGTATGTTTTTGGGGATTTATCACGAGTCGGTTTTCGTGGTTTTCGTGTACAGAGCTGTTGCGGGGGAGTATACTTGGGTACTTTCGCTTGAGTTAGTTTCAAGCCGCGAACGATAAACATAGCAACCGCAGGGCAACGACTAGCGTCTCAATTCTTAACGCGCCTGATTGGTCAATTCAATCAACCAATGAGAACCCGTGTGTCTCAATGGAGTTCCGAGCTAAGAAATTCATCAAGACAGCACGGATCGACCCTGGAAGCGACGACCAGGTGCAACTTATCCCCTTCAACCACCATCATTCAAGCAATACTCCCAGAACGGCTGGGACGGATTGCTTAAGATGCTGCAGCCCAGGGTACTGCTGCGGGCGCAGAGGCCGCTATGCCACACCCTCACGTTGCGGCCTCTCCGCCCTCGAACATATGCCACGGCTGTCGAAGAACCAATCCCGGCTGAGTCTCAGCAGACCTTCACAACTACCTCGATCTCGTCGAGTTTTGCGCCTCCGGCTGTTGTCATCGACAGCAATGCCAGCTTTGCTATGCGCACGTACACACCCAGGACTCCGGGTGTGCGTCATTTGAAGCGAGCCATCAACGACCACTTGTGGAAGGGCCGACCGTTTCTCCCATTGACCTTCGCTAAGAAGGGACATGGTAAGGGTGGAAGGAATAACTCTGGACGTGTGACGATCAGGCATCGTGGTGGCGGACACAAGACGAGAATCCGCACAGTGGACTTCGAAAGGATGGTTCCTGGACCTCATATGGTCGAGCGTATCGAGCACGACCCTGGACGGACAGCGCATATTGCGCTGCTGAACGAGGAGGCTACTGGCAAGAAGAGTTACATTGTTGCTCCTGAGGGGATGAGAGCAGGAGATGTCGTACAGAGCTACCGCGCTGGCATCCCGAAGGACTTGCTTGATAGCATGGGAGGAGTGGTCGATCCCGGTGTGTTGGCAGCTAAGACCGCATGGAGAGGAAACTGTCTGCCATTGCACATGATTCCCATGGGAAGCATTGTCTACAACGTCGGCTCCGCTAAGGGCCGTGGAGCAGTCTTCTGCAGAAGTGCAGGCACATACGCCGTGGTCATCAGCAAAGATGATGCTACGACCAAGGGCGGCGAGAAGCATGTCACGGTCAAGCTACAGAGTGGTGAAGTCCGCAAAGTCAGCAGGGAAGCATGCGCAACGATTGGTGTCGCTAGCAACCCCCATTACCAGCACGAGCAGCTCGGAAAGGCTGGCCGAAAGCGCTGGCTCAACATCAGGCCCACCGTCCGTGGTCTTGCCATGAACGCCTGTAAGTTATCCATTTGCTGGTCCCGAAGCCCTCATTTCTAACAATAATATAGGCGACCATCCTCACGGAGGTGGTAGAGGTAAATCGAAGGGTAACGTCGATCCCGTCAGCCCGTGGGGTATGCCGGTAAGTTCTATCACATAACTATACCGCAAAGCAAATATCTAACTTCAATCTAGGCGAAAGGAGGATACAAGACGCGCCAGGTCCGCAAACCCAACAAGTGGGTTGTCACACCCCGTGTGCGTAACGGCGGCAAGCGTAGAGCCAAGTAGAGAGACACTACCTTGGGGATACGTAGGAGAAGCGTTTTGTTTGAATGGCGACGGTGTGTAAGACGGATGAGCGGAGCAGGAAAGCAACTGTACTTGTACTACTATATGCATATATGCGCCGAGAGGAGGCGCAACCCCGAGATACTTCCTAGTACTCGGCGTGTCCGTATCTCGGTGAGCATATCGGCGTTAGTCCTCTCCCTGTAGTATAGAATGGCTCGTTTGGAGGAGCTAGCTGGATCTAGGCGCGGGATCTCCAGAATGGGGACTGAGCCGAATCTCTTGTATAGATAGAAGCGGGGAATATATACATATGTTAAATTATTTTACGTACCACCTGCAAGCTTACTATCTTGGTCTGTTAGGTGCTTTTCGTCTGCCTGATGTTCTGGGAAGTAATATTGGCGGGCAACCTCGGGGCTCGGGGCAGGTAGCTGCATTGCTTACACGAAGATATTGCTGGGGATTGGTCTTGGCGGAAATGGTGCTCGCGCGACGGAAAAATCTGTGAGGTGGGAAACACATCATAATCAGCTAGAGGTTGGGAATAGCTGCTAAAGCTCATTGCGGGGTTGGTTGTTCATAGTATCTATGAATGAAACAGAGGCTTTCAATCACTTAGGGATGTAACTATCATATCAAGACTGTTCAATAAGCCTGGTTCTCACATATCAAGGCTAAGGAAGGAAATGCATCAGTTTTTATTCCCATATGAATTCTTATCTATACATATTCCCTCGGGCTTCAAGACCGCACGAGCATGCAGGACCTCCACAGCTGTCCACTACCATTGAAGGAGCCCAAATACTCCAGTTGCATCCGCAACAAACGCTTTTGGTAGTCCCATTTCACAACAATAAAAACGGATCCCTCGCCATTTATGTCTTCTCTCCTCTCACCCTCCTCTACCTTCCAATCTACCTCGGGCAAGAGCCCGCGTAGTTACCGGTCTTGCACACAGACGTACTGCCATAATTACAGCACGCCCCGCTGGGACCGCACTCGAAGCTATCGCGCGTATAAAACCCGCCTGTCCCAGACTCAATCACGGCCTTGCACAGTCCGCAGTACACGCCCTGCGGCGTGTTTTTAGCGCACTTGCAGCCGTTCTTTTCACAATCGCGTTTCTCTAAGCCGAGGCTTCGAGTGTCGAAGCCACGGTTCTTAAGGTCCTGGTCGCGCTTGATCTTAGCCTCGACATCGTGGGCTAGGTGGAGAGTCAGTGGGTGTTTTAAGGTGGAAGCGGGAAGGGGGAAGTACGGGAATCGTCGACTATAGCAGAGGCCACAGCGAGGAGGGGCGCAAATAGGAGAGCGACCTTGATGAGCTGCATGGTGACTGAATTGATGTCGTAGAGGCTATCTTAAGGAGGAAATTCAGCCACCTTTGGAAAGATTTGATTGCGTTGAAGCGCCCAGTGAAGCAGTTGCAACAAAGAGTAAGAGAGAAGCTCTCCTCGCGGGGACCATCTTCCTTTTCTCCACACGACAGCAGCCCTACCCACTATGTCTGTCTCTCATCAAGGGAGACAGCGATCGCCGACTGCCAAGGAATGGCTGTGCATGACCTGCGCCATACGGAAAGGGGTTTTAGACCCCCCGCCCTCCAATGGCATGCCTCATTGGATGGTGAGCGAAATAGGCATCAATTCTCAACGACGCTTAGATCGTCAAATCGAGAAACGGCACAGAAATACCACGCTGTACCAACCATTGATCATTTTTGAGACGACTTCGAGAGAGCCATGCTCGTGTCAGTGGGTGGTCGACACAGTGGATTGGATTTGGTTTGTGAGCTTGTGAGGGAGTAGGCGGTTTGGGGCAGGTGGATGGCAGCTGGTGTGTTCGGGGTGTAGGGATGATATTATTTGTCTTGGACTATTAGAATTATAGATGGCCAGCCCGTGCTTTGAGAAGTCTAGAATATGGTGGCGAAGCTAGTCTCAGGTATCGGAGAGGTTACTAACTGTCGGTGGAAGAGGTGTGGCTGATGCGGGGCTGAGAGAACGTCTGGAAGAGTATAATTGATAGAGGCACATAACTTAATAGGTTACGCGAATGGTTTTCAAAACTCGGCGGCCCTTTAAGTAAATAAAATACGTCCTGACTGTACTCCATTTATAACATGAGATGGCAGGAAGGCTGCTGAAAACGGTTCCTTTCGATGTTGTTTTATGACAGCCCTGCCAAGCAGCATAGCCACTAGAGTACGGTCCGCGCCGGGGCTGCCCCGCGCCGTTAGTGTGGCGGTGCACGAATCCTACTATCATACATATCTCAGCCTTTGCCTTGATGTAAAAAAAATACGCTCAAACACACTGATCGTGGGGATCCGATGGAACATATCGATGGTTCATTTGGTTTGTAACTCCTATTTATAACTTGGTATTCAGTCTAACACCCTCAAGGCCTCGCCAGCCTCCTGACGGAGGTGGCCAACACAACGTTCGCCAACGCAACGTTCACCAATGCCGCCGCCCTTTCTACCACTGCCTGCCCCGATGACAGCAAAGTACCATGGCAGTCAGCACTTTGGGCGATCCTAGCCCTTGCCCTTAACGCCATGACGCAGCCCTCAAGCGCTGACCCCTCCCCAACTCCCGCCATCTCCTTCGTCCGCTCCTCCCCTGTCATTTGCTTTATAGACGCTGTCTCCATTCCCATATGGCTTGCCGTAGGATGTTACTATGGCGAGTCCACCACCAACTCACTCACCTCCAAACGACTAGCCACACGCCCCAACCGCACGCCCGCCAGCGCCCCGATCTTTTCCGCTACCACCAGCGCCGTCTTCTTCATTCTCGGTCCCCTTCCCCAAGCCATTAAGCTAGCCGGCATGTCCGGCGTCTCCTTTACCAAATTTATTGGCTTCATCTTCCTCGTTGCCTACCTCCTTGGCGTCTACGAAGCCGACGCCGCCCACCGCGCCTCGCGACGCCATACCGAGAAACCCTGGCTCTCATTCGCCGTGAAAGCACAACGCATCCCGGAGACCGTGCGCATCCGTCTCGCCTGGCTCGACGAGGTATTGCGCTATTACATTTTCTTCGTTCACTTCTCCTTATGGGTGGTAGTCGCGCACATGGTGGTTTATCCGAGCACGAATGCCGGTAAGGTGGCCGCAGATCGACTTGAGGAGTCGGTTATATTGCTTACCTACCAGCTACCAATTGTGTTTATTGCCGTGCCAGCGGGGCTGTGGGGAAAAAGACATTTAGGAAAGTGGCTGCACGAACGGTTTTCTGGGAGTGTCGGGCCTCAGAGGATGAGGAAGGTGGTCCATGCGGGTCTTCTATATGGACCCGCGGTGCTTTCAGGCTTCTCAGCCTTCGCACTGTCGATTTTCTTGTTCCAGCTCCTCAAAAATTACGCTAGGTCCAAGCAGGAGGTTCGCTTGGGCTGGAAGGCGTATGCCGATACAAAAGATTCGTTCGTAAAACTCTCGGGGTTCATACTCGTGCTGTTTGTCCTCGCCGTTTGCATTCCTCTCCTCTCCTTCGGACTCTACTTCGCCAAAATGTTCCTTGACCTACTCATGGAGCCAGAGCCTGAAATTAACAAGCCGAAGCTGGAAAAGGAGGCGGATGACGAGGAAGACGCGGTTACGACGGTTTATAATATAGCAGTGCTGGGGTTTGCATTGTCTAATCTGTTCTTTGCGATTTTGTTTTACGCCCATGGCTATGTTGCGGAGGGGACGTCAAAGCCAGGGTGGAGTGAAATGTTGGGCTGACCGTTGAATATTTATGATAATGAGAGAAGAATATACAGAGAGAGATAGATATAGAAAGGCCTTACCCACAGTCTAAACTAGTGCCGCCTAAAATCACAAGGATAGGGTTATTCTACCAGGAATCCTTCAAAGCATTAAATTAAAGCAATATAGTTGTCTACGCCTCCTTGCCCACACTGACTTGCTCTACTACTCTCTCATCCTCAGATATACTCCCTAACTTCTCTAGCTGATCAAACTTCTGCACAACCTGCAATGTGGCATAATACGCGAATGGCAGCGCAATAAACCAAAACGCGAAGTTGATACTCGCCGTGGCTATCAACGCCGTCGGCACCGCCTGCACTCCGAACCCCACCGCAACCGCCGCCGTCTCAATCCCCCTCAGCAGAGAGCTGTACCGGATTTGGTCACCAGGAGAATCAGACAAGTTGCTAATACACCAGTAGATGTAATTCTCCACCATGCCGAGACTGATTCGCTCAAACATATACAACCCGAAGCCGCGCCCGAAAGAGCTCTGATCCCCCCAATCTAGCGTCGGCTTGGTGTGACGGTACTCATTTTGGATGTACACGGCCCAGATCCAGGTCGCGCTGTTGAGCAGCGCAATTAACACGAATGCCGTTATGGCCCGTGTCTGCCGCCGTTTTGCCCACGGTAGGTCCACGATCGAGCCGCTCACCCAGGTAGCTATCGTCCCGACGACGGCGGAGAGGAAGCTTGCTAGAGCGCGCGAGCGTACTGTGAAGTATGTCGCGAGATACGTGCCGGGGTAGGCTTGGATCCAACCATAGTACCAGAACAGCGGGAATAGGAGCAATATCGGCTTGCTGCGGAGTAAGCGCCACATCTCCTTCCCTTCGTCCCTCCACGCTGTTCCCCGTTTGGCCTCGATGCGAGTCCCGTCATCGCGCTGCACCTTCTCTGGATTCGATAGTAGCAGGCCGAAGAAAAAGCCTAGGCACTGAATGGCGATGAAGCCGAGGTAGGTTTCATAACCAATCTTACCGCGGTGGTCTGCCTTGTGGTTGATAGCGAGGGAGATGGCTCCCCCGATGATATTCCCAAAATTCCGGAACGTGAACCACGTCGCGATATACCGCCCGCGCTTTCCCTGCTCCGGATACCCCGTAGCGATGGCTCCCTCCACGCTCCAGAAGAATCCTGCACTCAGCCCGCACGCAACAGCGCCAACATACACGAACCACGTCGACCCGAAACGGTTATTAACATATAACCCTGCAGCGTAAAGGGGGTAGCCGAGAGAGCCGATTGCGAGCGTCCAGCGGAACCCGATTATGTTAGTGAGCCACGGCCCGGCGAAGCAGGTTACTGTCATAAAGGCATAGAGTAAGGCATTGGCGGCGTTAACCAGGTCTGGGCTTTGAGAACCACCCACACCGAGGCCGTTCATGGCGCTCCATATTCCGGGGGCGCTGAATGCGCAAATACCCACGACGAGGATTTGAAAGAGAGTGCTGCGAAAGAATGGGGGCTTCTGCCGGACCGGTGGTGGTATGGGACCCGTCGCGGTCGTAGGGGAGCTCTCTTCGAGCTCCCCCTGCTTGACACTAGACGACGTTGACATATTGCGTCGAGGACTAGGGCGCAAGAGGTGGATTGGAGGTTATATGAGGAATGTGGTGCAGCACACTGCACTTTAAACGGCGCAATAAATCCATTGTGGTACTACATCGTTTCTTATGTATGTCTTGAACAGTTCGTGATGATCTGTGGACCTGGGCTCTGTAGATCTGTGAGACGTGCATCCGATAAGCACGCAATATGAGACATCATAAACGTGACAGCCACGATTCCGAGAAGTCCTTCTGCCCCATGTAACATCGGCCGCGTTTCTTTGCCAATAGTACGATGATGGTTAGTGTCATTATTTCCTGTTTTAGGAAACAATTATATGTATTTTTTTGCTTTTTGTCTGTTAGGTAGTTGCAAAGTCGACTGGCTGGTAGGGATCTGGATGATCTATGTCGCGTGCAAGACCCAGAACCATGTGTTAAAGACCGAGCTCACTTAACTACTCCAGACTCCAGACTACAGTAGGCAATGTGGCTAAAAAAGGGTTATGTTAAGATTTTAGTCTTCAATTGCCATATTAATTGCCGTACTCAAAGCGTACTCTACGCTACTGTGCTACTGCAGACTACTTTATGTCGTGACCCTGTTCCCCGGGAAACTCGGCAACAGCTTCACATATCACGATATTACTTCAACATACAGTGGCGGGGATCTAGAGGCGTTCATTCCGTGCTTTTAGCACATATGAGAGAATACCAGCCGTCTGGGCCCCATGGGTTGACTGTGCGCATGGATTATGATAACATTGGAGATAAAAAACATGGCGATATCCCCCTCTTTGTGGCGGGGTAAGCAGAAGATTAAGTCCACAACATCTGGAAATTATATCACTTTCTTCTGAATAAGACTGCACTATCTGTGTCATCATGGCGACTACAGTTGAGCAGCTCGGGATCAACTCTCTCAAGCTAGACGGCGCTCCCTCGCCGTCGCTTGTATTCGAGCCGTTTGACCTACCGTCGACTAACCAGCGTACACTTGGCGCCCCTTACCCCGCCAACACTGTTACCCCACTCGCTTTAAGGCCATCCGTGCATGACAATGCTGAGGTTGAGCTCGACACAGTTGTAGAGACCATAAAGTCTCTCCAGGCACAGGATGGTATCCTCTCCAAGAAGCTTGCCCTCCACGGCACTCTCCTCTTTCGGGGACTCCCGATTCGCAGTGCGGCCGACTTCAGCAAGTTCGCCCACGCTTTTGGTTATAAGCCGCACGAGATCATCGGAATTGTCGTCGATAGGCAACTACTCGCACCTAATGTAGCACCCGCAAACGAGGCACCTAAAGAGGTGCTAATCTATAATCACAACGAGTCACCGCAGGTTCCGCACGCGCCAGAGTACATTTTCTTCTACAGCCAGAAGGCACCCGAAAAAGGCGGCGAGACACCCATATCCTCATCGCTCGAGCTCTTCTACCGCGCGCAGCAGGAGATCCCCGAGTTCATCGCCGAGCTCGCTGAGAAAGGCATCCTAAGCAGGGTCGTTTACAAAGAGGGCAAGCAGTACGAGGGCGGCTCGACACTGCAACAGGCATTCGGGAAAGAAATCCAAGACGACGACGATGCGGCCACACGGCGCTCCAAGATCGAGGCCCAGATCGCGCGCTATGGTCGGGGCAAGTACACGACGTGGGAATGGACAGACGACGACGGCCTTGTGCTCACTCACCGACTCCCGGGGATCCGCACCCAGCGTGGCACGAACTTACCGACTCTGTTCACGGGACTGGCGGCGTACTACCGCAACTCGCAGGTGAACAGCGGGGCGAGGCGTACCGTCACGCAGCAGCTGTTTGGCGATGGTTCGCCCATTCCGGAGAAGTTCCTGGCGCGCCTGGCGGAAATCACGGATGAGATCCGGGTGCTGCATAAGTGGCAGCAAGGCGATGTGCTTGTCTATGATAATGTCGTTTCGCAGCATGGGAGGCAGCCGTGGGAAGGGGAGCAGGCCGATCGGGTGGTGCTTGCGAGTTTGTTTGATGGAGATGATGTGCCTGGCGCGTATGGCTTTGGCGAGTGGGCACAGGTTGTCCAAGCACTTGATTTATAGTCTGTAGCTTTCTATAGCTAGGTATTTTAGTGTTGTTGGACGAGTTTAGTATTTTATGAGGGGAAACCAGCCCCCCTGTTTTCAGCCAAATAGCTGCTTTATTAACTAGCCATGCAACACCTCAACTTTACAATACCGTTCTTAATGTCCGTTATCCATTTCAACCTCTCAATCTTTAAGGGATAGACTCGTCTGCCCACATTCCAAGGCACTAGCAACATGTCCATGGATCGCACCTAGCCAAAACTCTCCATCCAGATGTCTGGTGCGCCAGGTTCGGGAAAGAGCACCATAGCAAGACTGCTCGGTCAATCTATCGGCGGAGTAGTCATCGACCACGACGTCCTTAGATCCACTCTTCTTGAATCCGATCTTCAGTTCGGCCCGGCAGCGAGGTCTGCCTACGAGCTCCAGTGGGCGCTAGCACAAGACGTCATGACGCAAGGTCTTAGCGTTATCACTGACAGCACCTGCAACTTCCAAACCGTTCTCGACCGAGGAACGGAACTGGCCAAGGAATAGGGCTATAATTACTGGTATGTCGAGTGCCAGGTCCGAGATATTGATCTATTGGACCGGCGGCTGCGCTCCCGAGTCTCGATGACGAGTCAACGAACTGGTGTTGAATGTCCTCCCGCTGCTGCTGTGGCTGTAAATGGAATTGGTGAAAGCGAAGACTCGCGCACAATCTTCAAGAGGTGGATTGAGAATCCATGTCGTCCAGAGGACAGTAATATTGTCATTATAGAGTCAACAGGAAAATCCAGAGATGCTATGAGACCATATTCTAAAAATGATTGCCAGCTACCTAAGGGGCCCAGGTGCAAGATGGCAAGAACGACATGTAGCTTAACCTAATACTTTAAACATCGCTTACTTGATACAACACCCGTGCCGTCATTAAGTTAAGGGAAGTTGCAGCTAGCTTTATGTAACAATAGACTAAAAAAGCCTGACCTTCTAGGACAACTACATTGTCTGAAGAGACTGATGGAATTTAGAACTTGGGTGTAGTGAGATTGAGCAGGCGGTTTGGACTCCGAAAATTCATGTATATTTAAGGAGATAGCCAAACTATATTTCAGTCAAATAGTGATGGATAAGAGAGATGTTTGACTAGTTACAGCAGATTGAATGTGGTAATTATTGTTGTCGTCAGCGGCTGGCGGGCAGAAATTGAGGTGTCGTGCATGGAAGACCCCTAATCTACAAACAGACGGCCTTGTTATAGAATGACATAACCCATCTGAAACTTTAGGGACTTTGGGTATGCAGCTTAGTAACCAAATCTATTGGTCTTACCACTATATCGCAGATCAGATCGAAGTACTTTGCCAAGGCTAGGGCCGATATAGCTCTGGACCGCCGAGATTCTTGCGATCTAGAGTTGTCTCGGCCCCTCTGCCAGAGATATATCCCTCTGTAGGCTAGCTGGACCATGATACTCAAGTCGAGGCCACTCAAGTGAAGCCGCTCAGGTTTACGCCTTCATGACGTGCCGTCGGTATAGGGGATATTACCAGAGTTTGGTTCACGTTCCTTCCGGATTGCCTCATAGTTACTATAGCTTCCAAGCAACCTCACATGAGAATGGATGTTACCATGGACGAATTGCTGCCACGAATGACAAGTCGGCCACAGCTATCTCTAATCGCCGATGTGCAAATGGAGTTTAACCTCAGCTCGCCATAATCCAAGATGACGTTGCCTGAAAGGAGCTTCAACTGGATGTAACCAGCCCTGCTGTCAGTATAAAGGGTCAAACAGCCTGTCAACAGTCGTTATATTCTCCAACGTACATGTAACAGTACTACATGACACCGTCGCTATCACGATGAACCCGTTTTCCTCCCGACGCTCGAGCGGCGTCAACGCCAACGTCTCCTCCCCGAGAAGAAAGCATAAAGACCAGCTAGGCATGCTCGGTCTCGCCGACAACACGCGCAACAACACCGTCGCCGTGATCGGCGAGTTCGTCGGCACCTTCCTCTTCCTCTTCTGGTCCTTTGTCGGCGCCCAGATCTCCAACACGCCCAAGCCTCAAGATGGCGCCCCCCCTAATACATCGAACTTGCTATTTGTGTCGCTGTGTTTTGGCTTCTCCTTGACGGTGAATGTCTGGGCGTTTTATCGGATCACGGGTGGGTTATTTAACCCTTCGGTATGTGTTGCCTTCTCTGAAACCACGTGCTGGGCTGAGCTGACATTAAAAAGGTGACGCTTGCTTTGTTCCTCGTTGGGGGGCTGCCGGCTGTGAGAGCACTTCTCGTCTTCGTTGCTCAGCTACTTGGAGGGATCTGTGCTGCGGCGGTGGTGTCTGCCCTCTTCCCGGGACCACTCACTGTGGAAACATTGTTGGGCGGAGGAACGTCGATATCCCAGGGGCTGTTCATCGAGATGTTCCTGACGGCGCAGCTGGTGTTTGTGATCATCATGCTCGCAGTGGTCAAGCACAAATCGACGTTCCTTGCCCCTGTTGGAATCGGTCTCGCTTTCTTCTTGACTGAACTTTGTGGTTTGTACCAGCCCAACCATGTTCAAGTGACGTCTGTCTAACGTGTAATAACAGGCATCTACTTCACTGGAGGTTCTCTCAATTTTGCCCGCTCCCTTGGCCCGGCAGTCGTGAACCGCCACTTCCCAGGCTACTTCTGGATCTACTTCGTCGGCCCGCTTCTCGGTTCCCTCCTCGCAGCGGGCTTCTATAAACTGCTGAACGGCATGCGCTACCAGACCTGCAACCCCGGCCAGGACTTATGCGAAGAGGAGGTACCACAGCAGAGCGGTACCATTCCTGGCCATTATGAGAACGGAAACCCCCCACTTAAGCACGCGCGGAATGTCTCTGGGGCCACCGCGGTGGATCATGACGAGCGAACTGGTGGCCAAACAATTCCGGTGCAGAATGACAACTATGCCAATACGGAGTTGCGCCAGGATGGGATTTCGCCTCTTGGAAGCAGCACCTATACGACTCCCGCATACAACGGCAGCGCACCTGTCGTGCAGGCCGGGCAGGCCGGGTATGCGGCTAGGGAGTACGTGTAATGGTAGGCTTTTGAGGCGAGCCATTTGAGAAGACCCTTAGAGGTGGCGAGGAGAAGTTGAGAGAGGGCGTGCAGCGGTGGAACGTATGGTCGAGCGACAGCTATCAGGCTGTCTTATTTAGCATACCGTGTATTCCCGCTATTAGCATTATTGAGTGTAGAAATAAAGTCAATCCTAAGCTTGTGTCTGGCATAGCGGATGGGATACCCAATCGTCTTGAGTCTGTGATGTAGAGCCGGTGAAGCACCATTATTTCAACCCATCTTCCCTGCGCCTCTCCAACTTCACCATGTACTCTGACTCCATGAGCTGCTCCGCTGTCAACCTCGAGGCAGGTTCAAAAGCCATCATACCCCTCAGTAACTCGTCCAAAGCCCGCATCTCACCCTCTTTCACATCCCACTGACATGACTCAGGCGCCTCACCACATCCCATGTCCCACATACGCTGGTTAAGAGGTCGGAACACAGGCGTGTAGATCCTTTTCATATCACGGACCCAGGAGCCGTCCAGCTCGAAGAATTCCTTACGATTCTCCCATGCGTCCCACCAGCGAGCAGGCGGCGAGCCAAGCGTACTTACCATTTCTGCTATTGTATCATCTCGGTCCCAGCCGAATGTTTCAAAGTGAGCCCGTTCACCGAGGACTTCGTAGAGATTGACGGCGAGTGTCCAGATGTCGACAGCTTGGGTAATGGGTTCGTTGAAGAAATCTTCGGGGGGGAGGTAGAGAGCAGGTGTATGGAGCTTGGGCGATGGCTCGGTGGCAACTGCGAATGAGGTTCCATAGTCGGATATCCTAACGATTGGGTCCACGAGCTTGTCGGCGGACATCTTGATGTGCACTGGGTAAACAGCATATGGCGGTGCGTGAGGTTCAACTGCCGCGCCATCAACCCTCGTGACGGGAGCCTTGTCTAGGCGGTAACGATTGTAGAGCTCGTCAGGGCTGAGGCTGTCTAAACCTGGACCGCGCAGAAGGAAGTTTCGCGTGTGGAGATCTAAATAATGTGAGAACTAGCAGTCATGAAACTTGCGGCGAACGAAAGGAATTTAAACCCTACCACCATGACACACTCCACGGGAGTGCAGATATGAAACTCCCATAATAAGTTGAGTGGCAATGGATCTTGTAGTTTCAGTAGGAAACATAAAGTTTACCGAGTCCTCCTTAGACGCTGCAATACTGCAGCCAGCAGGTTCTTGCACGAGGCAATCGTGGCGTCCGTTAGGTTCATCGAATGAGAGCTCGTCGAGTAAACGTGGAGTGAACCGCTGCCCTGGGTGCATCGAGTTACCGCCACAGATCATCCGTAGAATACTGCCTTCAGTGCTTTTTAAGGACTCATCGGCAACTAGGATCTTCAACGAGTCATAACGTTCTAGATGCTTGTCACGGGCCAGCCAAATCGTTGAATAACCACCGAACCCAAGCTTGTGGACAACCTCATATCGGCCATCGTGGAAATGGTCACCGATGACGGTGGGATGTTAGCCGCCAATGGTGTAATCTTCAAAGTCTTCTAGGTCGACCTCCCGGATATAGACATCCTCGTATGGTGGGGAGGCAGTGCTAGCGATGGAGTAACACCGACGATTGGGGGATCCATTCTGGCCAAGAGAAAACGAACGCGTCGAGTGAAATATGTGTGACGGAGCTTTCCAAGAACGATATTGCGAGGACGATCTTAATCGACTGCAAGCTACTACTGGTATAGAGTAAATTGAACGCTGCCTGCAGACGACTCTCATAGTTAACCCAATACACATCAAGGTGGGCGGGGATGATGACACAGGGTAGAATACATACTCGAACTCTATATGGATAGTAAGACACCATATCTAGCGCATGGACTCGATATGTGCCACGGGATTGTTAGGTGGGGTTCCAGGAGACGCTTCGTGTTGTAAATGAACGCGTGCGGAAGGCTACGGCCATGATAGGGGCGAGAAGATAATATATATTGGCATGGTTTTCATAGAAGACAGACTACTTTGTTTCTATCTCCCCAGTAAGTCTCTCATGCTGCAAATATACTTGTTAGTAGTCCGAAATCCGTTAACGCCCTTTCCTTTTTGCTATATTTTTAATTAATATGATAATTATAGTATTCAATAATTGAGATCCTTTATTTTAATTATAATTAATACAATAACTACTCTTCAGACTCTTAAACGACTCCAGTATCCCAACTAAGATTAATGCCGAAAGCAACCGCAAGTATCCTCTAAACCACCGGACAACGGAGCGGAAGTGTTCCCCAGTACTTGCCTTTCTCTGTTCCGTCCCATAATTTTGGGAAAGCGGGATACGAGGGGTGGCGTATAGAGCGGCGTCGGGCAACGGATGTGGTGGAGTGGGCGGGAAGCTTGACCTTGATTTGGTGTGGAGGACGTGGAAGTGGGCGAGGATGGCGATGACAATTAGGGGGGAGTGGCGGCTGTGGTGCAAGAAGGACCCAGACCATAGGATTCTAAGGCAGCGTTGCGCACGGGAGAATGAGGGGGTTTCCACCCAAGGAAAGGGGAGTGTGTATTCCCTTGCTGCTGTGTGGTGGAAGTCAAGGAAGGTACCTGCGTTACCATAACTTGGTAACAACCCCCCTTTTCAGCCAATAACCACAGAAATAGCCTATTTCGCAGGCTGGCATCCCACTCTCCCTACAACCTTAAATATTAGACATTAGCATCTTAAATTCGTCCAAGCTCGCACTCCTCGATAGTCTCCAGGCCAAAGAAGACCGGAGTGCTTTGTTTTTCGTAGCAGATATATATTTTCCAATTTAAAGGGGTTGGATGCGAGGAGTACCACCAGTGCCCTGTTTCCATGAAAGGCATGGCGAGCTGCTTGTGGACGGCACTGGATGCCGCATGGCTGCGTCGTAACTGTGTTCCAATGTGGAACATGGCGCTCCAACCTTGACAGACTGGTTTCACGACGATGCAGTGCAATCCTTATACGAGGTCTCAGACACGCTGTGGAGCAAGACTGTGCATCCCATTAGTGCCCGGGTCGTGCGATGTGCGGCGTTTGGCTTGGTGGTTCTCCCTGGCTCCTTGCGAGTCTGCCTTACCTAAGATTAGCTTGCAGGGAAAGGGGGCGATCCATGAAGCGCTTGGATATAGCTCACGCGTGACCACGTGATATCGCACTTTATGGGAACTGAACTTTCAGACCATTTGGACGATTCGGATTCGGTCAGGATAGAGTCCATGATGGTTGGATCACTGAGAGTAATCTTCATGTGTGAAGGCAGCCGGCATACCCTCAAAGGTGATATGCCGAGGTCGTCGGTGAGTCAATCGGTGTAGGCCGAACGTTATGGCTGAGCAGAGCTGAAGTTCTGGACGCGACAGATAGCCAGTTGCAACCGCAGTTTAGACAAGGAAACGTTGACTATACCAGGATGATGTCTGCAGATGCCCATGTGCAGAAATTTGTAATGGACATGAGTGATGGAGATGGAAACGGATAGGCGCAGTGGAGTAAGGGTAAAGAGGTCCATCTGGCGGTCAAGCGGGGAGGAAACACCAGCATATCGGCCCTTAGCAAGTATCTCAACCGCGGTCAGCCTCGCGAACTGTGAGAAACAGCATGGAATGACCAATTGGCGTCCGCTGCCCCTCTCCCACCTCGGCGGGCACAAATCTGGCCTGCGAGGGCCCGAGTAAGCATATCCAGGATCGTCATCAGGTCGGTGCCTACACAACCCACTTGCGAACGAGTCCCATACCCGTTTGGGCGCGAGGAAGCCCTGCGTCCGCGGCGCCGCCATGCGATTCTGGGTGTTCGGGTCGCGGATTGCTGCGATGTTTGGATAGGACCTGGTTGGGGTTGCATGTCAGCGGCGGCGGAATACTCTACCGACTCGCTTGGCGCCGTGTTTGACAGGAGGGAGGAAGGGATGAGTGTATGGGTGTCGGAGGCTTGGGGACGGCGACACGCGAGGTTTGCTGGGATGCGCAGGGCTGATGCAGCACCCGCGAAGTGAGAGTGCAGATGAAATTGATTGATGGGTTCTGTGATGGGGTGGTTGGACGACGTGTATCGTAGGTTGCCGTTGCATCGTTGCATCGTCCCCACACATCCATTCCCACTCTTCCGCGGCTTGTACTACTGTACACAGAACTAATCGTTCAGTAACCACGGTTTGGGCGAGACATTTGCCGTCCGAGGTGGGCCTGCTCTCGAAGAGCCCGTTTGTGCTTTCTTTCTCCCGTTTGCAACGGCGGCGGCACGCGATACATCTAATCTCTTGGGGGCGGCGGGAACGTACGGACGTAAACTGTTCCGTGCATGGATTCTGGATTATTCAGCGACGCTTGTCGTCGCAACCCAGACTCGTAAGACCACGACAGGCATGCATAGGTGTACGCAAGTACAGTACACGCAGAACACGCGCTCCAGTTCTCGACCTTACCAGTGATGCTGGCAATCTAGCTCTTGGTCGCTCGACGCTGAGGCGTCCTGGCCAACAAAGCCTGTCTATAGATATTCAAATACTCTCTGAGTAGGTGAAGAGCGCTTGGAAAGGGAAGCGATCGCCGTTGAGCTTGAATCTGCGCCCACGCGCGTGGCTGTGTGAGGGCTTGCTTGGGACATGAAGCATGAGCTGTGGGCGTAGCATGTATGCGAACTTTAAAGTGACTTCTTTCCAGTGAACAGTCAGCGACAGTGACACCTCCCTCCCCCAAACTCAATTTCAACCACAGGGAGTTTACTTAACTGGATTGTGATGCGCCCCTCCCCCACGCAGAAACCACGCCACTGCATCTGTAGTGACCCTCTGTGGTGTGTTGGTGGTCCCCTATGGGACCTATGGCCCCTAAGATCCCCTACCCCAGCCAATTGATTTGGGTTTTGTTAGAGCGAGAAGCCTTGTGTGAAAGGGGCGGAGCCTAATACCCTACCGTGGCTCCGCTCACTCAGTCGCCCTTGGCTCCATCCCCATCCCTGGCTTTTCTAGTCACAATGGAGTAGTTGTAGTAGTTTGTGCAGTAGTTGCAGTACTAAAGTAAGTAAGTAAGAGTACTTTAGCAATGAAAGAGGTGAGTTGAGGCCTGTATATATGCAGGACTCTTTCTATGACTTTTGTTGTACTATAATATATGCCTTTTGTATGGTTAATGCCTGCTTAATGCCTACTCGGATGTACCTCGCTTCTACCAGACACCGTTAGACAGGTGGGCTTCGGTTGGCGTCTCTATTTTGAGTATCGTGCGAAGATCATCAGCTCAACCACATCACCCTGTTGACTTCGGCCCTACGAGAGCGTAGACTTTAATACTTTAAACTGGCCTTCATGCCGCCTTCCTTCCAGCCCTCCATCCACCGAGAATCATCACCACCGTAAAGGAATCGTGCTGGTTACGTTCTCTACCGGCCGTTTCCCGTTCCACGACACTCTCGAAACCCTCGAAACCGCTGTGCGCCCTTCCGTGGTCGCTCATACATCACCCTCGCTACCTATAATCTCCGACTCCGTTGGGGTTGAAGGAATTCCCCAACCAACGAACCATAAATCCTCACCGGCGAGCATATTACAGACACTGGCCGCCCCCATTCATACACTCGAGTTCGCAGATGCACTGTCTTGGGGTCGCCGGCGCAGTACAGACCGAATCCCGCTCATAGACAGTCCCAGGGACAGACCCCCACCACAGCAATCGAACACCGACCTCCTCAACACATAGCCATCACCATCACTGACAATGTCCTCGTCGAACACCTCCCCCGACACCTACTCCAACCCTACCTTCGACTCTATTAATACGACCACGGCCGGACAGTCGACGCACAAGCGGCGCAGAAGCACCGACGACCCAACCTCTCCCAAGGGGGACAACACAGGCAGCGGCACTCCCTCCATAAAGCGGATAGCATGTGTAATATGCAGGAAGAGAAAGCTTAAGTGCGATGGCAGCAAGCCCAGCTGCTCGACCTGCAAGCGCCTCCACCACGACTGCGCCTACGACGAGGTCCGGCGCAAGAGCGGTCCAAAACGCGGATATGTGAAGGCCCTCGAGGAGCGACTGAGTATGCCCCCTGGCCATATAGACCCTACCTATCTAACTTCCTACTTTAGAGCAAGTCGAGGAATTGCTTAAGACACGGGACCCCTCAGCAGCGAAGAGCCCGGACCTAGCACGCCCAACTTTCCCCCCCGCGAACACCCATACGAGCACGCGGGCCATGCTTGCGACAGCAAACGCAGATTTCGGTGTCAACAACCCAGATATCGCTGTTGTCAACGACCGAGACCACGAGCGCTGGCACTTTCCCGGCGACTCGCCGCAGCCGGGCATGGAGGAACTCGCTTTTGACCCGAACTTGAATATGGGGGGGATGACAATGGACCCAACGTTTACATGGGAGATGATTGGATTGGGCCTTGATGAGCCGCTTCCACCGCAGGAGACGATTGATGAGTTGCACCAGATTTATTTCGAAAAGATACACCCTTCTGTGCCAATGATACATAAGTATCGTTATTTGGCGGCGATGAACCTGTAAGTCTACCCATTGTATTCCTGTCTACGCCAAGTTTCGTGGTTGGCGTGATTCCGATTGTCCAGTATGGAAGCTTATGCCACACAGTGCTCCGAATCAACGGCCACCAGTTTGTCTACGATACGCGATGTGGACATTGGCGTGTTCTGTCACAGACAAATTCTTGGACCTGAAAGACCACTTCTACCAGAGATCTCGCAAATACGTTGAGCAGGACTACCTGAAGGGACACGGTGAGCATTTGATATCCGTCGGCCACGCGCAGACTCATATCCTTCTGAGCACGTACGAGTTCAAGATGATGTATTTCCCAAGGGCCTGGATGAGTACTGGCTCTGGTATCAGATTATGTCAGATGTAAGTAACTATACCGAGAATAGGGGGTAGCAAATCTAACACTGGCAGGATGGGTCTACACAGGTTAGACGGGGCAGGACTGGACGTCAAGCAATGCCTCCCGCCGGCACGGGACTGGACGGAGCGGGAAGAACGGCGCAGGACATTCTGGATGGCATTTGCGGAGGACCGATACGCCAGTATAGGCACTGGGTGGCCGATGACCATCGACGAGAGGGACGTTCTCACCAATCTCCCCGCGTCAGAAGAAGCTTTTGAGAAGAGCAAGCCGGAGCAGACCACCTCACTGTCCGACGCATTCGGCCCCAATGGCGCAGAAAAACTCTCCGCGTTCGGCAGCATCGCCTTGATGGCGGCCCTCTTCGGGCGCAATCTCGTGCATCTTCACCGCCCCGACGCTAATGAGCTCGATTCTGACCTCAACGGCGAGTTCTGGAAGCGTCATAGACAGCTGGACAATATATTGCTGAACACGTCGTTGAAGCTACCTGAGCACCTCAAAGTAACGAACGCAAACAACCCAAATATTCACAGCCCGAATATCGTGTATGCGAATATGAACATCCACACTTCGACTATATGTCTGCATCAGGCAGCTGTATATAAAGCAGATAAGAATCATCTTCCGGCGTCGGTAAGCAAGGAGAGTAAGATGCGCTGCATTAATGCTGCGAATGAGATCGCGGGTATCATGCGCATGATCTCTCATCTAGACCTGTCAGCTGTATGTTCCCCTCCTCCCACGAAAAAAATAGTATGAGTACTAACCTGCACAGATGAACCCCTTTATCTCCTTCTGTCTCTACGTCGCCGCGCGTGTCTTCGTGCAGTACCTCAAGAGCCGACCGGAGGACAACACGACGGGTGACGCACTGCGATTCCTGTTGGCTGCTATGAACGCAATGAAAGCCAAGAACCCACTCACCGAATCCTTCCTCGTTCAACTCGACGTTGACCTGGAGAGTCTCGGACTGCGAGACCCGAAGTACAAGGCCCTTATCAACGGACACTTAAATGTAACCCTCCCCACTGCCCACACCACATTGAACCTCAATACTAACACACCTCAGAATCCCCAAGCACAGATCTTCAAGGATCGTAATGGCACCGACCCATGCAACTTCCTCAAGATCGTCGACGACGTCGCGCAACCCGACTCCCCACCTACCTCCACCGCACCCACTACCTCCGGCCCCCCTGTAACCTCTGATCGAGCACCCCCACCCTTCAGTGGCTACACCGACAACGCAATGCCCTGGGTCCCCGCCGACCGCGGCTTCCCCAGCCGCCCCGGCGCCGGCACAAACCTAGGCAGCATGCCCGGCCTCGTCGTCCTCCCCAACACCAACGACACAACCTACGGCATGCAACGCCACTTCACATCCGAGATGGAAATGGACCTCTCTTCCGGCGACGCCGCCCTCTCCGACCGCCCCACACCCTCCTCCACCGCCCCCTCCGACGGCCACCGACCTACCAACCTCGCACCAGCGAAGGGATCAGGCCACAGCTCCTTCGAAACCTCACCCGTTGCAAGCCATAACACCGGGATTCCAGGGCAGCACCAGAACGGCGCCGCGCAGGGTTTCTACCAGCAGCAGGGCGGCGAGGGATACATACCTGCGCTGCAGAATCAGGGCGGGATAGGCTACACGATGGCGGGGTCGCCGGGGCGCGGCGCGGAGTTCGCGGGCGCGCAGTGGGAGATGGCGTCAGCGCTGACGCCGATTGGGGAAGGTATGTTGAGGGAGCTGATGAGTATTGGGCCGATGGATATGGGGCCGTGGGAAGGGCAGGCTCCTTGAGTGCTAATCGAGCTGCGAGCGAGACTACTGGAGAGCGGTGGGGGGTGAGGGGTATATATAATACATTAACGGCTTTTATGACGGAGGGACGGAATAGGGGTGGGCGTTTTTACCGGCGAAGGGCTGCCTCACGACTGAGGTGGTTGAAATATTTTGTTATGCGATATTCAAAGCCTTGGCTCATAGTAGCACCACAAAAAAGGCGAGGTGGCTGGGGTTGGTTGCAAGCGATGGTGCGGATAAGGATTTGCTTTTGTTTTTTAATCTGGATGGACTATTGGCTGGGATAACATGAACGAGGGGGGGATTTTCTATGTAAACTTCTTTTGTGGGTTTTGCTTTGCTATTTTGCTTTTTTAGCACTGAAGGTGTCGCCCGATGAATCGGGAGGGGAATACTTGTATGTATGGAAACTGGGCAAACACACACGCCGCTTATTAAGAAATACTAAATGTGAGATTTATCACTACATGTCGCCCGTGTACTCGTGAAGCTGCAGAGATAAGTTGACAGTGAAAGTTATATATTAGCTTAATTGTGCGACCTCAACACATCCCTAAGGAAAGGGTCGATCCACTAATTGCTTAGTTTGGCCCTTTTATCTTCCTGTTAACATCTTCAACATACTTTTCATCTCTGTTAATATCGAAGAATTCAGCGTAATGCATTTCCGTCCTTGAGAGATGTCTATGGAAGTCCTTCGAAAGCGCCATAATCCCATCGTAGACTCCTAGTTGGGTGATGGCAGGATCAATATTCTCCGGTAACCAAAATGCGAATGTTCCGCTCCCATGCCAGCCGTTGGTGCGGTTGATGTTGATATCTGCCTTCCAAGTCGGATACGGCGGGTACTTTCCCTCCAGTTCCTTTAACCGGCTAGCATTAACGGGTCCCAGTCGGCCTTTGGCGCGGATGATGTTGAAGACAGCATCGAGAGAGGTGAAGCTCCTCTCGATCATGGTCACTAGCCATGTGGAATGTGCATCGTATTGGATCCAGCGATTCTCCACTTCCATATACCATCCCCCTTGCACCAATTGCATATCTGCGTTAAAACAGTTAAAAACACCTAGCATGCGCATAATCCATCTATGGCAGTCGCTGTCGCGGTTTCCATTATTGTAGTGCACGGGGTGCTCGAGAGCATTCAAGGAGCATACGCCTTGAAGGCATAGATCCATGAAAGTACCAAAGACGGCAGATTGTAATCTTCCACGGATCACCATTCCACAAAGGATTTCTCCTGTGTGAAGATATCGAGAAATATCAGTCCGTGGAAGTTCTCCAAAGCAAGCTTCGGACATGATTACGTCCCAACCACGACGGTCCGTGTCATCCTGCTCATCCTTGATCAGGCCCACCGCAAAATCTTGTTTGGCTTTCAAGGATGCGCCGGCTAGATAGTAGCGTATTAGCATGGACTATATAACTTACGTTGAAAAATAATATTGAGATATGGGTTTTGAGGATTCTCACCTGGTGGTGGACGTGGATCAGTGGATGGCATGATTCTAGATCGAGAAGCTGCAAGGATTAAAGTGGATTTAGGTGTGGCGCATGGACATGGGTGCTCCAGTCGGTGATGCTAGCGTAGTTCGCTTCGAAACTTTAAATCTGACGGGTATGGCTTCTTTCTTTCTAGAAGTCGAGGATGGGGACTCTTGGGAATAAATACTTGGTCTCGTCGTGTGAGTCATGTCATCATACGATGTAGACAAACTTGAAAAATGTCCCACGAATTTCAGGGGATCGGACATCGCTTTTGAGAATGGCTGGAAACTAGCTCACCTCGACTCAGAGCTTAGATACTGGCGCCATAATCGCCGAGTTCTGGACCTGAGGCACTGGGGACATAAAATAGATCACTAATGGAACGTACCGCCTTTATTGGACCTTTAAATGATTAGCTTCTTGAGAGGGTCCACTGTAAGGATTACTGCTCACAGTGATTATGAGCCTCTGTTTAATGTGTGGTTACTGTAAACGCATAAGCAAGGAATAGAGTCTATAAGCTGTTCATTGCCTCTTGATCACTGTTATGCACAGTCCCTTTCTTAGACTCTGGGCGATACAAGTAGGATATACTTTTGCTATCAATAGGTGCCTTCAACAGGCTTCGTTTCATGATGACCTCCTTGGGACTATAATTTTCCCAACTACTCCTTTCTCCAAGCCGTGGCTCCCAACCAACTCCAGACAATACAGTTATTGTGCGTGATACTCATACATCCATATCCATACCTTAAGCACCCCCACCTTCCTCTCCCTCCTGCGCCTTCGCCTTACTCTTCTTAAACCCCTCCTTCCCCTCACTCAAATACGCCTCCACGGTCTGACCCGCAAAGCTCCGCCCATTCATAACACGTACGCACTCCGCGGCAGCCGCCTCATCTCTAAACCTCACGCTCGCGATGCCTGCCTCCTCAAGGTCGAATAGCACAACATTCGTCACCTCACCAAGCTTCGCGCACTCCTCGCGGATATCCTCTTTGATATCCAGCATCGCAGCCGGGTCCTCCTCCAGCTCCTCTAGTGTGAACATGTGCTTCAGCACCACAAGTTTCTGCGGTTTCGGCCCAGCCTCATACAGTACCTGTGGGTCATCATCATCCCAGTCCGCAAGCCTCGCATCTAGCTTCTGCGTCTTCTTAATAATCTTCGCCTTATCGCGCGCACTCGTCTTCGCCCTCTCCCTCGCTGCCTCCTTATCAACTGTGCTGGTACTACCACTCCCCTCATCCACCTTCGTCTTCTTATAACTGCTATCCGCCGCCATCACGCGCATCTTTCCGCTGCCGCCCAAATCCGAGTACCGGAAATCCGTGTCGTCTAACAGCGTGATGGCCATGTTCACGCTGGGCGCTTTGAAGAACACAATCAGCGCGTCGCCCTTGAATGCTCCGCTGTCATCTGTGTACAATTTGATTCGTGGGCGCCCGCTGTCGATCTCCTCAGCGATCACGCCGCATTTGCGCGAGAAGACTTCGGCGACCTCGTCGATGGTTACGTCGCGCGGGAGGCCAGTTACGTAGACTGCGGTATTGGGTCGTGGTGGGAGGGGTGCCTTCGCTTTCTTGGGCGCTTTTACGGCGCGTCCACCGTTATCCTGTGCTAGTTAGCAACAGCACCTTATGAGCTGGAGATAAAGGGCAAGAGGATAGAGAGCGCTACTCACTTCTTCTCCATTGACATGCTCCTTCTTCCTCTTCCTCCTCATATCCTCCACGGTCTCCTCCTCATCCACCCCCTGCACTTTATAAGCCGCCTGCTGCTGTGCCGCTAGTTCATCATCGAGGACTGGGATCCACCGCCGCAGCGCGTCGTCGAATTCGTACTCGGAGCCATCGTCGGCGACGAGGAGGAACTTTTGGTCGAGCTTGGAATACGAGATGCGGTCGTCCGCATCGAAGGCTTGGGGGTCAATGGGAAAGGACGAGAGTCCGTGATTTATCGGCGATTGGTTGTCCATGGCGGGGACTTGATTGAGGGGATAGCGAGCGTGGTTTTGTGTACGGATGGGGATGGGATATCTTGGAAATCGAAGGGTAAGGCTGCCTCCCGGTTACACCGCCTTGGCAGAACACATCTATCAGCGTAGCCTCGTCTCCATGATAAACTGGGAGATATTTAGCTAGAACATAGCCTGGATAACACGATGTGTAGTAAAATCTTCAATTATGCTATATACTAATAGGAAACTATTCGAGTATAACCATTTAATAATAAGTTGCCCAAACTCCTTTTCATTATGGGTTGGATGGTAACATCCTTTGAACCTGTGAACCCCATGCTGTGTCCCCAAACGCCGACGCTAAGTCCCAATGAGACTACTTAAGACCAAATTTGACTATGTACGAGACCCCCTGAAAAGAACATCTACTATTTCGTCCAAGAAAGTAAACATGAGATGAGAACTGTAATCATATTAGAAAGTGTGCCATGCAAGGGGCTGTGTATCACTTACTTCAACCGGGGATTATTAAGCGTAGCAAATATCCTCCTGCTTGCAGCTTGTGCATTAACACGCCCAACGACATTCCCAACTAGATCCGGAATGAGTGTTGCTAGCATAAGGCTTGCCTCTGTCCTTGTCTTGGCTTTCTGTGCCGCCGTCCGCTGCACCATCTCACGTTTCTTCCCTCCAGGCCACATGGTGTCTTTTATCAACGTGATATACCTCATGATTGAATCCTCCAGGACCAAAGTCTTGACATTTTCTCTGACTTTCCGCTCGATAGTCCCGCCGAGCAGCTGGTGCAAGACCACAACGACGGCTCGGCCTCGGAGCCAGTTATTTCCGCGGTTGAGCTCGAAGACCTCCAAGAAGATGTCGCAGATAGGCTTGACGAATGGCTCGAGTTCGCGGTTCTCAAAAGCATTTAGCTCCGCTTCAGCCTCGGCTGCTGTCATTGGGTCCTCGCTGACAAGGGGTGGCATGGTGGTCAGTTGGTTGGTAGCTGCAGATATGAGATTCTGGCCTGCCGTTGACAACTGATCGAGGACTGGGATATTTCCAAGAATATCTTCCATCCCGTCTGTGACCGAGTTGTAGAAGCGAGTCATCATATCCTGTTTATCTTCCAAGTTACTAGGCGCTTCCGTACCAGGAGCAATGGCGCTCTGTGACAGGAAAGAGCGTAGATCCCGGCTGCGACAGACGTCTGGCAATAGCAGTAGCTCTCGCAGATATTTCTCTAGAGCAAGGCGGCGTTTGTGCAGAAAATCGCTCTGCAGTTTCATAACCATCCGCCTCCGGGGAAAGTCGAGATGGCGAACAGAAGGATACTTCTCACGAAGTTTCTGGTGCAGTTCGAGAAACTCGCTGTATCGGCGAGTGACTGCCCAAGATGCAGCAATCATCTGCTCGCCGGCTTTCCGTTGGACTTCGACGACATATATCGCGAATTCTCGGCCATCATCATCCTTACCGACCATGATAGACTTAATCCTAATCGTGGAGCGGCCATATAAGCTGTTATCGCTCTCTTGCACAACATATTGCTGTCTTTGAAGCTCCTTACGCCTGATCTCGCGTTGCAAGCTGGCCTTCGACTTCCGTAAAATCCGTAGCTCTGCTGTATTGTTGGTAAGCTCGGCCTTTCGGGTGAGAGATTCCACAACTGCATTTTGTGCAATCAAACGCTCGATGTCGGTAGTAAGGACTGTTATAGCTTCCGCAAGACCCAAGTCGCCGGGAGCTGCCTCGTGGATTTGGTCACTGACGTCCTCTTTATCCTCATCCGGATCATCATGTTCGTCAGATAGAAATTTCTCCTCGTCGCCAAATAAGTCGTCATCTGTAAAGACTCCAATACGTGACGATGTGTTCACAAGTCCAAGAGATGCAATGTTTGGCCTGCCACCTTCTTTCTGTGACGAGTCATGAGCTTGAACATCAATTGAGCTCCGCGGGGACACCTCTGCCTTGCCAAACAAAAGGCTTGTGGCAGGAGAATCCCCATTATCGAATAAGGAGCCACGCAAGTCGTCAACATTAGGGGCATCTTCCATGATATCGTTCAGCGCTGCTTCCATTGCCTTGACAATCTGATTATCTGGCGCAGCTGACCCGTCATGATGGTCTATATCCTGGTCCAGACTCTGTACGGAACCAGCAAGAGCCTCGCTATCCGCATCATCATCATCAAAAAGCGGCGAATCACCATCACCATCAAGAGAGCGGCGGGAATTTGCGAGATCCATAACATTACGCCGCTGCATACTTGGTAGGTCGGCAGATGACTGCGATGCGCGATGTAATGCAATCTTCCTTTGTGGTTGCCGTAACGAGACTCTGGATACCGCCTTGGGCTTTGGATGAAGTGATTGGGGGGTATCAATTCTAGGCGGCAGAGATGGCCTGTCTTGGTCGTCGAATGGATTATGTGACATTGATGCCTTTGTGTTTTTCGAAGCCTCCTGTGAAGTTAGGTACTTGTAAAAGAGGTCTGATTTCTTGAATCCATCAAAGTATTTGCCCTTCATCTTTTCTAGGGCGCTTGTCTGCGCAAGCAATATAGTCCTGCGCGCAGCATAGTACTGTTCTTGGGAAGCACCCTTTCCAGCCTTCAAAAAGGTTCTTACGGATTGCTTTGATGACTCCGATATGTTCAGCTCAGGCCTGGATAAGTATGCTTCATGGATCTGTGCAAGATCTAATCGGTCTGCATCAGTCCATGGCGGCAAGTTTGGAGGAACTTCATCGTCGTCAGTTGGGTCCTCCTCGAGTGGATTCCGAAAGCCATCAACAACAATCCAGAACTGCACAAGAGGCATGACCCTCTGTCTGTCCATATACTCCATAAAATATGACAGTGCTGATGAATCATGCAAAATATCCACAAGCGACGCATTGTTAAGATCTGAGCTCGGTCCATTATTTGAGGAAAAATCCGGAATATTATTTCCGTTCGCGCTCCAGTTTCCTGACGCCAGATGGTTCACTCTTTGATCTAATATCTTCTTGGCTATTTCCAGGCGGCGGAGATAGACCGAATCCGCGGCCTCAAGTTGAGAATCTCGTTTCAGCTGACTTGACACTTCACTTCGAAACCGGCGAGCATCTGATAAGTTATTGACCTTGCGAGCGGCACGTATGAACTTCTCGAATTTCCGCTCGTTATCATTCGGCGAGAGTCGTGGGAAGGGCAGGGACCGCTTCTCCTTCGGCGCCGGAGACGCGTGCTGATCAAGAGCCGCACGCAACTTCCGCACCGTCGATCGGTCTTGGAGCATCGACCGGCCGTAATTCTCCATAACTTGGTTCCAGGTATCAGGATCAGATGTTACCTGCATCACTGGGAACAGGACGGCGCAGCTCACCAGCTCCTCGATGAGTACTGACACCACTTTGCTCGATATCAGGCTATCTGGCACCACTTTGGGGATTATTTCCTTCGCTAAAGTCCGCAGATGCTCCTGCTGCACAAGCCGTGTATCTGAATATGCCAGCGATGCTGCTGGGTGTAGCTTCCCATCTCTGTATTTTGCGGCGATCGCAAGGTCCAACTCTTCTGATTCCGTGACATTCCGATTAAGGTGCTTCCCCCGTACGACCCGCTCCGCATCGTAGAAATCCTTAAAGTGAGCCGTGAGTATCGGCACGAATCGCTCGACCACCACCTCGACCAGGTCGATTGATAACAGCCTGTCCCTGATATCGATGAGCGCATCCCTTATCCCGTTGTCGACCTCGTTCGTGAAGCTTGGGTTGCGACTTATGCTCGAGTACCAGGACTTGACGAAATCCCGCACTATATATTCGAGCAGCTCGTCGAGAGAGGCGGATATGAGGAAGGACTCTGGGTATAATGGTCGCGGGTCGTATGGTTGTCGACTTGGGAGCTTCGCAAGTTCCTCCCGCCATGTTTCTGCGCCCAGGAAATCGGGTCCTCGGGGGCGAACGACTCTGCTTCTTGAGCCATAACTAGAACCCCTCGTAGTCGTCAGGACAATCGCTGCGAGTCCAAGGACGGTGACCAGGATGCCCGCCACGAACGCCCAAGCTGTCCAGCGCAGGGACGGTATTAGGCTGGTGACCCCTCCCCAGGCGAAGAAAATGGCGATCCCTGCTAGGATCACATCTCTTCTGCTCAGGGCCATAGTCTATGTGGACTATTCGTCGTTTTGTTCGTCATCATATGGGGTAGCAACGAGAGCTCTCGTTATCTGATAGGCATGTGCTACTACAGGTGCGGTCCGGTGGTCGCGTAATTATATTGCCGCGCGGAATCAAAGGTGAGACATCAAGTCCAAACATATTTCACGACTTTACTCATTCATACAAATATACGAACACTAGAGGATAATATTAACTTGACAGTCATGAAAATTGAACTATGCTTTGAATTTATGACTTAAGCTGCCTTAGCGGCCGCCTCCACCTCAGGCCACGGCGGTTCCTCCCTCCGGCGATAACAAGCAACGAACTTCATGCCCTTGTTACGCTCCACCTTCTTCCCCTCCTCCGTCTCAGTCCTCATAATATGCACACACTTATCTGCCTCCTGTTCCTCATCAGTCAACCTCTCAAACGACGGATGCGCATCAAAGTGCTGCACCATCCACTTGTGCAGGTCCTCCACATCAGTGATAGTGTAGATGATTCCCCCTGGTCGCACAGCATATGCGTACTCTGAATTTAACGAGAGTGACACAATCCGCGCCTTATGTTTCCTGGTCTTGAAATGGGGGTCTGGGAAGCAGAGGAAGATCTTCGAGAGCTGTCCCTTCTTGAAGAAGTTGGGGAGGAACTTCATCGTGTTGGCTCGGAGGCAGGATGCGTTTTGATAGGCGTTGCTATCTGGGTGTTGCGCACGCAGCGCCTTGATGCGCTCATGTACATATTCTGTTACTTGTGTTCGGATTTCCAGGCCTGTGGTCGTTAGTATGGTAATCTAGACTAATGAACAGAGAGTAAATACCCAATATGAGCTGGTCTGGGAAGTGAGGAGCGAGTGCCACCGTTAACCCACCAAAACCACAACCAATATCAGCAATCTCTACATCCTTTGTCAATGGCCTTGGCTTGTCGCTTGTTTCTGTGCCCTCCATTGTCTCGTTATCCTCGTCTTTCGCTGGTGCCGGCGCAACATATGCGGGGTAGTATGACGACCAGTCCATTGCTGCTGGGCTAACTGGGCTTTATAAAATTAGACGCAAGCTGAATATAGGCCTATCAGACTACTCACTATGTCAATTGATGGTCTGAGAATGGATTGGCATGCGCCCTCTGCCTGTAGAATTTCTTCTTGGGAAGCTCCGTCCCGCCCTCATCTCGCTGAGCCGCGCGGTACTCTTCCCTCTTCTGCTTTTTCCCAGCCGCACCTGCCATGATGCCTAGTATAGAATATAGGTCGCCTGGTGCAAATGAGTTATGTTGTTGGTGGACAGAGTAATGACGCAAATATAGTGAGACCTGGCGGCTTGCAAGTCCAAAGATTATTCACGTTATCGGCCATCTTTATCTTAGCGCCTTTCGCTGACACGCATGACGACGGGTAAGGACCCCTGTACCCGTCAAGGTCGTGCTGTTACTCTTACTTAACTTTCACTCCCCGCCAGGCAAGAGCTGATCAGCGCAAAGTGATAGATCTTCTTTCTGTGCCATTCCCATCCGCTGATCAGGTCTTCGCCAAACTCCCATATCCTGCGGAGGAGTCTCAGCTGAGAAGACGACAATAATCGTGCACAGACTTCGGATCTAATCAACCGTGAACACTGAGGGGGAACTACTATCGCTCGTGTGCACACATCGCAAGCTCGGCGAAGATGTCGTGGTCATCTATCCTCCCCAGCAACCTTGAGTACATAGAGGTCTGGATCACTCGGTTATTTGTAAGTTAGGATTTATTCATGTTCCTACTTTGGAATATCTACTTGAGCGATAGCTGACGTTATCACAGCTTATTCTCGCCGGCTTAGTGCTGGGACCATGGCTCCTACTCGTAGTCTACGACTTCTTCGTTTACATCTTCCGAATAGTCGCATATGAGATCCCTTTCATCGGTGGAAGAGCTCAGAACCGCCCAAGGCCACGAGCACCGAGCTTGAGTGAGCGACCAAGCGGAGAGCCTCGGGAGTTCAGGATGTCGGTACCGGTCATATCTATACCACCAGAAGCAGGGCAACAAGACGAGCAAGGTGGAGCAGAGAGCATGCAAAGACTTCAGGAAGGCCGGAACCGTCGGAGGAGGCCTCAGAATCCTCCGCCAAATGAATAACTGTCTACTTTTCGTCTATCATAATTATAGCTGGGCAACGACCTTCAGTAGATCTCCCACGACACCCATAGCGGTTACCTCGCCTCCCGCGCCACTGCCCTGGACAATAAGAGGGCTGGCACTATATCTCTTCGTGTAGAAGCTTATGATGTTATCACTTCCCTTCAGCGCCGCAATCGGGTGCGACTTGTCGAACATCTCTAGCCCGACCTTGACCTCGCCCTTAGCCACATCGATACTCCCCACGAACCTGACGACCTTTCCTTGCGCCTGGGCAGCAAGCTTCACCTCTTCCATCTGCGAGTCGAACTCGGGCAGTCTCTGCATAAACTCGTCTCCGCTGGAGCAGCTCTCAAGCTCCTTGGGGATCAAGCTCTGCACCGGGAAAGAGGTAGGCGACTCGATCTTCAACCCAACAAGTCTCGCCAAGATAGTCAGCTTCCTCGCAACATCCAGGCCGTTCAAATCATCTCTTGGATCCGGCTCAGTATACCCAAGCTCCTTAGCCTTCTTAACCTCCGCAGCCCACTTCCCGCCCTCCCCCTCCGTCGGCGCAAACGAGTTAAACAAGAACGACATGGTCCCGCTAAACACGCCCTCGATCTTGGTAACCTCATCCCCCGTCTCCACCAAATCCTTCACCGTAGAGATAACCGGCAACCCGGCCCCAACCGAACTCTCATGATAAACCTTCGCTCCCGACTTCGCCGCCGCCCCAAAGATAGCCTCCCACAGCGCATACGATCCCGAGAACGCCTTCTTATTCGGCGTCACGACACTAACCCCCTTGGCCAGGAACTCCGGGTACTGATCCGCCACATCCTGCGCACTGGTATTATCAACCACCACCGCCTTCCCGGGTGCCGCAGCGAGGTACTCAATCAGCTTCGCCGTCGAGAGGACGTCTTGCTTCGATGCTGCCACTGTCTCGGCGCTGGTGTCGAGCGAGAGGGGGGCATAGTCCGCGCTGTAGATGTTGGTCTTGCTGCGCGACATGAAGACGACTGCCAGAGCTGGGTTACGCGGGTTCTTGGCCAGACGCTCGGTGACGCCCTTGAGTTGTGAGAGGAAGCATTTTCCTACCCCGCCCACGCCTGGGATTCGTCAGTGGGTTGCTCAATGCTAGAGATGGAGGGGGGGGAGGAGTAGAGTTACATACCGATGATACCAATGAAAACAGTCTTTTGAGCAGCCATTTTGACGTGATTGTATGGGATTGATTTGTCTTTAATTGTTGTTTTTACTTTAAATTCCCAAGCTTGGAGGGAGAGCGATTGCGTGAATCGGAGGTTGGCGGGCCATTACATACTGCCAATAGTGGGGGTTTGGTAGGGTGGTGGGGGGGGGATGCCGCTAAGCTGGTTTGGGTGCGTGTTCTGCCACCGCCGTGGACATCGAAACCGCGTGGTTCGATGTCGCGAACATCTATCTACCTATCTAGCAGCTTGCGAACTGCACGACAATACCTCCAATTCACCCCCGAAATTCACCCACCCTATCCCACAGATGCCTCTTCAAACGTCGACATAACCAACCCCTTGATCCCGCGCCCCTACCCACTAAAAATACAACCTCCACTGCGCCACCCGTTTCTCGATCTCACACCCGAACATCCCCCCACGACACGCCTCACCTCACCTCACCACACCGCAACAGAGAAAAACAAACCATGTCCTCCCACCTCTCTAAAACAGACACACACCTCTACCGCCCCCCCTCCTCCACCACCTCCGTCCCACCAACAAAACGCACCAAACACACCCCCAGCGCCCCCACCCCCTCCTCCCTCACCTTCACCTCAACCCTCTCCAGCCTCCTCTCTCGCCCCCCCTCCCCCCCCGGTCCGCGCGCCTCCCGCGCCCACGCAAAAAAGAAAGACGATATCTTCACCGCTCACCGACGGCGACGGAAAGATAAAGATACACGGGGCAGAGAAGGGGGGGAACAAGATATCGGCGGGGTGGATGAAGAGACGCTCGAGCGGTCGAGGAGGAAGATGGAGGAGAAAGCTAAGAGGTACCGTGCTATGAAACGGGGGGATATAGATGTAGCCGAGGGCGGAGAGGGGGCGGGGGGGCTGGTGGAGTGGGATCGCAAATGGACTGAGGCGGGGGAGAAGGGGGAGGGGAGCGAGGATGAGAGTGAACTTGAGGAAGGGGGGGGAACGTTCGCGGATCTGGAGAAGGTGGAGTTTGAGGATGAGTATGGACGTCTGAGAGAGGGTACGAAGGCCGAAAAAGACCGTATGGAGCGGCGCCTACGGAATCAGCTTAGAGGAGCCGAGGAACTCGACCGCATGTCCGCCCGCCCCCGCGCGCCAGAGGGACTCATACACGGCCCCACCATCCAAAGCTCCGCCTTCAACCCCGACGCCGAGATCGAGGTGAAAATGGACGAACTAGCGCGGAAGAGGGATAGAAGCCCGACGCCACCGGAAGCGGTACATTATGATAGTAGGAAGGAGGTTAGGAGTCGCGGGGTGGGGTTTTATCAGTTTTCGAGAGAGGGGAGAGGGGGGGAGATGGAGGGGTTGGAGGGGTTGAGGAGGGAGACTGTTGGGATGAGGGGGGAGGATGGGGGGGGTGGGGAGGAGGAGGGGGAGGGAGGGGGGAATGGTGGGGGAGGGGGTGGAGGGGGTGGAGGGGGGTTGGTGGCGAGGTTGAGGGCGAGGAGGGAGGCGGAGGTGTTTTTGGAGGGGTTGGAGGGGGTTGGTGGGGGGGAGGAAGATGGGGGAGGGGGGTAGTAGTTATGGTATCTTCAGGGATACAAGTACAATAATTGGGATAAGGGGACATGGAGATACAGTGGTAACGCGTATGTATGTACGTACATAACTTATATACTTGACGAGTAAACCTCCCCCTTTTCACTCAGCACACCACACCACGCCATCCATCCACCACAGTAACACTCATTCACACACAGACCCCATAAACATACACCCCCTCCTCCCCCCTCTCCCCTTCCCAAAAAATAAACAATAGACAAGCATGCGAACCATAAAATAAAATAAAACACCATACCCTCCCTATCCCTCCTTCCATTCCAATACCCCCCCAATTCAATAACCCGCTTCCCGCCCACCCACGCTTTCCCAAAAAAAGGTTAAAACATAAAAACATGAAAAGTTAAGTGCAATCCCCATTTTTGCGCCATGGAGTCTCTCCCCATAGTGATCCATATCCCCAACAAAAACCCCAAAAAATCAACCCAAAAAAAGACGCCGGTGCTATTCCAAAACCCACCCCCCTAGCGCTGTCGACACAGAGAGAATGTGTCGTTCGTTCGTTTAACTCGCTGTGCGCCTCTCCCAGTCTGGGAGGGACACATAGCCAGTTAAACGACCAAAAAGCTCGCTGTATCCTCCATCTCTCGATCTGCAGGACATTACCTGCTCCGCTCGCTATGTGCCGATTCCAAGCACATCAAAATAACAACAAACCGCCAAGTAGTAGTCCCCAGCGATGTTCACTTAGCAACCCACCCACAATGACACTCCTGTATCGTCGTCCTCTTCCCCCACCCCATCCCCTCCTCCATCCCCTCCCCATCCCTCTCCGCCTTCCCACTCCCACCCGTCCCCACGCGCTCATCAAGCACCACGACAACCGCATTCCCATCCCCGCCCTTCACCGGCACCGCACTCGTCCCATCCGCCGAGATGAGCATCTGCACGCAGTACGGCTGATCGTACGCACCCCTCGGCATCCTCCTCTCCTCAATCTTGACAACCTTCGGGTACGGCGGCAGTAAACCCCCCACCCCCGTCGTCCCCGCCGTACTCGCACTCCCCGTCGGAGTACCACCACCAGCCGTCACGGCGCCAGCATCTGTAGGTACGCTCCGGCGCCCGTACCCGGAGGCCGTGGTGGGATTGGCACCGTAGCTCGAGGCCCATTTCTCGCTCGCTTGCGAGGTGGCGTTGGGGTACACGAAGGTCTCGAGGAGGGTCCCGTTCCAGTAACAGAACCACGGTGTTGAGCCTGCGGCGACGACGACGTTGTGGCGCGGGTATGAGTTTGGTGGTGGGCCCCACCCGCCGCTACTGCTGTCGCCGCCGTTGTAGTTGTTTGTGGCTGGGGCGGTGGGGGAGGATGTTGCGGTTTCGGTGGAGGAGGAGGTTTGGAGTGCTGCCGCGTCCGTGGGAGTAGCGGTCGTACCGTCGGCCGCCTCCACATTCCCCCGCCGCTTCCTCGCCTTGGCTGATGGCGCCGTCAGGAGTTCTGCTGGGAGGATGACGACTTTGTCGTAATTGACCTGGAAGAACCAGGCTGGTCCTAGATGCGGATCGTCGTAGTCGCTCACCAGGGTCATTACATTCTTCGGTCTGAATACAGGTGGCTGCGTGCCGTACGAGAACCCTTGCTGTGCCCCATCCGGAAGCTTGACGGAGAAGGCGTGGTTACTCGTCTTGGGCGCGTCGAGGCCCAGGTTGGCGATGGTGACTTGGAGGCTCGCGGGCGGCATGTCACAGGACCAGGCGGGGAGCTGGGACGTGTTTTCGAGGCAGAGGCCTGTGGCTTCCACGGCGGAGCCCATGAAGAGGGAGAAAGTCCCCGTGGGAAGGGTGGGGAGGCCGGTGGGGAGGGAGGGGAGGGGGGTGGCGTCTACGGTGGTGGTTACGGTTGTGTAGTAATCACCTGAGACACTAAGGGACTGGTTAGTACGCGAGAAAGGGGTGTTTTTAGAGGGTAAAGGGGGAGACGTACGGTATGGTAGGTGGCTTATTGTGCTTATTCTCTTTCCGTTTCGTGACCATCACGCCGAGGATGTTACCGACGAGCAGGGCAATAACGACGATGAGCAGCACGATCAAAGCCAGCGCCCAAACCGGGAGGAAGCCGCACACCTTCTGCTTCGCCATCGTCTTCCACTTCTTCTCAGCCGGCTTCTCGGATTCCGCTTCTGCGGCCGCGGCAGCTTCGCGACTTCGCACGGGATCGCCGCTCTGCACGGAGAGTGTAGACCGGGGTGACGTCGGTTCAATGGGCGAGATGGCGAGGTTTTCTGACGAGAATTCAGGGTTACGCGTTGCAAGGCCGATACCTCCTGCGCCCGAGGCGGCCGCTGCATATGGCCCTGGGGCAGATGTCGGCATCAGTTTCCTGGCGAATACTTCATCGGGGTATTTCGTGTAGGGCGGTAATTGTTCTGTATGGCCGTCTGGGCCAATGATATCGGCAGCATCTTCACCGTCTGGGCCTAATCGCCTTTGGTATTGGTTCCCTGAGAGACCTGGGAAGCCGACTGGGATATTCGCTGGTGGCTCGATGTCGCCGGCTTCTGACTCCGGAACAGTATTCTGAGGATACATGCCGTAGGGGTGCGTAGGGCCATTGGGTCCACTGTAACTCTGTTCTGACGCGGGGAAACTTGAAGTCGTAGCAACGCTCGCAGCCCTCGCAGGACGACCCATTTGCGGGTACATTCGATATGGATGTGACGGCCTCGTCGGGCCCTGGTATGGCCCATCGGGCACTATTGTGGGAGCATCAGTCGAGGTGCTTGTAGACCGGCTCAGAGGCGTCGATTCGTTGCGTTCAGCAGGCGGACCAAAAGACGATGACTCCGGGGTCCCATCGTGTCGAAGGGCAAAGTTGTCGACCATCCTCGGCTTCGATATACTCGGTGGCCGCGGAGGTGCTGACCTGTTCAATTGTGACGAGTCGGAGGATATGCGGTTGTGGTTCTGGACGTGAGGCGGGCGGAACCCGTCAGACACGCCCATACTCTCGAGTCCATAGAGGTCGTCGCCTTCGTCAATCGTGTTGTCGACAGAATGGCGGACCGAGAGCCTCTGCGACTCCCGTCGGCCGAAATCACTCGATTGGTGGTCGGGAGGCGCCATATCGAAGGCCTCGATTGAAGTTGGCCACGGAAAGAGTTGTGTCGAGGCAGAGATATGTTACGCCCTTTGGCGCTCGCGCTGGGATGGCGTGGTTCCCTTCAAGCCCAGGTTTCGCTCATGGGCTGTGTCGTGGAAGAGAGGCAATGCACAGAGGCAGGGCAGGAGAATAAGCGCTCGAAATAGCGATGGCGCGTTCGTGATCGAATACTGATTGAGGTGAGGATATCAATATGGTTGTGGTGTAATAATGAGTCGGTAGATATTGTTCGATATTGTCCGTTGATAGAGTTATGGTGTACAATCAGGACTTCGTATTATTTGGACGGGAGGTTGTTGCGAGGTGGAGGTGGAGGTGGATGTTTTGGGATTGGGGCCCGAGGGCAATGTGAGTGGTGGAGGGTGGTGGGCAGTTGTGAAGAGCGGATAGTGTGTGGTGGTTGTGCCTGTTGGGCGGTGCTGGGTGTGGTGGTGGTGGGTGTGGGTGGTGGTGGTGGTGGTGGCTGGGCTGGGGGGATTCCTTGTTAATGGCAGGAGCAAGGTACGGCGGTAGGTGTTGGTGGATGGTGTTGTATGGGATATGGGAGTTGCATGGAGTTGTATGGCAAGGTACAGCGACAGGGGGCACAGTTGTAGTGTAAATGAAAGTACCGACAGGAGGGAAAGGATGGGGAAAGAAGTGAAGGGGAGGGTTGTTGTGGTGTGAGTTTGGGTGGTGGGTGTGGTTGTGGTGGTTGTGGTGGTTGTGGTGGTTGTGGCGGTTGTGGTGGACTTTGTCTGGACACTAACAGCCATATAGAAGTACCAGCTAGTGATTCATAGAGTACCCCACCACCAAGGATTCTACTGCAGGGTACACAACTAGTGTCTGCCCAGTACAAACAAAGTTGACAGGCAAGTTCTTCTTTTTCAGGTGTTAGGTGGTGTTAGGTGGTGTTAGGTGGTGTTAGTAGTACTCTAACAGCAGACATACAATACGCTCGTGGTTGAAACAGGGGCAACTTCAACCACGGGCGACACACCACGACCAGACCAGTATTGTATGCATTACGGGCACGGCTAAGGGCAAGGGCAGGGCGACGTTTGTAGGGTAGATGGTAGATGTTAGTAAAGAGAAGTAAAGGTAGATAGTAGTAAATGCCTGCTTTAACAAATACTGGCACTGTACGGCTGGAATACTACGCGTTATATTGGCACAATTGGCACAATTGGCACATCAGTCACGGTCTGTCTGGCAGGTGGAAGGTAGCAGGTGTCTGGGGTTTACTTTGCCGTACTATACTTTACCATACTACACTCTGTATGGTGGTGTATGCTGCATCTCTTGAAACTCTTTGTCTTGCTCTCCTGCAAAATCTTGTACTGGATACGGGATTAGCCGTTTGAAACAACTTTACTATTGACTATACTATAGCTATAGCATAGTAAGTCACGTGTGTCTCAGTTCCCTCTCCCCTCTCCCCTCCCCTTATCCCTCCTCTAGGCCTCTTCTATATTAATTAAATCACGTGTGTCTCAGTCAGTCCACCCCACTGCCCGTCTTCTTCCGTCCTTCCTCCGTCCCTAGTCCCTTGTCTCTCTTCTCTCCCTCCCTTCCGTCCTTATTTCCCCCCTTGGCATCTTCTAGAGAAACTACATGCACCCCCCATCTCGGCGAACTTCCCCCTTTATCCGCTACATGCACTCCCCTGCCCATCACCTCCCATCACACACCCATCACCCCCTTCCCATCACCCCATCCCATCACTCACCCCTCCTCACCTCTTCTGTTTCTCCGTCTGCATGCACCTCCCACCCCCCCCTTCTACCCCTCCCCTCTTCCGTTTCCCCGTGTATCTTCTTCACGTGCCTTCCCTACTATCTTTCTACCTCTTTTCCTCTTTAGTCACTAGTAACATATCAACACAACAGTATAACCTCACTCTTCACTCCTCCCTCCCTCCCTCCCTCACACCTCACTTACTATCACACTACCCTCTACATCCACCCCTCACTCCTTTCCACCTCCCACCCCCCCAACACCTCCCCACCAGCGAATCGTGATCTTGGTCGTGCTCCCATTCCCCACTTTTTGTCACCCCACCGCCCTTCCACCGCCCTGAACTACACCTAAACTATACCCTAATCCAGTCTAGCTCTTTAGCAAAGCCACACAGCCGCGACTCTATCGCTACACTAAAATGATCCGATTCCACAATTCTGGTTCCCACAACGCCGACCTAGGTGCGTTAAGCGAATAACTTACAGTACGTACCCCCCTCCAAACTCACGCACTGAACCTCTGTTGAACTGTGAAAAAAAGGGAAGCACTGACACTCCCAATACAGGTCAAAACTCCCTCTTAGGCTGCCAAATTTATATAAACAATTCATATTTCCCTCTTTTAAAAAATCTAATAAATCATCTCATCTCATCCAATTAATCATTTCATCCTACTAAAAAAATCCCCAGTTAATATACTTGTCTCTTAGTGTTGCTGCAGGTGAGTCCCCTTATCACCACTTAAAAAAAAAAATTATGGTCCGACACAGGACCGTCCTGCACCGCTACCCTACGCGCTTTGTTACCCCCCGCCCTTAGCTCCATCCTCCCTCCACCCCCTTTACCGCCATCTCCAACAGTCCAATTTCTCCAGACAAAAGGGAAGCATCGTTGGACTGACCACTACAGAGCTCAGACATCATCTTCTGCCACTCACTCCTCTTCAAACCTCTCTCAAATAGCTCTCAAGTCCATCCCACTTCCCGCATACCATACCCTCACCGCATCATGTCGGAACGCCCTCAGAACATCGGCATCAAGGCCATTGAGATCTATTTCCCCAGCCAGGTATGTCTCAAGCTGCACAAGAGCACCTCTTCCACTGCTAACACTCCCTCCTCAGTGCGTCGACCAAGCCGAGCTCGAGAAGTTCGATGGCGTTAGCCAAGGCAAATACACCATCGGCCTTGGCCAGACAAAGATGAGCTTCTGCGACGACAGAGAAGGTGAGACACCGCACCCCGCACCTCACAAGACCACCCCTCACTGACACTCCCCCCTCCAGACATCTACTCCTTCGCCCTGACCGTGACCGCCAACCTGCTCTCGAAATACAAGATCGACCCCAACTCCATCGGCCGCCTCGAGGTGGGCACCGAGACCATGCTCGACAAGTCCAAGTCCGTCAAGTCGGTCCTGATGCAGCTCTTCGGCAGCAACTCCAACATCGAGGGCGTCGACACCATCAACGCCTGCTACGGCGGCACCAACGCCTTCCTCAACTCCGTCAACTGGATCGAGTCCTCCGGCTGGGACGGCCGCGACGCCATCGTCGTCGCCGGTGACATCGCCCTGTACGCCAAGGGCAACGCCCGCCCCACCGGCGGCGCCGGCGCAGTCGCCATGCTCATCGGTCCTAACGCTCCTGTTGTCGTCGAGCCCGGACTCCGCGGCTCCTACATGCAGCACGCGTACGACTTCTACAAGCCGGATCTCACCTCCGAGTACCCCATCGTCGACGGCCACTTCTCCATCTCCTGCTACACCGAGGCTGTGGACGCCTGCTACAAGGCCTATAACGCCCGCGAAGCCACTCTCAAGAAGCTTGCTAACGGCCACGCTAACGGCCACGCCAACGGCGTCGCTGCTGAGGAGGACGCTTCCAAGACTCCCCTGGACCGTTTCGATTACATGACCTTCCACGCACCAACCTGCAAGCTCGTGGCAAAGTCCTACGCTCGCCTCCTCTACAACGATTACCTCACCAACCCCACCGCCGCGGCCTTCGCCGACGTCCCATCCACCATCGCTGATCTCGACTACAAGACCTCCATCACCGACAAGAGCGTCGAGAAGACCTTCATGGCCCTCACCAAGGCGCGCTTCGGCGCCCGCGTCCAGCCTTCCATCGAGGTGCCCACTATGTGCGGAAACATGTACTGCGGATCCGTGTGGGGTGGTCTCGTGTCCCTTCTGTCCAACGTCAGCTCTGAGGAGCTGCAGGGGAAGCGCATTGGAGTTTTCTCCTACGGGTCTGGACTCGCTAGCAGCTTGCTCAGTCTGAGAGTTGCGGGACCGACTGGGGAGTTGGCGAAGGCGGTTGATCTTAAGGCGCGCTTGGCGGCCAGGAGGACGGTCAAGCCGGAGGTTTATGATGAGCTCTGCGACTTGAGGAAGAAGGCGCATTTGCAGAAGGGGTATAAACCTGCTGGTAGCGCCGAGACTGTTGTGGCGGGTACTTATTACCTTGAGGAGGTTGATGAGCTGTTCCGTCGCAAGTACTCCATCAAGGCTTGAAAAGCTCTCCGACTTGTCACACTACTCATCACCACTCCCTCCCTCCTTATTAGTGAGTGAGTGAGTGGGTGGGTGGGTGGGTGACTTGAAAAGTTGCTGCATACACACAAACAAGGCATTTACAGGCTTTTTTGGGAGCATGGATGGGCAAGAATTTTGCATTATGGATAGACACACAGAAGATGAGGGGGGGGGGGGGTTGACGCTGATGGATGTAATGAGGATTATGCTTTGATGGGATGGGGAAGGGTGGATAACTTACTGTAGATAAACTCGACGTTTGCCCCCCGCGCCCATTTTACCGGCACGGGGATGTGGTAGAGAGGGTCTGTGATGCTACAAAAAAACAACTAGAATCTTATAATAATAACAACTACGGGATTTAAAGAGTATTACAATTGGGGGGTTTTTTTGTGTGTGTGTGTTGTCTTTTCGTCTTTATTGTGAAATTTTCTCCATCATCATCATCACCATATATCCGTGGACTGGACGAAGGAAAAAGTCTCTCTAAAATCCTCACCAGAACCAACCACGAGAAATTCCTCACCAGCGCAGAGAGATAAAAAGGACACATTACACAAACCATACTTGTATAGCAAACTACGGAGCTAGCTATTAATTGTTTTTCGTCATCACCCGCCCCCCCCCCCCTTTCCCTCCTCAAATGGCCATCCCATCCCGCTGCATAAATAGGAAAGTTACAAAAAAACAAAAACAAAAACAAAAGGGAGTCGTTTCGATTCCAAGGCTGCTGTGTGTTATCCACCACCCCTGCTACAAGGGCTTGCATTCTGTAGTCTGCGTGTGTGTGTAGGCTGTTTCTGGTTCTGGTTTTTTCCAGTTTGTGTGTGTTGTGTCGTTTTGTTGCATGGACCAGTTGTGGTTTCCCCGGTTATAGTTCCGTTACAAAAATAAATAAAAAACACGTCTCGGTCATCTCATAAACACCCAGGACGGACCCATCATCAATGAAGGTAGCAAGTAGTAGACCAGAAGAAGAAAAAAACAACAAACATAGTCAAAATAGTAAGAGTAGAAAATAATCCCATAAACCCCCCCTCCCGAAATCAATATCCCCCTAAATGTAGTATGAGAGAATTTCCATGCATGCTAGCTAAGCGCAAGAAAAAAACTGCTGCTCAATCTGGTTTTTTTTATAAAAAAGGGGGAGAAAACATATCCATCCAACAAGATGTTTGCTTTGTAGGTGGAAGTAAAGTTTTCATCCCCGTCGTCCCGCCCAGCTCGATCGACCCGACCGACCAACCGACCGAAACCATTCACCGAACCCATCCGTTCAGACATACGTATCATATCATGGCAGTAAAGAAAAGCGACGCCCTCGTCCATCCCATCACCCATCATCACCCCACTCCCCCCATCCCATCATCAATCACCCACTACGGCGCACACACACCTCCCACCTCACCCCCCTCAATACCTCCTATCATACTCCCTCGGATACCCCCCCTCCCTCATCCCAAACTCCCTAACCGGCGGCCTCCCATACTCTCCCCCTCTCATATACGGATCCACCTGCGGCGGATACCCGCCCCTATACGGGTCATCATACGGTCCCCTCCTCGGCGGCGGCGGGTAGTCATCCATAGGTCCTCTAGGCCGCGGAGGCGAGCGTCCGTAGCGGCCACGGTCGTCGTAGTAGTCACGGCGTGGGGAACGGTCGCGGTATCCACCGCCGTCGCGACGGGGGGAGTAGCCGCGCGGGCGGCGGTCGTAGTCGTCGCTGGGGTAGGGGCGGCGGGGGGGAGAGCGGGAACGCATGCGGTCGCGGGGCATGTCGGGTTGGGTCTGGGGGGTGTTAGTGTGGGTGCGGTGAAAGGGGGTGGTGGGGATGGGGAAGGGGGAGGCTTACATCAGCGGTGCAGGTCACGCGAGCACCCTTGAATTCGCGGCCGTCGAGTTTTTCGACAGCGGTGCGGAGGTCGGCTGCGGTTTCGAACTCGACAAAGCTGCTGGTGGTGTTAGTTTAGAGGGTTGCGGTTTGAAACGAGCGGGGGTGGCTTACCCCTTGCCGTCACGGTCGCGGCCGGTTTCGGAGTAGACGACGTCGAGGCTGGACTGACGCGCGAAGTCCTTCAGGTCCTATATCCCGATTCCAAGTAAGTTGATGTTCCAGGACTAAAAGTTGGCGCGCACTGTGATGGTATGGTATGGTATGGTAGTGGCAAGGTTTTCAATAAGGAGGTGGTTGCCAGGCGCCGCCGATTTGGTTCGGCGATGCGTTGACAGCCTCCAGCTCGGTCGGCGAGGTTGCGATATCCAGGTCCTGTCCCTGGTACATCTTGTCACGCGGCAGCAGGGGAAGTGCTGGCCATGAAAGAGTAGGAAACTCAGGGAAGGGTTGGGTTGGAGGGCCGGGGGGGAGGTGTGGAGGTGGGTGGTGCCAAAAGTCCAGAGCCAGCTAAGGCTATGGCCCAGTCACACCGGTCTGGTGCAGATCGGCAAGATGAAATGCCGCCTTATATATAATCTCCACGAAAGAGGCTAGATGGCCATATCGAAGGAGAAAGATAGGATGTTTTATGCCGCCCAGGTGTGACTGCGCGCATAGGGGCTTGCTTTCACACCACAAGCTGGTGTTCCCATCTCACGGGTTGTTTTGTCCAGAGAGAGCGAGAGCAAGAGCTGAGATCCACGAATCCGGGAGCAAAGAACGAGGGGGGACAGACCTGCCAACTGGTTTCGCCGGGGAGTCCCGAAATCTGCATCCTGTGTGGGGTACGTCTGGGGCGCGGGGCCGTACGGTCGGTGGCGGCGAAGTTGTCGCGCTGGCGCGATCCGCGGGCGAACTGGACGGTCAGGCGGTCGCCCTTGAGCTCGGAGCCATCTGTGTGGGGGGTTAGAATTGGTATTCGGGTGTGTGTTGTTGGGAGGGAGGTTGTCGAGTAGACTGTTTCGATTGTTATAACGTACGGAAAGCTTGAGGGGGTGTTAGCTTAGTTTTCTGGAGAGGAGGGGTGGAATAATTACCAGGAACTACGTCTCGGGCATCCATGGCATCCTCGTACTCGATGAATCCAAAGCCGTTCATGAGCTTGATCTCCTTGATTGTACCGGTGCCATGAGTGGCGAAATGGGCCTCAACGTCAGCCTTGGTGGCTATAGCAACATCAGCATCGTTAGAATCGGGGATAGCGCAAGCACGCGGGGTTCGTTGCTGTCCAAGATGTGGAATTCTTGTCGCAGAGAATGGGGATGTTTGCTCGTACCATCGCGCGGGAGGTTGCCCAAGTAGAGCCTCGTGGAGGATACCTCCGTCATATTGTCGAGGCTGGGGGGGTGAATTCTCTCAACAGAAGAGGAGGTCGAGTAGGTCGCGTTGGCGCGAAACAAGCTTGTATGATGGAAAAGAAGATCAATACAGAAGAGAGTATAAGATCGAAAGGAATTAGATTGAAATGGGGGTCCGCGGGGTTCTTCTTGTACTCTTGGTGGTAGAAGAAGGGTTGGGGGTTGGAAGAAATGGGGGGACGAGGATGAATTGAAAGGTCGAAGGGTCGGGGACGGGGTGCGGAGTGTGGAGATGAAGTCTTACTGGAGAAGTACGTACCACGAGAGGAGGTGCGTGCTTCAATAGCGGTACTACTAGCATTATTCCGTACCAAACAAAGGCCTCTCAATAGTATCAGTTTAGTAGATTAATGGTCGAGTATTTATTTGTTATTTATTATTTGTTATTTATTGTATTTGTATGTATAATACAGTAGAACACAGTGGAATACAGTACTGTTGAGCAGCTACAAAATTAACAGACAAACCAATGGGAAATAGGAAATAAAGTCATTTCTCAGGGTACAGGTACAGACAGCTCTGGCTCTACACGCCGCTGGAACGGTCAGGGTAAAAGTCCCTGTTCAAGTCCCCCATTTTAGCCCATTAAAGTCCCTGTTCAAGTCCCCCATTTTAGCCCATTAAAGCCCCCAATAATCTTCAATTCGGGGCTTTGTCTCGCACTGTTTTCTGTCCCAATGCGGTCCAAACGGGCCGTAGGCAGGCATAAGGCACATCCAACCTGTCAAAAGGTACCTTCAAGTCTCATGCATTCTGCGCGTGTATTCATGTACTCTACTATATATCATCCATGCCTCGACCTACTCTGTGCATACAGTTAGTAGTAACTCCGCATATAAAATCGGGGAATTTAGTTCTTTTTTTGGAGAGAAATATCGATATTGGACATACACAGTACAACAACAAACCCTAGCAACCAACGACCGCGCGGCCGAGACATCGCCCCCCATCACACACTGCGGAATATTTATTTCGTTTCTTTTTTCAATAGTTCCTGCATGCATCAAGAGGATTTATCCTGCGACTGAGCCGAGCATAGGAGAGGGAGAGGGAGAGGGAGATTGGCTGTTGGAATGAATAATAAGCGCCCTCGGTCTGGCTGGCTCCGGATAAAGGGAGCCTTGTTGACAGGTTGACAGTTGGAATGGACAGTCATGAAACAACGTCAAAGATTATTCCGCACGCATCTCGCCCGATCACCGATTTCACTAGCTAGGGAACACCTGTCAAGTTTCTAGTTCTTTCAATAATCATGCATTTACAATTCATTATCCCCCCCCAACTCCCCCTACCCCGCATACATCATCATTTACAAACTAACAAAGAACGCCGACCAGCTACTTAGAATGTGCTGCCCTCCGCAAACAAGACCCCTTCCATCCCGTTTCCGGGCTATCCTTTAGAAAGAAAAAAAACTCTCCTCAACTCCTGACGAACCCCCCGGATATCATACTCCCCGTCTGTCTCCTTCCTCTTCCTCTGCCTATCTCTCAGCTAATATCGACCGTACGGGTATCATCACCTTCCTCATCCGCGCCCCCAAGCTCGTGCTCTACCTCCTCCACCACGAACCCCTCGTAGTCCTCGAGGTTCTTCTGCACGTGCACCTTGAATTTGATGATATCATTGAGCATGCGCTCAACCTCCGTGTGCAGTTCCTCCCTCAAGGCATTCGCGCGGAGAGTAAGCTGTTCATACCTATGACCACCGTTAGCATTCCCTCTAGAAACTCAAAGGGGCAGTAAAACCACATACTCAATATTAGTATTCATCTCCCTCTGCTCCATCAACTGCACCGACTCCGTCAAACCCCCCCTCATCTTCGCCAACTCCTTCTCCATCTTCTCAATCTGCGTATCCGACGCAATCTTCTGCGTCGTCGTCACCTCCTTCGTCTTCTCAAACTCCTCCTGCGCCGCCCGCACCCTATGCTCCAGCGCGTCCACCTCGCTGCGCTTATCCTCAATCGCCTCCTTGATCCCGTCCAGCAGATCGTGATTCTTCATCATCGCCTCCACCACCGCGCTGCGCCGGTCCGAGACCTCCTTCTTGAGCGCCAGGAACGCGCCGCGCGCCTGGCCGCGCAGGTCGAGGCTGAGGATCTGGTGGGGTTGGTAGCCGCTCACGGGGTCGGCGAGGAGGCGGTCGCTTTCGGAGTTGGCGCTGTTGCCCATCTGGGAGCTGGAGAATTGCGGGCCCTCGTTGACGAGGATCTGGAGTTCGTAGTTCTTGCCCTTCGCGTTGGGGGCTGTGGAGGGGATGAGGCCGATTTGGTAGCCTAGGCTGTTATAGTTTTCCACCAGGCGCTCGAGCTCGTCGAGTTTTCGGCTGGCTTCGAACTCTTTCTCGTTGACTTTCTTCTTTGCATCTTCCAGTCGTGATGCCGTGCCTTCGATGCCCTTCTGGAGGCGCTCGCGCTCGGAAGTCATGCGGTCGATGTCTTGCATGCTGATGCCTTGGTCGTCGACGGACTTTTGGAGGTTCATGCGCTCCTCCTCCGCGTCGTTGAGCTCCGTCATCGCCTTCTTGATCTCGTCCTGTAGGAACTGGATGCGCGTCTCGTACCTCTCGCACTTCTGCGCCATCTTCTCGTCGTAGCCCTCGAACTTGACTCGGTCCTCCTGCAGGATCTTGAAGTGGTTGTCGAGACTGTTGATGTCGGGCGTCGACTTCTCCACCTCCTCGATCTCGAGGCGGAGACGCTCGTTCTCGGCTTCGAGGATCTTCATCTCTTCGAGGTACTTGGAGTTGGCGTTCTCGAACTGGTGGGCCATGTTCTCGACGTGAGGCGCTAGGACGCGCTCCTGGTCGTCGTCATCGGCGTCCTCGTCCATCTGGAGCCACTCCGAGTACGCGCCGCGCAGGAAGTCGAAGATGATACGGTCACCGCTAACATCGACACCTGCCTCAAGACATGCATCGTCGTAGTGGTTCGCCGCATACCCATCGAGCATCTGCGCAAGCTGCATCATCCAGTGCAGCAATCCGAGGAAGGTACTCCAATTCTGCCCCCCCACCGCCGCAATCTGACTCTTCGTAATGCTCTTCTCAAACGGATACCTCAACTGCTTCAAGATCGGCGGGACCTCCTGATCAATATTCTTCAGAAACCTATAACTCGGATCAATCCGATGATACAGCCACTGAAACATGAAATTGAAATCCTTCTGCGTCGGCGACCGAATCGTGTTCTGCGAGAGCATATGCTTCATCTCCATCTCAAAATTATAATTCGCCATATAATCCAACAACTCCTGCCCAATCTTCGTCTGATACGCCCTATCCTTCAACGGCCTCGGATCCCTCGGCACCCCCGCCGGCGCCGGCGCCTGCTGGAAGAAACTCTGATGCGCGCCCCCCGGCCCGCTGCTCGACGCGCGCGACCTGTAAATGCTGCTGCGCCTCTCATTCGCCTCCTGCGACGGCCTCGACCCCGTCGCCGCGATTCCTCCCGGCGCGAAACTCTTGCGCCCTCCTCCGCTGGCGTTCTGGAATGACGTCCGCTTTACGGACGATAGGCCCATGTCGGCGAGGTTGGTACCGGAGGAGGAGCGCTGGAATTGAGGCTGGTTTGGGCGCGAGGGCGCGAGGGAGGCGCGCGAGCCGGAGATGGACCGGGACTGGTTGGCGGTGAAGGCGCCGGGGCCGGATATGGAGTTGGAGCGCTTCATGGCGGAGGCGGGCTGGGGGATGTTGGAGTTGTAGTTGATGCCGCCGAGGGTCTGGTTGTGCGCGCAGAGTCAGTGGGCTATTTTTTTTTGGCGGGAGGAGGGGGGGACATGGCCCTGGGGGGGTGTTTGTTTACTTACTTCTCGGGGCCGGCGCACGCTGAATATGCCGGTGTCTTGCGACATTTGAGGGGATTCGTGGTCGCGGATGCGGTTGGTATATATTTTTGTAATCGATAAGGCGTATAATGCCTGGTGCGCGGTGTTCTCGCTGTTGTGGTGAAAACGATGTGGTTCTTGGGTTGTGATGCGATATCGAAGTCTTGTTGTCCGCGAGACGAGATGTCATGTAAACAAACCCCAAAATGGAGGCCTATGATTGGCTGGTTTCAAACACCACGCAATGAGAACGGACTGCCACGGAAAACTGCCCGAGAATATAATTATGTTAAACTGTAATGTATTATATTAATAAATATCGTTTAAATTGACCATTTGTTGTGTTTGGAGCCCCGTCAGTATTCGGCACTAGGTCACGTGGTTAGTCATCCCAGAGCGCGAGCCTCGGCCCGTCAGTGACGCCAACTTCCCCAGATAACTTCGGCGATGTCCACTCCTTCCACACACTTCGATCCCCTCAAACACTCAACCCACGACGTGTCGCAAAGGAGCAGCGAAGTTGTGGTGAACAAGTTGTCACTATGGCTATCAGAGAGGATATCGTCGCATCAGCTGTAAGTTACTCTCGCCCCCTCCCATCATCCCTCGATGGCTCGCTGTGTTTGCCCCTGCTAACGCCGATCTAGGTGACATGTGAGATAATCAACGTTCATCCCCCGAACGCAGACACTGACAGTTCTCCCAGTCCTTCAGGATCCAAGCGTTGCCGCATCCCCGGTGGAGAGCCGGATTGCGTTCCTTCAATCGAAGAACCTCACCCAAGAAGAGGTGGACGCTGCGCTCGCGCGAGCAGACGGCCAAGCAGCGGCACCGTCATATGCAAACTATGCACCACAGCAGCAGGTAGCTAGGCAGCCACCTCCCGGATATGGAGGAGGCTATCAACAGCCATGGCAGCCACAAGCTCCGCCGGAGCTTCCAAAGAGAGATTGGAGGGACTGGTTCATCATGGCCACAGTCGCTGGTGGTGTCTCATACGGGCTATACACCGTGGCCAAGGTAAGTCTTCCCAGTATCCGTAAACAACACAGGTCATTAACAACCACAGCGCTACGTCCTCCCGCTGATTGCCCCTCCTACTCCCCCCCAACTCGAGCAAGACAAGGCCTCAATCGACGCCTCGTTCGAGAAAGCCTTTACCCTCCTAGAACAACTTTCCAAAGACACCGACGCTCTCAAATCCGCCGAGGAGGAGCGCACCACGCGCCTTGACGCTACCCTCGCGGACGTCGAATCCGCCATCAGCGAGCTCAAGGCCTCCGCTCGCCGCCGCGACGACGAGTCCCGCCGCACCACCGACGAAGTCCGCGCCCTCAAGGACCTCATCCCCAAGGCCATGGACGGCCAGAAGGAGAGCACCGACGCCCGCCTCGTCGAGCTCAATGCCGAGCTCAAGAGCCTGAAGAAGCTAATGGGTCAGCGCATGGCCCCCGCCTCGCCTACACCTTCGACCTTCGGTGTCGGCCCATCCGCCCGCACTACTATTACCCCTTCCAACACCACCCCCGCCCCTTCCGCACCACAGTCCAATGGCACGTCCTCCCCGGTTGTGCCTGCGTCTGAGGGCCCAAAGCCCGCCTCCGTCAGCAACGGCAAGGGCACTGAGTCTACCGCGTCGCTGTCTGGTCGCGGGTCTAGCACCCCGTACAGCGCGGGCGTGCCCACTGGACGCGCACCGATCCCGGCGTGGCAGATGGCAGCGGCCAATAAGGCTGCTGCTGCTGCACCGGCGGCTTCTTCGAGCTCGCCAGCTGCGGGCGCGTCGGATGCACAGGACGAGGCACAGGCTTAGGGGTTTGGCTGTAATATCACGGAGGGAAGCGGGGAGGAAGAGAGTGGTTTGCATGGGACGGCGCTGGGGATAACGTGAGAGCTATTTGATTATTGTATTTATATGATCTATAGGATGGCAAATGTTTGTTCGAAATTTACTTGATGGTGGGGTTGTATGTTGCGGCTATGTGAACCTTGCTATTTGGAATTGGGTGAAATCACATGTAATATAAGTATGTGTTATAGGGTGTTCAAACAATATCTTATGCAGCTTTGACTCGAAACACAAGAGTAAGGTCCCTTTCAATATACACGTGCTTGCTGTAGTACCAATTACCCCAAAGTTTCTCCAAATACGACGGTTTCGAGTGATCGGCTGTGAACCCCTACAGCACTTATTCGGCACTAAAACGGGGCGATCGCGTGTGTGGCGCATCGCGACTTACCTCGGCGCCACGGGCTGTGGGTCTCCTGATAGCCTTTGGACCTTGTAGCTGCCCAGAAATTTGGCGGGGATAACCTTACCATGGCGGATCCGGCCCACACTCGCCCTAAGGCAGGGGACAAAAGGGCCTCGAGCCCCAGATTCCCTCGCAGAAACAGCATCATCGACGATATCACCTCCGGAACTCAAATTGGCGGTTCCCCATCCGCTCTCTCCCCCCAACCACCTAACAACGCGCCGCGCAATCGCCCCGCCGCCGCAATGGATTGGTCGCAACCTCTCCCCATTATCAAGGCCCTCGCGCCCAAGGTCCCAATGATAGGCAAGACGGCCCTGATGCACTCCCTCGGCCTGTCTGAGACCTCGAAATACTGGGACCTCCGCACCGCAGTTACCATCAACGTGATCCGCTCCTTCGTCTTCCCTCCCGAACCCACCTCAGTCGGGAAATCCCAGCACATCTCCCTCCGCGACCCAGGCGTAAAAGGAAAAGTCTGGATCGCCAATGTCTCCCTCCCTTTCACCCCCGACGACGACGATGTCCGCCAGGCCATCTTCGGCGCCATTGATCACCTCGCCGGCGCGCCGCAGGGCGACCTCTACACTGCCCCCGAGTTGGCTGAGATAACCGCAGAATGGACAGGCTACCGCGCCGGCGCAACATCCTCCACTCCTCCCCTCGACGCCTCAGACGCAGACAAGTACGCCGCAATGATGAAAGAAGTCGTCTCCCCAACCACAGTCCTCTACCTCCACGGCGGCGCATACTACCTCATGGACCCCGCGACGCACCGCCCCACCACCGCGCGCCTCGCAAAACACACAACCGGCCGCGTCCTCTCCATCCGCTACCGTCTCGCGCCCCAACACCCTTTTCCCGCGCCCCTAATCGATGCCCTAGTCGCCTACCTCACCCTCCTCTATCCACCCCCCGGCGCCCTCCACACGGCCGTCGCACCAGAACACATAGTCCTCTCCGGCGACTCCGCGGGCGGAAACCTGGCAACCTCGCTCCTCCTCCTTCTCCTCACCCTACAGCGCCAGTCGCGCACCGTGCTCTGGGGTGGGTTTCCCCGCTCTGTCCCGCTGCCGGCGGGGACGGCGCTGGTGAGCCCGTGGATGGATATCACGGGGTCGTCGCCCAGTTGTGCCGATTACGCGCATTTTGACTATCTCCCCGGGCGCACCGCGTATCCGAATGGGATGGAATACGCGCCGGATGCGATATGGCCTGTTACACCGGCACGGACGGCGCTGCATGTTGATGATGCGCTGCTACTGCATCCGCTTGTGTCGCCGTTGGCGGCGAAGGAGGAGCTGTGGACGGGGGCGCCGCCGGTGTGGATGGTGACGGGGTGGGAGTTGTTGAGTGATGAGGATAGGGCTGTTGCGGGGCGGATGGCGGGGGCAGGGGTGAAGGTTAGGTATTTGGAGTTTGAGGCTATGCCGCATTGTTTTGCGATGGTGGTAGAGGGGAGTGCGGTGGCGAGGAAGTGTATTAGGGAGTGGGCGGGGTGGATGAAGAAGGTTGTGGAGGCGCCGGGGAGTGTGGGGGTTGGGGGGACGGTGGTGGGGTTTAAGAAGTTGGAGGAGAAGAGGGTGGATGTTAAGGGGTTGGATGAGGGGTGGGAGGTTACGATGGGGAGGATGAAGGAGAGGTTTAAGAAGAATGAGGAGAGGAAGGCGGCGGCGGCGAAGTTGTAAGATAGTTTCGTTTTCATGACATATGTAGTGACGGATATACCATTTGCAGGGCAAGGGGATGACAGATAAAAATGGAGAGGAAATGTAACATTATATCTAAAACCGGTACATACTGGATATCCGCAGTGAGGACCCCTCTCACAAAATAAACCATCTACATCTCCCCAACCCAAATCCAAACGAAATATTACAACCCTTTCCAATCTCCCGTCACTTCCTATATCATACACTCCCATCCTCCAACCCTTAATACTCCTTACTCTCCCCAACATCCGAAACATCAAACACCCCCACCTCCGGCATCCCCTGCCCCCTCAACACCTCCTTCAACCTCTTCGGCGGCGCCCCCCCATCCTCCTCCGTCAAAACCCACGTCCCCCAATGCACCCCCAACGCCCTCTTACACCCCGTATCCTTCAGAATCTCCACCGCATCCGCCGGATCCGCATGCATACTACTAAACAGATACCTCGGGTCATACGCCCCAATAGGAATCAACCCAAGATCAAACGGCCCCCTCAGCTTCCCAATATCCTTAAACGCAGGGCAACGCGGCAGGTCGGCATACGGCGCGCTATAGTCGTCCACAGTAGGGGGCAGCTTGGGAACAGTACGGTATCCAGTGTCCCCGCCGAACCACACAGACTTCCCACCCGACTTAATCGCCCACGACGCCCACAGCGTTTTCGCCTGATCAAACGGCGTGCGCGCGCTGGTATGCTGGCAGGGTAAACACGAGATGCGCGCAGTGATCGGACCCCCCGCCGTTTGCGCCGCAGGGGCGCCCGCAGCAGCAGCAGTGACTTCCCACTCCACGCCCTCCGCCGCGGTAGGCGAGAGCGTAACATCGATTTCCTGCCACCAATCCATCTCAACGACACTCTGGATCCCCGCATCCCTAAACCACGATTCCAAGCCCAGCGGCACGGCGAACAGCGCCTTTGGATGCAGTTTCGCTAGCTCCATCACGGAGGGGTAGGAAAGGTGGTCGTAGTGCGAGTGGCTGATCACGACCACGTCGACGGCTGGGAGGTCGCCCAGGCCGCAGGGGGTAGGCGTGTACCGCTTTGGACCTGGGAAGCCGGCGGGGGAGCAGCGGTCCTCGAAGACGGGGTCGAGGAGGACGCGCAGCCCGGAGGGGAACTCGAGGTACATGCATGCGTGGCCGAGCCAGGTTGCACGGAGAGAGGTAGAAGCGGTGCGGGAGGGGAGGAAGGTGGGGGTTTGCACGGTGAGTGGCGGGGTGAGGACAGGGGTGTTTGCTATGCCGGAGATGCGGCGCCTGGGGGGTGTTAGTGAGACTGTTTGTTAAGCTGTGAGGGGGGGTGCGTACCAGATGATGTTGGAGAGTATTTGGATGGGGGCGAGAGGCTTCCAGCTCTCCCAGGGGTTGATGAAGCCATTGCCGCTCTTGTTGTGGTGGGTTTTGTTCTTCGCGTCCGTGGGCGCGTCGGCGGCTTGGATGGGGACGGAGGCGGAGACCGTGTAGGCGGCCAAGGCGACGCCGGCGAGGGTGCCGGAGGATGCTGCTGTCATTGTTGCGGGGGTTGGGCGGCGGAGGTGGAAGAGAGTGCGGAAGAGACGACGCATGGGGGGAGGTGGAAGGCGAATGTGGGAATCGGGGGGGAAATTGGGAGGTGGAAGGTATATATAAAATGCAGACGACGAGGCTATAAAAGGTACTTGTAGGCAGATGCAGGCGACGAGGCTGGGTACGTACGTATGTAGGTCGTAAGTCCGTAGGGTCGGGATCGGATCTTACCTGAGATCTTTCCTGTCCGAGAGCTGAAGGATGACTGCAGGGTAAATATGAGAGAAAAGAGGAGATAAGGAATTAACGTTAAATCCGTTTCTCCGGCCGCCACCATGTCTCGGCATCCGATGTCCCATGCATGCTTGTTTTGTTTACAGTTCAGATTCGGTTCTCAAGTTAAGACCATACATGAAACTTTATTCTCATACTGTCTCTTAATGTTTTTTTATAAGCATTGAGCTATTCTTCTAGCTCAAACTAAGTTAAGCTTATAATAAATAGCCTCTCCCCTGATACGAGGATTAGTGACTAAACAACACAAAGGTTCCGATGAGAGCCTTGCGCAAGGCTGAGCGAGCCTGTATCGCCTTGTCACACCAAGTATCGCGAGCCTGAGTGGTCGTTGATAACGACACTGCCAAAATAGAGGATGTGGTATAAGATAGAGACCAAGTCGTCCACCTATGCAAGCCAGACGAATGATCAAGACGCTCATAGAGATCACTATTGCTTCACGGCACGCCAACTATTCGTATGTTGTCCTTCCTATCTATATGTACAGTACGGTACAGTACCTTTATAGTACAGTGTGGGGAAGGTGGCGATTTCAGCGACGGTAACATCAAGCTACGACAGGAAGAGTAGTAACAGTGACAGCAAACGGCAACAGTGAGGGTGATAGCAAGTAGCAACGGTGACAGCAACGATGACAGCCAGCACCACCGATACCGGCAACGTTGAGCTCGACTAATGCCAGAGTGGTCGTGCCAGATGTTCGACAGCGTCACCGATATTTTGTTTTCCGGCCCCAGTTAGTCGGAGGACTCGAACTTCATTTTAAGCTGTGTGCTTCCTGCATGAAAGCTCGGTATATATATATTTCATATCCCAATTTTTTATATTTATTTTATTTCATAGCTTCTATGATATTTCAAGCAATGACGGGTCGGGAGGTCTATCTATCTTTCGGAGTGGGCCCCCCGCCGACGACAACTCGATTAACGCTAGGAAACTTCCGATAAGCCGGCGCATTTAAATGTGCGGGGAGAGCACTTTGCATTCTTAATTCTCCAATTGTTACTATATTGCTCTCTTAGGATCATTCCCTTAGACTACTTCATTATACGACTCACATACCACATCTGCAACGAATCCCCCTCTACAATGGGTAACAACAAGAAGCTCAGCGCCTATTATGCGCCTACGGGCGGCTTGCCGCCACAGACACAGATCCTCACCGACCGTGCTATGTTCACCGAAGCCTATGCGGTAATTCCAAAGGGCACATTCAGCGACATCGTGACGAGTTTCCTGCCGTTCTGGGATAAGACGAGGTTGTGGGTGATTGCCCGTCCGTTATCGGGCTTCGCCGAAACATTCTCGCAATACATCATGGAGGTGCAACCCGGGGGCGGCAGCGATCGCGGTGAAACGGATGACAGTGCGCAGGGGGTGGTGTTTGTCGTCAAGGGCGAAGTGACAATCACCTTAGGATCAGAGAAACACACACTTTCCGAGGGCGGCTATGCCTACCTACCACCGAAGAGCGGGTGGTCCCTCCGTAACACTGGTGCAACCACCGCCTCTTTCCATTGGATTCGCAAGGCCTACGAATCTGTGGAGGGAATCGATCAACCTACGCCGCTTTTCCTTAACGAAAAGGATGTTCCACCTACATATATGCCAAACACCAACAATGCTTGGGCTACCACACGATTTGTCGACCCGAACGATCTGCGCCACGACATGCATGTTACCATTGTTACCTTTGAGCCCGGGGGAGTCATCCCATTTGCGGAAACCCATGTCATGGAGCACGGCCTTTACGTTTTAGAGGGTAAAGCTGTGTACAGGCTCAATCAGGACTGGGTGGAGGTGGAAGCTGGCGACTTCATGTGGTTGCGTGCCTTCTGCCCTCAGGCCTGTTACGCCGGCGGCCCTGGGAAATTCCGTTACCTGCTCTACAAGGACGTAAACCGCCAGATGAAGCTATCAGCGAAATTGTAATGGACAAACGCTTTGTCTTCGGTCAATTGTCGACTTTTTAAACACGCCACCCGCCTAAAAAGGATAATGGATGCAGGCTGGACAGATGATCCATGCTTCTCCATCATTCAATCTCCCCGATCATTAGAATTCGCCATCTCTAAGGCCTTGCTAGGCCAATGGTAGACTCTACTGTTAATGTGTTAGCCTCGGACGGTGCGTTTTACCAGATGCACTTGTGGAGGTAATGAACCCTAGATTCTTTTATATATTTATCTTATATATTGTATAACATATTTAACACAAACTATTTCACGCAAGCTATTTCTCACTACAAATTAAGTATTTCGAAACGCAATGTCAGCCGTATCATTCTGATAATCTTTAAAACTATCCTTTACTGTAGTATAATAATCCCTAGCCCTTCATTCACCACCTACGAATCCAAACCGAACATTCTGATCTACAGCATCGCCGCCATGTGCTGGTGTTGGGTTTGCGGCGAGACCTGCGATTATCATGACCAGCATCTTACGTATGCACCTCGATTCACGCTAAGCGATTAAGGCAATAGTATTAACCGCCAACGGCACGGCTTGAGCTCCGAGCCACTTTAAATAGGTATATATATCATCCATCGTCTCAACAAATCTTCTCACGTAACAAAGCCCTTGATACCTATTTATTATCCATAGCCATCATGGTTTCAGCCTCGTGGACCAGCTTGCTCGCTTCCAACGAATTGCAGCGCTCCTCACACATAGTGTCTGTAGTGAACGGAAGTGCGTATATATTCGGAGGAGATCCGCGAGGATGGTTTGATGCAGACGTAGTTGGCCAGTCTGCAATTTTGGTGTCTGGTGGTTTGGGAGAGGAGAACAATCGGATTGATGATGCTTGGCTGCCCCAATTCTAAGTGTATGAAATGCATTCTTAGATGAGAACTTTACAAGTCCTTTTCGTTCTTGAAAGAATAGATCTTCTCAACTCCGATTTAATATTACTGCTCGCTGACATAATGTGGAATGTATGATTCATGAACTTGACAGTCTAAATGTTTTACATACCGATCTAGATATCACTACTAGATGCGATCCTTCGGAGTCCCTGCTCCCTTGAGCGCTGCTTCCCCTTCTGGGAACGCACCATCTCCATCCACTTCGACAAATGCACCAGATGACCACGGCGTGAATAAACAAAGACAGTATACAATACGCTCGCAGCCACTATGGCGATGACACTAAGAAGCGTTGGCCATTTAAATTGTTCTGGCCGTGAGAAGATGATGGTAGAGGCGTAAGAGCAGAGCTCAAACACATTTTGCCACGAAGCTTCAACGGAAGAGAAGGATCCCCGATGAGCAGCTTCGACGTCCTACATGCAATGGATTGATCAGCTTGGGCGACTTGACACGACGGGGCGAATGACTGACCTCTTGGATAATTATCTGTGCACAGAGGTCGAAGCCTCTAAGACCCATGCGGCTGAGGATTGTGCCAACCACAAGGCCGGAAGCAGACATGTTAGGCTGGTCGGAGAACGCCCAGAAGACCGATGTGCCAGCCACCAAGCACACTATCTGCCAATTAACCAGCCAGAGGCCGGCGCGTACAGGCCCGATTCTCCCCATCAGCCAAGGTGCAATCCACGTAGCTAGAACCTCAATGACTACAGAGAGGGTCCTGGCTATGCCTACCTGGGTAGAATTGTAACCGGCTGAGAGCAAATATGTGACCATCTGCCCTGCGAACGAGAGCACGGTTAAGTACAATAAAGCGCTGGCGAATGACGGTAGGAAAGCTGGATGATAAAAGTAGAGACTGAAATCATATACACTCTTCTGTATGACTTTGCGGACGTTGCGCCAGCTGTGTACAAAGCGACCCCTATGTTCTGTTCTGCCAAGCGATTCGTCTCGTGGTTTTGTCTTAGGTTGTTGTAATTCTGGAACCTCGTAATAGACCTTCGAATGGCAGCTTTAGTATAACGTCTAATAAGGAGAATATGCCGGTTGAAGGACTTACTTGGGCTATTGCAAAGTATTCTACAGCGACTGACGCCACATTCATTCCTAAACTAACTAATATTGCTGCCTCTGTTGACATGCCATCTATAAGAGCTATAAATAGGGGCCCTATGAGTTTACAAGTCAAGTCGATCCGTCTCATTTGTGCATTAATCACTAGGCTAGCAGTCAGTCAAAATATAATAAGACAGTACTCACCGACTAACCTCGTAATGCCGCTTGATCCTCTCCAGCGACAACGACAACCCAGTCTCTCTCAACGGACACCATGTTCATAATGGCGCAGAGTTTCTCAGCACAGGCTAGGACCGCCAGGAGCACCAACAGACCTGCTTCCGCGCCATGGGCACGCGGCAAACCGATGGCGAGGATATAGAACGCAACGCACGATCCTGCTACAGTGAGACGCTGCATCACTATCTCAGGCAAAATCATGCAGCAATTAGCGCAATCCACTATGGAAATTAGGGACACATATTACCAATTGATAGCCTCACGACTTGAAGACGATTGCCTGTATCAATATACTGTCCAATGGCCGGGGAAAAGAGAATGGCCGTCGCTCCCCGAGCCAGAGCATAGACCGACATGGGCAGTAGGGTTCCAGGAAAGATGGAGGCTAGATAGAGCGCGGCCCCAAACTCGAAGACTCGAGAATTCCATGTTGATAGGAAATGAGATATGTACAGCCGGTTAGTGACTCTTGCGGGCACCTGGCTGTCCCTTCTTTCGTCCCCCGTGCTGCCGTCTGGCACAACGCTTTCGGCATGGTCGGTAGGGGTAAGTAGAGGACTGCGTTCTTCGTCCATCGGCAGATAGGATCCCTCTGGTGAGGATCCTACAAACGGTACCGTTTTCGACTAGCCTGACGTTTGTGCAGATCTGCTTGCTCACTCATGGTTGAAGGAAGCGGGTCGAGGTCATTTGCGTGCACGTGACTTACACTTATTTTTAAAGTCGCTATAAATATTATAAGTGGTCTAAAACTATATTACAGTAGTACGTAGATTACATTTATACTGGCATTATAATATTACAGGCGCTAAAACATGGGAGATCGTAGCTTGGGCGACGGCGGCGTGGGATTGCGCGCCAGCCATAGATCTGTAAATCTCTATGATGCCATTCTCACCGATGGATCCGCGACGATTTAGCTATGGCGGAGCTCTGGTTCCGCCCTGCATGTAGTATCACGGAAAAGAACAAAAGCACAAGTCCTAAGCCTTCCCCATTTAGTCGTCCCCGCACAACATCTCCCCCGCAGCTAGGACGGGATTTGAGAATCGCCGAGCCACTCCGTGTTCACGACAACAGTGATATGCGGATCACTGTGCTGTAAGTTGAAATATGTAGAGATATAAGGTTGCGTGTATGCTGGCATCGCGCAACCAGTATTGTTAACTTGTTTTTGTAAACTAAAGTGTCCCTGGCACCCGTCATACGTAAAGGAAATTAGCTGGGCAATTTTCAAATACTCGACGAAGCAGTTGCGCCAACATGGCTCTTTTCTCCTCAGAGGTGCTTTCGTCAGGATGGGAATTCAAGCTCACTGAAGAGAGCCAGCTGGACTCGTGGCTCCCCGTCGCCAAGGTACCAACGGTGGTCCATCTCGATCTCCTAGACAATAAGAAGTATGATTTGACGCTTACAACGTGACATAAACTAATGTAATGTAGAATACTCGATCCTTCCCTAGATATGAACGAGCTGCAGACGCACTGGGTTGGCGAAAAGTCATGGACATACCGATGCCAGTTCACCGTCGGCTCGAAGGTAGAAGGAACAAAAACCGTTTTGGTATTTGAGGGCCTAGACACATTTGCGACAGTGCGACTAAATGACACGGAAATCCTAAAATCTGAGAACATGTTCATAGCATACCATGTTGATGTCACGGCGACGATAGCTTTTAATAGCCTTAACACCATCGAAATCGACTTCGAGTCTGCACTTCTCCGTGCCCGCGAAATCGGGAAAGAACATCCCGAGCATCGCTTCATTGGACATCAAACCGAGCCGGAACGGATTGCCGTTCGAAAAACTCAGTGCCATTGGGGGTGGGATTGGGGCCCGAAGTTGATGACCGCGGGACCATGGAGACCAGTCCGACTGGAAACATACGCTAGCAAGATTGAGAACCTTTGGCTTGATAGTACCTTGGATTCCGACCTCAATGCGTGTAGAGGGAACATTTTCGCGCATGTAGATGGAGAGGCTGGCGCGAAAGTACTGTTCACGCTGTCGTTGGAAGGCACAACGGTATTCGAAGTGGAGTGTACGCCCAGTTCTAAAGGGGCCATACAAACGCCCTTTGTTCTCCAAAAGCCATCCTTGTGGTATCCGCACGGCTATGGAGCTCAAACTCGGTATGTTTTGGAAGCATCACTTGTCATTAATGGTGTTGTTCTACATCGTGTCGAGCAAAAGATTGGTTTTCGCCGTGCCGAATTGATACAAGAAAAAGACACGAATGGGAAGTCGTTCTACTTCCGGATCAATGGAATTGACGTTTTTGCAGGAGGATCATGTTGGATTCCTGCTGACAATTTCACGCCGCGAATTTCTTCCGACAGGTATAGAGAGTGGCTGACGTTGATGGTAGAGGGGAATCAAATCATGACTCGGTGAGCAATACCAAGCACAATGCAGAAGTAGCCGCTGACAGACCGCAGGATATGGGGAGGAGGTATCTTTGAAGAAGAGGTATTCTACGACGTCTGTGACGAGCTTGGGATTTTAGTATGGCAGGACTTTCTCTTTGCCTGCGGCTCCTACCCGACCTACCCCTCACTACTCGAGTCCATCGAAGCAGAAGCACGATCAAATGTACGCCGGTTGCGCCACCACCCCTCAGTAATAATTTATGCCGGAGGAAATGAAGATTATCAAATTCAACAGACCTACAACCTCGACTATGACTATGACGGCGACAAAGATCCCGAGTCGTGGCTGAAAAGCTCGTTCCCGTCGCGGTATATCTTTGAGTATCTCTTACCAAACACACTGGCGGAAGAGGACTCGCAGGCAATTTACCATCCGAGCAGCCCATGGGGTGATGGAAAGCACACCACAGATCCAACTGTTGGCGATATCCATCAATGGGACGGTAAGCAACGTGGCTGCACCGCGTAAACCCCCAGATACTAACGTCTCTCCAGTTTGGAACGGCCTCATGAAACCATACCAGGACTTTCCCATCATGGGGGGACGTTTCAACAGTGAATTCGGCATGGAGGGATATCCTCATATGAGCACTATCAAGGCCTTCATCAGCGACGAGAGTGAAATGCATGCGCAATCCCTAACAATGGACTTTCATAACAAGGCGAATTTCCACGAAAGGCGCCTCGCAACATATGTGCACGAGAATTTCCGGGTATCTTCAGCTGACTTCAAGGTAAGTCGATATGCAACTCCTGTGAATCGGAATGTAACCGGCTCTATAGTACTGGGTCTACTTGACGCAACTTCTACAATCTGAGGCTATGCACTATGCCTACACCAGGTGGCGACGCGAATGGGGGACGCCTGGCGAGCGTCGGTGTGGGGGTGCCCTCGTTTGGCAACTCAACGACTGCTGGCCAACCATCTCCTGGGCAGTTGTTGATTACTTCTTAGTCAAAAAGCCGGCATTCTACGCGATTCAGCGGGCCCTTAGACCAGTATCAATAGCTGTCGCTCGCACCCACAATGAGTGGACAAAAGGGCATGTTGCGCCTGATCCCACGTCGAAGTACGATGTATGGATTGCAAGCAGCAACGTCTCGGGCGTAAGGACCGCGAAAGTCGAACTGAGGTTTATATCCATCAAGACAGGTCTTGATGTCGTGGATCCGCAAACAGAAGACGTGGAAATCAAACCTAATGGCACAACCACAGTACGAGAGAATGTCACCATCGACAACCCACCTACACTCGAAGCATTCGTCTTGTCTGCGACACTGTCTATTGAGGGAGAAGTTATAGCTCGCGACGCCGACTGGCCGCAGCCATTCAAATACTTGTCTTTCAGAGAAGACCGAGGGTTGACGATTACGCTGTCTGAGTCGCGAGACACTATTTCAATCACCGCTAAGAAGCCGGTGAAGGGGCTGGTATTCGCAGAGCGGGTGGGACTGAGCTTCAGTGAAAATGGCCTCGACATCCTCCCTGGACACGAGTACAACATTCATGTGGGCGGCTTAAAGGAAGACGAGGAGCTGGAATGGGTGTTCCTCGGCGCCAGTGAAAGTCATTAATATAGTAATCGATGCACAATTCGTAAAGACCATTCTATACCAAGCACATATACAATTTCATCCATTATTTCACATCCCCTCGTGACTTCTCATCCCCTCCTACCCCTTGACACTGAAATCCGCCTTCGCCGGCCTCGTCCCAAAAATCGTACTCCCCACCCTCACCTCCCCACTCCCCATCGCTACCGCGCCCTCAAAATCATCACTCATCCCCATACTCAGCTCCAGTTCTCCACCCAGCTCCTTCACCAACGCATCCCTCTCCTTCGTCAGCGCCACAAAGTCCTCGTTCTCGTTCTCCGGCGTTGTGGCCTGGGACCGCGCAATCGCGCCGATGGTCATTAGGCCCAGCAGTTGCAGGTTCGCGCAGTTGTCCTTGATGTGCCTGCAGAGCTCGAGCGTCTCCGCGCCAGGCTGGCACCCGGACTTGGCTTCCTCGCCGGAGGTGTTGACCTGGACGTGCACGTAAAGCGGGGTAGTGGCAGGTGGGGAGAGCGAGGCGCGGCCGAGGTCCAGCTGGGTTGCTTTCTTGATGGAGTCAATCGAGCTCACTACCCAGAGGTTGGGAATGGTGGAGGCAAGGGGTTTGCATTTATCTGTGGGGGTGAGTCAGTTTGGAGGCATTGAGAGTAATGCACGTGACGGGTGGGGGTAGAGGAGCAACGTCGGCGGGGTGTATGGAGGGCTTACTTGACTGCAGGCCGCCGATAAAGTGCCATTTAATCGATTTCGGCAGTACTTCCGCCTTCTCGGTCAACTCTTGGGCGTAGTTCTCACCGAAGTGCTCTTGCTTGATCTCTTGATGCAGTGCTAAGATATCGGCTGCCGGCTTCAGTTTGGAAACGGCGACTAACCTCACCTATAAAATTGTAAGTCTTGTGTATAAACGAATTGATCATAGGGGAGGTGTTTCATTGTGTTTGCCGCCAATAAATATGTGATTGTGAATTTTGAGGTTATTAAATAAATAATCACCCAATTATCCTTACCTTTCTTCCTTGAGCTCTGCTCGAGATCAATCCAGAAACATGCTGAAGGTTCGACACCAGTGTCTTTGCACGGGCGGGGTCTATTCTCATATCGACGGTACCTTCACTCATTGTGTCTTTCCCTATGCTCTTGTGACGAATATATTCCGAGTTCAGTTCTGTCATAACGTGGTGGTTATCAACCAATGCTCGGACTAACATAAACCCGGGTACGAGCTCCAGTTTATCGCTGTGACCGCTCAAAGTGTGGAGTCGACAGGGTAAACTAACCAGCGACTATCCGTCCCGTCAACCATCGACCAAATGCGAAACCATACATTCGAGCTTCCGTGGCCTTTGGACGTAGAAAAGCGTCCTGACACCGAGTAGCTCAATCGAAAGCCTTCAGCCCTCCGACCCTACTACGAACCCCCACTAGCAGTCGAGAAACCACCGCCTCGAAAGCTCGGTCAGCACGTCGCATCCCCACGACCCCCCTTTCCTGACCCGCCCAGCTCCGCGCAGCCTCGTCAGCACCCCGCGCCCCCGAGGACTCGAACTCGACGCCCTCACCCGCCACCCGCGGATAGGCCTACTAGGCACGGGCAGGCCGGATGGCGAGCTCGGCGGCGGCCGGCTTCCTGAGCCGGGGCACGAATGGCGGTGGCTCGAACATGCGCGGGCTCGTGCAGTTCATTGCGGACCTGCGGAACGCGCGCGCGCGCGATCTCGAGGAGAAGCGCATCAATAAGGAGTTGGCGAATATCCGACAGAAGTTCAAGGATGGGAGTCTCAGCGGATACCACAAGAAGAAGTATGTCTGCAAGCTGCTGTATATCTATATCTTGGGGTGGAATGTGGATTTTGGACATCTCGAGGCCATGAATCTTATCTCGGCGAATAAGTACTCGGAGAAGCAGATTGGGTATCTTGCGATGACGCTGTTTCTGCATGAGGAGCATGAGCTGTTGCATTTGGTGGTTAACAGTATACGGAAGGATTTGTTGGACCACAACGAGCTCTTCAACTGCTTGGCTCTGCACGCCATTGCCAACGTGGGAGGAAGAGAGATGGGAGAAGCGCTCAGTGGAGAAGTCCACCGACTGCTGATTTCTCCAGCTTCAAAGTCGTTTGTGAAGAAGAAGGCTGCCCTCACACTGCTCCGGTTGTACCGGAAGCACCCAGATATCGTTCAGCCGCAGTGGGCGGAGCGCATCATCTCTCTCATGGATGATGCGGATATGGGAGTTGCTCTGTCTGTTACCTCACTGGTTATGGCGCTTGCACAAGACAATCCAGAGCAGTACAGAGGGTCATATGTCAAGGCTGCTTCGCGCCTGAAGCGGATACTTGTTGACAACGAGTATCAGCCTGATTATCTGTATTACAAAGTTCCCTGCCCGTGGATTCAAGTTAAGATGTTGCGTTTGCTACAATATTTCCCTCCTTCAGGTATGTTCATCCCCTCTCTCTGCCGTACAGAAATTGACCAATAATCCAGATGATACCCATGTCCGGGAACTCCTTCGAGAGTCACTGCAAAAGATTCTCAACCTAGCACTGGAGATGCCCAAGAACGTTCAGCAAAACAACGCACAAAATGCCGTTCTTTTTGAAGCTATTAATTTGATCATCCACCTTGATACCGAGCACGCACTCATGAAGCAGATATCCTCTCGGTTGGGGAGGTTCATTCAATCACGAGAAACGAATGTCCGCTACCTAGGCCTGGAAGCCATGACCCATCTTGCTGCACGAGCGGAGACCTTGGATCCGATTAAGCAGCACCAGGATATTATCATCGGTTCCCTGAAGGACCGTGATATTAGCGTCAGGAGAAAGGGTCTCGACTTACTCTACAGCATGTGCGACGCCAGCAACGCCCAACCAATCGTAGGTGAGCTGCTCAAGTTCCTACAAAACGCCGACTTCGCCATACGCGAGGAGATGGTCCTGAAGATTGCGATTCTGACCGAGAAATACGCCACCGACGTGCAGTGGTACGTGGACATCTCCCTCCGCCTGATCGCCATGGCCGGTGACCACGTCAGCGACGAGGTCTGGCACCGAGTCATCCAGATCGTCACCAACAACGAAGAGCTCCAGATCTACGCCGCGCAAAACACGCTCCAGTACGTCAACGCCGAGCACTGCCACGAGACGCTCGTCAAGATCGGAGCCTACATACTCGGCGAATTCGGCCACCTCATCGCCGAAGACAAGAACTGCAGTCCGATCGAGCAATTCCTCGCCCTGCAAGGCAAGCTCCAAGGCTCCTCCTCCAGCACCCGCGCCATCATCCTCTCCTCCTTCATCAAATTCGTCAACCTCTTCCCCGAGATCAAGCCGCAGCTGCTCCAAGTCTTCCGCGTCTACAGCCACACCTTGGACTCGGAACTCCAACAGCGTGCCTGCGAGTACCTCACCATCGCCTGCCTCCCCACCGACGACCTACTCCGCACAATCTGCGACGAGATGCCTCCCTTCCCCGAGCGCGAATCCGCCTTACTGTCGCGGCTGCACCAGAAGCACGCTGGTACGAGCGATAAACGCACCTGGGTCATCGGCGGGAAAGACGCCAACGCCGACGCGCGCGAGCTCAATCTGGCGAAGAACCCAGGCCTCAAGCGCGCGTTCAGCAACCAGACCGCTCCGCTCGCCGATAAGACTAGCCCCTCGATCCCCGGCCCAGACGGCTCCCTCGCCAGCCCAACCGGCGTACACGACCTCGCCGGGCTCGACATGCGTAACCTCGGCCCCGCGGAACCCAAGACCCTCAAGGCACCCAACCTCGCCAGCGCTGCTCACTTATCTCCAGACTGGGAAGTCGGGTACCAGCGCCTGCTCCTCAAGAACGAAGGCGTGCTCTACGAAGATCGCCAGATCCAAGTTGGCTTCCGCGCCGAGTTCCGCGGCCAGGCAGCATGCGTGATCCTCTACTTCTCCAACAAAGCTTCGAGTGCCATCAGTTCCTTCACCACCACCCTAGATGTCCCCGCGGAGGACAAGGCGAAACTGACATACGACGTCAAGGGCCTACCGGACGCGACCCTCAACGAAGGCGCGCAGGCCCAACAAATGATAATGTTCGAAGCGCGCGCGCCCTTCTCCAAGCCCCCCACAATGCGCATCTCCTACCTGGCCGGCGCGCTGCAAGCACTCACCCTCGCGCTCCCCCTCACCGTGCACAAGTTCATGGAATCAGCAGCGCTGTCGTCTGAGGATTTCTTCAGGCGGTGGAAGCAGATTGGCGGTGCGCCGCGGGAGGCGCAGCTGGTGTTTGGGGTTAAGGGGGTGGGTAGGTTTGATGCGGCAGGGGTGAGGAGGTGTGTGGAGGGATTTAGGTGGGGGGTGTTGGATGGGGTTGATCCGAATGCGAGGAATATTGTTGGGGCGAGCGTGTTGCATACTAGTGAGGTGGGGAAGGTTGGATGTTTGCTGAGGTTGGAGCCGAATTATGAGACGCAGGTATGTTTGTTTTCCGAGTTTTGCATGTCATTGCACTCTCTTACCTTTTTTCCGTTTCCTTCCTACCTACTCTTACTCCTACTCCTGCACCTACTCCTGCCTCTTACCTCATCCCTCATTTCTCCCTCTGCTTCCTTTTTATTTTGTTGTCATCGCACTTGCACTCCGACAATGGCGTGCTCCCTCCCTACCCAACTCCCGAGACAATCCAGAACCCGACGACTAACACCCCCAGATGCTCCGCCTAACCATCCGCGCCACCGATGCCTCCGTCCCCTCCCTCCTCCTCGCCCTAATGACCGAGCGCCTCTCCTCCGGGACCGCCCAGCCCGCCACCATACACCGCGCCGAGACATCGCGGAGCGAGATGAATGACGCGTTTGCGAATGTGATGGTTGAGGGGTAATCCCTTCTTGCAGCCTACATCATGCGGCCCACACCTAAGTCCCTGGTCGCTGGTCCCTAATCCAGGTGGATGAACTGGTGGGGGTATGCCATCCGGGAAGGCTAGAGACGCAGTCCCGGCTCCGGGTGAGTGGACAGGGTGCGGCATGGTGGGGTATTGGTATGGGACGGTGTGGGAGGGGCTAGAAGAAACTCACGATACGATACGATACGATATAGTGCCTGCACCGCATCGGGATCTATGATCAAAGTTGCAAGCAAGATGGGGGGTGGTGGGTGAGGGGCGTGGGGGATCTGCGCGCGGGTAGGAGTGGGGGTAGTTTGTTGATAAGGCGTGATGAAAGGTGTGGATGGATGGGGGTGGGGGGTTATATACGTACATAGGGATGTATGTACACGCTACGATTTTGATTCTGAATCTGGTATGTCTTTGTTTGGGTGTGTTGAAGTGAAGTGTCACCGGCGCGATGTGAGCGGCTGCGGTGAATGTCGTCGTGAAGTTGGAATGAGGGAGTTGTGTACTTACCTTTTGCAATGTCGTTGTTGCCCCCCCACCCCACGCTGGAATCGTAGAGTCCAATGCTTACAAGCAGTACGAACACATGCCACACGCAGCACCCTCCCTTCTACCTCCCAACTTACCTTTCTGAACCCACCCCCCGCCACCACCACCCACACTCACTCACATCATGACCCTCCTCCACCACACCACCACCACATCCACCACATCCACCTATCTCCCACCCCCAAAATACCCGCCTATTCACCCACCCACCCCAAGCGTCCGCTCGGTCCGACCCCCTCCCTGGGACTTGCTACGACAAAACACCACGTTGCGCACACGTGGCAGCGGTAGATTGCAGTGCGCTGCATTGCATTGCATTGCCTCTCTCCCCCCCTGGATCGTAGCAGTAGCAGTAGCAGAAGGAGGTGGTAGGAGGTGGTTGTGGTGGTGGTGGTGGTTTGATCATCGCTGGGGTTGGGTGTTGGGGATTTGCCTCGGTGGTGAGGTGAGGTGGTGAGGGCGGAATGTCGCGGGAGATGTTGGAGGGTTATGCGAGCCTCGGCAGGAGGATGTCGCTGCTGCTGCTGCTGTGTTCCGGGAACTTACCTGTAGCAAGCATGCAAGCTGACCGTTTCCATCCCATTCCGATCCCGTTTCCCATCGGGAAGGAATGTCGTGGAACAAACCGGCCGGGAAAGATCGCACAACAAAAACCCGTTGAGATGCTGCAGCCAGCCATAGCTGCAGCCAGCCCGCCAGCGAGCGATGCCCATAGCTCACTCAGCCAGGTAGGGGCATCGCGGCAGGGCCAGGGTTAGGGATATTTGAATTTGCGGCACCA